CCTTCTCTCGTCATTCCGAGCTGTGCTGTATCTTCCCTCTCACAGCTTCATTGGAAATCTCGGGCGTCCAAGTTTTTACCTCTCGGCGGTGATCGATTCATCCCGAATTCATCGTTCTCGGGAACAAGGGCCGTCCGCCAGAGACATCACTCGACAGAGGTGCCATCGAGGAGAACGCCCAGCGAAGGGCTCGCGATGTTCATCGTCCGCGACATCTCACATTCCGACCCCGATTGATAGATCCTCGAACCACGCATGGGAACTTCCTGCAGGGTTCCCGACCTTCGGATGCCGTTGTGAGACAATCATCCCAATCTAGTCTTTCCATCTGCTCGGATGAGCGAGGAAACTCACATTCCACACCTCTTTGCCTCGTGCAGTCGCCGGGAACAAGTCTGCGGTCTGTTGGAACTTCCAGAAAGTGAAGATTCGGTGAAGTCTGGATTGACTCACTCGCCCGACTCGTTAGCGGAAGTCGCAGCTCATGGAGTACACACGTTCCAAGATGGGACGGATTCCCCATCGCTTGGCCGCCTTCCAAGGACCTTGAAACACTGGGGAGCCAGAGCATCTGTCCCCATCTCTCTCTCGTTCAGGAAATAACTTATTATCTAGACTGGTATGATCGACAATTCCCCCGGTATATCTGACGTGGCTGTCCGAAGACCTTTGATCAGATCTGAGGATTATTCCTGATGGCTGCGAACCATGCACATGGTTCGATATCTTGAGTACGGGAATCTAGACGTCCATCCTCATTCTAGTTAAGTACCGCCGAAACTTCGGCTCCGGCTCAAGTATGTAGCGATGCCTCTTCCGTTGCTGACACTGAAGAGAGGAACCCTCCCTGGTTCGGAATGGCATCTGAAGCGGGGGAGAGTCTCCCGAATTCGTCGCGAGCTCTTTATTTGGCGAAAGGATCAGAGCTCCAAGCCCCATCCTCGGCAGAGGAAAAGTGAGGAGAAGACCTCCAGAGGCCTCTAAGAACGCCAAAGCGATTCCTCTCCAGTATGCCAAAAGATATCTGAATTTCTCGAGGAAGTGCGAAGAAGTGTATTCTCCTCTCTGTTCGCACCTCAATGAAGAAACAACTCTTCACGCTCCAACATAAAACATGGGAACGGTTCGAGCGGGCGAGCTCAGTCATACCGAGATCGTAGATGGGCAGTGCTTCTTCTGCGAATTCTCAACCCGGGCGCAGAGCGAGCCGAAGAGTCGGAAGAGTTCTCGACTCATTGTGTGGGAAGACCTCGGCTCAATTGATATTTCCCGCCTTCGTGTGATCTTCGGAGACCGCAGAGATCGCGTTGTTTTGCTCAAGTATCTTCAGCGATCCTCCCGGCATCCGTTTGAAGACAATCATTGATGATGAGCTCCAGACGCTGAGAGCTTCCTGAATGAAATTCTCGCGGGGAACCTCTCCAATCGAAAACCTTGTTTCCCCCTTTTTGAGCCGATTTCGATTCGCGGCTCGACCGCGGCATTCGAATCATTCGACGGGCCCTACCGACGCCGGCAGCGCTCAATACGGACGAGCGAAATGAAAGAGAACAGCTGTTGATTAAAATGTTCCGAACGAGCTCGGGAACACCACGACGCACTGACCCACCTACAGGCTGCGTTGGTTAATCGGCTTCAATGTTTTTCCGAGCAAACATATGTATCTATCCTGCTGGTCGTGTATCGCATGGTACTTGATTGTGCCGGGTTACCTCTCGTAAGCTCGAGCGTGTCGACGATACATTCGGAACCATTCTCAAGTTCCGATCTGCAGAAGCCCTGTCATGCGTTGGGCTCACTGAGTGTCATGTGCTCTCTCACTCGTAGAATGCGATCGGCACTCCCTTCCAGTATTCCTCCATGATGCAAGGACTTTCAGTTGACCTTCAACTGTTCCCAACATTCCCATGACTTCCACATGCTTGAGTTCATGGGGGGATCGGTCAAGTTTCTCAAGAGAATGCAATTTTATCCTCGACCAACGGGACGCTCTCAACAGGCCGTCGATGGCAATTTCAGATCGAATTTTCGGCAATCGCACATTGGTACACCTCCGAAATCCGTACCGGGCCAATTTACTTCGGGAGTAGGGGACATGCCCGCGAGCAATCGGTGTCTTCAAGGTTGCGAGAGGATACACGCAACCGGTCAGACCGTTCCAGTGAGTCAATCATTCTAGCCCATCCGGCAAGGACATCTACGGAGTTCCCAGCCGATGAGCTCCGTGTCACCAGTTCACCAGTCTCTCAGTCTAGAGCCGCCATCCTCCGGTGCGATGAAATCAGACACCGGCGACACTAACTGAGCGAAGTGAGCATGTTTCGATGGCCTGTAAAGAAGCTGATAGAGCGTTTCGCACATAGGCACGATGCGACGAAGAGCGAAGAAATTTCAGCCAACGTTATGGAATAATTTCTCCCCGCGAGCAGAAGTATCGATTGGCATTCAAATCGAGGATGGTGATTACGATATGTTTCGGTGGTCCGGTTTCTGTAGAAGAATCCTTCTCCCTCTAGCGGCCTGTCATAACGAAAAGTGCATGGGATGTCACCACCCGTCGGAGAACAACATACAGTCTGTCGTAGATTGTAGAAAGCGTGCGATTTTCGCCTCTCGTATTGCTCTCGGATTGCATCAATGTCGAGGAGTCCAGAACGATAGAAATTTTTCCTTTCATTTCTTATCGCTCGATGTATTCCAAGCAGAAACCTTGTAGACAGGAGGACCGATACGATTTCCGTTTCGGAGTTTTCTCCGGTAGACTCGCTCACCATCTTATATTCGAAGCATAAAACTTCAAAAGCCCTCGCTTCGTCGGAGCTGGCGGAGTGGTCGATGTTCAAGCTCGGATCCAACGACAGAAGGCCTGAATACGCGTCGGGGCTTTGCTCAGAGGCCAGATGTGAGCTGCTGGTGTGGCTGCTGTTAGCTAGTCTGCCTTTGGGTCTGAATGTCAGTCTGTTTCTGTGCGTGAGCGAGGAGAGTGGGCGCGCGAGAAGGTGATGATTCGAGAACTCGAAGCTCATGACTGGTTTCTCTTCTCGTAGGTTCCTCAAACCTGCAGTCTGAGCAACGGTTGTTCCGGGGGTCTTTCGTAATAACGCATACGTCCATCGACCGGCCTGTCCGTGAGATCACCGGTGGAGGAATGAGTCGCGGAATGACTGAGGCACGCAGTGGAAATTCTAATCGGTGGAATCGATTTTATATTCTGATTTCGAAGTTCCTTATCAATCCCGCCGGACTCTGCGTTACCCGAACACGGATACCGATGAACGAAGAAGTCAGAGCACCACCGTCGGGGCAGGGAGCTGTCGTATCTAACAGTCTCCGTCGACATGATTCCCGCTGACCGATCATCGGAGGTCGCTCTAGTTCCGGGAAGGTGGACGTGGAACGAAGATTTCGGATTGAACTCCCTAATCACGTTTTACGCGAATGGGAGGCTAGATCGTCGAACATCTTCTCCCCTCCGAACGATGAAATCATCCATTTCCGGATGCCATTGATTTCATTCATCCCACAATCATCGGATTCTCCTCTGTCTCCATAGGGAGTGGGGATGACTTGGTGGGGATTCCCCTCGATTTCTAAGCCTCGATAGTCCACCATTCTCAGGATTCCCCGAAATGTGAGTCCAGAAGAGCGAATCTTCGACACTCAACTCCGTCGGGCGGATATATAAGACCGCAGTCCACGAGTAAACAATGGGAAGTCGCTCCGATTCGATCGTAGCCGTCTCTCGAACCAACGTTTTCGCTCCCCGGGCACACGTGCTTGAGTAACATCTTTGATGGTTGGCGGCTAAAAATTGATTTTTCCGAAGAGCATGGCATTCTCCTTATGGGAATCGGGCCGATGAGGGACGAAATTCCGGGTGGGAATGGTGGAGAAAGTATAATTTATGTTCACGAAATGATACCCATCGAGCATGCTCATCAGTTTAACAGCCAATCTGAAGCTGATTTACGTTCTGCTATGGAGCGATGAACGGACCGATGGATGACCAACTCCCGCTCGCCTCAATTCGGCTCACGGAGGAGGCCGAAAGTTTCGGGTCGATGGTAGGTCGGCTCTGCAGGGCCTAAAGTCGCAGTCAGTAGCGTATTAAGGCGGGGGCGGGGGAGGGAGGGCGGACCACCCCGGCGGCACTTTCTGCGGAACTTTCAGGGGCGGCCTTTCGGAGTTTTGCATCCAAAAAAAACGGAGTGTTTTCGAGGAAAGAATATCTGGCGGGGGACGGCATTTTCGTCGAGCACGTTAGAAAAACGGAAAATCCCGATTCACCGCCCCGGGCGGCACTCCGGCTCGCTACGCCACTGGTCGCGGTACCTGATGATTTCGACACGCACCCTTCGCATGAACTCGATCGGGGCGGTGTGTGGCTGCTTGGCGGCGTCTCATATCGCGCTCCGCGCGCATTCGAATTCAGAGCAGACGAATTCGCATCACGTCAGTAAAGCTATCAGCTGTTGTGTTGGGTGTTGATGATTGGTCGTTCGCTCAGTTGGTTGGTTGTCTGTTGCTGTTGGGCTGCTGTTTGCTGCTGCTACTTCTACTACCAAGGGGAACAACGCAAGCCGTCCGCAGGAATCCACTCCGCAATTCTTCTGTAGATCCTGCAAACGCAGCGAGCTCACGGAAATACGCTCCAATTTTGGCGGAGCATCATCCAGGAATCGCTGACGGCAGCGAGACGCGAGCCTAGCTTCGACTCAGCTGCCTGCTTCTTCTGAATGGTTGCCTAGGTCTCTACTTTGCTTCTTTCCTCGATGTCGTTATCGTAGTTGTGAGCAACGTAACAGGGTTCGTTCTGGCCAGTGAGCAAGGTGCTGGGATTCGCGGCCCCGCAGATAGGCACAGCCGTCGTTGCTGCCGCTGCAGCCGCCACCGACTCCCCCGGGGCTCTTGAGACATTGACGACGAACCGCCGTCGCAGCCGCAACAGCAGCAGTAGTCCAGCGTGGAATCACTTGCAGTGTTTTGTCGGGGGCTGTAAGGAGGCGTTAGGGTGGCGTCCCGAGGCCCCGACCAATCGCCCGTAGCCAAACGGGCTAGGACAGCGTCATCCGAAACCTCTTCACGAGACGGAACTTTCCCTCAGCCCAAATCCCCGATGCTGAACCAGAACGGTGCCGCACAGGCCCCAAACGGCCATGAAGCTCAACCGGGACCGTCGTCGAACGGTAATCTCAACGGAAATGCGCTCGCACCGTTTGGGGAGCAACCTTTCGAGCTGGACATCATCAAAATCATCGGACAACATTTGCGTCATCTGGGCCTACAGTGAGTTCAAGCCAACTTCCGCTTTTATTGCCCCGTGTTTCTATGCGAGCTGAGCGTTCTATTGCGAGGCTCCTAGACGTTGACTTTCGGGATCTCAGAACTCGAAAATCCTCTACGGCACTACTCGATTTTTCGAAGTGCCGCTAGACGTGAGGCGTAATGAGCTCTGGTCAAAATCGTGTCCAAGGCTCGCGACAACGATAATCCCACTGTTCAGAGGCCAGATGAGAGGAAATCCAGGGACAAAACTGAGCGTGAGGGGTTTCGATGTATTTTCAATTCGCCCATGATGGACTCGACTCTACGATCTCTCCTGCGAGTTGTTGAGGAGACGTTTATCCGGCTGACCGACCGATAGCCAGAACTAGCTGCTGCGTAGTCACCCGACCGCCACAAGACATCGCATGGAAAGGCGCATGAGGAGTCGATTTAAATTTCACCTAGACCTCCGTTGTCCTCGATTCATGTCACTTTTCTCTCTGAGAGAAGGCGCAAAGCTCCACAGAGGGGAACAGCGTGAAGACGGCGAAACTCACGTCGGGACTTGGTGCCAGATCCACAGTGAGAATCGTATCCGAGCCCCGAAAACCCACGCGAGGAACGAATGTCTCGCCTCGTCGGGGAGTCCTCTTCGACACCAGAGTCCTGTGCCCCAAGACTGAGATATCACATTGAATATGGAGATTCGCTCCTTGTTACCAGTCGTGTTTTATTCGGACTCCTTGGCCGATTCTGATTAGAGTTCCGCGATGCATCGGGATCGATATGTCCCTGGCTGATGGAACGACACCATCCCGTCGCCTGGTCCCTCCTTATTTTGCTCATCAATCAGTGAGGAGCTTGTACTCTACAATAGCTCGTTCTGTTCTACACAGTCGGCTCCACACTGCCTTCTGAGCTCGCGCTTCCGTCATCGCTGGCAAGAGAATCCGTCTTGCGTTCGAGGTTGTCGCGGCGGAGTGCGCCGAAAGTAAACTCAAAAAGCTCTTATATGGTGCCGGAACACCCCGTATCCGTCGTCGATCTGCGTGCGATTAGGGGCGAAGGAAGCACTGATTGGGTAGTCGTCGGGTTTGAAGAGGAATTCTCATCAGTACCTTCGTCTGGATGAGAGCGTGGTTGTTCCCGATTGTAGGCCTAGTTTCGTTGGATACTTGCGGGATGCATCCAGTGGTATAACGTGGTCGTTCGATCCCCCAATTGATAATGTTCAATAATTGGCTGACGTCGAAGAGTCCGATAAAATATTCTGAAACTTTCAGTCGCGCCTACGCAACTCTATCAGAGGAATCGGGAATTTCGCTGGATCATCCCTTGGCTGCGAAGCTCCAAAACCATGTTATGCGTGGACAGATCGATGAAGCCATTGAGGATATCATTGAGCTGGAGCCCTTCTTGATAGACTCAACTGCCAATAGAAAAATGCGCTTTCTTCTACTAGAAGTGAGTATGCAATCCGAAGTCTGATATCGTCCGAGAGCATTCTCCCTGCTGCATCATTCTGATTTCCAGCGATATTCTATTGCAGAACAAATTTCTCGAGCTACTTGCCCAGAGTAGGATAATGGAAGCCCTCACTTGCCTGAGGGAGCAACTGAGCCCTCTGAAGCACAACGAGAAACGCGTGCATCAATTATCCAGGTCACTATGAAATTGGACACGTAGTGCAAGCTCTGATTCGAATCGCTGAAGTCGGCATCGTGGAGAAGACTGTAGAGATATCGCTCAAGTAACCGCTCTGATTGTTTCCAGCTGTCTGATGATGCACGGAGACAGTCCTGAGCTAGAATTATATCGTACAAATTTGACGGAGGCTCGCAACAATCTCATGGCGAAACTGCAAAAGTTTCTCCCCGCGAGCATTATGCTACCACCTCGACGTCTGAGGTCCTTACTCGCAAAGGTATTTCCCGGAGATCAGCTCGTTCTTTTCCCGCTCACTATTCGCCCGAGACCGAATCCTCAGCTGGGCACCAGGGAGCAATGGGCTCGCTCATCGTCCATGGAAAATTATTGTCACGGGGACAAAGAGTCTTTCTGACACTCTTTTGAATTTGGTCCGATCCTCAGGCTCAGGCGTATCAGGTCGACCGCTGCGACTTCCACAACTCCCCCATCACTCCCGCGGACGAACTTCTGACTAATATATCGTTGTTGAATGACCACGTTTGCGATAGGAGCAACTTCCCGTGTCATACCACACAGGTTGGATTCGATATTCCTGGATTTCATCATTTCGGGGGGAAGAATGATGTTGTGAGCATGAGACACAGCGCCAGACGAAGGTTTAACGTTCCTCCTTTTTTCCAGATTCTCAATGAGCACTGTGACGAGATCTGGGTTTGCAGGTTCAGTCATGACGGTCTGAAACTCGCTACCGGATCAAAGGTGATTTCTCCCGTCGCTTCGAGCGATTCTATAGTGCAGCTTTCCTCGTTCGCACCCTCATTGGGTGCCGACCTCATCCCTTCGCGGCCTCAACCTGACTCTACCTTCGCCGAGGTTGGCGCGGCAATATATCACGGTGATCGACTTCTCAGGATCCTGATCCCACTTTCCAGGATTCTACTGTAATTATTTGGGATGTTGATCCGGCCACCCAGCAACTGAGTCACCGAAAAACTTTCGAAGGCCACACATTAGGAGTCAGTTGTCTGGCTTGGAGCCCCGACGACACCCTTCTTCTAGTCTGTGGTTACGAGGATTCGTCGGACTTGTGGATTTGGAATGTTATCGTGAGTTGCCCCTAGCATCTAGTAAGAGCTATGTCAAGGCCGGTTCGCGGATAATTGCTCGCGGGAGCCCGAGACATGCGCTGAAAAATCTTTATCCTGCAGACTGGAGATCTCAGACACCAAATGTCCCACTCAGCTGGAGACAGCTTGACGACATGCGCATGGCAGAGTAGCGGGACGAAGTTCATCACTGGTTCGTACTGGAATCCCGCCGAGAGAAAATGTTGGCGTGGAGAATCTGTGGGCCCGTATATCAGTCCAATTTCGAAGAAAGGACAAGGAGGACGCTCTCCGATAAGCTCTGTAATTTTTTGAAGGTGGAACAAGAGGGCAATTCTACCAGTGCGATTTGGAAGGGAACGTCTTAGACACTTGGGAGGTCCGTATCGATTATCCTATGATTGAGCGAGAGCCGGGAAATACGCATACGGTATCCGAATAAAGTCCGCTGAGAGTGGTTTCCATTGCAGGGAGTCAGGTTGCATGGTGTTCAGTGCTTGAGCGACGGCGAGACGGTTCTTGCTGCCGACAACCACTATCGTATCAAAAGCTACAATTTCGAAAAAACAGAAGAAGAGAATATGTGAGCTCGCTAACGAGAAGAGATATTACAAGTCATCTTATCACTATTACTACATCCCTATGATTGCCGTCGTTCATGCCTCTGAGCCCATACCATCTCCCGCTTGCAGAGTCAGCGAGGATCACTCGATCATGTCCTTCACTGTCGATAGCACTGATCGTTACGTGCTTCTGAACCTCGCTCAACAAGGCCTTCACCTGTGGGATATAAAGGTCAGTCGTTGCCCTCCGACTGAGATCTCGGGGTTGAGCTCACAACTCGCGTATGACGCCGCGGGTCGATTCCTCACGCTCAAACCTGGTCGCTGAATCTTGATTCCTCGGTCTTGATACCGAGCTCGATTAGTAAAAAGTTCTTTTTCCCCTGTAGGATAAAACTCTGATGATGAAATACCGCGGGATCACACAAGGTTACTACACAATCCACTCATGCTTCGGTGGCGTCAACGAGAAGTTCGTGGCGTCCGGCAGTGAAGGTGAGTTTACGCGTCTACACATTCGGCTTTCCCCCGTATACGCAGCTCCTGCCCCGCGAGTTCTCGTCCTGCCCGGTAAGGTCTCCGAGTGCCCGTCTGATTCGTCCCGTCCGTTTGCAGATAACAAAGTCTACATCTTCAACCGCAAAAAAGAAACGCCCATCGCCGTTTTGGAAGGACATTCTAGAACTGTGAACTGCGTTGCGTGGAACCCACGTTTTCCGAGCATGCTCGCATCGGTTTCAGACGACGCAACCGTGCGTATATGGGGACCCCCGCCGCCGACCGATGAAACGGCTGAAGCTTGCGGTAAGTCTGAAACAGACCCCCAGAGTTCCAAGGAGCTCCACAGTGATCCTTACGACGGGGCGACTGATCTTGAGAAGGATGATGACGATAAGGACGAGGAATTTGATGATCTCGAAGACGAGTTGCGAGATATCCACGGCGACAATCCGTTACACTGGTTCGAGCACGAGCGAAGCCAGCCACCGAGCCCGAGCTCAAGCGTAGACACAGAATGATCAGGGTTCGTTCCGATGGTCGGAACCCTTCGGGGCGATTTTGAATGAGAAAGGAACTTAGATTCGTGGTCATCGGGAGTCGAAGGTCAAGAGATCCCGCATGCTGCCTCCTGGCGACGAGTGAGTGGTCGAGGGAATACATGTCGTGAGTGTATCTGTCCGAGTGTTTGATTGGTCGGCGTGCATTCAGCTCTGTGAGTCGAAAGAATCGACTTCTCAACGACTTTCTATTCCATGCAGATTTAGTGTTTCGATAGAAGGAGCGATGCGTTTCGAATTGAACACCTCCCTTCTGGATTTGTCGAGGGAACTTCTAAAATGAGATGAGAACAAGTGAAATTCCCAAAGTGCTCTTGAGAGCTACTCTCCCGGCGGCAGAAAGAAAGGTGCACTACCCCGAAAGCCTCGGAGCGAGCAGAAGCGAACGAGCGAGAGAAATAGATCCTGTGCCTGCAGACGCATGGCGGGAAGGGAAGCTGCGATAACCTCTTCTGGGTTGAGGTCACGGAATGAGCGATGCAAGAGTAATGCACTGAGATTTCAAGACCCTGAGGCGGAGCGAGGCTCGCTTGTTCACGAGGCTTAATAACTCAAGAGTCAATATGTGCGGTCAACAGATGTCGAATTTGAGTTCTTCGGTGATCCTCAAAACAACTGCAACGGCCTCACGATCGGCAATTCCGGGACGAGGTCAAGCGATCAAGAAGACGTTGACGAAGACATTTCGGACGACGACGATAACACCCGTGCCATAGTGGCGTTTGTCTGATTACTCTGTTTTCGAATAAGCACTCGAATCAATGAAATATGCTCACTGCAGATTAGATCGAGGTGAGGGACTGTTTGAGACCGAGAGCAACCTACCAACCAGCGAATCATCCAAGCTACCACCAAGCAAATTTAATGAAATGTAGCATCATTTTCGTCGATTACATCTTTTCCTCCAAGTGTTCATGGTAATGAAGTTCGTGCTTAATTTGATTATGCTTACTCGCTCTTAATTCCTCCAATGCTGTCGCCGGTCGCCTCGTGGATCGTCTGAGGGACTCGATGTGCTTACAGCGAATTCTCTCTCGAAAACTTGGGCTGCACGATATTTGAACTGGCTCGATGACATTCTTGGTATCCAAGCCGCTCGAGTACTCGGACAGATGTCCCTGCAGCGCTTCTCGTTCGCATCTACTGGCAAAAGTCCAATCAGGATCGGGAACGCTTGATAGATGATCCGTTTGACGAAATTCATCATCCTAACTTTCGGGATAATTGCATGTCGAGTCGGAAAATCACGTCGGAACGCATGAAAGACGCGTAGAATCCGCGGTTAGGCAACGTAGAATGACATGATCTGTGGTCCACTTGATCCGAGGAGCGGGATTCAGCTCCGAAACGGCGCGACTGCATTGAATTTCCGAAGCATTGAATTTCCGAAGCATCGCAATCAGGCATCATATCTACGTCTATCATTAACGAACTCATCAGCTTGGAAACTTCCGGACAGTGTCACTTGTGGAACCTCTCATCGACCTTCGAAAATATATATAATCAAATTTTTTGTGATGATCTTTTTATTTTTTTCCACGCTTCTCATCCCTAGAAAGATTTGCCGTCCGTTATCGCTCATCGATCGCTCATCGTGGATTGGAGGCGCATGTCGATTTACTGCCCACCCTGCAGATACATATTAATGGCCTCTGCTCATTCAGATGCCGAGGTGCCTTCGGAGGCTCATTCTCTATATCCCTGGTAGATAGGAGGAAAAAAAAGGGGAAGCGAGCTGTTTGGGGCTCCGAACATCAGTTCAAAAGGACACGAAAGATTCCGCGCCTCATCCAGCGAATGAGGGAGAAGAGCTCCGGAGAACCAATCGACCGCATTAGGTTTCGGCCCGACTTTTGAATTCCTGTCTCGCGGCAGATGAAGGACTTCGAGTTTTCCGCATAGAAGAAGGACTCGTTCCTGATGTGCTGCAGAAACTCGAATCGAGTCGAAGGTTTGCGCCGTTCCGGGATCGAAGGCGGAAAAAGAGAACCGGAAGGAGGTAACCTCGGCGGTGTGGGTCGGGTATCTCGGGACAAGCTTTCGCTAATCCTAGGCTCCAAGCGCCGTGTTCGCCGAGAGAGAAACAATTGTTCAATTCGTTTTCAGGTGGTGCCAATGGCTGTTTAGAGGAGACGATTCAATAATGCAAAAAACGTCCTCTAGTGCAAAAGCAACGTCATGCTTTGCATCCTCCATCAACTCTGACAGCTATGAGATCGACGGCGACAACAGCTGCAACACTATGTATAGCTCAACGATAGCTTCGACTACATCGACTAGATCCTTGATGAAAAACAAAATGAAACACTGGCGGCTGCGCTCCTGGAGTGGTGATTGATCAAAGCTGAGCCCGCATCGGAATCTCTCTCCCGAGGTCATAGGAGCTTCTGAAGGCCCGATCGACGCTTAGGAATAAAGGAAATTTTCGACAAGCAACAGATCACCGTGATGGAGGCGAATTCCGTGATACGGCCGGACCCCCTGACCAAGTCTGCTGGAACCACCGCACGAGGGAGCAGCGGCGACATCGGTTCAAACAGAAGGTTCTTTTGCAAAATGACGGAGAAGCCGACGGCGTTTCCACGAGCAATACGTGGATCCAAATGCTTCACAAATCAGCGATCTGAGTTGTGATATCGACGAGGATGGTGATGAAATCGGATACGTGAATCGTGGTGACGACAATGAGGGCACGTGCACTTGTATGACAGACACCTGTAACCCATAAGCAAGCGTAAATGATGATACTTACCTCGATCATATACCATTATTCCCTCGATATGAATTCAGATTCTGCGCGATGAATGATTTCCCTAGGTTTCTGTCGTTCGCTGAGTGGAGTTTGCCTTTCCATCACCGCCCCGATTGACTCAAGATGAAAAATCGACGCTCCGGCGAGGGTCAATTGTAGATGATAAGTTTGCCCAAAATGTATGGCTATAAATGTTTTCGAATCGACTTTAAATGATGGTTTTTTGGAAACTCGAGCAGAGAGTTCTCGATAGGGATTCCCTGTTTGGAGAGATCGATCTCGTCAAGCTCGCTCCTCTGGATATCTTGCGATACCAGACCCACAATTCTGTTCACCGGAAATCAGTCGTTCACGGGAATAACTGAAACGATTTCGCGGTGGATGCCGGCGGGACTTCATCACCCATTGAGGATACACGTACCCACCGCCTATTGGGGAGGCTTTAAGGGGTCGATGGGAGTTTCCTGTTAAATTCTGTCGAAACGAGATCTGAATCTCTTCCGCGAAAGACTTTCCATTTTTGTGTACCTCCCGACTCGGTACCAGATCGAGCTGGATGAACATCGTCCTCCCTACCCTGGTGAGAAGGGGTAAGTTTTCGCTCGAATGCATCCTTGTCGATTTTTTGAGCTTCTGCGGAGATCGAGCTGAAGATTTGAGAGTTTCTCCCATCCCTCGATGCGAGAAGTTCCACGGCGATCCAGGAGCGATATGCTGATCTAGCTTTTTGGGATTCTCAACCTGAGTCTCCAGAGCTCTGCCTTGTCCCCCGGAGTCGATCCGGTTGGAAGCGAGCTGGACAGGACTTCCACCCAGCGACAAAAATTTTCTCCAGACGGGGATCCTCACCTGATCCCGCCCCCAAGGGGAACTATGAGTCGGAAGCCCCTCGCCCCCCTTACCCAGAACAGAGGTTTATAACTCAAGGACTCACAGGGCAAATGTGTGATTCCTCTCGAGGCTTCGTTCGAGAGAATGAACCTTCTCCAGCCATTCACTCGACATTCGGTAGATGTCGAGAAACCTTCCTCACCGAGGAACTGAGTTCCACGGCTATCATTACCGAATCCGGTTCTATCAGCTTTCGGAACGGATCATTCTCATCGGGGATCCGGGCACAAAAACTGAGCGGAACCCTGTCAGAACCCCCGACTAAGATCCTCGCGGGGAGCCCATCGGAGAGCCCTGAAGGATGTTCAGCCGAGGTTAGGACGGGGCGGAGTCTTCTCATGGGAAGCTGTACCGGAGCAAGTACTGAATGATGAATGATGATAAAGGCGGCGACATATGACTTCCCAGTTGATAATGCGCCATCGGGGAAAAATCCTCATACAAGCTCCGTCATGCGTGGAGTACGATGAGTTTCCTCGATGTGACTGATCTCCATTACCGAGTTCGACCCATGACGGGTTCCACCATCACCATGGGCCGGAGAGGATCATATCATCACCATCAGCTGAGCTCTCAGCCAAGAGGGTGACTTCTTGAATTACAGCCAGATCAGCTCGAGTAACTGGGGCGTTATATTGCTGCATATTGGAAATCATACGAGCCCATCCGCTAGAATTACCGGCGCGGCGATACAGTCGGCTTACGAGCACTGCTAGCTTTCTGAGACTTGATTCGACAGTGACAGAGATCATCCAGTCGGCGCCGTTCCTTTGTATCAACCCCATCTAGCGAGAGTTTGAATCGCCAGGGGGGAGGAGACATTTTGCTCCACTGGTCTGGAGGACAAGAGTAAGACGTCTCATGGGGATGATCGTGAGCCACATCAGGACTCGACTCTGTCGATTGTCTCGGAAGCTGGAAAGGATGGACGATGCCTCCATCACCTGACACTGCGCCTGATATGCCGCCAGAGGAATAATTCAAGGAAATTCTCCGACCTCGAATTTTCCAGAGTGCCAACCATCGGATCGGAGCTCGCCATCGCGTTCTGCGTGACGATCGATCTTGGCCACTGGAAAGAGACTGGGTACAAGTATCGTATTTGTCATACCGCTCCTGAATATACGAGACGATTCCTCAGGAGAAATTTCCTCATTCGAGCTATTCCGAGAGGGCTTCTGCTTTGCTCATTGCGTCATGCGAATCGAGGCTTCCGGGAAAGAGCGCCGGATTGCGAGTCCGATTCTTTCCCTGAAAGGATGGAACCGCACTCGGGATTGACACTCGAATCTCTATGCAGAGAAATTTCGTGAGCGAATTCCTGATCTCCTCCTCTTTCCATCGATCTCTTTTGGGCATAAGGAGTGGCGTCAGATAGGATGTTTCGGGGATCTGAAGGATGAAATACCGCCATTCCGTGAGATCGACTCCTTGGTACGCAAAGTCAAATGGAGACTTCGAGTTTCAGGAAACATATCAAAAACACATCGATGTCTTGACTCAGGCGTGTGGCACGCGAAGGCGCCATCCGATACGATTTGGTTTTGTCGTGGAAATCGGTAGTATCCCGTAGTTTTGAGCAAGATCCTATCGATGAATCGCAATATCGCGACGAAGTTCCACTCCACAGCGAATTCCTCAAAGCTTGCTACCTATTAACATCGATCCCTTGGCGACACGAATAGCGCGTCGCACTCGACGTCATACGAATCTTCGGATTTCTCCGGAGTCACATGGAGTTCGTGTCCTCGGATTGCGGTAGCGTTGCCGACAGCATCGCATTCCCGGCGAGATTGGCTTCAGCATCTCCCTCGATAAATATCTGTTTCCGAAGGTCGACCGGAGGCTCTGAAAATCCGGCCGTCGGATTCTGAAATAAGCATGGGCTTCCGCTTCTATCCATGATTCGAGAAAACTCATACGACCAGCTCCGAGATGACCTCTGGATAAGAAGAATTCCCAGACGAGTATCGAGAAGCGCCCTTGTTCAAGAGTGGCTCGATTGACCTTCCAGCAGTCCTGCAGAGGAATCGGTATGTCGTCGGATTCCATTTCGTATGTATCGAAAAGAGTCGGCTTCCCCATCATTCGATAGACTACTCGGTGGGTCTGCAAAGCATCGGGGAAAATATGCCCACCACTGGGAGAGGGCAAGTTTAACGAAGCATCCGCCAGATGGCGACCAACGTACAACAGCTATTCGGTGTTTATGTAAGGGTATACATATACGAGAGCAGGCTGGCGAGCTAGCTGGCTGGCTGGCTCTTCTCCATAGCAGCACAGTAAGAGCCCAGCGGGTTCGCACTCAGCTGATCGCGCCCGAACTCAGGGCTGCGTTCGGACTGGCTGTGGCGGCTCACTTGAACGATGACGCCGCGCAGACTCTCATGAAAAGTGCTGTGTTCTCCTCTTGGCATGCGAACGACGTGTTCCGAGCTTGCACTTCACTTCGGACGAGTCCCGACTGCCGGTGGCGGAGCCAGAGAACATCTCAGTTCATTGAATCACGGTGCTCTTCTCCCCCTCCCCCTGCGGGTCAGGCCAACGAGGTAGATGTGCACGACGAGTCTGAGACAGTCGTCCGACAGGGCTCCGGAACGCCTCCTACGCGACTGACACCTCTCTAGCGGACCCGGAAAAAGTTTGCAACCAACTTCTACAGCTGTCAACAACAGCTTCGAAAGTCGAGCCCCGACGCCGAGTCACGCCCCGGACTCACGCCGACCGAACCAGTGTTTTGCTGGCAGCGTTTCGTTCAGCGAACTTTATAATCCGCAGAAACTGTGAACTGTACCTCTATGCCGACGAGGCACAAGCAGGATCGAGTCGTTTAGGGATCAGACCCTTCTCAGCCACTTGTTATAAATCAATTGCATGACCCGACCTCGAACGATCGTGGAGGGAGCATCGAATCGCCTGTGATCTTCACAAACTCTCGCCATCACCACTTCGATAATAGCACAAGCCATTCAGCGGACCTAGCCTCTCTCTCTCCAGAGCGACCCGTGAGGGACAGTCGTCAATTAAGATTACTGCGGTTCCCGGCGCGGCATAATTGTCGCCTGCGAAGACGACATACACATACATTTTTTTCTAGGGGATGCACTCTTTGCTCTGGCCGTGAACCACGCAGCCGACCACGGGTCTAATCTTGGCGAGAGATTATATCAATCAAGACGGTTGTTGAAGCCGGCCAGACTAATAGCTCTCCCCTGTCTACGACTGCTGCAACTTATCTACCTGCGAAGAATGACTCGTAGCGGCGGTGCTTCCCAGCAGCTGAAAATCATCGGCAGGGACACGAGTTGAGTTCGCCGTTCTACATACATTGAATCATACCGGAAGAATTCGAACGTTCGTGTCTCTTCCGGCGGCAAAGGTCTCTGAGGAGTTCATGGGCAAAGAACACGGTGCTTTCTCTCGTCGTTATCGTTGTTGTTGTTTCCGTTCTTACTGCTGGGAGTGGGAATTCACCGGACTCGACACGTCTGACCAGTGCGTGCTGTGGCATTGGTTAGATGAAACCGTGCACCATCTCGATCGTGACTCAAGCGAATGCCGAGGACATTCTACGGAATTCGATCTGATTCTGCGGAGGGGAATTCCGCACGTCGGAGAAGCTTCTTACAAATGTTAATGATCGCAGATCCTCAAGTTTCCCGTGGCGACTTTCATCCGCTCGACGTCATGCCAGTCCGAAAGGGCATTTCTGGCTCGAGGTTTTAAATTGTGATTTCCGGAGATGTGCGAGAGTCCGTCGAAGCCATTGAGTCAGCCGCGGGGCAACGACTCGTCTACGCCGATGCCGTCGACCCCCGCCCAACAACATGCCGATCTCGGTCTCCAGATGGGTTCGGGCTTCGTTAATGAGTCCTCCGTCAGTAGAAAAGTGTCGACGACGGACGTGAAGCTCGTGACTTCGCCCCCGGATGGAGGCTGGGGCTGGGTTGTTGTTTTCTGTTCGTTCATGGTCCACGTTCTCGCCGATGGAGTGACCTACACGTTCGGAATATTTTACATCAAATTCGTCGAGTACTTCGAGGAATCGAAGGGCAAAACCGCCTGGGTGGCATCGATTCTGGTGTCGACGACTTTCCTCTGCGGCCCAATAGCTTCGGCTCTTACTAATCTTTACGGGTGTCGTGTGGTGACCATAGCTGGATCTCTTCTGGCGGCGTCCGGGATGTTCATCTCTATCTGGGCGCCGAACGTGACCTTCTTGTTCTTCTCGATCGGAATTCTGACCGGCATGGGCTTGGGTTTGATGTATCTGCCCGCCATTGTCTCGGTCTCGATGTATTTCGATCGGAAACGGGCGTTCGCGACAGGCATCGCCGTCTGCGGCTCGGGATTCGGAACCTTCGTTCTCGCACCCGTGATTGAAGCACTTGTGGATTTCTACGGATGGCAAGGTGCCCTGATGATCACGTCGGGGATGCTCCTGAACTGTGTCGTATTCGGAGCTCTCATGAGACCCCCAGAGTATATTGCGGTTGTGGAAGTCGACACTACGGTCGATCTGGAATTCGGAGACGTCGATAACAACACAGCGCGATTCCCCAACGAGAACATCAGCAAGGAGAGAGAGGCCGAACTGGTCGTCAGTGAGAATCTACTCCGTCCGTCGAACACGATAATATCGCTGCAGAATCATCACAAGCTCGACTCCAAAGAGAAACTCCATCACCGGTGAGTAAAGAACGTCATTTTTTCGCTGAAAGCATTACGATCACCTCTCTGCCGCATCGAGGCGACCCAGGGAGTGAACTTCTTCTTTATAGAAGCGGAAAAATTCTTTGCGAAAGCTCGACTACCACAGTGCAACAGATTCCGTTGGAAAAATCGGCTTCCTCTTCTCTTGGAGAAGAAGCTGAGATTCGAGTCCCCTGCCGAGGCTCTCCGGAAGGCTTATCTAGTTTTATAATTCAGCATTGCCTCCGTTTCGGAAGCAGATCGGAATCCGACGGGAGCCGTCTCGGCTTACGAGTCACAATATCAGCAATCGGATAGGGCCAAGCTGAATTTTGAATAAGCTCGGAGCTAGACACGCAGCTTTCTGTTGGACACGCAGCTCGACCCATTTCGAAAACGCAAACCGGCAAGCTATAATCATGTCGTCTCACCGGCGTACCTCTGAAGCCAGCCCTGAAATTCGAGAGCCACTCTTTGAGCAGTACCTACGGTGGCGAACGTGGGTGTTTGAATTATGACCTTGACACAGACGAACGCGAGGAAAATGAGAGCAGATAGATGCCGACGGCGGTCTTCTTCTCCCGTGCATATGCTTACGCCTCCAGACATAGACAGTTTCTGATAATAGATGTTAACCTCGTACAGCTAGAGCTGATCGATGGTAACAAGCGCCTCGCGGAGGAATATTCTTCCGCCGGGAAGAGCAATATTTGCTTCGTTCGTGGATTTGCCTCCTTCGGGGATTATTCCAATTCTTTCGTCCGAAGCCAGTCCCTGGAGCCGAAACTCCATCTTACTCGATTGAAGTGATCGGTCCTCTCAATTTGCCTAGCCTGAGCCACGGTCAGGGCTCGTGGCTTGCCTTTCTCCTCCGGCGTAGAATGCGTCCCGTTTCCAGTCGATGAGCGTGTTCGAGTGTGCAGCGGAATTCAGTTCATATGTCCTAAATTAATTAGGAATTAGGGTATATAGAGCCACCGCCCGGGGGTTGTCGGTCGTCTGCGGCGCATACTCATCCATCGAGGTCCTCGCTCATCATCAAGGTCCCCAGTTGAAGTTTCGACGGGAGTTGAATATCAATACACATAAAAAGAATTCCATAATTCGGAAAGAGTTGTGAGTTGTAATTTAAATGAATAGCCGTGCGGCTCGAGGCTTCAGGTCGCCGATTCGGTCAATCGGAGGACTTCGCCCAATGTCGCCCATAATCCGGGGCCGATCTGGAGGTCTCGCTCAATCGTCATGAGGGGGAGCATATCTGGAGCCGCACGAGTTCCATGACTGGCGCTCTGGAAATCTAGATCCGCTGATCCCCAAATCTATTCCCAAAGTCCCGCGTTTTAGGGAAAAATGAGGGAATTGTACATTGGTGTGTACATTGGAGTTCTTCCTCAACATGGAGCCCATGGGGAACGAAGAGGATCCTATGATGCTGGACTTCAAGGAGGGCATTCCTCCTTCCCCAGCGGAGTGAGCTGCGGGGACGAATGATTGCGCATCGAAATGATCCCGCGCGCCGGATCTGATGTACGACCCGCGAATGCCTTCTCATTGCATTTCTGGTAGGCCGTGAGAAAGGCCAATTTTGTAGATTAAAGTCGAAACGCCTCCGGCTTTCTCGGTATCCTCCAACTCGATAAGTGGTCGACGCCCGGTCGGAATTTCGCGGACGACGAACCTCCGTCAAGTCCCGTCGCGGATTGACGAGGGACGACTCTCGACCTGCTGGGTTCCCGGGTGGAGTTTTCGGCTTAATAGATGAAGACGTCTTCGAGTGATCGATGCTCCCAGCATCACAAGTCAAATAGATGCTTGACCGAAAAAAAAGCTCCGAGTAACGGGATGTGTTCTCTAGTGCGGAAGGATCATCTAGTATATCTGTCCTTCTAGGTCCGTCTGTCACTTGTCGGTGAACTCAGAACCAGAACTGGTTCTTATCCGCACTCCTTCAATCGACCGCAACCTCTATCTTGAGCGCGAAGCTTTGAACTCCAAGCAGAGCTATGCGTCGTTACGTAAACGCCTCAGCTACACCAGTCAGGTGCGTATAGAACTGCATACCCGGGTCTCATGCATGAGAAAAAGAGGGCACGAGAGAGCGAAAAGAGTTGACATTCTAGCCTGGCATCGAGTTGCAGGCTGGTAGATGTGTCGATTCGAGGTCGCTTATCAGAGCGTCATTTTTTCCGAGCTTTGTGCCCTGCCGAGCTTCACTGGCCGCTGTATTGCAGCCGGATGCGTCTATTCCATCACAATATTCTGTCTGAATATAAGTACAGTGAGCATACTTTATTGGCGGCAAATCAGAGGGAAATTCTCTTGCCTGTTGCCAAACCCCCCCCTCCCCTCGGTTCCGGCATCCCGATGGTTACTAACGCCTCCGGGTTCCCGTGACATTTCTTTCTCCATTGTCCAGTAAATCGATGAATTCCCGTGCTCCGTAGTTCGAGGAATATGGGAAGGGATCTCAGGATGTTCCGTGTCCCATTTCTGCGATATATCCTCTTCCTGTAAAAGACGGCAGAAGCATCGATCGACCGCCGGATGGAGCAGAGTTACTTAAAAACGAATTTCTCTTCCCTCTACCAACCGAACCCAGCCTTCGATATCAGTACATTCGGTACAGCAGCGAGAAGACACACGGGGTGCTCGAGAGAAGTTTTCGGCCTTCATGAAAACAATCACCGATTCGATAGACATCGCTCTACTTTTGAAATCCCCGATATTCATCCTCTTCGCGCTCTCAAATTTCTTCACCTCCATTGGTAAGTGGTTTTCCCTTTTCGTTCGACAGTGGGAGGAGTCCGATTGCGTGGGAAAATTGTGAGGGAGGAAATTCTCTTCGGGCCCTTTCCCTCCGTTATGAGGCTTTGAGTAAGCATGCCAGCGGAAGCTGGATTTCACAGGAGCTCTCCCCGGTGCATGGGGGATCGACAACAGCGTGGGACATTAGGCAAAAAAACAACCGCCCTATTTGCATAAGTGTCTTATACAGAGTTTGCACTCACGGCGATGTAGCCTCCCTCGATCTAATGTCCAAGTCCCACCGCTGGAAAGCCTTGGACCGCTCTCTTATCCGTTTACATCACCGAGCGCTGAATAGAAAGAGGGTCGATCGGACATGTCCTAGTACCTGGGCTCCACAGAGACTTGCAGGTCTGCAGACGGATGAGACGGGTGAGAAAAGGACTGGCCGGGACTCTGATTCTCGCCAACGACTTCTTAGAATTCAATTTTCTCGGACGTTCGAGCTATTTTCCATGAGGCCCTCTTGCTCCCTCGATGAGAGGGTTTCTCTTTCGCTGGACTTTCCCCTCACGGACTAGAAGTCTCGGCGACTCTGGGCCGACGACACCCACGAATACACCTACGCGGGTATTGGAATGAGATAGGTTGCTCTAGCTGAAGTGGACTCCCCTTGCTACAGGATTCAACGTGCCGTATGTGTACATAGCTGACATCGCCAGACGTCAGCTGAACGTGGATGATTCGAAAGCCTCTCTTCTGCTCAGCTTGATAGGCCTCAGCAACACGGCATCTCGTGTCCTGCTCGGGTGAGTCAAGCGTCGGGACAGAAGAGGGATCCCGAGTGAGAGGACGCGAGCTTCGCTTCCATCAAGGGCGAAAAGCCGCCGATGGAGGAGGAACCGGGAGAAAGTCGAACCACATACGCGCCCCGTCATTGCGAGCCAAGCTGATCCGGCCGGCGCACGTAATGACATCATCATTGATTGCAGATACCTCTCGGACAAACGATGTGTCAACCGCATCCTTCTCTACAACGTCTGTATCGCGACGTGTGGCGTCGCGACAGCACTATCCATTTTCTGCACCGATTACGTGCAGTTGTCGGTGTACTGCATTATTTTCGGCGCGACTTCGGGCGCCTTCATCTCGCTGACGTCGGTGATTCTCGTTGATCTCATGGGCCTCGAGAAGCTGAATAACGCGTTCGGTCTCGTACTCTTGTTCGAGGGCATCGCGTGCCTTATCGGGCCACCCTTAACGGGCTGGATTTTCGATTGGACCGGCTCCTATAATTGGGGATTTATCTTCTCTGGCGTCGTGATTGCGACCGGAGGCATCACGCTCTGTCTGATCCCGTGTGTCAGGAAATACGATTCCACAGCTACGAAAGCGTATAGGAGGAAAACTACGAACCACAACAAAAAACCGAGGTCGCTAGAGCCGCCATCCCTGGTCGGCAGTATGTCCTGAATTCTCAACAGACGCACATTTCGCCCGCGACCCAAATAATTTTGTATTGTTAGGGCCAGGGACGCGAATTCGGGGGAAGGGGGAAGATCTAGGCTCCGATCCATTCTGGTTTTTCGGACTCTCGATGTGAGATAGTCTCCCGAGTACGATCCTGGCTTTTCGTGTCTGTGACAATTACGTGAGTACACAAACTAAACGTGACGCGGTAGCCGACGCCGCAAGGAGTCGCTATTATACGATATTTAATCTGTCGCTTCGAGAGAGATATAGACTGGATTTATGATGAACTAAAAATTATTGCGATGAATACGTGAGCTGCTTCTTAGAGCGCCAAAGACTGGACCGGGAGTTTTCCAGTCGAACTCATCCTCCTGATTCGATAGAGCTAGATATAAGTCAGCCAAGTGAGAAACTCTTGAATGGAGAGAAGATAAAGGTCTCGAGGAGAGTAAGTTGAGACAAAAACCGTGATCTACCCTCAAGTAGGTACATTGATTGCTGGTCGATCGAAGCGGAGACAGATCAATTCAGCCGAGAGAGGGCAGATTCGATGTGCTTTTCGTTCATAAGAGTGATCATCCATGGGCTTTCAGCCACCCACGGCGCATCGTTTATTGAACTCCATCCGATTCTTCAACAGTTTATATGTGCTTAACGTCCCATCGAAGGCTATCCGCATAAGCATTCGAGGAGAGGAAGTAAATTTCATGACAGCGCGACGGCGCAGCGCATCGTGAATGGGATGGGATATTTCGTTCCTCTAGGAGTCCGACGGATGTCTAATTTCGGAAATGTTCCTAGAAGGATGGCTCCCGACCATCGACACGTAATATACTGCAGCGAGACCGTTTCCGTCTGGCACCATCGCCGCAGTCTAGGAGAAATGCAGAATGAATTCAAAAACTCCTCAACTCTCCTGTGCCTGGGCCCAGCCTGAATCGAATCCCTCAATGGGAAAAAGAAGGGACTTGCTCGAGTTCTGTCAGTGAGGAAGCTCTCTCGCTGCACGAGCGGATGCGAGCGAGGAGATTGTTGGAGGAACCGCCGTATTTCGTCAGAGAAGGCGTTCGTCTCTCGAATGGAATACGTACATATGTTTGCTCGGAAATGGTTTCCTTCGTATTCTTGCAGACTCTCCCATTCGTACCGCGGACTAGTTTTTGAAAAATAGGCAGGGATTCCGACGAGATCTTATCAGGGATGTCATGCAGTCCTCATGGGAGAATTATTTTAGAAGTTCGAAGCCTCAGATTAGAGGAGCTTTGAATCGCTGTAGACCGTATGATCAAAAGTTTCTGTAATTCCGCCTCTGATTCCTTCACGAAGCGTGAAATACACCTTTGGAAAAATCTTCGTCCTGAAGCAAGCGCCTGCGGCGACTCGGAAACAGCGTAAAGGACGGCAAACAATCAAACGGAGAGGGTGAAAGACGCGGACAGGTGAGACTTGACAGTGAAGCTTTCTCGAAACCCCATCCCAACTTCGGGATGGAATTTCCCAACTTAGGTGCAGAGAACCAAGCTTGTACAAAAGATGGAAAGGTCACATATACTTGATTGAAATAATATATTTTAGGCTAGATAAGTATGAGATGACTAATAGTTGCTGTTATCAATAAATTCCCCGGTATATCCTAAGCTGCTGCAATTCCCTTAATTATCCCTCTCAAGCCAAGAGCGGATCGGAAGAGAAGAAGCAATTCGGGGAGCACAGGGAGTAGCTCCTGGTAAATGTTGAACGCAAGGTCAGACCGGGCCGCTGTCCAGGGAATTCTCGGAGGAGCAGACTATTCCGTCCGACCTCTGTCTGCTCGGTCGAGAACTGAGCGTCATTAATCACAGCCCTCAGGTCATCCCAGCAGCTCTCACGTCTTCCTGAAGCTGTCGACCGCGTCTCCCGTTCATGATGACTCTTCCCGTGGCTGACCGCATAGCCATACCCCAACGCCCGGCGGATACCAGAAGAGGGATTGCTTCCTCGGTGAGATACCCGAGAGCGTATATAGGCGATAGGATCGGGCCGAGCTTTGCATTTTTTTCGGGAAACCGGCATCGAAGCTTCTCGGCGGAATCTCTCACAGAATCCTGTCCCTGTCGGATACGCAACTCCGGCTTTGAAGGGAATTGCTTCGGCAATGCACGATTCTATCATATCTTCGTTCGAGGCGAGCCTGATTCTCTCGACGTCGAAAACACGGATGTCCTTCGAGAATGTTTTCTTAGAGATCGACGGTGTCAGATGTGGCTTTCCGTTGCCAGGCAGGTAAGGTTTGTTGGTGAGTTGAGCTCAAGGATGCGAGAGGTAATCTCCACGTGTGAAACCTTCCGATTTCTAATCATCTCGAACCGCACGGAGTTTTATACTCTGGAGTCGAGACTCCAGACTCCTTTGGCCGAGATTCGGGTCTTGGCTCTTTGGACCCGACTTGTCCCGGGGAAAGTTATTCAGTGTTCCTCGAGCGACAGCCCTGAGAGAGAAGGCCAGCGCCGCGTTGAATGAACCTGACTCGCTTATCGCTGATTCTTTCAGACACCGGGACGGCAGAAGAGTGATTGAGTTCGCGTCGTCAACGCCCATGCCTGTGAATTCATAACTCGATGCAGGGCTCATAGAGATAGATGAACCGGATACACCAATAGGTTGTATGAAATCGTCTTCCTGCAGTAGGATGAGAATAAACGAAATGACCGACGCAGACGGTTCAAGGTCCATCCGACCAGTTCGAAGATTTAATAGATTCTCGCGTAGTCGAGTTCGAAAGGGAAGACAGCCTTGCTTATCTATCTAAGCATCGCTGACGACGCACCAATACTAGAGTCGGTCAGCAGCCGTGAACTCATCGATTCATCAAAGATGACCCCGGTTCCGAGAGTCTCCCTTATCGGGGCTGACAGCTCCTGTCAGCGGCGCGGCCTCCGGAGCCGATCCCTCCATTGTGAAATTTCCTATAAGGCTCTCTGCCGTTTTTCTATTGCACGTCTCCTATCGGAATCTATCGAAGCTCTCTCAGTATGAATCTGCTACGATGCTGTGTCTTCGATGTTTCAGAGTCAGAAGTCCTCTGATCGACACAGTATCAAACTTTTCGGGAGAAGTGAATTTCGAGGACTTCCGGGTGGACGAGAAGCTCAAAGTTCTGAAATCAGGATCAAGTGCATTCCAGCCAGTCTCCTCCATGATCCGCAAAATCTTTTGGGTTCGCATCGGAATTCAGGTTCAAGGAAAATCTCGAGACTTGGCCGCATTCGGGCTATCGACTGCCCCACCGGCAGAGACTTTGATAGGCGTCTCGACCAACGCAGAGATACCATGGATGTGTGTAGATGGGGATTGCATAGATCCCGTAGCCCGCATCCTCATGCTGTTGTCCGGGGCGTGTTTCGCTGCCAGGGAGCGCCCTCGGTCGGAACGCGGGTCTTCGCTCTAGATATGTATGGGAGGCATGCTCAGTCCGAGAGCCAGGGGAAACTTCGAAAGGAATCGAACCGTGGCGAGACCTATCGTCCCACGTCTGCCTTATCGCGGGACTGCATCGAGGCAGGCTCAAATCCCTGATCGTCAACTGGATTCACAGAGATGCTGGACAACATGAGCTGGAGAGCTGGTCGACGATCTCGTTCCCTCGAAACTTCCGGAACCGGCAACGCCTGGCACACGGTCGCTCCATGGAGACCTCCACCTCTTGTGCGATAGTTGGAACAGAAAGTAGGTGAACGGAAGCTCTGGGCGCTCGCTCAGCGGCAGGAGTGCCCATTCCAGAATCTACACAGATACGGGGACGCCCGAGGCCTTGACCAAAATGCGCCGAGTACGATTGCCCTCGAATGAGACTTGTGGATATCTGTACAGTCGACTGAAGAAGAAAGAAATGTTGAGGGACCGTACTTGCAATGAGCCCTGTCTGGAAGCCTCATCCCTCGGAGTTCTTCTCGATGGCTCCGCGGCTGTGCGTCAGAGTAGCCCGTGTTTGTATGGAAGATAGAGATGGACTCGGGAAGCTGCACGGCAAAGCGGTCTTCTCGGGCGTCAACCCGGGAGGCTTTACTGCGCCAGAAGTGGGTTCGCGAGTGCCCGAGTTCTATTCCCGATTCTCACTTAGGACTTGATTGAACATAATAATTTCTCTCAAATCGCCAGTGGCCCATTGGATGAAGTCCTCGTTCCGCGATAGAAGCTTTTCGCGCGACGACGGATCTCCTTGAGAAAGGGCGAAGCTTCTATGCCGAGATTCTCGAGTAAATAAAGAACCGGCATGAGACTGAGTGGGGAGAGAAGCACTTCGTGTGCTTCGCGAATGCTGTTCGAAAAACCGTCTCGGACTCCTGCCATACAGCCTTCTTGGATTCTAACTCGGAACAAGCCGATCCGAGGGCGTTGGAGTCCCGGCGCCGGAGGCCCTACGACGCTCGACCGCGAGAGATCAGAAAAGGAACATAATTCCGTTTTCGAGGCTCGAAACCAGTGAAGAATGGTCATCATGAATTTTCTGAAGAACTTGAAGAAAGAGTAGGTGAATTTCCGCATGGCAGGGTCTGCCGAGTCTTGAAGGGTTCTCGTAGCTCAAGCAGCTTCAAGTGAAGGAAGTGACGTTATGTCAAGAATTTAGTCCGGCTTCCCTGCTTGACAAGCCGGCTGGAGCCTGACTGTCATCCATCAGACTTCCAGCATGGGACTCTCCGTGCGAAATCTACTCTCGCTCCTAAAGATCACGAGCAATGCTTGTTCTCCTAGAAATCGCTGTCGATGATTCACACGAGTTTGTGGCAATCCCACCTGTCCTCTGAGAAATATGTCCTATTGATAAATCGAATGATCTTCCCTCGCAGGCAGAACAAGGAATCGGTGCGATGCCAAAAATGTCTCGGTATGGGACATTGGACGTATGAGTGCACCAACCCCCGCAAGTATCTCAAGAGGGAGTCCCGCACAGAACGCCTCCTAAAAGCAGAGAATCTGGTCAAGCTCGAGAAAGTCGCGCAGCTCCAGCATAAGTAAGCTTCGAGGCCGCGATCGGTGGATACTATTCGTGAACCCGTGAACGGTCTTCAAGGGAATGTGGGCTGCTCTCATATGTATATTTTTCCGACTTTTAGATCAGTCCAGACCCAGCAGACGCGGAGGAAACGGCAAAAGAAGAGACGCGAAACGCCCTCATCGAGTAGCTCGTCAGAGTCCTCGAGCTCGTCAGATTCTTCAGACTCCGAATCGTCCTCATTGTCGTCAAGCTCGGACTCAAGCTCAGATTCGGACTCAAGCTCAGATTCGGACTCCAGCTCATCAAGCGGACCAGGGTCCAGCTCCTCCGATAGCTTTTCTGATTCCGGATCCTCGGATAGCTCGTCTGAGTCTTCTCGATCGGCGAGTCCGCGGAAGAAGGCCAGACGAATGAAATGAGCTCCGACAATGTATAGGTGCCGCACATAATGGAGGCTGCTCAAAAATCTGTTGTGCACATTTAAGTTTTCAGCCGACCGTCTCTGGTAATCCATCTCAACTGTATCAAAAACGATCCTTGAAGACATTCGGTGGGTGCTTTCTGAAGCTCTCTGCTTGTGTTAAATGCAAAAATGTATAGGCAGCTTCAGCCCGGAAACTTCGTCCCATCTCAATAAAGTGAAAAGAAAGTTTCGGGAGGCCCATCTGACGACGGGATCTCCGGGGAGACATTTTCGGCGAGGCTGTTTGTGACGAGCTGCTTGTTTCATGAATTTCATATCTTCCACCGAAATCCCCGTGGGATGATATTTCATAGAATCTGTCGAGCATCGGGGTGGACAGCGCTGGGATCTCTGTGAGCCTCACTTATCAAGCTTACAATGCCGGGCAACGCTAATAATCGATCCGGACATAATCTTGTCCGAGTTGACGACGCATCGTCGTCTAAGGGAAGACTGCATTCGACAGGTATTCCTCATACGTAAATGGTAGTAAGGGAGTGTCGGTATTGAAACTCGGGGGCATTGCTTTCGCTTTATTCGAAGCTCACTCGCATCAAGAGCGAGTGACTGTGCTCCTCCACTCCTCCGCGATATTGGATTCTGAAAGGAAGGAGACATCGATCTAAACATAGCGCTTATACTTTCACATGAGTCTGATCAATATAATAAGAAGAGCGCTGCCATACGCTCCAAGCACATTTATTAAACAATCAAGAATGTTCCAAGAGTTCGTCACATCTTTAACAACAGGTTCGAACCGCCGCAGATCGCGTCGACCTGAGCCCCGAAGTCTTCCTTTTTTTGGCGGGGACGGCAAACTGCATACGCGTCCAACTGCCTATCAGAAGCGTAAGCGATATTTTCGGTTTGGGAGTCCTTATCGAGGGAAATTCCGACGCTGACTACTTCCTAGCTCCCTTGTCGGAGTTCCACCGAGGAAACACTCTCACCGCCACGAGTCTCGAGTGAACATATAAATATTTTCTGCATGTCAGACCAGGGTTTACTCGATTCAGGATGGTTCACAAACAAGGCTCGATTGCGCCAAGTTTTCTTGCAAGCGGTGTCCACGTAGGATCATACTCGCGAGTTCGGAACTCGATTTGGAATTTACTCCCCCGTAATTGCGGGGGCTCGCGCGAGAACCAAGTCCGGAGTCTCAGTATATTGCAATCGTTAGGCTGTTGGAACTGATTAATTATCAAGGACTTATAAAAGGAAAAATCTCCCTTCCCCATCGGTAAGCCACAACAGTTCGACGATCGTATGTATGCACTTTGAAAGTTCGAACTCGCTCTATGAACGATTCTCCAGCCTGTCAGCTCCTCCATCCGGAAATGAAGCCTTCCTCGCTTGAGTCGAGAATCGACGTGGTGGCCTCCGGCGAAAATTTGGATTCGTCTCCGAAATTCAAGAATATAAATATGGGTTCCCTTCTCGAAATCGTTTTTTAAGAGTTGATCTTGGCTCTGCGATGCGGGACCATAGCATCGGATTCTCTGGTGACGATCCCGTCCGATCGAGCCATTTGTTCGGGTGTCCTACGCTTTCCCGACTCGACTCCGATGGTGGTCGGACTCTTGCGGACGTGGAAAGCTCCGGATGAGGGGATTAGCGGTCTACTTGTGCGCGACTCTCATTTCAATCCAAATAGATCGGGGGACATCGCGACCATTCCTGTTTCTCTTTGGAATTCCAGTACTCGCCCTGGAAAGCGGAACGATGTAAGCCTTGGGCTCCTGCTCAGCGAGGTAAATCACAGGACTTCAAACTTCGCGAAGCATTAGAGCGACTTCCAGTGATGGACGTCGACCGGAGACAACATCCCACCTTGTACATATAGATCGGATTGCCGGTTATCGGGTCTTTGTCTTTCTTGAACCAGATCGGCTCGTACGGCGTGTACGGTCTTCCCATCCGCGCAGCGGCTTCGGTTTCCGCCTCCCTCTGTCGGCGTACCTGGAGTTCAAAAAAAACCGCGTGAGCCCCATCTCGGAGAGAACGTTGCGGATCGGAGGAAATGCGAATTTGCTGCTCCCCCTCAAAGGTATCCCTGGGGGACGATATTTACCAGACGCTGTTTCTCCTCGAGCTGGACCTGTAAGGAACACACAGAGCAAGGCTTTAATATCCGTGGTGAGCGAGACTCAGTCAGCTTGGAGTTGCATTAAAACAGTCGAGCGAGCTCACCTTGATATTGTTGGCTTCGTCCAGGTTACCCTCTTCCATGAGCCGTTGATCCGGTCGCAATCTTGAATCCGTCGGGGCAATACCTTCCTCTGGCTCGTTCAACTGGCACGCTAGTACGGTGAAGTTATACATTTTCTCATACTCCGGTCTGTGGATCAATGAGACAGTTTGGAACCCGATATCTTTGCCCGAATTCCCAAGGGGGACTCAAAGGAAAATCTCAAGTGATTGTGGGGGTATGACTCTCGGTGTGAAAAAGTGTCGGCCTCTCGGCTATCACTCACGCGGGGGCAACTCGCTTCCATATGGTCTTCGGGGTAGCCGTTTCGAACACGGGTTTCGATCCCTGGGGAGAAAGATTCAATCAGATACATCGATTGAGTGATTGCCGTGCTCTCTGAGCGTTTCGTATCGCTTATGTTGATTTGCATTGCCCCTCATCGACGTTGTCTCTTGCGAGGGGTCGCGAACTCAGATTCAGCGGCCGGCTTTCTTAACCGGGCACCCGAGACAGTATCCGTTCCTCACGGGGGAGCGCCAGAACGAACTCCCTCGCGAAAACTCAATCTCTCGCGCGTCTGAGTGAGATTAGATACAGTGGCGGAGAATAACTGTCCGGCCTTCGGGAACTCTGAATATTATCAATAAATTATCAATCCAAGTAAATCGGAATCGATCCGAGGAAATCGGTCGCTCGCGGAGTATCACGGAGCGGACGGGAGCGTAGATGAGTTTCCCGAACCCATCGCGAAAGTGCGGAGATATGTTTCGCCCGCTCGGATTCTACAGCTCTTGAATCCTCTTCTACAGCTCTACGAGAATGGCTTTTGTATCAGAAATCGAGAAAATTGGCTGCCCCTACCTTAGTGCTCTGAGTGTTGACAACCTTGAGCGCTTCGATCTTCGAGTCCCACTTGCCCTGGAGAACCCAGTGAGCCTGACCCTGCGCATCGGTAACGACGCCAGTGACCTAGAGAGAGGGGGATAGCGATTAGCTCGGATGGAATCGAGCGGAACCGCGAAATCCACGCGAATAAGGGGTGCTTCACTCCCTTAGCTCGAAAAGCGTTTTTCATCGCATCAAGGAGCCAAGAAGTGCGAGAAGTCGATCTCAACTGACCTTGCGCTCCGAGTCCCTAGAGAAGTAGGAGTAGGCTTGAAACTTGACGTGACAGACGTCTCCGGTGGTATGATTAACGATTTCCACGTCGCCGTGATGATCGACCCACAGTTTGCCGACTATTATATTGTGCACCTGGAATCGAATCACTCTGATGGGACCAAGGATCTAGATTTGCGGGAAATGTGTAACCTGCTCCCAGTTTCAAGCAGAATATATGCCCGCCTAATCAAACGTGACCATGTATTACCGTCGTAGTAGCTTTCTTCCACGTGAAGTGATAGCCGAGCTCAGGGAATTCGAGATGAACCACGCCGAGAGGTATAATCTGCGGAAAATCAGTTTCTTAGCGGCTTATCTTGCTGGAGCTCTCTTGTCTGACGAGAAAATCCTCTTTTGGGAGCTCGCATACCTGTAGATATTTCCCTCTGAATTTCGAAGTCATTGTGAACTCTTGCCAGACCCGCCACTTCCTGCCCTCGCAGTGCTGGGCAAGCATCGGAGGATGGTGAGAAACCTGTTCGTGGACGAAATATCCCTCATTAGCATAGATTTCCCACTACGTAATGTATAAACTAAGTGCATGGATGTACTAGACGCCGCGTATATTCCGAACGATTTCCCCCGAGAGATTCCTCTGCGATTCCCGAATCCTAGAGGTCCCCCGTCCACTCTTTTGCACTGAATATAATCTCCGAAGCTTTCTGGTCGGAACCTACCTGCTCAGATATGAGCCTCCAGCCAAGATCATCTGTTCTGTCACACTCGTATGTTTCACCTGGGAGAAATCGACACTGCCACTCAGAGTGTCTGACTACCTAGAATCGATCTGATATACTCTCAATAAGAGGACAGTGTCTGTGAAGGAATTAGACTCACCTAGGAGGGGGTTGAATGGTTTCCCTGTTCGGTTCGAGGTTGTCGAATACGAAGACACCATGAAGCAAGCAATGTAGACGAGCTGTTGCTGAGGACTCTCACACTTTGCAGCCTGAGAAATTCGTCGGGAAGGATCAGAACATAGTACTCGTATCGATCGAATTCGCTTCGATTCGTAAATCTCCAATCGGAAAGCATTGGAATTCTACAGAGAAAGTGATTTCAGAGTTCAAGGTAAGGAACCGACCTTATCGAGGAGCGACGCATATTCGAAGTCTTCAGCGAGACGCTGCAACGTGGACAGCGGCTCGTTGAAGTTGACCGGCATCGGAATTTTCGTCAACTCCTTACCAATGCAGTTCTTCATGATCGACCTTCAGGGAAAAGACGGAATCGTTACGATCAGAAAGGTCTCCGACATCGTGGTCCAAGTTCATCGGAGGGCAGGGGAGGAGGTTCTGCCGGACCAATGCGCAGACAGTTCCAATTATTTCCTTGTGACAGGTGGAATGGGATCCCCACGAGTTCGGAACACCTACCACAAAGAGATCGAATGGCTCGGTTTTTCCGGAATACAAGTCCTCCTCTTGCGAGCGGCCCCAGGGGAAAGAACCTCCTCAACATCGCTGCACGGGTCTTTTGTTGAGGGCGGCTTTGTGTCGACGGAATTCTTCTTCTTCCGACGCACAACGTTGGCTTCTTTGTACTGCGGATCCTCGTCTTCATCTCCGCTGCTGTCTCCAGAGAAATCGTTTCCTTCACTGGCGGTGCTCTCAGTGCGTTTTTTCTGCGGCATCGATAATACGAAATCCACAGCCGTTTCCTCCGGCGCGTCGAAAAACTCATCATCGTCGCCTTCGGATACCGCTTGATAACTGGCCCACGTTCCTCCGGAAGTTGCTTCCTGAAGGAATTAGAGACGAGAATTGAAATAACCGACAAAGAAATGAGATCACTCGCGGGGATCAGACTTCGAGTCGGGCGACGAAGCGAAAAGTTCAATAGGCGAGGAACGGGGACTGACCTTCGCGCATTTTTCCAAGTGAGAGTGCTGTCTGGCCAATTGCTCCAGCTGTTCCTCGAGCTTCAGCCGTTGCGAGTGCTCGTGGTCGAGCATTCGTGCCCACTGGTTGTACAGGGAGTTTGCCAGCTCCAGATATTCCCCGCTCGTCTGAAGAAGCAATGAGATCCATTAGAGTCAACAGTCAGCCGTCGCTCTCCGGTCCATCGATTCGTCCGGCTTGTTGCCCCGTCCAACGCCCACAACGGACTCAGAGGAAAGTACACACCGGTGGTCACAACGCCGACCATTACCTTCATGATGTTGGTGCTCGTGATCCTGAATAGTGTAGCTCGTTCATTAACCTGTTTCATGATGTTCCGACATTCACCCTCCACCGATTCGCACTGCTCGAGTTCGTTCAGGCACCTGCGGTAATTTTTTCCGCTTGAGAGAACTCTAGAGCCGGATAAGAACTCACTCGACGGTGATTGCGCAATCCATTCGCATGTTCTCGTCCCTTCTACCCACCGTTTAAGAGCCTGACTGTGCTTCTCGACCAAATCGTTGCAAGTCTTCACATCGTCCAGCTTCGTTGCAAGAGTTTTCAGAAGTTTCTCTTGTTCGGTTTGTGCGTCCTGGACAGAAACTTCGAAGGCGACGTCTTCCTCGTTCTCCTGCTTTCTGATCGAGTGGTCCTTAGCAAGGGCCAGGGACGTGACCCAGCGCTGCCGTTCGACCTCCGATCTGGCCTAGAGAGTGGAGACGGTACTCATGAGGAAACTCCCTTCGAATCGCCCGCTTCTCCCCAACTCCAATAGATGGTCATTACTGCCGGAGGGTAGATGCAAGACCGCACAGAACTTGGCGTCAACGCAAAGCAGGGAAGGCGCTCTCTGCCACACTTACTCGAAGGTGGAACATCTGTGTACCACCGTTGGATATGATGAAATTGCACGAGTCTTCCGTGTGTATAGCTGCGGATACCAGCGATATCGTACCCCGACAGGTGTGCGACATTTCTTGTTTGTTTCTGGAGAATAAGAAACGAATGCTTGAATCTTGGTCTCGGTGTGAACATCCCCGAAGGAGGAGATTAGTCATACGAACCTGTAGTAGGAGAGCATTCCGTCGTGGATTACGAACCATCGTTTTTGATATCCCTGAAACGAAGACGATTTTTGTCACATGCGCACACATTGAAATTACACAAAGTTTCGCTCCACTTCCCGTCTGTGCGGAGCTTTTAGAACGACGGTGAGCTATTGCGTCGTCAGATTACGTTCACAGCGAGGAGCCTGACGGTAGGATACCCACCTTCAAATAATTCGTCCACTTTGCCAGCCAGCCTTTCATATTAGGATCCGCAAGGACGACCGCGCCTTGGAGGGATTTCCCGCTGTCACTCATGCTGGATCGGGGGGAGCCGTCCTCGGAAATCGTGTCGATTTTTGACTGCTCCTTACGGCAGTCACGCTTCAGCTTCCACCCAATGGTAGCGATTAAGGTTCAAAACCCCGCGATATCCTGGCTTGAGCTCTGGAATTGATCAATTCTTGAATAAAATAATAATAATGATAAAATAGGAATAACAGTACTATTGGCAACAATTCGCCGGGCTAGACAGGGACAGCCAGATTCGACTTCGGAACATTGGAGAAAAACGGGGGAAATGTAGCAACGAAGACTTCTGTTGCGCAACGGAAAGCGTCGAATTCGGAATGAAGCTGCCGTCAGCATCGGCCACTCGACTTCGGAACGGCTGACTCCGGCGTAATATTCGTGGCCGACAGTCACAAAACTGAAACGTGCCGGCCGTGGAATCGAGCACCTTTTGCTTCCGAACGTCTAGAATAAAAGCTCTCCCGACAAGAAGGATATCGAAGAAGGTTCGATACTACTTCCTTCGAATGAATGGCGAACGGACACTCCTGGACTTTGGGCACTAGATCACGTGTTTGGATATACTTTCGGCAGCGACGACGTATCGACCACACAATATTCCGGAGCTGCTCCGATAAGGGGAAATTATTCTCCAAGATTAAGCTACCGATGCATTCCCCTCGTCATCATTAACATTTTAGCCATCTCAAGGGGAGCGATGCATTCTTCTCGAGTATAGATAATATATTCAAGATCACTTGACGCGAACTGGTCCGGTTTGAGCGATCTGGATGCCGAGCCATCTAATCAAAATATCGCTCTGAGAGGAGTTCCCCTGCCTACGCTTCTCCTCGTCTCCAGGAAGCGGGGAAGGACCAAGAGATTCGCAAGTAGTTCAGTACACTCCGAGGAGCTCTAGAAACGGAGCACGAAACTCTTCTTGCCAAAAACGTTGGGTAATTGCTCCTCGGGAGGTTTCCCGTTCTCACCGTTCAGCAACAGCTGATTGACAGATATGAAGAAAGCCAGAGTCACCATCTGTTTACCCTCAGGCAGCTAGGAGAGAATTACACAAAGAAAAAAACCTCCCAGAGAACTGAGTCCTCTCGGGGTTTGGAAAAGCGATAGCCACAGCTGTCAACGGACAACGTTCACGACGAGGAGCTCTCACACGTAGAGTAACTTGACAATACATCTATGCCATCTGGCACGACTGAGACCGAAGCGGAACGTGGATACCCTCCGATGAAACAATCAGAATCCGCTGTCGGAAAATCAACACTTCATGACTGCCATCGGAGCCAACCAACCTGAGTTTACTCGTCAGCTGGTTCTACGGTGCCGGAGATCGAGGAAATCTTGGATGACCCCACTAGAATCTTCTTAGAATCCATTCGGATGGAAATGGAGCACGATTCATTCACGTACCATCGAGGGCAGTTCAGCACTTATTTTCCAACTCAAAGTATCATGTTGCAACGCTGCTAAGCTCATTCCGAAAGATCTGTACGAACAAAGAGACCTTGTCGAGATGAGAGCAGTAGTAGCGGCGGCTACAGCAGATCTACCATCACCACCGATGACACCACTGTGTGTCTGTGATGTTGGCGCTTGGCAGCCTTTAGCGGAATCAGCTGATCTTGAGAAGCGGGAGCCGGCATGCATCTCCTCATCAATGCATGGGATTCGGCTGGGCTCTGGATGGAAGCCTTCCTCCCGCGGATGCTCGGGGCTGGAACCGAGCGATCCATCGTAAGAAGAACAAATGGATCTTGCGAACAGTTCTTCCACGACAGCGTCTAAAGATCTCCCGGTAATGTGCTCGAGAGTTCCTTCGGGATCGTCTGCTCGACGTCTTTCTGTGAGAGAACGAATGACAGCGGGGGGAACAACGGAACAACCACCACCATCGCAGACGGCAGCTTGCAAAGAAGATCAAGGGCTTGCGCCTGTTTGACAACACAGTATACACCGCGACGTAGTGTTTTGTATGCACAGGTGATCGAACTCCTGTGCTCGCAGTCGTCTACAGCAAGGTCAGGATAATGCAGATGCAGGAGAGATGATATGGATCGAAAGTCAATCAGCTGGGTGAGGCGATGGGAGGGTAGACCGTCCGGTCTCGATGTAGATTCCACAACTGCATCGTCTTCTGGTGCCAGTCGGCTATCTGATGTCCTTCAATCGGCTTCTAACGATAAGACTGCGCTCCTGGAAAAGTCCTGAGTGTCGAGACGGGTCACCCGTCGAGTTAGTTTCAAGGCCCCAGACCTCATGTGTCCTGATTCCTGATTTTCCGGTCCCCTCTTACTGACTCTCGATAGAGTTGCGCGTCTCTCCTACCTCAGAGCGAGACCACGGAGGGCTGTTTTGCCGAGGTATAGTTGAAAAGGGAGAATCGCCCGGAGCGACCCGCGAAAGAATTGCCCGAGACAGTTTAGGAATACCTACCCCCTTCCTCCGTCCTCCAACACCTGGAATCTCTGCTGTTGAGCGGAAAAAGTACCCGATGCCGCTAATCCTCCCCCGATAAATCAACGTTTCTCATATGTGGCTCACGCCCAAGCAGAGAGATTCCGGCTCTTCTGACTGAGAGGGATGACACGCGATCCCCCTCGTGAGTCGTTGATCGCTACGATCCTCGAGGGCTTGTCGTAGCGATAGCCCCACTTCATCCCAGACGGCCGAACATCAGAGATAGCGGACTGAATCGGAAGATCACCCCAAACATAAAGAAAAGCGAATGACTCGGATGAAGACTCAAAATTCCTCATTTTCCCAGCGGAGATGTCAAGCGCAGTTTATAGGGCCCTGGTCGGATCCGTGGACAAACATGTTCCGACAAACATGCGGCCCCTCTGGGAGCATCCTGCCGGCCCGAAAACAGTCTTCTTCTGGGCTCCGGTTTTCAAATGGTGAGCCTCAGCCTCTCTCATCCTGCCCCGGTAGACAATAATCGGTGATCTCCATTCTCGGATCTCTCGCAAAGCAGTGGAGGAGGCTCATCCTTTCATGTACTTGCAGGTGCCTTGTCATCGCAGGCCTCGGAGACCTCAAGAGACCGGCAGAAAAGCTATCGATCACGCAGAGTTCGGCACTGGCAGCCACGGGAATCATCTGGAGCAGATATTCGTTGGTCATCAAGCCGAAGAATTACGCCCTATTCACCGTGAATTTATTCGTTGCGGCAACGGGCCTCTATCAACTAGGTCGCGTAGTGAAATACAAACAAGAGCAAAAAGCTCTTCGAACTTCGGCAGCTCAGTGAAACGCACAAAGCGCTCCAAGTCGGGAAGCTGCGAGAGTGATCGGACGGAGGGAAAGCGAAATTCCTCGAGGGAAACTGCCACCATCGTAGCAACTGCCGATCGTAATCTAAGCGCGAACCTATGGTTGAATCACCCCACGCTCGAGCCCCTCTCACTGGTAAACCACCGGAGGCCTCTTGCGTGGTTCGAGTAAAACAGATTCAAAGTCGGTCCATGCGTGAGTTCTGCCCGAGTTCCGCTCTCAGTCATAAGGCAGAATGAGCTGAACATCGTTATGTAGTTTCAAATTTTGCTTCCTGTTCTAGCTCAGTCCCCCTGGATGAGTTCACTCTTCGAACTTATTTGGCGATGCGAAAGCGGAGCTGCTTGTTAAAATCGAGAGTGTTCCATGCTCTCTTAGGCGTCAATGACGGAGTGTTTTCAGGATACAATAAAGGATTTCGGTTGCTGATGGAGAGAAAGAATTTTAATGGACCCTCCCGGAGTCGACCTTCCGTAACCGAGACTGAATCGAGACGCTCAAATGACCTAGCCGCAAAGACCTTGCTCTATTTATTTCACATGAATCGCAGAAGTAACATCTGCTACGAGAGCGAGGATTAAACAAGAACATATGATCGTAAGCCTCGATTGAACATTGAGCCCAAAGTCCGATCCTTATAAACTACAAGCCCGATTGGACTTTGAATCCGGGGCCCTTGGGTGGCTCGGTTAGGCAGGTCAGGCCTCCGGCGGGTTCTCCTGCCTTGCGCCCGTTGTAGGGCCCGATTTTGGGCTTCTTGCCGGCTTTCAGCTCGTCGAGGATATGGTCGACATCCTTGTTTGTGAGATCCTCGTAGTAGTCGTCGTTGATCTGAAACAATATTCGATGAGACTCCCTAAGAACATCCCAGTTCACGGGCACCGTTTTTCCCGGGCCTGCTAGACAGCTACCCAAGGCAAGAACTGGACTTACTTGCAGCATGGGAGCATTCACACACGCTCCTAGACACTCGACCACCGAAAGGGTGAAGAGTCCGTCCTTGGTTGTTTCTCCGTTTTTGATAGCGAGTTTCTTCTCGATGTGGGCCTGGACGTCCTCTGCTCCGCGCAGCATGCACGGGGTCGTCGTGCAGATTTGGATGTGGAATTTCCCGACTGGTTCTCTGTTGTACATTGTATAGAAAGTCGCAACTTCATAGACTCGGATTCTCGGCATGCCAAGATACTCTGCGACGTAGTTCATTGCAGAGATGGGCAACCATCCGGCCTGACGCTGAGCGAGATCCAGAAGAGGGAGCAGCGCGGCATTCGAATGACCTGCGAGCATGAAACAGAGCTTCCTTAAATTTACGCACCCATTCAGTCAAGATGGGGATCCGGTTCGTGTCTGAGCTCCTTTGCGGGAAGCAGAGGTTCCGCCTCACTCACCCTCGGGATACACGGCAATGATCGCTTTTGCTCTCTTCAAATTCTCAGCGCTGAACTCGAACTTTATATCCAAGTTGTTCTTCTCTGAATCTCGGTGTACGAACAACTTATCGCTACTCAGCGCAGAGCTAGTACTTAGACTACGAACTCCCGCCCTAGCGCAACGAACGACTGACGTCAACATCTGGAATGATAAGAAGCTGTTTGAGATTCGAAGCCGGTCTCGCGCAATGCTTCACCCCCAGGTCGCAGAGAGCTGGTTGATATTCCTGCGGTCGGGCGATTATTTTCGGATTTCACTTATGCTACGTCGATCAAACTGTAGGCAACCGCGCCATAGCCAGAGCACTGTCAACCTCGAGAGCTCCACAACGGATCGCGAACATCTCATATCGAACTCGATGCCTAATTAATATTCCGCGAATCTGAGATACGTGAACCGTGATCTGTGGAGAGGGAGGACTTCTCCCCTTCTCATTAATCAGGAACCACGCGACCATTTCCGCCAAAATACCATGAATCGCGGCTGAGAGAACATCAGATGTTCCTTCTGCCACCTCGAAGCCTCCTGCCAAGGGAGAGCGAAAACAGCGGTTCTAGAGTTCTTCCTCAACCCTCCGAACCTCGCTCGAAGACTCCAACTGCGGACTCGGAGGTCGTCGTCCGAAACGTCGCCTCCACTGGATGCCAAACTCACTTTTGTGTCTTGAGTCCAGCTCTCGGTGACCTCCTCCTGAGGTTTAAGCCATTCGTCCTCAAAACAAATCGCTGATCAAAACAATCAGCTGGTCGTCGGGCCCATGTCTTGGTCTGGCGGAGCGCGCGCAGGTTTGAATTCCCGTGTAGGACGGGAAATGACGGATGAGAGGCTGTAAACCCTGATCATATGGGGCTATGATGTGCATGGTTCCGGATTCTTCGAACGCATGGGAGCAGAAGCATCTTACGACTTTATTGCGTGGAGATTTGTCGATTATGTCCGTATTCGAACGCGCTTCCCCGATCATCCCCGGGTCGCTCGTCGCTCCGCCTCAAAACTCTTCACTTGATCGATCAATTATCATCGTATCTGCGATAATTATTCGGACTTTCGCGTTGAGATTTTCGACTGATTAGAGTGATGATTAAAGCAAATCCGCATCGGCTCGAAGAGCAACTGAATTTATTAAGCTCGAAGATCTTCGGAAAAACGATTTTTCAGGTTTTCGGGTTAATATTTCAATTTGAAAATATAGTCTCTCCTTCATTAAAATCATTCGTGTCGTATATATTATCATTATATCAACACAATACTCTGGGGTTTTCTCTCACAGGGACTTCCGTCCGAGACGTGATGCTTCGTTTCAAATCACCCCGTAAGAACATAGCTATTGAGATTATAGTTCTTCGATATCGGCTCCGGTATTTCTTTCTGTACAATCCGTCAGGCCATCGCGAGAGAACATGGGAACACTTGACGGGACACTCCCATCGAAGCGGAAAACTGGAACCACGTCGCCTCGTCTCCCTCGGGAGTCGGGAGTTCCCCTTCATTTAAGTTTCCAGGCTCCACGACGTGACTTACTCGCGGTCAATGAGGACGCGAACCGCTGCCGCGACAGATCAAGGAGATAAGACCCCGGTGTGCGCGTGGAGTCCACTGTGTTCAGAATGCTCTCTGAACCTTGCTATATCATGCCGATCCGATTTCGGAGTGACGGATGCGAGCTCCTCGTCAAAGGAACTTTGTTTTCGCCTGTAATGAGGGGCGTCATCGGTCAGAACGACTCGCGGGAAGTCTCGACGGAGGGAGAAGCGGGAATGCCTCCATTCTTCGGCTCACCGTTGAAACAGCTCCATCGTCCGTCTGTGCGGCGCGTTGATCTTTGGCAAAAGCGAGGAAGATCTGTTCCAGCGTTGTGTCGGAAACGACGACGTCTTCGAAATCGAACCGTCTCTTCAGAGCTTCGATTCTCTCGAATAATTCACTCCATCTCAGACTCAAGTCCGAGATATGGAAGTGTAGAAGGCACTGAAAAATCGTTCTCAGGATTGTTGTCAACCGAATTCGATCGCCGTACTGCACGCCGACACGATGTTTCATTAAGTCGATCGCCCCTCAACTTACCTGATGGCTGTCCTTGAGTTTGTTCTCGCCGGGAAACAATTTATCCATGGTAGCGCATATCATCGGAACGACTTGGACTTCGTCGGCAGACGACTTCAATTTTATCAAAACCGTGAAACCCTGCCCAAACTTCGACTTTAAATGCTGCGACGACCCGAGGCAACGGAAACTTCCGTTGACCATAATGCAAAGACGATTGCACAAGGCTTGACATTCTTCCATCGAATGCGACGTGAGGATGATGGCGGAACCGATTTCTTTCTGAGCTTGCATCAGAGTCGCCCAGATCTTCCGCCGCGCCGCGGGATCGACTCCCGCCGTGGGCTCATCGAGGAACATCACATGCGGATTACCGATCATGGCGATCGCGATCGAAAGTTTCCGCTTGTTACCGCCGCTGTACATCCCCGTGGGCTTGTGGGCGTGTTCTTGGAGATCGGCCACACCGATCATGAAGTCAACCATCTCCCTCGTCTGATGAGTCGGTACCCCACGCAACGCGCAGAAAAGCTCCAGCATTTCCCGACCGGTCATGCTCTCGATAAGAGCATCGAATTGCGGACAGTAACCGATGTAGCCTTGGAACTGACGAACCGAAGTTCGCAAGTTGCTCTGCCTGATGTAAGCGTTACCGGCCGACATGAGTAAGTCGCCCGTGAGCATACCGAAAGTGGTGGTTTTCCCGGCGCCATTGACGCCGAGAAGCCCGAAACATTCCTGATTATTGACAACGAACGATATGTCGTCGACAGCTTTGAAGCCCCCGTAATACTTCGTCAATCCGTGCGCAACGAGAGCGTAGGAACCGATCGCACAACGATCGACGATTTTCGCCACGGTTTCTTTCTCTATGGTCACGTCGACATCCTCTTCCGTTGACACGGACGCTGGAATTAATGCGGGATGGGTCTATGTCCATGTCCATCTCGTAATCTGTATTGGAGTGATTTCGACGATATATTTCTGAAAATCATCGGAAGGGATCGCCACTCACAGAGATTCGGGACGCCGCCTCGTTTGGCGCGAGCAGAGAACGAAAAAACGTCTCTGACCCTCTGCCAGTTGATGAACTCCAGGACGTAGATGAACAGTTGGGAGTTCGTTTCCAGACCCATCAAAAGCGCGAAGGCAACGCCACCCGTAATCAACATCGCAGACAATTGGAAACCAGCGCCGATACGCAGGTCGAATTGGAATGGAGTTTCGTAGGCATAGCAGAAAGTCTCCACACTTCCGAGAATGCAGGCTGCAATCAAGATCGTAGTAGTGGTCAGGAACAGCGACCGTACCCGTCCGGATTATCCATTATCCATTATGCTAAATAATCAGAGGAGGCTTACGGTGGCAACAAGACCTGATGACATCAGGAAACAAGTGACACATTTGATCCTTGGCTGTTGGACTCAGTGTGGCGCAAATATTCTCCGATGCTCCATTCAGTAGGACATTTGTGAATCCCCACACCACCCCGAAGGGAGGAACGTAATTTAGCAGATGAATCGCTTCGTTGATCTTGACTCTGTCCATTCCGAAGGGGTTGTTCGCGAGGGAAGAGAATAGATCCAGGATCGACATGATGAGCACCAAAATCCCTCCAGATATCGATGAGAAACACAACAGAGTGGTGAAGCCCGTAGCCGCAGATTTGAAGAAATACGCGGACAAGTACGCGATGGGCACCATGGTGAAGCCATAGATGAAGAACATGACCCAGGACGCAACTGAAACGAGCATAATTAGGATTAGATGATGCGGTCGCTTCCCACTCCGGGATCATCATCATTATCATCATCAAGGTGCAGAATAGAGCGAGCGACTCGTCCCGAGCTGCGTAACTCACTCCAAGTTTCGGCATTCGTTGTGAAGCTCCCGCCCGGATTCAACAAGACGCAAACCATGACCATAAATATTGAAGACACCAGAATCAGAACGAGATCGAAGAGGAAGCTCGCTCCGAAGAAGATGATGCGGTGTACCCCAGACATCATTTGAATCTGCAAAAAGCTCCCTCGGTGAGCAATCCTTGGCGACGCCTCCTCTAGGGAGGCTCCCACGGCGGTCAAAGATACGAAACTCTCGTATATGTCGACTTGTTGAGTGAAGCCTTACCAGTTGAGCCTTCGAAACGCGCTCCTGTACCGGGAAGAACACCAGAGAGCAAGTCAGGAAGGCTGACGCCAACGAGACGGGGAATAGAGACGCAAAGCGCACTGCAACGAAGAAATTCGACAAGTTCGTACCTCCGGGCTACGAGTATGTTACCACAAATTGGCCATAAATTAATTTTACGAACAGAATACGAAGAGCATCGCCGCATTCTCCGACTGGGGTCCCACGGGTCGGTTCTTCGCAACTACAGTTGCGCTCGAATCGTTGGTGATTTGTTTGAGGAGAGCCGACTGCCAACGAGCGATTGCAGCTGCTCCAACGTGGTACGGCTCGCCGTTGAACCATAGTTCGCTCCCCTGATCGCCCTCTTGCCGACTCGCTCCCATAACCCAATTGTCTTTGTATATCGAAGAATCTTCGTTGGCTGAGGGGGATTCCGGGAAGAGATTAGAGGAGCTCGCAAAACGAGACTATTTTCATTCGGTTCCGGGCATAGAGCTTCAGAGACCCTGTGGCAGGAGGCAGCATTACCTTGACGTAAAAGATAATCGTCAATGCTGGGTTCGCTGTAGTCGATTGTTCTGACGGAAACGCCGTCCTCGCCGAGAGCGGATCTGAAGTAAGACTCGAAAACAGGCGGGAGACCCTTCTGAATGAAGCCCACCGTCTTCTTCTGAGCGCCTTTCAGAGATTTGAAGAGGTACTGAGTCACCTGTAATTACATGTGCTAAGTTAGCCGATATTTCTGACGATAAATAATCGTCCATAAGGAGTTCACAGAACTCTTCTTTACGCTAAACCTAATCCTTCAAGGGCATTCAGAGGACTCCCAGCTGGGACGCCCGAGACATGTACTCACCGAATCCTTGCATCAAAAAAAAGAAAGAAGACGCGATATAACTATTATCGCGCCCAAACTAAACATATCGTCGATACTAGATGATGAGGTCTTTTGAAGCGGGTCAGGATCCGTGATAAAGCTCACCTGTTCGTCTTGCTCAGGGGTGAGGATATTCTTCGTGAAATAGCAAAACGCTGCCATCAGGACAACAGGGAGTAGAACCATGAAGATCGGCATAAACCATTGTCTCTTGATCGCATTGACTCTCTTCATCAAGAGAGCACAAAATTGGTTCCTCCACAGAGTCGCCCCACGGACTCGAGTGAATGACGGGAAGCGTTCTGTAGCGAAGAGGTTGGGGATCGATTAGATCGGTAAGAAATCTCGCGTCGGACCTACGACTGGGGAGTTCAAGCAAGCATGGCACCGCGGGGAGCATCAGCGAAAACGATTGGTGCCGAATCACTGTCGAGAGAAACAGAGGCGCGCACAAGGGGCGGTGGAAAAGGGGGCCATGGCCCCTTCCAAAATTCTTCGGCTTCAATGCTAGAGTATGGACCCCGAGGAGGCGCGTCATCACTCTTGGTCGTCTGGCCCCCTCCAAGACTGTAGTTGCCCCCCAAAAAAAAATTCCCGTGCGCGCCCCTGGAGGGAAACCCCCGCGATTATCGGCCAGCGATTTTCGATCGAGCAAGCGGAGCTATCTTCCGTGCCTCCAATGAGGGTAACGAATAATGTTCGACGTTTGAAAGTGATACGACGAGTGCGCCTGAATGCAGCTAAGGAGAGCAGGCAGGAAAGCGGCGCCTTGCATGACCTCAGAAAAGGTCTAGGCTGACATTCCGCAGAGGAATGGCTCTCAGTCAGTGCAGGACTCGGAACTCGCCTGAATTGCGTGCCGTGGAGTATTTCATCAATGGGTAACGCTCTAAAGACACTTCTTGTTAGTTATTTTAGCCAATCGATCACTCATTGATTAGATTTCTAGGTCCTCATAGGATCGGATTGATTAAGGAACGAAACTACAGAAGCGAAGACGAGACGTTCTCGGGAGAGACATTTTCCGCCAAGCGCTAGACGTATCGGTCACAACTCCGGAGGGGTCCTTCCCGAACTGAGCTCTTCGCGCTCCCGAATGAGAGATTGTGCCGAGCGACCACAGAATCAGAGAGTGACGTATCTGACTGGGGATCAAAGCGTGCTGGGAGCTGCTTCGTGTTCTTCTAGTTCATATGGCTTTCCGTCGATAAACGAAGCTTCCGATTGGAGAGTATCGAAATAATCAAGTCGATAGTGTCTCACCTGATATCTCCAGAGCAGCCAGACCTTTCGGCTGCAGTTCTTGAATCGGACTGTCGATTTCGTCCATCTCCCCGACTTTGAGGAAAACGTCCTCCATCGTGGTCACTGAAACTCCGAGACTGGCGATCTGGAAATTCGAAAAGCGCGAATAATTTCACGGTCGTGATGCGGAAATCGGGAATTTCGAAGTGGTAAGTCATCAATTATTATGGATCTTCTGATGTCGGAAAGGGACCGGGATTAATAATCTCATGGACGAGAGCTTGAACACGCACACCGAGTTGGACTTTGTTGTCTTCGATGTAGCGGAAGAGTGAGATCAGCGAACTGGTTTCGGGGAATCCTAAATTGACGCAGAACTCCAAGCCGAGATCAGTGGACAGGAAAGCTTGGTTCTCGCCGAGATAACGGTCGATGATTCCCATGAGGTTGGAGGGCCGCATCTCGGGGTTCACCTTAGCGCACCGCATGTTATATCCGGTTTCTGAAGGCAAGAGATAACCGGAATTCATTCTTCCTGTGATACCTTCCCGAGATTCCCCCAATAACTTGAATGACGAGCATACCACCGGAAGACTCATTGAATAGCTCACCGCACATTTTCTTCAAGAACATAGGCGAGCCCGCGCATTTCAACTTGCCGGCCGCCAGGAAAGCGATACGGTCCCCAAGAACATCTGCCTCCTCCATGTAGTGAGTGGTCAGCAAAACTGTCCGACTCCTCCGCACCTGTGTTACGGAGAATTTTCCATTGCTGACAAGGCTCGCCAGGATATGAAATTCCTTTTTGGAGGCACTGATAGCAGGAAGTCTCTCGACTCACCTCTTGAAGGATTGTCCACACGCCGCGTCGAGCTTGCGGATCCATGCCGGCGGTGGGTTCATCGAGAATCAAGATCTAGACGACGGAGAGCGAGCGATAATTTTCTGCGATTATCTCGGAACCTCGGGATCTTGGAATTGCCGTCCACAAATAAACGCGCTCCGAGTGGATTCTAATTATCGAATATCTTCTCATCACTCACATTGCTGCCCCCGACCATGGCATTGGCCATGCAGAGCTTCCGCTTCATTCCTCCGGATAAGCCGGATGCCATCGTATATCGTTTCGGCGTCAGGCTGAATTTCTCCAGGAGCTGAACGATCTCGGTCTCGATTTCATTTGAGGGTGCTCCTTTTATTTTAGCGAAGAACCACAGATGTTCATTCACCGTGAGCTCATCGAACAGCACGTTGTGTTGCGGACAGAGGCCGATTCCCTGGCGGGCCCGCTTCGTGTTCTCCCTCACACTGTAGCCGTTGATGAACATTTCCCCCGCGGTTGGAGGGAATAGTCCAGTTAGAATGTTCATTGTCGTGGTTTTTCCAGCCCCGTTGTGGCCGAGTATTACGGTTATTTGGTCCCGGTACAGTTCGAGCGAGAGGTTATCAACGGCTTTCTTCGGCCCGAACACCTGCGTGACGTCCCTGAGAACCACAACCGGATCTCCTGAATTCGGCGGCGGTTTCTCGAACATCGCCGTGTCTTTGCCGCTAGATTCTCGATTGATCAAATGTCTCGTTGAAACCGTATCGAGATCCTTCGCGCACGAGGGGAACCAGTAGGACTTCATCAGCAGGAAGAATGGACTTCGGGGCATACCGTACTGCCAGGGAATCGTTGCGTCCAGATAGAAGATGAGGAACGCGTATACGAACCACGATGCCACCATCATCGAGAGGATGCCGAGCAAGGTGACATTGTCCCCAGCTCTCGCGATTTTGGCGAGATTGCCCAGATGGGCGCCTTCCGCTGCTTCTTCCCAGAACGTGATGAGTTTGAAACACCAGTAGAGACCGCTACAAGGAAGCATGGAGGACCACAGTTTCTGATCGGAAGTCAGCAAGTGATATCTCTTGCCGTTTTCAGGATCCATCCAGACCGACGCCACGAGCATCGACATGAACCAGGCCAGCATCGACAGCATAGCTCCCAGTGAAGCTGGAAATCCAGAAAGGAAAAAGTGGGTGAGCGCATGAGATTCGAGATGTCGAAGAGCCGGATTGGAGGCCCATTGGCGGCTCTTCCAACCCTCTGCTAATCGCTCTCTGTCTGAAAATGGTGTTTCCGCTCTTACGTGAGTTCAGCAGGACCGTGATCAGCAGGTTCTGCAGGATGGCGCTCACGCTGAACACGAATAAAACAATAAAAACAACAAGAGGACTCGAGTGCGTCAAGACTCGAACACCGTCGAAACTGTAGCTGAAGCAAAAAGTTGCTATACAGGTCACTATTCCCAGGGTGATTCCGCCCACACAGAAGAGATTCAACCAATAAACAATGTCGGAGAGACCCATCATCCGGAGGAGCTCCTGTGAAGAAGAAAAGCCGAATCCTGGAGGTTAGTATAAGTCCGAATGCTCGTTGATTCTCGTACGATTGGGACGATGTTACGCCTTGAGGTGTCAGGCCCTGGCTCTTTGCACTCACCCGAACTCTGCTCTGCTTGTCGCTGATGATTTGCTTGCAGAAGAAAACGACAAAAAATATACAGCCCACCGAAAGAAGGGTGGGGATAAATTGTGATACCGTCGCCAACGACACGTCCCGCGCGTACCTGCGGTCGATGCATTTCATATGTTAGGAGGTATTCATAGCCTCCGGAGGGAGCAGTCTCATCGCTCCACAGCACGCTCTGCTGGGAGGTGACAAACTGACCTTGGCGTTGGGAATAACCTCATTCTCGGCGAGATCGGTATGTCTCCTGTTCTGTTCTCTAGCTGGTGGAAACTCAGATGTTTCTCAAACAGTATATTCATCACAGGCCACAGCAAATGCTTTTCTTCGAATGAGACGGAGCTCGACCGCGGACGCATATCGTGGTCATTGAAGTGCTTGTTCGTGTGAAAATGATATCGAGAACTGTTGAATCTCAAAGTGTAGCCCAGAAAACCGGCTTTCTGTACGTCGTCGAACACAATAGCTAGCTCTACAGCCGTCGTATTGATCCCTAGATAATCGTTCATTGAACTTTCATCAGGGAAACTCCGAATCTCTGGAAGGAAAAAGAAGGAATCCGTCCGAATGGTCTCCCTGCTCGTCCTGCTATCGTCGAAGAAAGCCATGCCATGACTCGACAACAAACCTCTTGTGGCGTTCTCCCTGACGAAGGCTTGCATCAGTTCATCTGTATAGGGATTATTTGGCGAATAGACTATGGTCGCTGATTCTTTCTGCAGCACTCGGAAGAGTTGCTGTTCTTTCTTGGGCTCCACGTTGAATCGATAAAAAAATAAGTCCTTCGCTCCGTATGGTCCAATCCCTTCGTAGACATCCGGACCCTGCCATTGAGGAGCGACGTCGACTTGTGTCCTCGCGGTCTGTGATTTCAGGAACACAACCAATGCTGAAATAGCAACGATGGCTTCAGATTCGGCAGTCGACTGCTGCGGAAAAAATCACTCTCGATCGAGAAAAAACCTGTTGCACGCGGTAGTGCCTCATCGGGTACGCGCTCCTTCGCGGGCCTCACCGTAAGCAATCATACATATAGATAGGTATAATGATGAAAAGACTCACCTATGAGTGAGATGGGGAGAAGGATCTCGAGGAAGGAGGCGATGTAGTGCCGTTTCAACTTTCGAATCACATAGTCTTTGTACAATAGAGCTTCGAGCTGTTGTCGAAGCCCCATCTTGTGCTCGTACAGCGGAAGGGAGAGCTTGACTAAGGAGTCTGAGTCGCCGGATCTGGACATAGAATGCACTCTGTAATTGCATAATATACACGATGAAAACCCCGAACCTCGTCTTGTAGTCTCCGTATCTATTATTCCTATGTTCCGAAGGATTCGCCGCGACATATCGAATAGGTTGTCGACAACGCCCTCTTGAAATCTGAAGTCTGTCTCACGAGGAGGGGACACGATAGATGCCGGTCCGATCGACTGACTTGGAGCGATCGGGTTTCGTGCCATCTGCGGGTGCTTTCATAAACTTTTCTGTCCTGACTCGACAAGTCACCCAGAGATCTCTGTGACTTATTGACTGTTAGGACGGAACTCGACGACAGAAGGCATCCCATCCCTGCCCGGCCCCGATTCGCGCCTCTGCTCAGAATCGTCGACGTGTATGCAAATTTGTTTGGATGAGAGTGTTGCTACACGAAAATACACTTCATTGGTAATCTTCGGATGAGTCTGAATCATTACACCGACCACCTCGACTGACATCGTCCGCCGGGAGTTACTCAAGGTCAATGGATGACATCCATCGGATGTACGCTGAAGGACGTTCACAACTTCCTGATTTTTCTTCACCACATTCTGCCCGGAACTCTCAAAACTACGAGAATCCTGGGCTTAAAGCAAGGCGGAAAACGAACTCACGCATGAGGATCGAAGACATCAACCTCGAGCAAGCGATCTTTCCTCTGCCGAACTCCGACGGTCATCTCGCCCAGCGTCCGCCCGCAGAGGGCTGCCGACTCGACAAAATAGCTTCACTGGGTGGGATACGTGGCACCAATCGGAGCCCCAACCGGCCCACGGAGTCAGAACCCGCAGCAACAGCACCGAACCCCTATCGAAGGCGTCTGCTTCTATGGCGCCCGCGTAACGCGACTTATTTCATCCGGGGGGAGTTTCGCGCACGGAGCCACAGCGATGGGATTCACGAGTCTTCGCGGAATCTCAGAAGAGCTTGGAGATGCCGTTCGAACACTCTCGATGGCGTTGACCGGCTCTATCAGCCGTGGCAGGCATCCGACCTACAGATGTTCCTCATCGCGACAATGACGTGGACTACCGCTCACAGCTGTCGCAGAATTTTGTGCCATTCCGTAACGGGGACTCCGCCCCGAGTTTTTTCCAGACTAGGCCCTCTCACGATTCTCGCTTCGATGATGATTCCGCCGCCGCCATTCGTGTGTTTTGCTCTTCGTCTCGTGATCCCCATCGGCGCCCGTCTCATTCTCTCTAGTCGGGACTGGATTCCTGCCATCTAGTCCCGGGAAGGGGAGGGGGGACAAATAAGTTTTCAAGTATGGCGAGGGGTCATAACTCGGACGAGCACCAAGAGACACCAAGTCGCGGGAACGATCGAGAACATATACGCTGAAGTCGGACACGATAATGCATAATTCCCCATGGAAAGTTGGAATACGAGCTAAGATTCCCGTGGGAAGCGAGGAGAGTCGATGTACTGAGCGAGAGCTTTGATTCCGCAATCTACGTGATCTCCTAGCTCAATGGAATTCCCTACGGCCAGATGTACGATGGTCGACAAAGATAAGGATCCTCACAAATCGATCGGATTAGGTACTTGGCGTGGATCTATGCAACCCCATCCGGTACTCCGAAACTCTGCATAGAGGCTCGGAATCGCGCTCATCGGAGAACTGGTACTAGTGGACTGCCCGTGAGAACGTAAAGAACTTCCTCATTTTGGTGGAGACTCTCCGACTCCGGAGGTTACCCCAATGCGCCTACGGGAAACCCCGGAAGGAGCAATGATCAATTTCTGTCTTCTGTATCGCTCATTCCAGCGCCTCCTGCTCGGGAATAGTGATGAATATCCCGACAGGACTCTGGAGACTAGGTACCCGTCGGGAATGAGGGAGATCCCGCTACGAAGATATTTAACGCCCGAGAAGGGGCAAAAAGCCACCGTCATAAAACCTCGCATTCTGACTAGGGTACCCCAAGGTCCGATTGAGGCCTTGGACAGCCATCGTTCGGTGAACGCAAGTCACGTTCCAGGTCGTGATTATTCCTCCGTCATTGCAAGAACCATGAGCACGATCTAGGATGAAGGCAACGAGTTCGCATGCGTGTTCACACGAGAGACCGGTGCTAGAAATCAGGACGTCTAGCGTCCCGACTTTGAAGATTACTCGATTTTCATGTGGGTGGGGAGATCTCTCAGAAAAAATCATAAGCAGTATCCCCCGAGCTTCGTGGGGTTGCATGTCATACGCTTATGTTTTCTGCGAGACGGTTTCGACCGCGTCCCTCACCGTTCCGAACTCAAATCTTCAGCATCCCAATAAAAAATGTCTGGCACGGCCACTGTAGGACACAGTACTCTCGAACTTATGCAATTTCACACTGTTCTCACGCGGATATTTCTCCGCTAACTTAGTTTATCCAGCGTGGAAAACCCCACACGATATGATAGAAGCGCGCTCCATCCGCTCTTCGAACTCCGAGAGGCCTCAAGTCTCCAGGATCAGGGGGGGCTTGGCAGCGAAAATCGGGAAGCAAACTCACCGAAAACTCGACTGTTGAAGTAGAGGTTCGGCATCGTCGCTTATCCGGGTGGACTGCTTGTTTCTGTAGAATATCGACATAATTGAGCTCAACTAGCGACGGAAGGCACAAATCTCACTATCGAATCGATTCCGAAAGGGGTAGAAAAAAAGAGCTGGATATTCCAGTGATCGCGTCGAGCTTCCGCATAGACGACACTGCCGTCAGCGAATCAGTCGCATTTCAGGCTCATTGGAGAAATAGCAGCTGCTCGCAGCCTCCGGCGTACCCTGTAGCCATTCAGCGTGTGAATTCACCTTGCGGAACATAAGCACGCCAGCTCAGTCCGATCCAAATCTGCGGCGAGCCGTTCTCGAAACGTAAGTTCGAGACTCCCATCAGCATAGTATGAGTGCCGTCTTTCGAAGGACCCCCCTCGGAAGGCAAGGCGGAAGCATTCAATCGAACTCGAATTCAGCCGAGGTTGCATTGAGCGCTGACTTCTTCTACTCGAATTCAAAGGAATGAGTGATGAACAGGTGGAAAATGAAGGAAACGAATGAATCTTTTCAACAGGAAATGAACGTGATTCTGAGCGTCGTCGAAACCTCGGGATACGAGCTCTCGGGCCGTGCTAAGAGTGTTCGCGTCGCTCCAGACCGCCCGTAAGGATTCGATCATTCTTAGTCCTGACTCTGTCGAAAGGACATGCCCTGAGCTTCGACGCACTATGTGATTGATTATTATTATCATTATCATTCTCGAAAACAAAGTGCAGAGGTCCTCGCTCCAGTGGAGTGGGACGCATCGATAGAGGATCAATTGTATTTTACGAGCTGATCTATTCAGAAATCCTCAGATAAGGAAGGATATTGAATTACGAAGATCTTTCGCGCTTCCTCGGAGGTTTCTCCTGAAACTGTGCGTCTGTCCCTCCTACCAACAAAGGCGAGAGATCTCGCACGTTTTGACTGTCAAGCTTGATACCAGCTCTGCCAGACAAGCTGTTGTTGTCCTCGGGCACGGCCACCGCTGGATAAATAAGAGAATCACATTGAGAATGTGGGGTGATCGCAGCTCCGTTCGCGGAAAGAGCTAGTTCTGCACCGAATTCAATCGAACAGAATCTTGACCCGCCGAACTCGAGATCTGGCCCCGATCCCATCGCCTCACTGTACCGAGGGCTGAGCATCCAGGTGTACACGATCGAATTCGTTGCCAAAAGATCTCGTTTACCCCCGTCACTAGAATCACGGTCAGAAATCCGTTCCCGATCGAGGAAGCGGTCGATGCTGCCGGGCGTAAACGGATCCAGACAGGTCCTGATATATGGAAAACATACCGTCGAAAGAATGGAACGTTAATGAGAGCGAAGGTGTCGATAAGCAGACGTCCCGCAGCTCTGCGTTTGTTGGATTTGCCCATCTCCGCAGTCGATGCACTGAACAGCAAATTCAAAATCGAGGTTGATAAGAAGTCCTGTTCCTCACGAACTTCTCGGAACTCAGCATCTCGGATCGAGCTCTGACCCTTCTAGGGAGAGCTTCACCGACAGGGTCGATTCATGATTGTGAAATGAAGTCCGTGGCAACTCGAGAACCGTTCTCTCCCCAAAATCGATGCTGAGGCCAGTGATCTGAGGAGCGCCGGCTCATATTTGTGCGACGGAATCTCTGACGGCAGGAAAGTCAACAAAGAAGCTCTCTGTCAGATTGACTGAATACACTGTCCCTAGGGCCGGAAACACCTGAGCTCATGAAAGTCCTCGACGGGCATATCCCAACGCGAGGATCTCTCCTCAGGTGTGCAATTCGAGCGTTCAGCTCGGGCGGATACGATCAGAAATATCTCGGTTTCGCTTGGTCGAGCTCCGGAGCGATTTTGTCAATTCGAAATGATGCGTGATTTCACCGAGTGCAGGAGAACTAAATCTCCTCGCAGCAGCATTCATGACGTCTACTTTCCCAGCAGGCAACAATTCTGTCGAGGCATGACGTTCCGAGCCGATTGGTCGAACGTATTAAAGCTGCGTGCGTCATTTTGCCGCGATGATAGCGCTTTTCAGACTCTCGTCGCGGCAATGTGCTGGGAAGGGTAGAACGACAGATAACTCAAACATTGTAGGTCTAAAGTCAGATTGAATCAGTGCCGCCGTCAGATGCAACGAGAAGTTACGTGGGAGCTGGGTTCGGGTCCGATTAAATCAAATTGACAATTACTGGATGTTCCTCTCCCGGCGCTCTTCCCGCTCCAGGAGCCACCGGATACACCGTCCCAGCAGAAGAGGCAGTGGAATCCGCGAGCTTTCTGGTTTCGCTCGGGGAAGCGGTTTCAGACCCACTATAGCTCTCGCCGAGAGAAGGAAATTCCCTGGGTTCCGGTATCATCCGATAGACCCCAGAATACGTGATAACGATTGATATGTACAGGAAATAACAACAAGAACACCGTCCAAATATTTACTTCTACCTCCGAATTCGGACCAGGATTGAAGGGAAGCCCGTATTCGTCACCGGACTTCGCGGAGGCTGACTCAACCCTGGTTCCGGAGGAGAAGCGCAATATAAAGGAGAAAATGTCAAGCTACGAAAAACGTGGACCGTTGGAATCGAGTCTCCTGGAACTCCGACCGTAGAGAGTCAAGCGGCGAGGCGTCGTTACCCATAGTGTCCGCTTTTGCCGTCTAATTGGCTCGGGGCTGTCCCTGTTCGCAAGCGGTCAGAGCTCAGGCAGCGTGAACGGATTATTTCTCAAATGACGACTCGCAACGCGGGATGGCTCTTCCAAAGAAGTTCGTTCTACATATTTGGGAACAAACTCGAGCTCTCTGAGCGTCCCAGAGGAGCTGCTGTCGACAGCGGAGTCGACCGGTCGATTGGGCGGGCCGAGTCACAACTCCCTTCTATGGACTCCGTCTACAGGAGTTGACCTTAGTTGACAGTACCTCGGTCCGCCGCCCACAGAAACGGGAACCGCATCTTGTACTGGGTGACGGTGAGGTCGTTGTTTTCTGTCCACGTTTCGGAGGCAAACTTCTGACATCATTTTGACAGAAGCCGACTCCGCCACCTACCGCCTGCTCCGAGTGCGGAAGTGTCACCAAGGAAACTGAATGCAAACGTCCGGCGCTGAGGATTGTCTCCCAAACTAAATCTTACTCGTTGGATTCCCCAAATCCCCGGATCGGCTCTCGACGAAAAGAGGAAAGAAAATGATCTTCCGACCAACGACTGGTACTCACCCATTTGTTCTGTCTCTGCGGCAGTCTCCACTGCGTATGCCACTCCCAAACTGTATCACACGATCAGAGATAGTTCAGAGCAAGGGTCGGCGTGTCTTTTCCACAAGAGATTCATGAAATCGGAGGCTTTTCGGCCGCACACCGATTGTTTATCTTTTGACGAATTTCCAACATATACATCTGGAACCTGGAACTGCCGGAGCAAAACAAATCACTGGGGGCCGCCATCTTGGTTGTCTTCGATGATTCCGAAGCGGGCGGCCCTCACGCCGGGAGAGGGCCGCGCCGACTGCTGGGACTCCAGCTGTCCACGCGGGTTCTCTGCCGACAAGTGGTTCTTCAAATGCTAGGCCGGTTTCAATTGACGCATTTTTCTTCTCTCAGGTTTTGGGAGAGACCCGGACTCTGCCCACGCAGGCCATGCGGCGCGCTCCATGCACCTCAGTGATGTCAGAGTCAGCCCGTCGGCCGCTCGGATTACATGTCATTGAAGACGGGCGCTCGCTTTCGACCGTTCTCTACACGAACCCACCCAATTCAATGAATGAAAGTATCGGATCAGGAAAATATCATGGGGGGAGCGGCCATACGAAGAGAAGAATTCCCGAGTCTCGCTCCGGTTATGGTTCCTTCGAGAAAGATATTATGGACAACGTCGCAGGACAAATGATCTCCTCGGAGATCCTCATTCGACGACCCCATTCCGAGCTCCCATCGCATAGTTCTCCCATCCTGAAATCTCGCGAATGAGGGAGCTCCCATGCGGCTACCATCCATACCATCTAGATCCGGGACCAGGGGTGGCTGTCGGATTCAATTGGTCGCTTGGGGGTCTCTCGAATGGGGCGAGCGGAATGATGTATGCCGTCTCAATTCCTTCATCCGACCGAGACTGCGCTCGGCTGTCTGTTGGACGGTATGTAGCTCTTCATTCCAGATGCGCTCCATCTATAACTCCAATTTCGAGGAACCTCATGTCGAAGTAGGCTTCAGCTTCTCAGAGGAGGATGGTTTTATAATGCTTGACGGTATCTTTCGGATAATCTGCGTCTGCCTGTGAAAGCTTTGCTCTATCGAAAACACACGGAAACACACCATGAGGGATTTCATCGGATATTCTGGAGGTCATTCAAAAGCTCTGTCCGCGATATCTCCAATCGAAAGTGTGATTCGAAGCTTCCCAGGCTATAGCCAATCTGCGATGCAATCCGAAAGGGCTCGGAGTTCCTGAGTCCGCCGAAGAATCGTCTCTTGCCGTATACGGAGCACATTCCACGTCGAAGGCGAAACTCCCGTGAGAGTTCCGAGGAAACACGCTACCTTATCGATTCCCTGAAACCGATTAAATGGCTAGATGACGACTACCCCCTCATTGCATGGAAGCAAATCTTCATGGGGCTTGGTCTCGGGTGTAGAATAATCAAGGGTCGACATTCTGAGACTCTCAATAACGGTTGAGAAAAAACTCTCTCTCTCTCTTGGTCGAAAGAAAAACGCTTGATCCGGGTTGGTACAGTGAAATCCTTATTAAACAATCAGAAAACCAACGTCTGTCAATCCAAGGATACTCCTCAACCTCAACGCCGGAAAACTATCAAAAACCCTTAATTCACAGAATCCAAATCGGAGGAACAATCTTGTATCTCGGGGGAATCGAGATGTCAACGACAAGAGGAACGATAGCTGTTTAACTGACCTCGACACGCTCCTTCAGTATTTCCTTGCGGGAATGGGTGCGTCTCTCCAAGCTCTAAGCTAATATTGCAGCTCTAGTTTCTCTACAGACACAGGAGTTCCCAGTTCATCCCTCCCCTTACATAACAGGCGGATCTTGTTTCAATACCGCGGTGTCGTCGAGAACAGACGGGAATATTCTTCGTCCTCAATTTAATGGATTCCTTATGTTGGCAGTCCCAGAGGACATTTTGGCGTTTGGGACAGTGTGTCATCAATAGGCGAATCGAGATTGAGCCGAGTATCCAAGCGTGTCCAAATTCGGCATACACGCGAACTTGATCATTGGGGGTGGACCGCACATGAGAACTAGCGTATTATCGCTCGGTGCTGGGAGATGATCTTTGATCATGTCGGCGTTAACGAACCCAACGCCACCGGTCCAATTGTCGGCGGCCCTGTCGACCGTGTAGTAGAGTTTGAACCTCTCAGGATACTTGCTCGCCCACGATTCGAGATCTTCCCTACATAGGATGTCATCCGGTGACTGGTTGGCGTAGATGAGCGAAAGTTCCGTCTTATCGCCCTCAGTTTTGAGAACCTGCTTGATCAGCTGGTACATCGGAGTGAGTCCAGAACCGCCAGCGATCATGCCGACCTGGAAACGGGTTAGCACATACGTACTCGAGCCCAAACCATGAAGAGGGAGACAATCCATAGAGTTCGCGACGGGCCGCATGTCCATTCATGAATTCAGGGGACTGACCTTTGAGGCGAACTTGACGTTACCGACGTCTTTCTTATTACTCTTGATGCGGAAATTTCCAAAACCGTTGTATTGAAGCAAGCCGTTGGGACCTCGGACATCGATGCAATCTCCGATCTTCATGCTCTCGAGGTGCTGAGTCATTTTCCCGCCATCGGGAAACTTCGGGTGCGTGTTCTTGAAGTAGACTTTGATGACGAGATCGAAGTATCCGAGGTCATCATCGGACGAGACCGGTGTGTATGCTCTGATGACCAGCTCGTCGTTGATCTGGAACAGAAAAAAGTTCAGTCGATTTGAAATCTCCGAAGAAAATTCCGAGTCTCATCTGAACGCCGGCGCCGGGTCCTTCTGAAGTCCGGGGGCAGGGAAAGAGCCGCGCTCTTCGTCTGGAGCTCTCGAGCCTCATAAATCACGAGCGGATATCATCCTAAACTTTCGTAAATCTTTCCCAGCTTGAGCTGCGGAAGGGAACATTGTCCCTGCCAATCACAAGCCACCGACAGGGATGGAAAGGGAAATTCTATTTCGGATCGTTCGTAGTCGAACAATCCAAGCGTGAACCCATGGCGATAGGCATTAGAGATCGCCAGGATTCATGTGAGAGCTGCTCACGGCAAGTGAAATCGAAAACGATGAGGAGAACGAACAGGTGCAGGTGAACTTTCCGCTGAAGCGTCAGGGTGCTCAGAATATTTTTCGTTCTCCCAGCCTGACTGAGCGATCCCACTCTCGCTTGCTCGCTCGCACCTGGATAAGGCTTTAAGCACACACCGAGTTGTTAGCTCCCTGATCCTCGCGACCCATCACTTAAGAAAGTCCATCCGATTAAGTCCAGGACTTCCAATGTCCTGAACGGAATGTCCTATTGATTCTGCCTCTGCACAAAGAGTCCCACAGAGAGCGTTGGATCCGCCTTTCCTTCATGCGAACCGAATCGGGAAGCCCTGAATATATTTTCCGGAAAACGAGCGTCTGTACCCGTGAAGAATGAATGGATTCTAAGTCTTGAATGAATGTTCCAGAACCACTGCTTCCTCCTATGTAGCATACGGTTTCCTCGTTCGGAGCGGTTCCCTTTTCGGCTCAGCACCCCTGATGAGCCGGAGCAGCTTCCCAGAATGCGGATCTCGTGGTTCCCCTCTGACAGGTGTTGAGGGGACTGACTTCAATTAAAATACCTAATCCTTTGGGACTGCGATAACATTTCGCAAGTGGAAGGAGTTCGCCATATTTATCCCCGTCTAATATCTCGCAATTCAGACTTTACCCTCGTGTACATATATTGGACGGACTATTGCCAAACAACCTTGACCAAGTTCTTGACACGATCGAAAAAGCAGTCCCGATAGCAGTCCTTGCAACGCGGGACATTCAGATTGGTCATTGCTATTGATCGTCATCGCTGAACCTCCGAAGCCCCGACAGAAGGCGAGAATTCGTGAGCGATGTCCTCACGTGTTCCCTCTGCACCCACGCCGGAACCGGCCGACTTTGTTTATGAAAATAGACACGTGAGGTCACTGTGGTAAAGGGAACGGGATGGATGTGTCTAACTCACCCTAGTGATAAGATTGATATGCTGGCCGACCGGTAAGCCGAGTCTGTGGTTCTCGGTCGGCAATTTGAAGCGGAAAAGTCTCGTATCGTGACTCAACTCCTTCTTCTCCAACAGGGGCACGGAGTACTTCACGTCGGGGTCTTCGAGGAACTTCACATCCTTCTTCGAAAATAAGTATCGGTAGAGGAAAACCGCAACAGCGGCTCCTGAGGCCAGGTAGAGTAGCGGCAACATCCTGTCCCGGACAAGTGACATCGTAGAGAAAACAGGCGGCCGTGGCCAGAACGATGGATTATCTCCTCCTCTCCGTTCCTCACAGCAGCTCGCTGCTGCAGCTGCCAGTAGGGCTTTCGCGCGGCATAGAAGCTTCGGCCGGGCAGCCATGGAAGCAGGCCCGACTAATTCTGTCAACCATAGCCCGAGCGTCTCGAGAAACGGCGGGCACACTGGAGATCACAGTGCTTTAAGATCTAAGATCTAACACGGAGTCCTTCGGAATGCCGTGGACGGTTGCCGATGGCTCCTTCTGTCAAGCATTGGCCAATGCCCTCGTCGAGGTCGGTGCCGGCGGTTCGGACGTCGTCCTTCGTCCGATCGGAGTGAATCCTTCATGTGACTCACTCTGTTCGGAGTCCGAGCCTTTCGATTTCCCTCGAAGACTCTGACCCAATGCCGGGTACCCGAGCCCCGTTCCTCCTCTCACTCAGTGATTCCGATTGCAACCCTACGAAATCGTCTCGTCGACCATCGAGTTCGTGGGTGTTCCCGCCACTTTCTCCTTCTCCCCTGCGACCGCTGTCGTGTCTGGCTACAGCCACGATCCCCTGAGTCTGGTGGGCGATTTGTCCCGCGCATCGTACGCGTAGGGAAAAGAGACCACCGGGATGGTGCGTTTCCAACATTTTTGGATAGAGGCCATCTTTAGTCATTGAGCTGCATGATTCGTGGGTCCATTTATACCTGGAAGAATATACGGGAATGCGGGCCGATTTGGCTTCTCTTAAGACGTGACCATGATAGGCGCTGGAACCGCGGCTCATTTTCCTACAACACGGACCTCCCGGGCATCATGCATACTGCTCTCCGAATTTATTATCCTTCATCATATATATGTCACCCATTGTCATCCGGATTTTCACATTCGTCTGAGAGGAGCGAAAATCGCCGGCAAACTGTCTTCAGGTACCAGAACCGGGCCTCCTTAAGATCCGCTGCCCGAATGACCTGAAGCGATCACTACTTTGCCAGAGAATCCCCAGGGTTAAAGCTCTCTCCATTGGTCAAGTCTCGCAGAATTCCTCGGAATCCCAGCAATGAGGAAGATTCTCGGACCCTCTGGAAATACGGCGCACTTTGGGCGGATGGCGGCAGAAATGGCAAGCGAACGAGAACTCCTCCGGAGCTGCACAGAGCACGCGAGAAGGGGAAGTCGTTTCACAAGCCGGAGAATAAGTTCGTCCTCTGACTCATGGAAACAGCTCCGGATGAAGCCCATTGATCTCGCGGCTCAGGTGTTTGCACAAGCCAAGAACCCTTCGCGATGCAGCATCCGAATCTTCATGCGTTGCCAGGTTCGCTCAGATTCGACCACGATTTCGCTCGGGAGAGTGGCGGCGCTCTCTGGGTCTGGGACCTGCTATGAGAAACGGTCTCACATTTGAGTCGTTTCAACTCCGACTTCGTCGCTTCAAGCTCTTGTTGGAGTTTTTCGATTTTGTCCCATTCCTCCAGCAGGAGTCGCGATTGCGCTCTGCAAACGGAAAACACGTACTTAGCCATCGACCTCGAGACCCCTCGAGCTCGACCACATCACGCGAAATTTTTCATGCCAAATCCCTTCAAGCATCTCCTGGCAGCATAGGATTGTGCACTCTGCGAAAGCGATGCTCCCGCAGGCGGCTTACCCGCGAACGATTTCTTCGTCGATTTTCGCTTTGGTTTCCTCTTCAACCCTGAGCTTCAAGAAAACGATTTCCTTCTCGAGCGAAGAAACTTCCTGCTTGACTCGTGAACGGACCGAGCTCTCCCATTCCTGTTCCCTTGCTCGCTCTTTCTGACGTTCCTCGCGCCTTCCGATAAATTGAAAAAATTGAATTGACCTTATAAACTGATACTCGAAGGCTCCCTCCGGCGCAGTTCTGTCGTAGAATCAATGCGCGGACCATCTGGCGGAAACCTCTCGACCGAAGCTCATACCTCTGTATTTTCCTTTGACTGGCGAGATAGCTCTGATATCTTCTCAGCGAGTGCGAATGAGCGATCGCACACTGAATGGCGCTTATCCACTGGAGCTTCGACTTGTAGCAAGGAGCACTGATTTCGATCAATTTCTTGTTCGCCTGCGAAAATGTTCGATTCCTCAGAAGCACCAACGATTGCTGCCGGGGTCCGGGGAATTTCGCGTCAGCGAGTTCGAGAGAAGTCTACGAATATAATGTTATATACCTCGTGAGACTCGGTTTGAATTAGAATTTTATGACCCCGACTGGATATCTGACTCGAGGTAGGCCAAAGAAGGATGTTCGAGATCGATTCAGTCGCCGCCGATGCGCAAGGGGCTGCGTTCTTCACAAACGAGGCAGACGTCAATTGAAATTCGCTCATCTGGGGGGAAATGAATGGAAAGATTACTCATGACCAGTCAGCCGTCAGATCCACATCGTCGAATTGCGAGTTCCAACCGGATCTCACCTTCTTGCCTCGATTGTTGTAGAATTGTAGAAAGTGCGGGCGAACTACCATCACGAAATCCCACCATAGGCCGAAAATACGGCGTTTGATGGGTCCTTTCTTAATTACGTCGCCGACGAACATGTCGAACAGCTCTGCAGCGGCTTCTGCCAGGCCCCTCAGATCTTGGCCACCCGCCAGATGACTTTCTAGGAACGTCAAGAGGTTTTCAAAACTCATTGGCTTCCGCAAGGGATCACCCTCTAGCGAGCTCGGATCCCATTCTTCTCCTAGAGCTACTGCGAACGAGCGGCAGAATCCGTCAGCCTACGGAGACGAGAATTTCTTATTGAGGGAAGCATCGGATTCGCTGTATAGCGTCCAGACCTCGTGACCGATGACGGTCTTTGAGCGAATTGAGGTGAACATTGGTCGGAATCTCCGTCTGTACCAAGCTCCGAGAAAAGTCGATTTGAGGTTTCGCACCGTACCTCGTCAGGAGACATCATTACATTCACTTCACCCGTCACTGGATCGGTCTGGAGGTCCGCGAGGAAACAGAAAACTCTGAAAATGTGATAGATCGCTTTTTCCGGAAGTACCTCGCGACCATCTGACCGCGAACCCATGACTTCCGGGGAAAATTCATGCCAGCAAGCCTCTTCAATGAGATCCCGACTCCTGGAAAGGGCAATCGGGTGAACATTTCCGTCTCCAAAGCCCGACTTCGTGGATATATCATCGAAGATGGGAGAATCCTGAGCCTGTATCTCGTTGAACGATTCTATGAACGATATTGTTCCACCTTTGGATGGATTTTATATCACAAGTTGCTTGGAAGGGCGCGAATAGTTCCCTCTCGAGAAAACACATCAGTTGACCGAAATGGATCGGAGGTGTCTGCTGGAGAGAAAGAGTGTGGGCCACCAAAGGTGCGCCAACAACCTGCCCGATACGGGAAATCAATCCCTGCAAGAGATATATTGAGAGTGAGAACGCCGAAGGTCAAAGCAGTCAGGCAAGGGAAGATCTGATCGCGCTTCATCTGGGACTTCCCTCAACCCACCGTCAAACTATTACGGGTGACACATCCCTTGAGAATTTGTTGATGATAATGATAAGCATGCCAGACCGCGTTCGTGACGTCGGAGCTCAAAGAAGTCATCTGAAACGAGGAGCGTGAAACTCTTGGAAACGCCTGAAGCTCTTTGCCCGAATTTCATTCCATGCGGAAGGTTTCAGGATCGATCGCCCGCGGTGGAGAGGTCGTGGAGTGGTTCTTTCTTAAGCACCTATAATTTCTGGTCGCTCTCTACTGCAAATTCCTGCACGCGCAACGGAGCGATGAACTCTCCCGATAGCGGAGCAGACCACGGATTCAGAGTGCGCCTCTGTATCTTGGTCAATTATTATCGAGATGGATGCCTCGAAAACAGAGATATTTTACGCTGCCCAATCCTCAAATGATCTGTTCCACAGCTCGACGGTAATCTCAGAGGATTTCGGATTTCGGACATGCAGCCAATGGATTTCGAGTGTTTCCGACGATGGAAGCCTGAGCAGCATGCTGGCTCCTTCGGAATCAGAATATCGTCAATGCGGGGATTGATCCCCCACTGGTGACAACCTGACGACATTCCCCGGTCTTCGGTAGGGCAGGGAATCGCCGGAAGTCGATCCTGGGCATGGTCAACCCTTCAAATCTGTTCCGATCGTTCTTGCGAGTCGTAAGTTGGCGCACTGTGATCCTTAGCCGGGCGAATCGCCCGCCGGCTCCTCAATCCAAAAATTACATCGGCGCTCCAAGTGTGAGATGAGAGCCCATATGAGACGAAGTAGAACGCCTCTCGTTTCGACGTCGATCCCCAGAGAAAACTCGATGGATAGCACGCATGAGAAGCTGAGCCCGTAGGGGAATTCGCTCTTGGAGAAGTACTTCAATCTTGCTCGGAGTGATATAGAACGCAAAATCAGTCAAACCTTGAAACGCTCAATCCGAGTTCACCGGCTGCTCGGCCGTAGACGGGGCCTCGGATACAGAATCCATTCTTCCATCAGAAGTGCATCTGAGCTCTTGTGAAAAGTCCCTCGTCGCGACGATCCCTATTCTCAATGCACGAGGGGATTCGAGTCGTCGGCGAGAGTTTCTGCTCGAAAAAAGTCATTCGATGCGTATGGACTATGGACCCCCGCGGTAACACTCACAACGGAATGACCAAATGTGGTCATGACAGCGCAGAGCGCTCCATCTGGCGTGCGGCTCGAAAGAAAACGTCCCATACCGTGTGGGAGTTGATTTGGTGAGAATTTTGGACCACTTCGCGCGCTGTGATCCCTTCGTCTTCTTCCCTCGGCAGCGAACGGAGCTGGCTTCTCTAAGCATCAGCACATCGACATGACGACTTGCTCAGTCTCAGTTGGGTTCTGCGTGTGCTAGGCCGCCCTCATACTGTAGCTTTCCGAAAACCCTTTCCGTTTCGCGGAGGAATCGGATTAGGGCAGCAATACCAGTTCTTCAGAATGTCGATGAATAAGGCCGGCTTCGTCCGCGCTTAATCTGAGGGTTCGCTCCCTGTCGTTGGGAGATTTTCCCCTTGACAGGATAAGTTTTCTGGTTCGCGAATTTCTCGCTGAACCTGCTCAAATTTTCTTCACGCTGCGATCTCTGTACTTGGTTGGAACGAAGGGAATGACGCAGAAAATTCTCCTCGCCGTGAGCAAGATCAAGAAGCTCGGAACGCACTCCGCGCCGTCGGACTTCTTCATCGCGAATGACCTATGAGGGTTCAGATGTCTACCATGTGCGGTATTGTTTCTGCATTCAGACGAGGCGGAGCTCCGTGAGTGACTTCATCATTGACGCGCGGAGAGCCTCGGGGCTGACCAGCGCATTGCGCGCGTCTCACGGAAGACACTTCGCCTCCAGGTTCGATCTCTCAATTGTTGAGAGGTTTCGCAAGACTGTTCGCCTCGGACTTCGGAGCATCGATCTGATCATTCGTCTCCGTATTGAAGAATGACAGTTCTTCCGTCAGGAGAGTACGCCTCGGGCCGTTTCCGCTCAGCAGATAAAATTCGAGAAACTTAGCCTGGATCTCTTCATGGGAATTATGATTTCCCAACCAATCCTACTCGGGCATAAATGGACCAGATTTAAGGGGCCGGAGTCCTTTGAATCGAATCCGATAATGTTCGTCTATAGTAGCGCGCGATGGCCGTCGGGGTCACGCGCGGAAGAGAGAGAACTTCTGTGCATCAAATTATGTAGTCGCCAGGAGGACGCTCTTCGAGGCCGGATTTACTCAATCCATTCATTCGTGACACCTTCCACAAGCGGGATGCTTTTTTCCAGTCAGACGGCTCGCTGCCCCGGTCACTGGTTCCGGAAACTGCTTCGGCTGATGCGGGAACCAACCTCTGAGAAGTGGCCTGGCCAGGCTGTTCGATTCGAAATTTCGCGCCAAGCCGAATAAGGCGCTCGAACGGCAACAGACTTCATTTCAGCGCGTTCTGTCCTCCGGTGGACAACAATCGCTGCATAGTCGGTGACATATTTCAGAACCTCAATTCGAATAGAGGCTTGTCCTGCGGGTTGGTCTCCTCAGCAATTCAAGACGTTTCGCTCGCTGATACTCCGTAGTCGTAGGTTACTTTCGGATACTATCACTGAGCAGTGTCGAAGAAACCGGGGTCCGCAGACGACGTGGAAATTACTCGATCGCACGTGGAGCTCGCAGCCTCCACTGGAAGCCGACGGCAAAATGAGCGGAGAAGGTAAATTCATCGCTAGTCGGACATTTTTATCCTTATCATTCATCACCGAGCGCGTCTCTGCTATAAGGCCACTAAGGGCGTACCTACTTGAGAGGCTCACTCAGTGTTTCGAATGTTACCATAGGGTTTATCTGCTCGCTAATCTCTTCAGAGTATTTCTTATGGAATGCACACCCAGTGCTTGCCCATGCTCTTCTCGAGAGTCCTAGACCGGAAATTCGGGGAAGAGAATGATGCCACTCCTGAGCCATCTCGACGGCTCTCGGGGCCTTGGTCTTGAATGCAGAGATGAATCAATTAGGAAGAGAGGAGTAAAGGAGCGCGGTCAATACCTACATATACCTATCCTATCATGCACGTCGGCTCCCAGATCAGCATCAGGGTGGCCCATCGAGCCCGATGGAACGTCCATTGCGACGAAGCAGAATTCGAGAGCTTAGTTGAGATTTATTGACTACCGGCGGATTTTTCGGTCAGAAGGGGATTTTTTCTGGGATCTTCACGGTTCAGATCATCCCCTTATCTTCTACGGATACTCCGCGAGAGTTCGAAACGCGACGACTCCTCGACCGCGAGTTCGAGGGCAGCTTTGAATCTCTGTGGGGCGAGAAACTGATGTATTCTTTTGATCATTTCAGATAAACTTTCGAAGAACGAATTGAAACGAAGACTCAAAGCAGAGCAAAAGGAGAAGGAGCGTCTCCAGAAGCAGGAAGCAGCAGCAGCAGCAGCGGCGGCGGCGGCCGCTGCCTCCGATGGCCGACCGAGGGACGTTCGGCCGAAAGTCCCCAAGGATACACCTCAGGTCAACGAGGAGGAATTAGACGCCAACGAGTACTTCAAAATCCGATCAGCAGCCGTAGCTCAACTCAAAGAACAGGGAGATCACCCCTATCCGCACAAGTTCCATGTCTCAATGTCGTTGGAAACTTTCATCCACGACTTCCAGCATCTGGACCCTGGGCAGGTTTGTTTCAGACAGATCAGATGATTAGGCGCTTCGAATCAGTTTTGGAGCTCTCCGAGTTTTCTATGAAAACGAATCATTTTTATCTCTGTCCCGTAGGTCTTGGAAGCCCACAAGGTCTCGGTGGCTGGTCGGTGCCATGCCAAAAGGGAGTCGGGCCAGAAGTTGATCTTCTACGATCTCCGCGGCGAAGGAGTGAAGATTCAAGTGATGGCAAACTTATCGTATTACGAGAGTGAGGAAGCTTTCTTCAAAATCAACGACAAGCTCCGCCGCGGTGATATCATCGGTGCATACGGTTATCCGGGCAAGACCAAAAAAGGTGAACTGTCGATTGTTCCGATCCGGATGGAGTTGTTGTCGCCGTGTCTGCACATGTTGCCCCACCTCCATTTCGGTCTCAAGAACCAGGAAACTCGGTACCGCCAACGATACCTGGACATTATTCTCAACGACAGTACGAGACAAAAATTCGTCACTCGTGCGAAGGTCATCAGGTTCGTCCGCGAATTCCTCGACGGCATGGGCTTTCTGGAAGTGGAGACACCGATGATGAACATGATCCCGGGAGGAGCGACTGCGAAACCCTTCCTCACATATCACAACGACCTCAAGCTGGATCTGTACATGAGAATCGCACCGGAACTGTACCTCAAACAGCTGATCGTCGGAGGTCTCGAGCGGGTCTACGAAATCGGCCGCCAGTTCCGAAACGAAGGCATCGACCTAACCCACAATCCTGAGTTCACGACTTGCGAGTTCTATCTCGCGTACGCGGACTACAACGACCTCATGGAGATCACAGAGCAGATGATTTCGCAGATGGTCAAGAGGATCAAAGGCACATATATAGTGGAATATAGGCAGGCAGACGGGACCGAGCTTCAGATCGACTTCACTCCTCCATTCAAGCGCCTCAATCTAATGACGGAGCTTGCTAAAGAGATGGGTGAAACCCTGCCGCCACCCCAAGAACTCGGGACGCCTGAAGCCAATAAAGCTCTCTCCGATCTCTGCCTGAAACATCAAGTTGAATGCGGAGCTCCGCGGACCACCGCGAGGCTTCTCGACAAGCTCGTCGGCAAATACCTCGAGGAGAAATGCATCAACCCGACCTTCATTACAGATCATCCGAGCATCATGAGTCCCTTGTCAAAATGGCACAGGACGGTCAGAGGTCTCACGGAACGTTTTGAACTGTTCGTTGCGACCAAAGAGGTCGTCAATGCTTATACCGAGTTGAACGATCCTGTGGTCCAGCGAGAACGCTTTGAGCAACAGGCGAAGAGCAAAGCCGCGGGCGATGATGAAGCCATGTTCCTCGATGAGAATTTCTGCACTGCGCTCGAATACGGTCTTCCACCGACGGGTGGTTTCGGTTTGGGAATCGATCGCTTGGTAATGTTCTTGACGAATTCGAATAATATAAAGGAAGTGCTGCTCTTCCCAGCAATGAAACCCGAGGAAAAAATTCCCGCCGGAGACCAGCAACCGCCCCTACCACCGATTTAGGACCTTGGCGCGACCAGCTTTATTTTCTTGTCCGCTATAAATAAATAGCTCTCGGCTACTCGCTGGGGCTCTGAACGAAAAACACGGGTGATCTCTTAATCGTTGGTAAAAGTCGGGGAACTGAGAAAGGCAGTCTCGGACGTTTGAACCGCGGCCTCTTACGGCCACGACATGTCTTGGACCCTCACGGCAGCTGAAAAAAATCCGCTGGAATGTTCGTTGGGTTCGCCGAGGGGGATTTACAGGCAGGGAAGAAATCGCGAGGGAAGTGAGATTCTCCTTCAGGACAGAAATTCCTCGGATGGAAGATATTTTGCCTCACGTGATTATGAGCCCACATCGAAGGAAGGTCGGAAAATGCTCGTGTTGCTCTCAGGCTTCCCCTCATCCATAGAGCTTCCCGCGCAGCACAAAAGCAACTCGTCGGCAGACTATCTCCCGAAGCGGTCCCGGAACCTTCATCGCACTCCACGAACCCGCTGGGGAATCGCTCGACTCCGCAAGGCGTGAGGTCCCTCTCGACTCTAGCTGAGTCGGTGAACAGCCGAATTATCCTTCATTATTCAGCCCCCTGGAAGTACGGCATGCGTCGACGAGACGGCGAGCTCGTCCGTTCGACTTTTGGCGCCACGTCTGTTCGTCCTGCGCATGCGCGGACAAGTTCTTGGTATTCGTGAGGATTGTGCCAATCGAATGTTTGCCTGATAGATTGTCATTTGTCATGTGTTATGTAGTAGCGCTGAGAGGAAACTGATTCAGTCAGCGAGAAAGGGCTTGGCGATGTATATTCCTTAAGGGTGTCGTCCCACTCGGGATATCAGGTACGTTCGAATCCACCTGTTGACGATAAGTTATTTCGATGAGTAAGGAGCTCCACTGTTTTCGCCTCCTGCTCTTGATTCTCTTGATAAGGGATCACATCGTCGCTCGGAGACTCGGAGATCCTGTTCCTTTCGGAAAGAGAATCCGAATTCGGGTGCATGTGGCTCCCCGAAAGAGTTTCTCAGATTATATCCTCGCCAATGACTACGGTGGAGCGATGGGAAAGTCCGAAGTTACGGCACCACTGCTTCATCTTCGACGATGGCTCTGTCCGAGGTTCCACCAGTCCCTCTTCTCGTTAGAGCCGGGGTTCACAATCTACTCGATGAACGACTAGGGTTGCGATAGGTCGCTGCTAGATCTGAGCGTCTCATGCACCGCATTCTGTTCCATCAGGAGTTTCTTGTTGATATCTCGAGCGTATCAAGTTTCTCATCGGTCATTCATACGATCATCGCCGGGCTTTCGAGTGCATCGGGGCCTTAGGAACCGAACCCGTTGCACAAGGGTATCCATAAAGGGGGTTCACTGCGCAAATGTTGCAGGAGTTCGGGAACTCCGCCTGCCGACAGTAAGATTCTGGCGGAGGTCTCGATCATCCCCCCGAACTCATATCGGGTACTGCGAAATTAGGCGGCGCCAGAGGAGACGCACAGGCTCTCCTCCAAAGATTGAACCGCACTCGCGGAGCATTTTAGCGCAGGAGCTCGCACTCTTTCGCGGAAAATGCAGCTGATAATCACAAAGAATTTGAGAATCGTCAACAGTCTCAAGAAGCTCCCTCGGGCGAGCGTGGCATCGATGAGACTTCACGGTGTGCTGGGAATTTCTTGTCTTCGGAGTCCGCTCTGGAAGTCTCGTTTGGGGTCGAGATAATGTTCCTGATCTAAGGATCCATCAGAACTCTTCAGTCAGGAGTCGAATGACCTATCTGGTTTGGGTTGGTGATGGGGCGACGGGTTGGATTTGACGCACCCTTCGAAAGAGTTTCAGATCCATATGGCCGCTTGTATGGAGGAGCATATTTTCGATTTTCAAGCATGACCCACTAAGATGTGCAAGACATCGCTATACCCATGAATATTTCCTCAGTCGATCGTGGTCTCCCTCTCCAGGTTCGGTGTCCTATAGGAGAAAGCTCAAAGCCCAGAGAAGCAATCCCGGGAGCCTCCGCCATGAGTTTCTTGAAAAAACATTTCCGTCGGAAAAAGCACTCGACCGGCACCACCCAATCATCGGGCCCGATTATATCCGGCTCCGACTCGTACATCGAGGATTTTCCCGTGGTAAGTTCGATGCGAGATGAGACTACTCGCTCGAACAACAACTCCTCATCGCTGATCAAGAAAGTCATCAGGGCGTCACCGAAACCGCAAACGGCAGCGCCCGGTCAGCTGTCGACTCTGAAACTGAGTCCGATTTCTCGGTCTCAGCCTCCGAATCAAGTTTCGATAAGCATTCTCAGATCAAGACTCGGAGAACTGAGTGGCTCGGTGGACCCAGCATCGTCCGTGAGAAGCCTCTCAGGAAGCGTGAAAACCGTGGCGCCCGAGCGAAACAGCTTCGGGAACGAGTTGCGTCACCTCGACCTGAAGATTAGAAGCAGCATCACAAACGAATTAGACGCCAACAACGCATGGGAAGCTCTCGCAGGACGACTTAGACATCCGGACCGGCCATCCGACCTCCTACTCACGGACATCCAGCTCCTCAACGACGAGAAAAAAGTGAAGAGCCCGTCCGAGGAAATACTCAAAACCTGGTCCACAACCGGGCGGAACCGACCCCGGATCCAGGACCTCTACGATGTATTGGTGGATATCAAACAGCTCAAGATCGCTCAACGACTCATGAGAGAGGTCACGGGAACGTCGATCTCCTTTGATTTTGCTACGGAATCGGGACAGGTCCTCATGGGATCTGAGGTCAGCACAGCTAATTTCCTTAATGTGCCGGCCTGTCTCTCGAATGTGTATCAAATATGTTTCAACGACATGGACACCGCCACCGACCATTTCTCGCACACGAGCACAGCTAAAATCGGCGAAGGCAATTTCGGTGTCGTCTACAAAGTTAGAATCGACGGCGAGGACATGGCAGTGAAATTTTCCAAACAGGATATCAAGCAGATAGCCAATGAAATCGAAATGTTGAACACGTTCGATCATCCGAATGTACTCTCTCTCTACGGAATCGCTCTCGGAGAAGGTGAATCGTTCTGCTTGATCACGAGGTAGGTTCGAGATCCTGGGACACTCGCGGAGGATCCGTCGCTGAAATGAGAATCCGACCCCTAACGTGCTACCATTGACGTCGTCGCGCCTTTGCAGATACATGCGAAACGGTAGCCTCCAGGAGCTGTTGTTGAAGCAGCCGCCCGTGGAATGGCCGCTAAGGTTCCGAATCCTGAGGGACGTCGCAGCCGGCTTGGAATACGTCCACTCCTTCAACGTCGAGCACAGGGATGTCAAGCCGGCGAACATCCTCCTCGACGAAAACATGAACGCTGTGCTGGGTGAGTTCGTCTTCGATATCGTCATACCGTGATCCGGAAACCCATGGCAATCGCGATGATCTCCTCTCTGACTTTGGTTCCACGATTTACAGCTGATTTCGGAACGGCCCGCAAGAAGTTCACCGACAGTACGGAAGTGACACAACATTACGCGGGATCGTTGGATTATATGGCGCCCGAAGTCAGGAACGGTATCGTGGACTTGGCATCGGATGTATTTTCTTTCGGAGTGGTGGCTCTGGAAATTTTCACCGGTCTCCGTGTTTACGACTCTTCGCGTGAAGGGGAACATATCCGAGACCACGTGAAGGGGAAAAGCTCAGAAGAGGTGAATTTTTCGAGGCGAGCGGCAGGATATTTTCACAAGAAACTGAACGGTTCGGCATAAATGAATTATAGGGAGGAGAAACGTAAAACTTGGATGAATCATTTCAGGTTTGTGACTCTCGCATCGTTCGTCTTTCGGAGAGCGTCCGGGAAGACTGCTTCCGAGACATTATATCATGTGTACAGAAGAAGAGGGCGTTTCGACCGAATATGAGCTATGTCCACAAACAGTTCGAACTCTTCCTCGAATGTGTTTGCGACAAGGAGACTGAGTGAGAGGGTCGAGAGGAACTCCGAGTTATCCTGAGACCGAGGATGCAACGATGCTCGCTGCGGAGCGGAGCTCTTGCATCCCGTAATTTCTACCCAGGAACACTAGGAATTTCTGTAAGAAGGGCAACCTCTATTCGACGGGATTTTCCGGACGAGCGCTGCGCCGCCAGTGTATAGCGAGGACGATGGAAGAATCGAGAGAAGTCGCTGCAGGCCGGAACGAGCCCTCCTGTGAATCAGCCGATTTTTTTCAGTTGTTCCATCGTACACAGAATAGATTCGATACCTGGTGATGAGAGGGCAGCCATTATTGGGAGGGTGCCCCCAGGGGGTCGGGCTGAGAGGCAATCGAGAAAGGGGTGTGCTCGCCCTCATATGCATAATTATCAGGAATACGGTGATCATGCAGAAGTAGTGAATCTGCTCTTCGTGGACTTCGGAGCCTGGGGGTAGGGATCGTGGCCCGCGGGCCAATTGTGTCCCGTGTGGTCTCTTCGTGTGGCCCGCGAGCGTCTCCCCAGATACTCCGCTGCTTAGTCAACCCTGAGGGCCCTGCGAGTGCCAAAGCGCGAGGCTCCCTTCGTCCGGTCCAGGAGAGAAAGTTCAAAGGGGCTTCAAGTATCTGAGGAGCTCCGGTGTCGAGGACAGAAGATCATGTTGTCTTTTCTCAAGTCTTGCTTTCCTCGCTCCGGTGTGCATATCAACACCTCGATACGAAGAAAAGGCCCGTGAGCTCCTCTGGGGCTCACATGTGGCCTGTCCAAGTCTTTCTCCATGTTCCGAGCTGGGATGTTTAGCAGAAACGTATAGGTACGACCAGGCAACGTTCCGGGCGATCGTCAGCGGGCTGCGCCCGAGAATTTGCTCCGGGATTGAAAATGTTAATCACGCAGATCTTGACCGTGCAGATGCACCAATGAGTGCCTAATTCGAATGTAAAAACCGGATACACTTGCGATAGAATAGCTCATCAGTGGTGGATCATTCATTCTTCCTATCTTCAGGCGCTCGCGTCCGGGATCGCAATTTGCCGGTCGTTATTGTAAAGACGACGAACGACCTGGCGATTAAACCATGCTTCTGAACGTCATATATCCATCATTGCACTCAGTGAATACTCTCTGACAGCTCCGCGCCACCCGTTGGAAGCTCTCTGATCTAATTTAGGTCTCTAGGTATCTCTCGGATCTGATGAAGATTTATTGTGGAGAGCATGGCTGCCGATGGCCCGGTCCAGAGAGCGGTTTGTGTATAGCATGCAGATTTGCCGCCTTCCCCACCTTCTCTCGATCATGAAATGGCTCTCCCGAGTCCGGGAGCCATCTCCTCCCGGAGGAGACCATAGATGGTTCCCGAAAGTCAAGAACCCGGCGTCAGTGGCTTCGAAGTCGAAAATCGATGTATTGGTCAAGTGAACACCCTCAGTGAGCCGTGAACTTCAGTTCTCGCGGGCGACGTGACTCTCCAAGATAGGGCTCGAGGGCGGCAACGCTTTGATGTTCGTTTCCTCCTCCCGACGCGACGACTTTCTCCTGAATTGCTCATCAACGGGAATCGAAAGTTCGACACCGATATATTAATGTACTAGCGGAGCCCGTCGCCGCTTCGCGGCTGTGTTCCTCTTTTTGGATTGCGTAGCACGGAAAACGTTCCCGTTTCAAAGTTGTTCATTTAAGTGCTCTCATTCATAGAAACTGATTTATTCGAATGCTTCTCGCTCTCGAAGAATTTTCAATGACACCGCATCCGTGCTTATCGCATCCCGTAAATGTATGTATTGCTCAGCTCGCAATTTGGTTTGATTCAATCGGATGTATAGGAGACGTTCTGTCTCAATCTTTGCATACATATCCACAACGTACTGATGAAATCGTTGTCGACATCTCAAGATATGATTGTCCGAATCGTCTCTCATCATCAATCGATACGAATAATAGTTCATTGCGCTGACTTTTTTGTCGGTCTCAATGTCTGAAAATGGCTCCCTCATACGAATATTAAAATGATAGCCATCCTCCCCTTGCCAGAAAAGGATCGGATACTGCAAAGCATCGTATGATCGATGAGTCTCACTCAGACGTTTCAAGACGCCGCTTTTCCTATGTAATACAATATCCCGCGAATCGAAATTTTCCCCCACAATGACAATGGCTTCTTCGTCAATCGAAGGTGCATTGTATCGACCTCTGTGCTCGCCGACAGGAACTTTGTCGGCTTTGATGCCAATCACGTACTCATCTGTCGGCATAAGTTCAAGAGCGGTCCTGAAAAGTCTGACTAAAGAATTATGCTGATCGAACAATATTTGAAGAGCAGCAATTATCTCTCGGTGAGTTTGCGAGTCTATGCGACATCGCTGCTCAATTTGATCCTCTGAGTTCCCCATGAAGTAAATTTGGAGGAACTTATGGTCAGACTCGGGAAGCGGGAGGAGTGATCCTGCCAGATGGTAAGTCTGCCCCTGCACCTTGAAGGTTGGCATGAAATTACCGTGAGAAATCTCTGTCGCCCCGAATGACGTCATTTGGAAGCATGAGTTGTATCTCCGAATGTTGGCCAAGAAATGTTTCGCTTGAGTTGTTTCGCCCAAGAGCCTTGATGCTAAAGGTTCGGGTGGTGGAGATAATTCCGGCAGTTTAACTCGACCGCCAGAGCACATTCCAGGGGGTTCAGCTTTGAATTTGATCGCACGACAATGAGCACAAATCTTATCCATGGCTCCAATAACGGCGCATGGATGAGAGCTATAATCGAAGTCAGGAGAATAGTCAAATGCGGCACACTTCAAATCAACATTAAAATTTAGCTGATAACGCCGATTACGCTCGCGACGGGCGTGTAAACGCTCAACTCTCTGATCATCAGTCTCGCTAGCAAGGTTTTGGGTATGACAATCCCTATCAGCTCGCATTCGAGAGATACGTTGCTCATCAGACTCCTCAGCCCGTCTTTGCGAAACGCGAGCAAGACTGGCTGACAACCTCGATTGGCGTTGTGAAGTGGTCTCGAACGATCGGACTTCGGCGATATAGGTCCGATTTTGTTCCAATCGAGCTCGGTTTTCCGAATCTGTCTCCAGAATCCTCCTAGTTCGTTTCTGCTGAGCTTGATGGGTCGTACGACCGAGTGCCGAACGTTTAGGTGGCATCACTTCGCATGCATATGAAAATTTGATTATAGAAAAATTATGCCATTTGGCTGGTCTACATGCCTTCGAATCCACGCTGCAGAATTGTCAACACCGTCAAAAAAGGAGCAACGCCTCCTCGGACACCGTCAAAAAGGAGCAGCACCTCCTCGGAAGCTCGATTCGATACGTTTCGATATTCCGTTTAGGACTGCTCACGGGTGCTCTCATTCAAACTGAATCAGAGGACGACTATGTGTGGAACCAAAAACTCGCGTTTCCCGGTATTGCCCTGAGCGCTAAAGAGCGCCCGCTAGTGCTCTCTTTCTTCCAGAATCGGAGGACGACAATGTGAGGGAACAGGGAAAATTGGCATTTCCCGGAATTAGGAGGATCCTCGTCGTGTTTTGCCTGGCCTAAAACCTATTCGGAATCGGTGTCGACATTCTTGCCGAATTTCATGCCGATACTATGGGTCGTTTAGGAATGCATAGAGGACATACATACAGAAGCCATCTCTCTTTTATATGTATAGATTGTGATACTTTCGAAATAAATCTACAGCTTGTGGAAACCTCTGATCGACGATTAATCACTTCATTTCTCCGAGTTTTAGGGGGACTCAAGCCGGAGCAAGCTTCTGATGTAGGGCCGACCTTGAGCCGCGCTGCGTCCCTGAGGCTCGTGTGCGACCGGACTCAAATTATGATGGGAATGAGAAAATGGGAGAATATGGGATGTACACTTTTATTGAGGTTCAAAGATTTATTATCACACTCGTCAGGCTCGGGACAACGATTTCCAGGCCTGTGCGACGATCTACATACATGAACCTTGGGAAATCATCGCCTCAGATCCTCTATCCCGTACCACGCTTCCAGACTCTTTTTAGACATTCGTTTCCCCTCGAACATAATTTCCCCTAAATCGCTCCAAGTCTTCTGTATGAAGTCACCCGCATATGAGCTGAGTTTTAAAACCCGTCTCACGCAGAATTTCTCGATAAGTTCAAAGTCTCGTCCGTAGAATAATGAACAGATATATAAACGAAAACGTACTCTATGATAAATAATTCACAGGGTCGATGGATGTCAAGAATAACGACTGAAACAGTGACTCCGAGATACCAGGCTTGTGCGGAATGAGCTCGTGTTACCCTTCGATTTTACTGCCATTGTTTCCCCCTCTAGTTTCGGAAATCGCGGATGATTCAGCTTCAGCCACGTTGCTCAGAGACTCATATCGAGAAGCTCCTCGGAGCAACAATTGAACCCTCCAGACTGATTCCCTCAAGATTGATAAGTAAATTGCACTCACGGACTTCTCGTCCCTGCTTTATCGAGCCTCTAGTCAGGGGGTAGATATCTGTCCGCAAGTCCCGTCTTACAGAGCGTTTCGACGGCGGGGAGCACGAAGCTCGGGAGACTGCACGTCGACTCCCCGGTGTTCCCGACGCTCTTTGAAAATAAAAACGGTGCTTCCGTCGCTCCGCCCAAATCGGTTACCCAAGACAAATGTTCTTCTCGTGATGGACAAGGTTTCTCAGGATAGGAATTTCGCTTAGAATAGGGTATTCGTATTACAATCCCCATAATGAGAGGAAAAGTCACTCGAAGCAAGACGCGAATCCCGGGGACGTGTTATACCCCGCAGTCTGCTGGATCTCCCGCTGTCGGGCATACAGTCATCATGACCAACACCACGAAGCAGTCCACTTTGATAATGAGAGCTTTCTTAAATTAAAGGTTCGCATCACGATGTATCACCGAGAATAGAGGGGCTGTACAGATCCGGAGACACATCGAAAATGAATACCAGGGTTTCGGCAAGAGGGAGCAGCCTCGGAAGGATGGTCGAAGACGGTCAGAGATCCTCCGGGAGGACTCTTTTTACGCCTTTTTGACAGCTTGACCAGATTTGCCAAAGAACGCATCCAGGAACAGGCCCACGAACACCAACACGGTACCTATCCACTGTTGAGTGTTGAGAGCGTTCCCGAACAGGAGAATCGAGCAGAGCACGGTGAATAGCTTCCGACACGTGGTGACAATCGAGCAGTTCAAGGGTCCGAACTCCGCCACCATCGAGTAGATGAATATCTGCCCGACCGCCGAACACCCAGCGAAAAGAGCCAGTTCGCCCAAGACCTGGGGGTACTTCTGAACGAAATTCAGGAACAGCGGGAACTCGCCGGTGAAAACAATGGCCACCGAGACGTACACGACGGAGAAGAAGTTGAGCTGGCTCATCATGTGCAGAGATTTCGACTGGAAGTTCTGCCGCATCCTATCCTGCAGAGCGGCGATGAGACCGTCGGAAATCAAAGAGATGCACAGGAACGTGTTTCCAAAAAGGGAGCTCTCGCCCGCAGCACCTTTGTCGTTTTTGTAGGAGAATATCGCAACGCCGACAACGATCAGGGTGACGAAGCAATACTTCAAGAGGGAATACCGTTTCCGAGCGAGAAGTACGCCAAGCAGCATGACGGGAATCGGCTTACACGACTTTGCAACGACCTGCGTCGGATAGTTCACGTACTTCAGCGCTGCGGTGCTCGTGAGCATGGCGAGCATGTAGAAGAACGACGCCGAGATGTAGTATCCGTAGGTGGTGAGGTCTCGGCCTTGTTTCCAGATTGTGCTGAGGAGAATCCTGGCCAGCGCGGCATTCACGAAACATTGCAAGAACAGCAACGTGAAGGGATATTCGAATCGTTCCCGATCGGCTCCGTAGCGACCGCGGAGAATTTTCTCTTGAAAAATACCAAAAACCGCGTACGAGATGAAAATTCCCGCGGCGTAGATGATCAACTTCACAGAGAACTTCATTTTCTCCGTTTGATGACGAACCACAGTAGAGTCACCTCTGACCAGCTTGGAAACCGCTCGTTTCTCCGAGAGCTCACCGGTGCGATCAATCACCACCTCGAGGTCGTCAGCCCTGCGCATCGCATTCTGGCCTGAGAAGTACTCTTCGCTGCTTCCGGAGATTTTTTCTGATTTTGCCAAGGCTTTCCGGAGGCTTCTGAGTTGTAAATTCGGGCACCGACCGGCTTCTGATACGTCGGACACCGTCACCACCGCACAGCTGGCCACACGGCTGTAGGTACACGTAGTCTTTCGTTCGATGGAACCGCGCTCCGACGTTTAAGCGCAGATCAGGAACGCTGGTGGTGTAAAAAAGTTCGGGGAAGAGTTAGTTCTCCAAAGATAATCGATAAGAATCTGCAAGGAGCGGGGTTCCGGATCGTAGATTTTGATTCCATGTAATGATGTTTCGTATCGATGGAATTTTCCGCAGAGCTTTCTCAGTTCCCTGGAGCTGAAGACTCCGGCGCGACACCAATTCTAGTTCAGAATCATTCAGGTATCCAAGGTAATACACATTTGATAAGCAGGGAATTGGAAAGCGTGTACTGGCACACAAGATTGGTTGGTGAGATAGGGTAGAAGGCAGTAGGGTCGTCTCCGCTGTCGCTCAGCGTCACCGAGGCGAATCCGAAGTTCAATCACTACACTCGTGAAGAATCGAAGAAGCACTCGGGTAGAGTTTCGACAAGACAGTGTGTTTATTGATTGAGAGGTTGTTTCTTATACTATTGTCTGTGAGAAAGGGGGACCTATGTTGAGGCGCCGATCCGGCACCCCTTCTACTTGACTGATGAGCACACCCCCGTACACTATGGGTCCCCATAATTAAACGCTGGGCTCTCACGAGCCGAGCGCTTTGTCGGCACTTGTGGTCGTGCGCAAGCGTATGCGGAGCCGCTCTGATTCTCAACTCCGTACTGTTTCGCAAACCGAGGTCCAATGAGACCCGGATGTAGTTAGATATGAGAATCCGAGATCGGCTGACTTCCAGCTAGCTTCTCTTGAAGACGGCTCAACCCATTTCGGAAGATTCCGTACCGATGACAGGTTGTTCGAGGCGAATGTTTGAGCGGTCTTCCAGAGATTGAAGATGCGTCCTCGCGGGGTGACTCGGAGGCATCGCTATCTATGTTTCTCCATTTTCAACAACATTCACTCCTTCAAACTCTCGCAATCTGCCAGCCTTCCTAGGTTCTCCAACCATGGATGATATTTTCATAAGTGATGACATGATAACCAAGTCACGGGCAAACGATTCATCACCCCGACCGGATCAGGCGCATTCACGGAGAGTCTCAGAGAGCCGTGATCAACTCTCCGGCTCGATCACGGGAGCTCCGATTGAGATCGAGAAAACTGAGAGAGACCGGCTGCTGCTAATCGACAGAGAGTCGAGCCGCTCGCAAGCGTTACTCAGGCGCTGAGTGCCTGGGCCGTGAGATGTGCCGAAGTCGGTGTTCCCAGCAGCGAGAATCACGTTTGAGAGCTTCGTCAATCTGATGTCGATCGTTGGAGTTCTTCAGCAAGTTGGTTCTGATCTCCCGATGAGCTCCTGACGAGATACGCTGCTTGGTTGTGAGCTTGAATAGTTTGCAATCGACTCAGCGACGTCGTTGACGGCTCCGAGGTAAGCGAATTATTGTAAACAAAGAGGCATTCGAATCGGGTTCCTGGAGAATCAGGCATGCACATCTCCAAACCCCAGACATGCCATATCAGGGAGCAGTGAAAAATTGAGACCTATTATTTTTTCTGTATCTCGAGGCGGCTGGGAAGTGCCGGTCATAAAAGTCGCTCAGAATCCAGATGTGAATGGGACACAGCCCTATGTTCCCGATTCGCGGAAATTGTCCTGTAGGTCTCGAAAGTTCGAGTTCGAGCGCTGAACATTCTCAGAGCCCATGAGTTGCGTGAAATTATGGTCAATGACCGCTGTCCGATACCTACTCAGCCGCTCGAATACAGCTGCTCGGCCTGGTCACGACTGACTCTCGCAGACTGCCACAACGAAACTGCTCCACGCCGCATTATGATCGGAGACCGCGCAACTGCTAGAGATTAGAGATCGAGGCATCTCGCTAAGTCTCCCTCAGACATATGTATATGCGCCCGATAGCCTTCCCTAATTCATCATCAATGATGATGCATGAGAAATCGAAGTTATCTATTCCAATATGCCTCCTAAGCCAGAGGCAGGCGAGAAACAGGGCGGGAGAGCGGTTACGGGGGCGCATGCTGAAGCGCGGACGATCGGATTGTGCTAACGTTGTGAATCGCACGTTGGATGTTTTCTGAACGTTCGTGTTCTCATTCTCGCAGATGTCAAGCTCCTCAAGTTCGAAAAGCAACGGGAAAACTCATCACCACCACCATCATAATCATTCTCGACATACCAACAACCATCACTCGACAAGTACGAGCCAGCGAAGGCGAAGCCGGAGTCGCTCGAGGGCCTCATCGTCGCGGAACTCGAGTGCCAGTTCCACGTCATCACGTCACTCGAACAAGTCCTCGACGCATAATACGGCACCGACCGCAAGCGCGACGTCACTCGCGGCAGCCGGCTCCGCCGTAGCTCCTCCCCCTCCACCCCAGCAGAAAAAGCCTCAGAAGTCGCGCTATACGTCCTTTTACGAGAAAAAACGAGTAAACATGATTGAGGATCTGGCTGAGATACGAAGGCACAAGGAAGAGGTGAGGCTGGATCTTTCTTTCGAGAAAAAATACTCAGGAATAAGCTGGCGGCTGATCTTCATGAAGATGATTTGGCTGAACGCGATGGGATGTAAGGACAGCAGTATTTGGAAATTGACTCTAATATTCACATTTCCGTACGGTTCCGCAGGCGATGAATATGCCGCTCAAACGCAGGATGGAGAAACTTGGGCATTTTAATTCGTGTAAATTCCCCGAATGCGAATGCCGGAGCTATAGACCGTTCCCCAAGCAGCCGCCTGGACCGCCGACCCAGCAGCCGGAGTTGCACTTGGACGAGATGTGCAAGCACTGCAATCATTCGATCCATAACCATGTTCACCATCTCCAGAAACTCCCGGAGGAGGAGCAACGGAAGTGAGTGTCGGTCGATCCGTCCATCAAGCGAACATTTGATCCTGACCGTGCGACTCGGATCAGAAGTCGCTCCTATTTCAGACATCCTCAAGCCACGTATTTCTGACCGAATATTCCCTCCACAGACTCTTGAGTATCGCCATAGACGCCGAACACATCTACACATGCGTCCGCAACGAAAGAGATCCGGACTCGAAAGACTTGTACCAGATCCTGTTGAGAGCGATGCGGAACCGACTCTCGCTGCGTCACCGGGAATATAAATTCGATGACTTCTTCGACAGTCCACCGTTCGAGAAGCCATCCCTTCGTAAAGCGATGAACAACATCATCATAACCCGATTCGGGCATCTCTCTCGCGGTGAGAGCAAAGTGTGGCGAGAAGCCGCGAATTGGATCCTCCACCTAATCAACAAATGGGTTCCCGAAACACCAAGGACGCGTGCCAAACGAACACTCGCCGAAAAAGGCGACAACGACGACGCTCAATGCAAACAGAACTACAAGCTGGCCTATCAGAGATGGCTGCTTTTCTGTCACGTTCCGCATTTTTGTGATTCCCTCAAAGCCCACAACCTCGTTGACATTTTCGGTCAGCGCTTCATGCAGCAAATTTTCTACGTGGTCCGGCGCCAGCTCACCGATAAACTCGAGTCGGGGGAGTTGGGAGTCGAAATCCAACCGGCTGAGAAGCGGAAAGAGATAATCGCGCACATGCTGAAGCTCATTCCGATTTTCGACGTGGAGCTGCACGCATTCACATCCGTGTGTTGGGATCCGGACTTCGGCAGCCACAGAGAACAAGCCTCAACGGAAAAGGGCGGTCCCAGTTCGAGGTCACGCAAGAGAACTTCAACTTCGGAGAAAGTGACTTCCAAACGAGGAGTCGCCGGCGAGAAGCGAACCGGCTGCGATATGAAACCGCCATTCTTGAAGCGACGTCATCTCGAAGGCGACATCGACGCTGAGCTCGTGCGGAAGACGAACGACGAACTCGATCATGTTTACGGTCCGGCGTTGGACGAAATCGCTCCAGGTGACGTTCCTCGGCAAGAGGAACGCCAAGGGGTGATCCAATTGCATATGGTTGGCAACACGGTCTCACCTCCTACCGACGAGCAGACCCTCGAGTATTTGATCGCCTTGAAGCAGGTGTTTTCGTACCAGCTCCCCAAAATGCCAAAAGAGTACATCACGAGATTGATTTTCGATACGAAACACCGAACGCTCGCTCTGGTCAAGAACAAACGAGTCATCGGGGGCATTTGTTTCCGGCCTTTCCCCATGCAAGGTTTCACAGAAATCGTCTTCTGCGCCGTCATGGGTGACGAACAGGTGAAAGGCTACGGCACGTATCTCATGAACAATTTGAAAGACTACAACATGAAGCATAACATCTACTATTTCCTGACGTACGCCGATGAGTTCGCCATCGGTTATTTCCGTAAGCAAGGCTTCTCCCAAGACATCGCCTTCCCGAGGCACAGATTCGCCGGCTACATCAAAGACTACGAGGGCGCCATTTTGATGGGCTGTCCTCTGGACCCCAGGATCGCGTACAGTCAGTCGAGTGATATTATTCGCCGGCAGAAACTCCTGGTCGCCGCCCTGATAGCGAAACAGCAGCGAAAACCGAAAAGCTTCCCAGGATTGACATGTTTCAAAGAGGGCGTCCGCTTCACGCCTCCAGAACAAATCCCCGGAGTCGCCGAAACCGGTTGGAAACTGCCGCCGGCCGTAGCTCAGCAAACTCATCAGGATCATCTGCTGCGTCAAATTCTCACCTCTATGCGGAATTACACCCCGGCGAAATGCTTTGTTGAGCCTGTCGACGAAGCCTATGCCCCCGGTTACTACGATCACATTAAGTTTCCTATGGATTTCAGCACGATGAGCCAACGCCTCAAAAACAAGTTCTACACCCACCAGAGATTGTTCTTCGCGGACATGATCCGAATTTTCGAGAACTGTCGGATTTTCAACGAACCCGACTCGGAGTTCGTCAGGTACGCCAACGTATCCCAACGGCAATTTCTGGCCAAGTGGAAAGAGCTTGGGTTTGCGGTGCCCGATTGCTCCGTCATCAACGAGTGAGAACGGCTCTGTGAATCTCCCTGTTCACTCAGGTGCCTAGCCAACCTACCGATGCTATTTATTCAATGGCCCCACATCATCGGTCTGGGATTCTGCTGATCCCAAGCCTCTCCTTCATTAAATGAAAATAATGTAAAGTGTGCTTCAAACGAAGATAATTCCCGGGCAGATTTCGTTCTCCGCTTGAGATAGTCTCAGCATTCGTTTAGCCCTAAGAGAAAGTCGAGAGCGATGGGATATCGCTCCGAATTGTATGTACAGAGAGGATATAAAGCGGGAAGAATCTAGGAGAATCCATTAAAAGAAAGTTACCTTTTCGCGAGATTGTCTCGATGAAATCTCAGATCGCCTGATCTCATATCGCTCCGAAGGGATTCTCCGGTTACCCTGTTGAGAAAACAGGAGCAGAATACGAGATTACGTCGTAATAGTTTATGGAAATAGATTGAAGATAAGAGGCGTACGTCATAAGTATGAAGAACATGCGCGGAACCAGCGAATCATGTGGTTAGATCGATTTACGCTTCTGGATGGCATGGCCTTAGCTTGTTGGATGAGAAACTCAGATTGTTGTAAGGCGTGAGAAGATATGGAATTATTGCTTATTTTCCAAACAAGATGAAACATTGAAATCCGAGTCTTTGCGTTCTCTTTCGTCTTCGAAGTCCACCGGGATATCCAATCATCTCGACACAGTCAAGGATTCGGTCTTCATTGGAACCCTCGTTGAAACCCGCTAGCTCGCACAAGCGTTATACAAATGAAGCTCTCGACGCCAGGAATCCCTGCTCGTCGGACAGCCGATTCTAGACATTCCATACACTTGGTTGAGTCCGCGGTTCGCCGGTTCGATCCGTGCATGCGCCAGTCTTTCTGGAAATCTGATTATGTATCTCTGATCGGACTCCCGTGGAGAAACCCTCGACGAGGCGGACTATGTGAGCTTGCTGACGTTTGTGATCTCGCATCCGAGGCTCGGCGGCCGTATCCGATAGTCTCCGTTTTGACGAACGAGCCCGAGCAGGGTGCCGAATTCCGAGAAAAAATTAAAAACTCCCACGGCTTGATAGTCGAGGATGCGGCTCTTCTAGAATTCTAGAGACCCGCTTGGGGCGCCTCTGTTCTCCCCGGCTGAAGCCTCTCGGTATTCGCTTCTCGTCAAGAAGCTTCATGCTCTCGACCAATAGGCACCATTGTCAAGTGACTTACTCTGACGCGGTCTCGTTGTACGTATCACCCTCCTCGATGGCACTCAGTCAACGTTATTGAAAAATATCGCTGATTCGAGCAACTTGACGACTCCCTGGGAGAATATTATAAAAATGACCCTTTCTGTATTCCGTAACGGGATCACCCGTCTCGATGATGCCGTGTAAGAGTGCAAAGTTCAAAAACATCCCCGATCGACCGTACGTCGAGCAAGAGGAGTGCATAGTTCCATTCGAAAACATTTCTCGTTCGGATACTCTACATGGCGTCATAGCGAGATCGGATGAGAAACACCATACTGGATTGACCCTGTCAAAAACTTCACTTCGGTGGAGTCTAGCCGGTACACTCACACTGACGCTTGATGGAATGAATTGTGGAAATCGTCTCAAAGTTCTTCGATAACACTGAGAAAAGAGGAAGACTTATTCGCAACCTGATTCTTGCGCGTCTCTGAAACATCAACCCGATGGAGACAAACATTTCGGAATGAGAAAATTCAGGGCGCAATTCTTGCTCATGACTCTGGACCCGAGATATCAAAAAAAATATAGCTCTGTATAGAGACCCTATCATCCTTTTATCTTTGTGGAGCAGTGAGCGAGGGGCTTCAAATGGAGAGGCGCGCGTCCGAATGTTGCAGGGAGACTTACAACGATTCGTTTATACAGCGGGACCTCTCCTTATCGGAATCAGCAGGTGACATCTAGAATCCAGCTGAATTCTTCTGCATTGTCTCTTCGGGTACAACTTCATCAGCTCGAAGATACTCGGGATAGGTGAACTTCTCATCAAGAGGCTTCGAGGGCTCAATGAGAGAAGGACCACGATTGTATGCCCGTGTTCAAGAGAGCCTCCTTCTCAAGAGGAACATCACCGAGACTAGGCTGCTCATTGGGAACGACTTTTATTGGGAGAAAGACTCGTATCATGTCGATAGATTATTTCAAAGACTCATCATCATCACGTGTATGGAATCTGAAGCCGAATTCTGAGATGTAACCAGATCATCGAGTATGAAGAGCTAGAACCAGCTAATCACATGGGCTTGATCTGGTTTTAAGAGCAAGCACCGTTGTGGAAAATCTTCACCGGGCCAACGGAACCGCATGGCGAAATTGCCCTCAGAACCAATCTGAAGACTGGGTTTAATGGTTAGGTTAGGAGATAAGAAAGCTTCCTCGGTTGATTTCCGCCCTGCGACGATCGGTGAGGCACCTGTCTGGCGTATCACGTACGTCCTAGCGGCTAGCGCGTCTCGAAGCTCGAAAATTCGTCGAAAGAGTGATCGAGATCAGTATTGGTCGGCATTTGTTTATTTCAGAGATGAACTTCACCGAGCTCACAACTTAAACTTTGAAATCATCAATTGAATATATCTGGCTCCATCGTCAGATTGTTCGGCACCTCGGAGGGAAATCGGCAGATGATGGCTGATCTTGAGGATTCGACGACGACTCGATCCATGATGTACCCTAATGGTCTCCTGCCGTAGCGTCGGCGAAAAGGATCGGTGGCCAGGCAAATTCACGGTTGCCGGCGTCTCGATAGCCCCGAAATACCAAAGACTAAGATTCCCCACATCCGTGCTAGGATGTGTTTCCGCGAGTCTCCCGTTTCAGTCTTGCCCGGAAGTAAAGTTTGCGATGACTAGGACCCGGAGCGACGTGGCTCTCGAAGTCCGACTTACTCGATCCGCAAGGTGAGCAGAGTTCCGTTGGATCTCCGTTTTTTTTTCCAATCACCGAAGGTTTGCTTGATGAATTAGCAAGTGGCTACTCCAAGCTCGGGGACAGGGAAATAAGCGACTCTGAACATCGATCTGTCACCGGTGTAGATTTCACGGGTCTCTTCAGAAGAACTAGACTGGCTCCAAAGACTCAGGAGTCATGATCAATGATGCTCAGACCATGATCGAGACCTAGGTTTCTCCTTCTTTCGCCTTCGCCTCACGGAACGTCATGCTCCGAAATACAGGTCCCGGGGTATTATCGCGGCGTTATTTCAGACGGCGGTAGTCAGATGCAGACACAAAACTTCCCGCGAAATAGCAAGGCACGCGCTGCTTACCGATAGCCGCGGTCAAGCTAGAATTGGTCGAGTCATCTAATCCAAAATATTCCTCGCTGAATTACCTCACTCATAATCGGGGAGGTAAACCTGACTGTGATTCCGACGGAAATGCTTTCGGAACGCGTTTCCCCACAGGCCACCTCTCGCAAGGACCACATCACGGCGACTCACCGAATGGAAAGCTCTTCTTGACCATTCTTCAGCGCGCTAAACAACCGACTCTTTCCGCGGGAAACCCGTGAGAGAAGTATGAGAATCTCACAGAATTATCATCCGGGCCATTTACAGCGTCCCAGTAGACCGAACGACAGTACCTTCGGAGAGTACGGCGTACAAGACTGCAGCCGCACGCGTCGAACTTAAGGTCTACCTTCCATTTGTTTTGAAACCGTCAAGTCGTCGACTGCTTAACTTACCGGCTCTGCGCCTCCGCTCTCTCAACCAACGATGATTTCACGTCCGAATCAATTTGGGAGCCCGCCAGGGAGACGATCGCGACATCAATGAATCGATCCGCTCGGAATACCTCTCGGAGACCCCTAAATATACGTACCTATATTGATGGACTGAGCGATAGGGCCCGAGATTCCAAGCTGCCACGAAACTCCTGGCAAGCATTCTTGCGGGTACCGACAGCGGGAGTGAAATTCGAATTACCGTGCTCGAGCATCCGTCTTCTGATTTGGAACCTCCCAGAGATGGATCCAGCAAGGATTCAAGAGTCTCTTTGGAGTTTGGTCGCTCCTCGCCTTTCCAGTCGACTTCCGGTCTGATAGGAAGTCATGGGGGTTCTGTTTCATTCCTGAAGAATGAGCTCTCTCTTTCCCTGGGTTTATTCACAAGCACGCTCGGTATATTATTCCGAGGTATCTGAAGTCGTATTCAGAGGGATTTGAGGCGTGTTGACTATTTTGAGCACTGAGCTGGGGCGGGCGGATTGATCTTCAGCCCCTGTTCACCCCTTGCAGGTCTCCAGAATCATCGACGGTGTTTTCTTCCGCGTTGAGCGATCCCTATCGACCCCTCATTGCGATCCGCCCGAGAATCGTCGGTATATTCTGTCCTGTACCCTTGATGAATAATAATTGGTCAATCTCGTCCTCTTTGAGCTTTGCTTGGTGGGCCTGCACGGAAAGCCGGTGCGGTACCTACCCGAAGCGCGCGTGTTTCGGTTGACGTGCATTTTCCAGTCAGAGTGGAATCAACGGCCCGCATCCCGTTTTCCGCAGAACTCGAACTGTGAGCGGATATTTGACCGAGCTCGCTCGATGAGGGCTTTCTCGGGGGGAGGGGGATCCACTCCGAATGAAGAGATCGATTCGCTGTGTAAACGCCCCAGAGTCTCTCGCAATAATGATTGGAAAGGAAATACGGCATACAAAGGGGGCTGGGGACTGTCACCAAGTCATGCGTAATAGATTTTAAGCGGGCAGAAGTTCTTGTGGTATGAGACCGGAGACTCGGGCGGCATTGTGACGAAACCCGTGAAACTCCTCAGTAGCTCTAATTTGGTATTTTTGAAAAAAGCAACGCGGAAATCGGAGACCGAGAACTCAGTTTGGGCGAATCAACAGGTCCGCTTCGTGTGAGCGATAAGAGAGGGGGGACATTTAAGACCTGCGAAGAACATCCGAGGAAGTGGGGAAAACACTCATTGGTCATCAATCGTTGATGTTGTCATCGTCGGCAGCATTGTTGTTGTTGACGTCGTCGTTATGTTAGTGAATTCCTGACAGAGCCCTCAGACAGACTGTCACGATGCCATCGAAGAACGGTCTGAAAACGTTCCACATCGTATCGTTTCGATCTGCCTGCCTGCCGTGACAGCTGCGAGATGTTCAACGTGGGCGGGGAAGGCTACGGTCAGACACTGTTCTGAAGCACACAGGGTCTACCGTTACGACGGGCCGTAGTCGAAATAGTCGAGATAGGCTGCCACCAGATCGGAAGTCGAAGAGTTTCGTTTGTCGTTGTTGCTGTGAGCGCCGTTTCTGCCGACGACGACGAAGAAGAAAAGAGTGTTCATGTGGAGTGCATCGGCTCGTTCCATCTCTGTGAATAGATGAAGTGGTCAACTTCAAGCACGGTACCGCCTCGCTACAGCAAGTGAAAGTTTCCAAGATGTGGCCGTTGCCAGGAGATGCCTCGCCGCGACTAGCGGCGTGCTGAGGAGGTTTTTTTCGCGGCAGGTCAGTTGAAGACAGGGACAGGAGAGAAACATAGGGATCAATGGTCTGGCAACCGCATGTCGAAGATCACCTGATCTGTGGAAAAATTCAGCTTCGGAGGTTTGGTCCTGAGGAGGCTTGGTCAGCCCAATGAAGAGCTTGAAAATTATGTCAAGGAAAAGTTTCCCGAAGGTTGTCCTGGGTTCCGTACTTGTGAACGATCAGTCAAGATGCTGAACGTTCCCCTCGATCGAGATCTCCAAGTCTCGATTTCTTCAGATCGCGGGGAATTCTCCTCTCAGAACCATGCATAGAGACAGCAAGAGCGATGCGCTTTCCGGAGCTTCCTGGAATTCGAAGGTTACCATTTTAGCGAATCCCAGGATTGCTAAATGCCCCGGCGAGAATCGCCCCCGGAGCATCGGAGCCGGTCTCTTCTCTGCTTGTGAGGTTTCCTGCGGACTCCGGGCCAACTCCGCTCAGACGGGACTGCTCCACAAACGAGAGCGGCATCCCCCGGAGAGATATGCACGCGAATACCTCCTGCAAGTGAAAATGAGGGCATGTTGATCTCCGGATCGTTCCGTCGGTCTTCTTCTGTATCCTGAAGCCCGTATACAGGAAACGCCTCCCTGACGTACATGCTAACTCTGGCTAATATCTGGTCGGACTTGGCTGTTAATATCCAGAAATACGTTCAATAGATTTAGGCTCGATAAGGAATGAAGGGGTTTTTCATGTCTGACCATCAACCTCACAGAACACATCGAACACTGCAAGAACTTGGACCTCAGTGTTGGTGTATACATAAGACCGGAAATCGGTCGATATCACGCTTGATTTCGCCGTTATCATCCAGGAACGATCTCGTCTGTTAGTTCGGCAGATGCGGTATTGGGTGGGATGATGCGGTCGTGGACATTCACCTAATTTCGTCATGCCCAAGGTGTTCGCTCGGGAGTCTTCCGACTTCTAAGTTTTCAAATGATGCTCGTTGTAATTCTGAGGAGGGTTGTCATCTCAGTACAGGCTGATAATGAAGGCGAGAACCAATGCGGCGATCGGACCCTCGGCTCCGATGTCAAAGTGATCGGTGTGATCAGTACGCTGACCGGAACCTTTCTTGCTGAAAAATATCCGGGCCAAGCCCTAAAATCCCGCTTCAATTAAAATACAATGGGGATGATTTTCCTAATCATAGAATGCGGAAAAACTTACCCGGCGGATGCAGTGTTCGATGGAAGATATTCCGGGCTAGGAGGACTGCCAGCTCACACAGCAAGTCTTTCCCAGCTGGAAAACCGCGAACGAGTCTCCTGACGTTATTCTGGTAGCTCCTCTTCCATGTTCGAAGCGATACCCCCAATGACGTTTCAGGTAGGGCTCTGACCACCGGAATGCCCCGGGTCACATGACCCTCCAATCGAGTAGGGGGGATCGAGTGTGGCCTAGCCGGAGTTTTGGTACTGGCTACTTCGCCGATGAACACAATGAGAGCCATTTCGCGTCCGGGTCAAACCCAGCGTTTCGACGCTCTGCCAATTCTTACTCAGTGCTGCCTTGTTGCGCTACGCGAATACGGGGGGACGAATACGATCGGGAATGTAGTCCCTTGCCTACCCTCGAGGAGTTTGCTAATGACAATCCCAGAGGAAGAAGCTTCGAGATTTGCACTAGTAGATTTGTCCCAGCTCCGCTGGGGCCACTCCCAATCGGGCGGGCTCATGAGGAGATATGGTCGTCGCTTCCACTCTAATCTGAGTGAAGTCAGGAGAAGGGATCCGTCTTAAGAGCTCGTTTGGTGACTGGGCTATTTTGGAATAGAGCAGAGCGCAAGCGTTCGGTGAATATTGCCGTTGATTGTCGAGGGAAAGTCGCATCTGAGGCTCTGTCTCAAAGAGATATCAGAAGTCGATTTGCGGACAAGTCCACGCTCCACCATTCCGCTCAACATCTCCATCGAGACAGTCTGTTCCTAAGTCCGATACCGATTGCTGTTCAACAAGTGGGCAGCGTCTGCTTCAAGGTTCTCCACCGGACTTCGCACACTTGGCACGATCACGTTTCACCGGACGACCCAGACTGTCCACTGATTGCAGGGAACTAAGATCCAAGGATTTCGGAAGTTTCCTCCCGACTTCGATATCTCATCGATGTTCTTCTCGCTGATTGTGAGCGAGATCGTTCCTACGGATCGGGGATCTGCGCGTATCTGACAGGACCCGAGCTGAGCATTCGAAATGTAACCTCGAGGTGTTACCGGGGCCGGGATCTCTCCGACATGCGTATTCGATTTTCTCACGCCCTCATTGAGGTGTTTCTCCCAGCCCGGGTCATGGTCTATAATACTATGTCTTTCATATTTTATATTGAGTCCTCATGAGAACAGAACGCCCGCCATTCGCGACCTCCGACGCTCACCCCACTTTTCGGCCTCTTTTTCACTCTTCCTCAAACTGCGCTCTGCAAGTCTCGGATCCGACTGCCTCATTTGACAATTTCTGCCGAATTCGACTTTATTTCTGTGTATCAATACTCCGATGCATCCTACCTTCCACAGTCACCGACAATGATGGAGGGCTTTGCGATTGTTAAAGAATTTTGGCTAGGAAAATCCTTCTCGTCACGGCTTGCGGAGCCATGAAGAGTTATCTTCAGACTCCTCATCTGGTCTCAAGACCGAGACAGTCTGATTTCGAGACGAATCGGATCTCAGGGGTCCAATAACTATTCGTGGACTCATGACGGCTGGGGCAGATTATGAATATTTCCTTCCCATCTGGTCCAAGATGGAGGTGCGGGGTATCGGAGACGCTTTTCAGGTCTCTGCGGAAGGGAAAACACAAAGTAAATGTTGCTCACGTTTGTGTAATCGTGAAAACTCAATGGGATTGTCCCTTCTAGAATTGGAAGCCAACCAGCGGCAAACTGGATCAACGACGTCGCAGTGTTCTACTCACCGCCATGGCGGGGCCTCTGTCCAAGGAAAGACACATAAACGTGAGCGAGGCTCCAGAGATTACCTCCACGGAGGCATCTCCTCAGCTCCTTTGGGTGATTCGCTGTTTATTCTCCCTCAGCCTCTCCCTTATTTCAGAACTGCATGCTCTATCAAAATGTCGGCGAGCTTCAGAAAATTGTGCGTCAGTCGCAGACGGAGGCTTTGTCGTTGGAAAGGATCTTCGCCAAGTACCACAAGGTGAGACTCTCATGGCACTTTTAACGCGAACGAAGATCATGGTGAAAATCTACGGGGGTGTGTCGCTTCTGAAGTATCTCAGATTCGATCGCTCCCTGTCAGCTGAAAAATTATGATCCAAACATTAGAAATTCCGCGCTCGATGCGAGCAATCGCATTCGCAATGTCGTTCGGAGAACAGCTACCAAAATTCATGCGTCGATTCGGGCTGAAAGCGGACAACAATTATCCCGATACCGTATTCAAGGGCGTATGTATGAGGCGCGCCTTTGTTCCGGAAAATAAGGGGGTGCGTCGTATCCCCTAAAAATGGATGTGTCTCATGCGTCGAGGCGCGCCTCGAACGCCGGGAATAATGGTAAACCCTCATCGCAGGATGGGGGAACCGACGACCCGAGGAATATCCTCGACTTCCAAACCCCAAATAACGTGACGTTATTCAATCATGGCAAGATCTCGTTCGGCTCGCGCACAGCTGCGCCTTCTGGAGTTCAAGGGCTGTATTGCTCACTGTATAAATTTCCTGGGAATGGAGCTTTGAAAAGAGAGACTCTCGAGGCTCGGGAGGAAATTCGTCGAAGTTCGTCGGTCCTGATCGTCCCTCTGCGGGCGGTTCAGGGAGAGCGGGGGCAGGGAACTCGAGAAAAAGAATGAGACGACCTGCGGAGATCGAAGATGCAGAACGGAAGCAAAAGAGGAACTTGAAGGACAAGGGCCCGGTGTCGGGACGATCGCATGGCAGGCAAACGACGAAGAGTCGAGAGCTGGACGAGAATCTCCGATATGCGTCAGTCCTAACGGGAGTCTATCCGCAGAGCTCTATCCGAATTCGCCGAAATAGGAACTCGAGCACCCCGAGTGAGGGGGCAGGCGAGGCGAGGTAGGGGGACGCCGCTTTGTCCGCGAGCAGAGGCTCCGCGAAACAGCGGGGCAGATGGCTCTGCGTTGGGCCCAGCTCCGCGAGCGAAGTGGCCACACTCGGCTCCCATGCTCTCTCGGGGGCCTGGTGCAGACCGCCGGGAAAGGGACCGGTGAGGGCCCTATCGGCAAGGGCCTCGACAACCTCAGCGCCAAGTTGGGCGCACTAGCTATACAACATGGATCGCCTATGCAGTTGAAGTGGCTGAAGTCATCAGCGAGCAACTCTCATCGAATCATACGTTGTGTCAAAAACGCAGTAGGTCCGCGCCGAGGCCATGTGAGGTACGAATATTTTTCTGCTTGCGGTCAACGAGTTTCCCCTCGTTTTTCGTGAGCACACACGAACCAACGAGCTCTGTCCGCCATTCTCGTACGCAAGCGAGCTCGGAAAACGCATTCCAATGCTCTGTTTGGGCGTAAAATGGCGATTACTGCCGAGGATACCTGAAACGTTCGATTTCGCTCCTGTCGCTGTTCGCAGTGCCTCTCGTTCACCGATTCGACTACGGACAGCTCCCGGAGCTGATCGAATGCTCGGAATCGTCTCATTCGGGAAGAATTCAGTAGAGATTGACAAATCGCGATCTGTGGGTATGAAACAACCAGTGGAAAGGGTAACGTGGCCCTAATGGTGGATCGCGATTGCGACCCTTCGGATTCGGGGTAGAGCTGTGAAGAGTGAGCAGGAACATTCCGTGCGCTCCTCCGGGAGACCTGGCTCCGAGTCGAGATGAGCGGGAGCGACGGCGGCAGTCCAGAACTTCCGGGGAAGCGCATGAGCGTGACGAGGTCTCCTCTACCCACTCGGGATCACGAGGGGGATCCCGACGCCTCTGGAGATGACGAAACTTTCCTCAGTCGAGCGGAGTCCGGGTCAGAGCTTGTTGTATCGAGTCGATGTGTCTGTGCAAACAAGTGAAACAGAATAGTCTGTCAAAGAGCGATCTCGGCTCACTCTGGAAGGAGTGACGGAGTCGCAGCGCTGTCTAGCCTGGTGACTGGACATCGCATCGGATTTCGCTCCAAGTGATGAAAAGCTCGGACCCTGTCCCTTGAATCGGGGATCGGTGCGGCATCCGCGCTCGCGTCCGCTCCCTCGAGCGGATTCTCCCGCGGAAACGACGAGTGGTGCCTCGGTGGAGCCTGCCAGGAATAACGGTTGCGGGGAGAGGACTTGCGAAGGCTATGATGTCATCCACGCGCAAGGTGGCATCCAAGGAAGCGCAGTCGACGTTCACCTTGGCGTCTCGTTCTAGGCGATTGAGTTTTTCCGGCTGGACAACCGGCGCGAAGTCGCCGAACAGGAGCTCTCAGAGGTGAGAGAGGAATTGCACAAACGGCAGGAACTGTGCGGAACGCTCCAGCAACAGTTGCTGAACACACTCGACAGCAAACACCAGCTCAAATCGAAATCGGATTCCCTCGAAGACGAACTCAATCAGGTAAGTTCGAGTTTTTCGGTTTTCATTAGCGCCGAGCTTTCTGAGTAATTTCTTTCCCTCGCTCTGAGCGGCCGAGAGAGGTTCGATTGTATCTCCATCTCGGGGGTGATTCCACGATCTGGAGTGCGCCGGCTCATGATGCAGTCACGTCGTCGCATTTAGAACCATCGAACGGAAGACATTGCGCATCTTCCCGCAGGCTTCGCGAAGGCCGAGTGATAGAGTCGCGATCGCGAATCGTGAGCGTTCGCCACGTTTTACCGCACCTCTATAGGGATTCCGAATTCGAACGTATCCGTCAGTGACGGATCTCTATCTAAATTACGCTGTGAACTCCAATCGAGAGCTCGTAGACATCTCTCAGTATCTGAAAATGATGAAACAATGGATCAATGAGAACTCGGACGCTAATGCTTGAACGGGGACTTGGGGAAGACCGTCGAGGCCCTGCCCCCCTAGAAGAGGTCTGAATAACTCTGCTGCCTCTCGAAAGGAAAAAAAAAGGTCACACGTACATGGTCGAGCGACCGAGTTGTTTTTGTGGTTGCTGCGGCAGAAGCAGCGCTCATTTACCCCACCTTTCCCATCGGACAATGCGCGGGCTCCTCGGTACTTCTTCCTTTTCAAAAGTCACACCTTATTCTATTACCTTTCAATTTTGAGGGAGCTCTGAATGACGATGACGCTGACGTACGAATGAATGCTTCTAAACTACACGGACGTGCGACTTATTTCAGCTTCGCCAAGTGCATGAAGATCTCATCGGGCGGCATGAGGCGTTGCGGTCCGAACGCGAACTGTTGCAAGGAACGCGCGAGGAACTTGAATCTCGACTGGACAGGCTCAACCTGAATGAGGAAGAGCTCCGACACCTGGTTCGAGGCCAACAGGACAATATCCGATCACTAGAGAAGCAGTTGGATACGAGCAAGATGGCCTTCCAGGACGCGCGTAGAAAGATCGAGAGTCTCGAAGAGCAGCTCCAAATCGGGGAGGACCGGAAACGCTCCTTAGAACGTTTGCATCACGATGCCGTAGCGGAACTAAAACGCACCCAGATGGAATTCTCGAGAAGTTCACGAACTGGTGCTGAGAATGATCACCGTTCTCAACAGACTATTCGTGGACTTGAGGCCAAGGTGAGCATGTCTTCCCTCCCCCTGATACTGAGCACAGGCTCCGGAAAGGCGCGTCATACGTCCCGTTCGATCGCCCCCAGAACACGAGCTCGCCTCCCGGGAAGAATACGTCCTTGATAGTTCCCATGAGGGCGGGGCCTGAGAGAGTGCTCGGGGGAAACACCGGCCGGGCGATGCCTGCATATCCATTTCAACGAATCATTTCGACGAGACGAATATAGACGAATCGGCGCCAATGAATGTCGACGGGTCTACGACCGGGGATTCCTTGACAAGCGTGAGGTAATTTTTTACCCGGAAATCCCTCTCCTCTCCCTCAGGTTCGTGACGCCAAAAGGAAACTCGACGAGGAGAGCGTCAAGAACGAAGAGTTGCATCTGGAAATCCAGAATTTGCGGAAGAAGCAGAATTGGAAAAAGAGGAGCTTTTCAGCCGAAGTGCACACGACAGTCGAACACGAACGTGAACAGCTATATCGTGATGATTACATCGACAAACGATCGTCGCCGCCCCACTCGACTCGGAAGGACTATGCGCCCGCTTACCGGTCTTCTACAGTGACCTATGGAAAATCCGTGTCCGACGGTGAGTGGGCCCGCTCCTCAACGGAAATTCCTCGTTCTTGATTTTTCTCTGTCCGCACTCGGATAGCATGTTGCGTAGAATTGAGGGTCGGACCTGAGTTTTTGACCCTTGTCATTCCAGGAGACCCGAAGCGGCCGTTCGATAGCGTGGGGCAACGCGGTTCGTCGTATCGTTCCATAGAAGATCTTCCAGAACGCCCGCAGTCTGTGGTTGAGTTCCGAGAGCGTCGGAACTTCGATGTGACATCCGATGCCGTCGGAGTCGGCGATCGATCGACGACCAACCGCTCGACGGATGACCTATACGCCACCGGCTCATCCCGCTATTCTGCCGGCCGTCGACACTTTGATCCGGACATTGAAAACCGAGATTATAAGCATCAATCCGGACAGAGATTTCGCGACACAGACAGAACATCGACGACCGAGAGTAGGTAAGTGTTGTGTCTGAGTGAGTCGGAACGTTCGCGGATCTCGCGACAACCGTAGGTCTCGGAAAAGCGTAGCCCGGAAAAGCGGCTGATGGGCGGCTCCTTAATAACCGACGATAAGATGCATAGGCTTGAAAATCAATGCGATCCGGCAATCCGACGGATCTGCGGGACCGTTTTGACGTGAGAAAAAGATCGATGCTCTTTAAGGCTGGTCTCGTGTCATTCCGCCGGGGACACCCGGCATGGGAGAGTTTTGTTTAGATTTTTTGCCGTAGTCGATTAGCTGAAGGACGTGTTCCCCGCTGCGACCGGCGACGGTCGAGTAGCCCTACGAGCGATCCGATCCCTGGCCTGTCGCCAAACCGGAACCCTGGATCAGCTCGAGCGACAAGCTCTTATGCAAGGCTAGCGAGATCGAGGGGAAACAAAGAACACTAGAGACAATCAAAGCTCGTGCTCATTCATCCATTCGCTCGTCCATGCTTTCAGTCGGAAAATATCGGATTCATATGGAAGCAGCGACGCTCAGGACGAGCACAAATACTACTCCGACAAGAAGTCGATCCGAGAATTGGCACCCACTTTAAGAACTTCCAATCGTCAAGATCGGTGAGTAGCATGTCTCTAATCTTGGAACAGGCAACTGACGTTGCATCTTCGAATTGATCTGTTGCTTAATCCCGGCCGTGTATTGTTTCCTCGACAGAGATCGTTCTCCGACGAAGGCCGAGGTGAGGTTCCTCGATGAAGGACCCATGCGTGGGGACAGAGACGTCGGTTCTGGTCTGTCGTCCAAGGCCAGCGGTCTCAAGACGTCCTCACGGCTCGACCGTCGTCAGGACATCGATCGAGAAACGAGGGATAGAAGTGCCGGTCCGTTGACAGGATCATCTCTGATGACGTCAGCATCAGCACTAGGATCAGCATCTGGAACGACGACCACAAGATTGGATTCGACTTCGTCGTGGTCAGGCTCTCGGGCGCTCGGAACTAGTGAAGCATCGTTCCATGGACGAGAACAGCGAAATCCCACGACGAAGTCCACCGATATCGTGGACGACATCACGGGAACAACAACTTCCAGTCGCTACTCACATCCAAGCGAGCGCCGCAGCGCTGAAAATCTCTACCCGTTGCAGTCTGAGAAGGACGACGAACGATCAGGGAGCATGAGCATGGGCCTATCTCGAGGCATGGAGCGGAGAAGCCACGAAGACCTGAGAGACCAGCCGATGTTCAAGCCCCTAGACCACAATAGAACGAGGTCGACCGAGTCGACGCAGGCCACAGGAGCCCCGACCTCGATTCTTGCGCAGTCTACGCATCATTCTCATCTTTCTTCGAGCATGTCGTCTTCGTCACAGCCACTTCCGAGCAACGCGAATGCCTCCGGTCTCAGCGGCAGCATCGGCGGACTAGGAACTATAACCAGTGGCGAACGCGGCGGCAGCAGCGGGGTTTTGAGCTCATCGGCTATCAGGCGCAATGATATGCTGCGTCGTGAGGCTATCGAGCGCGCCACACTGAAAAGTCCCTACGGCGGCGGACGAGCAAGCTCGCAACCTCGAGATTATCTCATTGAGAAAGCCGAGTCTGATTCGAGAGAAAGACGGTCGCATCCTCGGGAGGACTTCCTCTCAGATCATCGGGATAAGTCGCTCCACTCCAACCCGGCGTTCTCTAGTGATTTGTAAGTACCTACGTAATGGGGACGGAACAATGATCATTCGGGACACAACTATTCGGGAGGGAATGAACAATAATTCTTCTTATGGATATCCGGAAGAAACGGAACAATGGGGTAGTTGTCGGCCTCATAAGGAATTTTCCCATGATGTGCCTCCACAGTGCCTCGAAGTACCTTGGTTCTTCGACCGACGGACTCCTCGCCGAGAAACGCTTCAAGAAGAGCTCGTTGGCAAGCAGCGGACCCAAAGGTTGCGTGGACGACTTATTCCTCGCAGAAGCCGAACGCCGCCTCTTTGGAACCTCAGAAAGAGATCGTGTTTTTCTGGACTCCGAGAGGTGAGCGAGGCGGCAAAAAAACGTTTCCGAGGGACAACAATCGAATTTCCGGGCAAATAAGAGCATTAAATCCGATTTGCAGCTGATGTGATAAGCAGTCCGAGCTTCTCGATCAATCACCGACGAAAGCAGGAAAATGAAAGTTGATTTAAATCGGGGAACTATTTTTTTCAGGGAGCGTTTCGGTACAGGGAGAGAACGTTCGAGTTCCAGCCTGTCGCACGATGAAAGGCGATCGGCCATGGATCTCCGAGGTTACCCTGATGATGACGACGACCTAGCGCTCACTTTATTATCGAAGAGCACAGTGAGTTTTGCTATGCCTTTATCGAATACGAGCTCCACGAAAACCGGATGAGCTTTGGCTCCGGATCGATTCCGGTTCAATGATTGGTCGAAAGAAAATAGTTCTGTGAATATCAGTAAAAGCTGATCTGGAGGCTCCGCTTGTGAATGGTGACAGTGTTTCTCAAGACTTGAATTCACAGGCACTAGATGGTGTGGACCGCTCCCGTGAATTCCGCGAACAAATTCGCATGTTGGACCGTAACTCGGCGTTCGAAAGACGCTACTTCCAGACAGCGGGTGAAGAGGGCCGGACGCTCGGTCCCTCGGCCGATGGAACACTCGGCACACTAGCCAACTCACAGTTCCGGAGTATCTCTACGGATGTCCAACCACCGCTCTTTGACGCTTTTAGAGGCCGAAGACCCCCTCGCATACTCGCGACGACCTAGACGTCAAGACACGGCTCAGCTCTGAAACTCGGAGTGAGTAGATCTCGGAAGCAGCTCCTCACGCTCAACTGCCTTGCAATATTCGATGAGCTACGATTCGAGGTGACAACCGTTGATGTCACAATGGGACAGGATCTGAACGACAGGCGAATCCGCAGGTGGCCGATCTCTTCGACGAGGAACTTCGTTAGACTACAAAGACTTTAGTAACTCAGACGAGGACAGGCTTTTGAGTAAAATCGAACAAGATAACCGCCTTCTCGAAGAACTTGACCGCGCGAAACCGCGAACATCAGGTAATGTGGGAGCACGTCAGATTAGTCGAACCGTTTTTGATTTCAATAGTGTGCGGCGAGGCGACTCTGTGCAGCACTGTTGAAAGACTTTACCACTGTAAGCTGCTGTATGAAATGATTTCATGCGACCGTTTCTCCTAATTCGTTCTTTCGTATCAAACTCTACTTAGAAATCTATCCATACTCATCCATGTATCCCTCTCTCTTAATTCGTGGATTCGGCTCAATGTCTAGTCTCTAATCTTCCATGGCTCTCGTCAGCTACATGGCGAACCTCACTACAAATCTACGAACCTAAGCAGCCTCTCTCGACGAATATCGACTTCTCGCTTCCTGGGCCTTACATTTCCCCCATCCTTTTCAAATCTGTCAAACTGATACCCTCTCTATTCATCTATTCTTCATTCCTATCTGAACGAATTATCGGTTTATCCTCGATTTCTCGATTATTCCTACCCACGTGGCACACTTGAGCTGCTAGTGTAGGGAATTTAGAAAATTCAGGAGCGGTCTCGCTAGAAGCCAGATTTTTGTAGCACAAGATTTCCTTCCCGAACTCACATGTACATACACAGATTCGATTCGGGAAAGCCGCCGGGGAAAATTCAGCTCCGAGAAGGTCCTAGACCCGTGTCGACACTCTCGATTCAAACTTCCTATTCCGGCTTAGCTCTGAGTTGATGCGGCACGCTGACAGAGACTCACTATGCAGAGCCGTCTGCTGCTTGTTTGAAGTCTAATTTCAATGTGACATCATTATTGTAGAGAAATCGTTATCGCAAAATTTGGAGCGTCCTCCTTCCGTGCGATCTTCACGACGGCTGCTCCCTAATATAACACGGGAGCAACGGAGACGATCGATGTCAGAACACCAGCTGCTCGGGCGAAGCGGATCAGTGGTTCCTCCGAACCTCCCGGAAATTCTCGACGACAGATTGGGGCCTGGCCATCAAAGAGAAATTCCAGTCGGCAGTGCATCCTTCGTCGAGATGATGAGCCGATCGGCTGCCGCCGCCGCCGCCACCGGCCACAAATCGGCGTCGTACTCCAGCCTCGCAGCTCCAGGACAAAGTCTGCGCTTGTCGCCCAGGCTGTCGACGTCGACAACGCTAGGCGGCCGCAGCTTACTGGATCCGAGACCTGTCAGTTCCCTCGGTGTGCCGACGAACGCGAGGGCGACGTTATTCGGAGGAATCGCGCATGATCGATCGGTCAACATTACGAACAGCATCGATGGAAGCTTGAACCACTCACAAGTCATCCATAGACCTCGAGCGGTCAAAAGTAAGACTGCGCTTTTTCAACACTGCTCTCGAAAACCAGAAAGTTCTTTATCCACCGAAACCGCGCGACTCAGCCCACGTAGACGGCATGTGCAATGATGATGTTGAGGATGATGACTTCAATTGAACTTGTTGGTTGGTTGATTGATTGACTGATCGACTGAATTATTGGATTGTACATTGAATGATTGACTGGATAATTGATTGATCGATCGATCAAATGACCTAATTGATTGATTGACTGATTGATTGGTTGATTGACTCATGATAGCTGGGTGAATGATCGATTGGATGAGAATGGTTGATAGATTTAATGAATGACATCTCCCCTGAACTGGACAGGATTCCTATGGTCTAATTGGTTTGTTTCCTTTGGCTCGCTATACGGTCACGAAATCAGGAGTGGTTTGTATCGTTCATTGAGTTCATATCCTCCCCGTGACTGTAGATACTTGAAACGAATGACAATCGAATCGATTGATCACACATTCGATTTATGTCCTCCATTTATCCCTCACGAATCAACGAACGAACGGACAAACAAACAAACCAACCTACCATAGAGCAATCCAATAGAGACACTCAGAAGCATTCCACATAGCTCTATAATTGCGTTGCCGGGTCCGAAACACATGGGCAGCCCTTTAACGGTTGATTTCTTGACACTGATAAATATTCAGCTCTCTCGCTCCGATAGACTGTGCGTTTCTGTTGCGATAACTTCTCTCCTACGTGATACGTGATCACCAATCAGAGATCCGGGGCTTCATTGGTTCCTCAATTGACAATGGGCGCAGTCTGTATAAGGAGCAGATATAATTAATCAGAAATTGCCCTGGAGCACGGCCGAGCGTGGAGGATCGATGGCAAATGATAGGGTGTAAACCAGCAGGAATAGAGCAGCAGGGCCAGATTGCGGGGGAGGCCCTTCGAACTTGAGAGGGTCTAGGTTCGTCACCGACAGCCTGGGATGATGCGATGTTGAGACTCTCGATCGAGATGCAGAAACAAAATGTGCTGAACAAAAAGCTGTGTGCTCTGGGCTAATTTGATGGTCTGCACGTATCGATTCTGTCGCAACCCCATCTTCTGACTGATCATGATTATTGCCACTCATGGCTATTGAGAAATGAGATTTCCGGAGATAGCTTCTTATTCCTATTTGGAGTGACTTTTAAGTCCAGTAATATCAATATTATGATTGTCATCATGATATAAAGTTATTTTTATAGTGAATCCCAATAATGTCCAGTCCTCCTCACACTATCCGCCATACATAGTAGGATCCGCGCTGCGGAGACTTTGATTCAGAGACTGAAATTCACACCGTTTAACACTGAGAACTCTCGTTTCGAGCTTGGGTTGACTTGCCTGGAATTGCCGACTTTGATTGATGCCAACTGAATGATTCACGATCAGATTGTAGATTTGGCGCCGCTTGGAGCTCTGCCTTAGTTCGTAGATTTGTAGTTGAGCAGGGAGCGGGCTTCGAGCGTCCAGCGAATTGTCGAGCTAACGAGCATGCCCGCTGACTGGCAGCGGGAAATGCGACGCAGCACCCCGTTCTTCGTAGCGTTTGATCGGCGCCTGTTGAAGGAATAGCCGGGGAACGAGTGAAAGGAGGAAGCGTTTGCCGGACGATTCTCGTGTCCATAACGAGCGAGCTTGTACTTTTTTCAGAAGCCCCGCAAACAGCTCAATCCACTGAAATGCCATGCGGGGCCGCGGGCCAAGTCCCCAGCGCGCACACTGTGTCTTCGCAAGAGCTCGAGGGTCTCATGAAGAAACTCGAGCAGGACAACAAGATCCTCGCAGAACTGGACCGAAAACGTCTGCACAAAGACAGCTGTAGCACACAAGTTCACCTGCCAAACCAGCAGTCTACCCAGAACCACCTTCCGCAGCTGCCGTGCACGTGCGGAGTCACAGCCGATCCCTCGCATGGAACGACGCAAACCACTTGTTGTGCCTCACAGCAGGGTGAGTCGACGATCTTGATCCTGACCGAGGGAAAAAAGAAGTCTAAAAACATGCATAGCCTAATCTGCTTCGTCTACCCTAACTCACGATTTCTTCCGGCGACTATTCTCTCTCGAATAGTTCCGCTCTTTGCACCTGCAGCGACTTCATCGTGTCTCGTGACTTCGCACCGTTGCTGCGGTCATGGGACAGCGACGCACCACTGCCAAACAATGACGCCACCGCCCGGGGTCGGTCATACTTGTGCTGTGGGCCCGACCACGGTTCGCTGTGCATCCGTAGGGGCTGTTCTCCCCACTTGCTCAATACAGCAGCAGGGCATCAACACTTTGAGGACGCACACCCCTCTGGGAGCGACTGCTCTTCAACAGAACAAATTTGTCCAGCACGCGAGCACGTTCCAACACGCCGTTAACACGCCCGACACCGCTCTGTCTTCATATAGCGCTATGTCCCAGAAGGAAATTTTCGGTAAGAACTCCGGACGACTGAACTTGGAGACTTTGTCTGTTATCTAGAATCCTCCACAAAACCAACTCCAGAACCGCGACCTCAAGGCTTCGCTCCCTCTGCGCGCCGATATTAACCAATGCGAATGAGAGCAACGCGATCCCACCGATGCGTGGAAACTAGATGAAAAAACTTCGGACGAGTTCGTCTTTCAGATGATCTGGGCATAGATTCCGTGGATTTCGTCGATATCCCCGGTCGAGGACGGTGTCGTGTATACTTGGCACGTTACAGCTACGATCCGTTCAAACAATCTCCGAACGAGAATCCCGAACTCGAATTATCCCTGTCGGCAGGGGAATATGTACTAATTTTCGGCGAAATCGACGACGACGGCTTTTATAACGGAGAGTTATTGGACGGTCAGCGAGGTCTGGTCCCTTCGAATTTCATCGACAAATTGACAGGTGAGAATTTCGCTTTGGCTATATTCTATTTCTAGAGAGCTCCTCCTCATCGACATGGATGTGATTGAGCTCAGCCGAGAGGAGTCAAATGCTTTCTCGTCGCCGGACTCGCGGGGGAGCTCCGACTAGACACTTACGGCGGCGTGGATGACTGCAAATGATGACCTCAGTTTCGGGGCCCATGATCGACTTTCAACGTTATTTCTCACTGACTGAGGAGGGTCCTTCAATCACTAGACTTGTGACAGAGCAATTCGACTGAGCTGTTGGCCGTTTTTTATTATCGATTGAGTTTTGCTTGCTTGCGGTCTGAGGGTGACGCCTATATCGGAGCCCGTGATGCGAACGGTCAGCGTGATATGGAAACCGGATTCATAGGAACCCATTCTCATGGAGCAGTAGTCGGACGACTTTGAGCTCGATATCACATTCGCCGCTTACAAGTAGCGGCGGAGCCCACCGATTCGACTCCCGTTGGCCTCTTTGCGTAAACATGGTTCGCGGCTCGAATAACTCAGATAAAGAGGAAGGAAGAGTCTAGCGTGCAATGCCCTGGGGATCCGACCACACCTATCGACGATACATTCCGAGCGTCTCCTTTCCAGGCGAAGACCTTTTCCAATTCCAAACGACTGTATTGTATTGCTACCGAGACTCGGATGAAAGCAGTGTAGCCGGTACGGCTTATATGACACCAGATGAAGGTCAGTACGTGGTCGATCCTCCACTGCGAATCGCCCCAGAGGATTATCACCGGATGAACGACTATATTGGTGAGTTTGTATCATGGATTAATGATCGGCCGTGACGAACGGCTGCAGCCCATGAGCTCGGGAGACACCTAGACTCACTATCCGACGGACTCCGCACACTTTCCCAACCGATTTACCGAATTTCCGGATCCGTCGAATGTCAGATCGGTGTGAGTGTTCGAATATAATGAATTTCCGGAACATACACTGAAACGGTGCGCGCTCTCAACAGATATGGAGGAGGATGATGAGCCAGGAGGGGACGAGGAAAGTTTTACAGAGATGGATGGAGCGTTGCCACACTACCCTAGCGGAAGGCCTAAAACCGATTTCACAGTACCCCCGCCTATGCGCCTCGTCCTAGAACGTCAGCTGAACAAGTCCATCCTGATTGGCTGGCTACCCCCGGAAGTGGTGCTTGGCTCTCTAGAGAGCTATCAGGTGCGGTTTCACAACTCTGGAGAATGAATGGGTTTCGTTGAAAATTTCATTTAGGCGCGCTCTATGTATGGACTTAGACAAGTACTCGAAGCTCGAGGAAATCCGAGCCCGGGCTCGGAGAATTCCCTCAGCGGAGGTCACAGCACTAAAACTAAACTCTGTGATTTTTTCTCCCCCCCCGTCTCCGCCGTGATCGTCATACTCCACTAGGTTTACGTGGACGGAGAACTGCGCGCAGTAGTTCGAGCAGGAGAGCGTACGCGAGCCTTAGTAGAAAATGTCGATTCGTCGATCCCTCATAGAGTATCAGTTAGATCCGTGCTGGTCAGTGGACACCACTCCAAGGATGCAGCATGCACGATGGTCATTGGTAAGAACATACCTTTGGCCCCGAGTTTTGTGAAAGCGGCTAGCATCACCTCCACTTCTGCCCTCATCCGCTGGATTCCGTCGAATTCCAACTTTCAACACGTCGTCGCTGTGAATAACGTCGACCTGAAATTGGTGAAACCGGGTGTCTATCGATACTCGATCACTGGCCTATCACCAAACACTGTTTATCGAGTTTCGGTCCGCGCGCGTCCAGGGAAACTTCTCATCCAGAACACGAGAAAGTCCACCCTGGTCTGTGCCGTGGAATTCCGTACACTGGCAAAAGGCATTCCTGATCCGCCGGTCGACGTTCGCGTCGAGCCCGGCCCCCAGGACGGCACCATTCTCGTAACCTGGTTGCCTGTTCATCAGAACAACAGTCGTGAGTACCAGTCGGAGATTTTCCCATCCATTGATAGAGTCGATGGTCAGACGCAACGAGCATGCGGAATCGTAACGTGGAGGTGCTGGATTCATCCGGCACCTGTTGGTATATCGGAGACGTCGGTTGATGATGATAATAATAAAAATAATGATGATAATGGAATTAAATTCTCCGCAGTTGATCAACCTGGTCTTCCAGTGAGTGGTTACGCAGTATTCGCATCAGGACGAATGATAACGCAGGTCGACAGTCCTTCAGGAGACCATGCTCTACTATCATTGACTCATCTGCTCAACTCGCGCACATTGACTGTGCGCACGAAAGCAGATACCTTGTTATCGGCAGATTCGCTGCCGTGTCATATTCCTGAATTCGTTCTGAAGGGCAAGCGAGTACCAACAAGGGTGAGTTCATTCCTCTCAACGATCAAGAACAGATTATATGCCCGATCTACATACTTATATTTTCGGAGTCAATTCGTCTCCATTGCTCGCTCGGCTGAATGATGGAGACTGCCTCTCACGGTTGTTCTCTCTGTACGATGACAATGAGTTGCCATTCGAAGTCTACTCCAAGGGGCACCCCGACAGGATGGAGACCCCGCGGGGAAAAGCTTGGAGTTTAATGAACCGCCCAGTTTGAGGTCGCTCCTTCAAGCATGAATTTAGATACTACAGCCCAAGTTTGATGAGCCGACGTGGTCCGGTCTTTCGCGCTTTGAAGAGCGGTCCCGTATCATTGAAACGAATAGAGCAGAAATAACTGGTTTGCGCCACCAGTCTCAACAGCGATCTCCCCCCTGTCGTCCTCCGCCTCCGAAGGACGCCCGGCCCTCAATAGATTCTGATCTGGAGTCCGAAACTGAAATAGCCGCGCTGCTGCAACAAGTCTCCGTCAAGGATCGCGGTCTCCAGGGCTCTCACCGGAAGCCGGTTAGCAGTCCGTGTCGCACCGATGGGAAGTGGACCGATTGAAGTCACTGTGTTTGTCCGTCCCTCAGTGTTCAGATCTCCGTGTTCACAACCTGTCGCGCGCATGTCTGACACTGATGGGTGTCATTACGATCCGAACATCCAGAATACCGAAGAGACCTTTCCGAAAACTCGCACTTTCCATGCAGCTCATTATTAGGGGCAGTGGGAAGCTAGTGGACCACCGACCCGACACCTTAGCTATTCAGCGTGTTTTCAAGACTACTATCTAGATGAATTTTTGAAGATTCTGCCGTCTCCGAATATTCGGGATCAATAAGGATTCCGCCTTCCTCCCGATGCGCGCTTGATTGCTCGCGGATCTTGGAGCCCGCCGAATCGACTTCTCAATCGATTTCCCCTCTTTCAGGACGAACAAATGCTGATGGAAGAATCTTACTCCGAAGCAGAAGTTTTGGACGAGTACGGTCGGAGAATGCCGAGCGGAGTCATGGGAGGCCGAAGACTGGTGGGAGCTCCTCAAGGGAGACTTCAACGCACAAGCCAGTATGGTTCTTCCCCGCCGCAGGTCGCGGTGCGTCTGGGGCCCCGTGGTCCGAGGCGAAACTCCGCAGGACAGTTAGTACTTGAGCCCGAGGAATGCCTTTCGGATAAGGAAATCTATCCTAGGGTGAGCTGAACAAGTCAGAGAATAGAAAATTTCGGTCACGATTCATTCGCTTTAGAATGTCCCGCCGCCTCCACAAGAGAATTGATCTCATCATTGATGCGCCCCAACCAGGTTTCGAATCCGGCTATGAGCATGTCGGCATCAGGAGCCGTGCCCGCAATAGAAATAACGAAGGATCGATCTGTGGGAGACAGTTATTCTGAAGAAGAATTCGATAAGGTTCGCAACATTGCTCTGTAATGATGATTGCTTCCCGTCTAGGAAGAGAAGCCTCCTCGGCTCGTTAAACTAGTATATTTACTCCCGAGTGGAATATTAAACCCTGAATTTTCCCAATAAAGCACAATGAACTCCGTCGGCCCGTTTCCCCTGGTCTCAGACGCGGGGTCCCTCGAGGGGGCCCGAGGTCACGCGGCGGCCGATGGTTCATGGCGTTGTTCGATTACGATCCAATGACGATGTCACCGAATCCTGACGGAGCGCACGAAGAACTCCCATTCAAAGAAGGTCAACTGATCAAAATTTTCGGTGACAAAGACGCCGACGGTTTTTATCGTGGTGAATTGGGCCACCTCAGCGGATTGGTCCCCTGCAATATGGTGTCGGAAGTCCAAGGTCCCTTCGGAAATCAGATGATCCCGGGTCAGCCCGCAGTTCTTCAGCTCAGCCAAGCGCACAATAGAGGTCAGCAAATCAGCGGCCAACGGAAGAAGATGCTCGCTCTTTTCGACTACGACACATCGGTACGCCATCTGTAGCATTGAAAAACATGGACAGCCTTTCCATTGAGACTTGAACCCCTCGTGGATCAGTCTCCTTCTTCCGAGTGGTGAAAACTCGGTACCTCTAAATACAATTTATATGAAGTCATCCACTAATGTTATCGTCTCTCATAGGTTTCCCCGAATGTCGACTCCGAGATTGAGCTTTCGTTCCGCACGGGTGACATTATAAACATCATCGGTGATATGGACGAAGATGGATTTTACATGGCAGAGCTGAACGGTGTCAGGGGACTCGTACCCTCGAACTTCCTCGCGGAAGTGCCACCGAATTATTCCGAACAAAGGATGGGAGGTCAGCTGATGCGTGGACCAAATAGAGGACCCCCTCAGCACGGAGGGCATCCGTCATCACACCAAATGCAAGCGCATCATCAGGACATGCACGACATGCACGGGAGGTCGCATGATCCGCGACACGAAGACCCGTATTACGACACGGCCATGAGGAGAGGCCCGCACGTCGCCAGGGATGGTTACCCCTCGGCCGCAGGACCTCCGAATCGTCAGCAAGAGTTTCACGGCGGACCGCCACCGCAGGACCATCATGGAAATCACCAACCGGCTCGCCAACAAGATTACCATGGAGCCATGCCTCCGAATAGGCAACAGGACCACCATGCTGGATCTGTTCCCAATCGACAGCAGCAAGACTACCACGGGGGCCCTCCGAACCGCCAGCAGGATTACCACGCAGGTCCTCCGAATCGCCAGCAAGATTATCAGGGGGGTTCCGCAGGAAGGCCTCGAGACTACGCTGGCGGCCCCCCGAATCGTCAACAAGATTATCACCAAGGTCCGCCGGGGGGGAGAGGAGGGCCACAACAAGGGCAGGGACAGATGCAGGGCTATTCGAACGCCGGTCCGTCAATGCAACATCGAGATTCGGGCTACGGTGACCCACGAGACGCGGGGCTCCGATCACAAGGTGCGTATCTTGGTAGGCGACAGACTACACTACTCGAGGTACAGACCTCGATCCCGAGGATGCAGTGCGCTGATGTGAATTCCGATTCCAGGTCCTCGAGACTCTATGCAAAGAAGCCATGACACCCATCGCGTGGAACCGCATCAACCGCCTCAACCCCAGTGGTGAATCGGAGGGGGCTAGTCTTTGTCATCCAACAGCCGCGGACACTAAACTGCGATGTGTCGCCCAGTCGCGCAAATATTGGTACACCAGACAAAGCAGTGAGCATGATTGCCGGAGCATGTGGAACAACATGGATTTGGCATTCACACTATCATACTGTTCTTTAATAAGCCTCCGTTAGTCGTTCGTGATACGTGTAGTCTACGAACAGCGTGCTGGAACAGGAGAACGCTACGATGATGACCATGATATTGGATATGTTCCGTTAGCGAATGTCATGGTCATGATGATGATGATGATGGTGAATGTTTGCATCAGTTATCCGAGGGAACAGTCAGTTTAGGTATACGTAGCATCAGCCTGCCTGCCCGACCGATCGACATACCGACCGACTAATTGATTGACTGACTGTCTTCCTTTCGGTATTCATAAATCATTTGTTCTTTTTTGTACCTATCGTGAGTTGAAGTTTTAGTGAATGAGAGAAAGACTCCGATGAGAGCGAGACTCCGACGAGAGCAGAGTCAGCTGGTCGGAGGGAGAGAGTGAAGAAAAACGGGAGGCTAAGTGAGGAAATGGTGTTTGAGTTTGAAGCTAGCCCGTCAGCGGATGGTTACCTAAATCTGTTAGTGATATTATTACACCGACCGACCGACGATGACGGTGACAGCGACGTTTCTAATTAATAATGATTAAAATATCAATGATGTGCAAATGGTGGTTGAGACCTCGAGCCAATTCAAACTGATATTGGTGGCTCATTGAGGAGGAATAAGAACAGCTTGCCAGAGGCTTCGCTCGAACTCCCTTCAAATGTAATTTTCGTCTAGGAATCGACGCGGTAGCAAGGATCCCTGTCGGCAGATGCTACTCCAGAGTGTTACCTTACGCTCCCATCAATCTCGTTGGGAGTGAGCTGGATTGACCCTCGGACCCAGAGGTCGCAAACGTTCAATATCGGGGCCTCTGTGCGCCGTTTTGATTGAGCATCTGACTGGTTGCCTGATGAGTGGAATAATCAAAGCTGGAGCCTGCGTAGCGCCTAAGTATGAAGTAAAAACTCGCTTGACAAATGGAATAAGTTATCGCGAGAAGCAGATGGATGTCAGAGGTTTTCCGTCTTTTTTTACCTTTCGAGCAAGAGCTCGCATCTTCTCAAATCCGATCACATCGGTTACGGATCCGATACAAAATGTAGCTGGATCTCCAAGCAAGTCTGTCTGAAAACGGGAATCAGTCGTGATCCACTGAAATACGGGGCGTAACACTGATTGAAATGAAGGGGTTGCTCTATCGCGACTTTTGAGACTATGCGCTTCGGAGAGTATGCGACGAATGGGGTTCCCGGTACTTACGCTGGGGATTACACAAATGTTGTGCTTTACTCGCATTGATCGTGTTATGAGTTGTATGTTGGGTATGCTGTAATCGACCAAGACGGTCATTGTTCAGTCTGCGCGTCGTCCCCTCGAACTGAGAATTCCGCAACCGAAGGAATAAGCCTCGATGTCTAGCTCCTGTGCAGACATGGCCTTCCCCGAATGAGCTTCTCTGCTTGCGCTTGACGTCGTGGTTACATGGAGCCAGAGCCCTCCTCGAGTCGGAGCGGTGCAACGATAGGCCGCATGCTTCCCGCCGCTTTCGGTTTCCCTTCGAATTTTCCCCTTGCCGGCTGCGGAACTTTACAAGGCCGACGTTATGTTTGTCGTTATTGTGCCAAGCTCTCCGCGGGAGCTTAGTCATGAGGATCGATCGATCATCATTATTCATTCCGCGCGGAATACTGCGATGCTGCTGCGGGGGTGTTATGGCGTCTGAGCTCGGATGAGCGTGACCAGTGACAAATGAGAAGAAGTCTGATGATGGGGTGTTCATCAGAGCTCGCGGATTCGAGAAAAACGGGAGTTTTTCATCGACAGCATTCCCCGCGAGAAAAACCGATAACCTCCCTCTCCTCGGATTGTCCTCCGCAAACTCACTTTACATGCTCCCTGGCACTTGTTATTAAGCGTTATGTGTTTCGCTCTTGTTTGAAAATATTTGTCGCGGAACGGATTCGTTAGGGTGCTGATATGACATCGACAGGGCGAGTTCTGAGTTTCGAGACAGCCGCTTTGCCTGCTGAGGTCTATGTTCCGCGCGGGACCATCCAATCGATTCATTAGCTCGCTGAATCCCCATGAACTCAGCACCGTCTAACCAAAGCTCGAGGAGCGCATATGTGTCATACCCTGCCCATCGTTCTTGTTGTACCTGCTCATTTACAAACCTCCCCCCGTGAAGATTTCCCTCCTCCTCCGACTCTCATTGGATATGAGTTTCACCGCTGCCTGTGTATATACGGAAGAATTCCCTATGTTGGAGTATTCTCGCAACGTCTGTTCAGCACGTTCCTTTCGGCGATCAAACAATCCAAAGACGATGGTGCCACGATCCTGAAGACCCAGTCCCGCACCCCAATATCTTTTCATATGCAAGCAAACGCAGATTACGGATCGACCGATCCCGGCTTTTTCGTGCGACAATTGGATCCCGAATCTACGAGCCCCATCCTCCTCGTGTCAGCCATACGACATTTTTCGACCATGGAAAACATTGGGAAGGGATCACTCTCCCGAAAACAGGCAGAATCGGCTTCACACCCATAATCAAAACAGCGATCAAGTCTCGAACAGGAATCGAAATCTCGGCTCACGCGGCTTGTTATAGCGCCCTTGCGCCAAACACGGTCACTGTGAATTCAACGTGATCCGAGGAGGCTAATTCGCACTATTCTGAGTCCGACTATGAATGAGTTTTGGCCTGAACCAGAATGACCGTGTGCACAGTATCCACCGGGATTGAGTGGTAGCGTTCGCCCACCGATTCAGCCGTTTTCCCGATAGAACTCCGGAGGTTGAGCAAGAGTATACTGCGTGGGTCTGGGCCGAACATTTCCCGATGCACCATACTTTCGGGGGTTGAAAATCGAGCGTTCGGAATGACGCGAGGGAAGTGTCGCCGACAATCAGACATTCCCAGCGTTCGCCTTGTTGTAGTAAGGCACGACCGTGCATGGGTCCGGTCAGGACCTTGTGGAGCGTTTTCCGCCCATCAAGATCCTGCAATGCAACTCGTAGATCGTGGGGAAGATTCGGGAATACACGAGAGGAGAAACAGTTCTTAGAACAAAAGGTGGCGTCATGTTTCTCGCGACATTCTGCTCGCAAAGTTCCCGCGTGATTTTCCCTCGACTGCATCGAGGGTAGCTGCATTCTTTGCAGGAATATTCTCTCTCCGTAGGCGAGGAGTTCGGGGAGACCGAATTGTACTCCGGTATTCGGCACTTCAAAACTTACAAGTCAAGAAATTCTCGATCGTGCTGCTGTGCCAACCCTCTGCAAGTCGACTGCGTAACTCATATCCGATCTGACCATATCAATAGAGTTGCTATACCGTGGTCAATTTGGATTGGACAGTTTCTACGCGATCCATCTCTGAACCTCGATCCCGCGTCCCGGCCCGGCATACTTCCCCATCAAATCTAGATAGACATACTTGAGTGACTTTTGAGGGATCACAAGCGTTTTGACCGTTTTTTGTAACTCATCTGGTGTTGAGGGTGGACTTATTTCTCAAGTTGTATAACGTGGCTGACCTGAGGTTTGCACGCTGGGAATCCTCTATGCGAATGGAGCCCATGTTCGGAGTCTGTGATCTTCTCCCGGGAAGCTTGTTAATCCCTTTATCTTCAAAAGATTTTGATGTGACGAAAGCTCATTCTGACAGCGCCTAGACTGGCTGAGCAATCGAATGGTTCCTGAGTGGCTTGTTGGATAGCATTCGATACAGCGTCTCGATTCGCTGCGCGAGTTTCCATGAGCACCCTTCGCCAAAATCGCGATTTGTCTGAACGCATCTTGAGCCTCGCCGGCACTCGAAAATGGAATATGCTCCAATCTCACGAAATTATAGAGCACGGTATGGAAAAATTGGGGGAGCTGCGTATCGGCGTGTGGGTCAAGCGAGGAAGAAGTTTCGAACAGTCGTGGGGCCACGCGATCTACTTTGCGGATCATAAGCATCTTCATTTAAACTCAAACGTTACATCTCTGTTGGAACGAAGAGGAGGGCGTAACCGGTAGAAAGGATCGTCCAGACGACGCGACGCCGACGATTGAGCAGCGCAACATAGAAGATAATTCGATGATAACGTGTGAGGGAGAGACGGTTATCGGAACAGCAGACTAGCAGGAATGTTTTTATTGGTTATGTACCTCGATGGATGGATCTAATAAAAAAAAGATGCTCTTTTTCGCAAACGAAGCCTTATGTCTTGCGACATCGAAGCAGTCAGGCGGTGCGGCGACTCGACAGCACGACGCCGTCGGTCAAAACGGCCACCGGACCACTCCTCCCACCCAAGAGAACCGAGGTAGGATCTTGGAACAAATGGTACAGCATATGGAGGGCGCACACCTTGCTCGACGTATGATTACGCGTCCATAGGTGTTGGCTTGTGTGGAAAACAGTCACCGGCAAATGCTGCTTACGATGTCGTCTGAGGCTGAGGCCCAGCAGCAGCCCCAATGTTCTTTTCAGGACGCTCATCGCTGTGTACGAAACTTCCCGCGAACGGGTCGGCTCGAAGAAATCGCAGAGACACGAATGAGTCGCGAAGAAGTTGTTTATTCTGCATCGACTTCGAGAATTCTTGTTCAACACTCATATAACTCATCAGAACATTCCATAACGTGACGGGAAAAAAGGAACAACCATGATGGAAACTCCCAGAGAGTAAGAGGAATTTCCTCATGAAGCGAGTCCGATACTGCTAGATCGACCCCCAACATTGTGAACGATTGACGCTTGCGGTTCCGAGACCATCCACTGGTACCACACCTGAGGGGAGAAATTTCCGCCCTGTTTGCACCGCAATCCGTAGCCTCGATAGATGAATATGAACTACATACCGAGCATCATCCATTTACAAGATAAGTACTTCATCCGGATGGATCAAGAATTTCGGAACCCACCTTTGCGGAGCATACTTTCCGCCAGAATGTGACAGAGATTCTCTCTCCCTTCTTGACACTTTGCGGTTGCTGAATTGGTATAAAAACCGGGAACCAGGAGTTCATACTGTGTGTGTGCGTCTTGGGATGAGTGCCTGCGAAGAAGAAGCACCAACGAGCATAATAATCGGCTGAGATTCCTCGGACTGATTCAGCTTCCGGATAAGTGAGGGGATTCGAGTGGTGAAGGGAATATTCTTGGAGAGGGAAACTCACTTATCCCGATATTCTTGTATAGTACACAGTCGAAGTATCCGGCGAAACCATGGAAGATACAGGAGGTCTTCGATTCCCAAGATAGATCGAGAAGCCGCTCATTGTGCGCGTTAGATTGGCTCTTTCCCTTCAAGTCCCGGTTCGGATGCTTGAACTCGAATAATTTCTTGGGCTCCGCTAGATGATTGACGTGTCTGCGGGAAAAAGAGGATGAGGAACAGAGTCGACCCCTGTTGCTCGGAGAGGATTCATCTGAAGAGCAGCCCGGACAGGGCGTATATCCGTTTGTGGGCTAGACGCTCACCTGAAGTACACCACATACGGAGTGCTGAGCTGATGGCCCTGGGGTTTATGGTCGTCGCGGAGGTCTTTGGCCTGACGATGCATCATCGCACACTGGATGGGGTTAACGTAGGACGTGTAACTCGACGGGATACTGATGCCTGCGGGACGCGAAATCGATGTGAGCGAGCGCCGGGTCCGATAGGGGGACTCCTCCCCCGACCGATAGTGAATTCATCTCTTATACGTCCTTTGAGGATGCATCGAGAAGAATTCTGCCACAGCTTATCCCCCGACCTGAAGGCTTGAGCAGGCGTTGAGCTCCGTCCAAGCATTCCGGAGACAGCTCATTGTCTCCCCAACTGCCCAAGAGTTCCGAGACGAGAATGTCGGCTAGCTCCCCATTCTCTGGGGTATATGTTCTCATATCGCTATCAACGACCGTCACCTGAAACGAGTGACCCTCATCAGCCCCAATATGCTCAGCTCTCCCTTGTCTCCTATCACCGGAAATAATTAGATTGCCTTACCTGACCCTGCCAAATATCCCGATTCGAAATCCGGAGCACATTGACAGCGCTTGGGTTCTTTTCAACGGCGTAAAGTTTCAGAGGAACATCAGCTTCTGTCGAGCATCGTAAACAAAGCGAAACTAAGGGACCCCGACCAGCGCCAACGACCATCACTACGAGTGGGCTCTGCAGGATATATACATAGCGTTATCTCCGTGCTTGGCCGCAACCCAAGTATCTTCACTTAGCTTCTATCGCAATATTTCTACAGCATTAATCGGAACCGATCTCCACCTTCCGTTCCTCCACCATGCTTCGTAAGTCTGAGAAAGCCTCAAGGAACGCTTCCCTGTATTTGATATACTTCACGGGATCCTTCTCGAAAATCTCGTAGGTCACGCTCTCCAAGTGATCCGCCAATGGCTGTAGCGGAATCTGGAGGTTATCATGGAAACCACAGGTGAACTCTTCCTGCAGGGGACCCACATGGATCTGAAATAGAACGCGGAATCAATGAGTTTCCGTGGACTTTCCTGGCTCAGTGCGGGAGCCGGAGTCGGAAGATATGGCAGCGATGAAAGTTCCAAAGAAACTACTCACCCTTTGTGCGAACATGTGGTTCATGTAGTCGGCGAAAAACTTTGGTTTCAGTGCCGTATCGTCAACGGAAACATCCGTAAAAGCAATCACAGGATGGAGTCCCATCAGTTTTCTGACTACGTTCTGGAATGGTTTCGACAGGACCGGGAAATTGTTGGCGTTCATGATGAACTGTTTCGTCGAAATGTACAGTGCAGCCACCTGCAACAAATATTGCCTGTGAGGAATTCTGTTCTCCAGTGAGGCCGGGACTTCGTCCGAAAGAGGTCTATCTCCTGACGCCAACAAGAATTCTCAAGGAGCCGAACGCGTGTTCTGCGGCTGAGCTTACCTGTTCGCCCATCCAAAGGTCGAGGATCTCGTCCAAATTATCGGGTAGATTCGGGGGAATTATTAATGCTACCCAGATTTTTGGACAAGCTTCGAAAGCTTCGCGAAACGATTGCCATCGACGGAACGTTTCGAATTCATCTTCGGGCGGACCGCACTGGAAAGGTGGTGACGTTAAGATTCGATCACGCTATCAAGCAAAGGCATGCAAAGCGCTCTTGCTCTGAATTCCGATTCCAGGAAGTGGAGCACGTTCAAGACACATGAATATAACAGCTACTATGTTCACCGCTCCGATTGACTCACTAGAGAAACAATCATCCAGACGACTGGCACGCTGTGACTTGATTCGAGCTGCTGGAGGCAATTCTGCAGCGTCGCCGCGAGGTTGCGGTGCTTACGTGTAAGATCTATCTGGAGAACTTGTATACCGAGGAAGGTGGCGTACTCGATCTCCCTGCAAAGATCGGTTGAATGGAGATCTGGTCGCGTTCCGAGCCAGCCTGTATCTCAGAGATTCTCCATCGTTCCCGATCGATTAGCTGAACGACTATGGGGAAGTGAGTTCCGAGGATCACCTCTTCAACAGAAGCTGGTTCTTCGTTCTGAGCTCCTCATCTTCGACGTCTACGTCGAGGTCCGGAGTGACTCGACTCTGGATGCCGTCTTGATAGGTCCCACTGGGGATCTCCTGGGGACCGCGACCCCTGACTCCGTCTTTGTCTTCCTCGAAAATGGCATTTGTGCTCACGAAGCTGAACCTGAAACAGATTCAAAAGCGACTCCTTAGGCGATGCTCTTGGTGTTTCCGCTTGCACGCCGGTCATGCGGGAAATCATAATCCCCTGCCAGCATAGATCTCCGGCGGCCGATGCTTTCAGCTCAGCGTGCAATTCGAACATCTACCCTCGCGAGCATGGGGACTCCCTCGCGGATTCGAGGTTCGAATATTTTCAGACTCTCAGATCGGCGCCGTGTGGTATCTGCCTCGCAAACCGACGCTTATCCCGTCGTCACATTGGATACGCTGTCATATCTGAGAAATGGAGTCAGAGAAATCTCCGAGCCACATTCCGAATGATCATCGCGCGAGCGGTAACTCACCCCTGCGCTCGCGCAAATGCCACGGCTTCTAACAGATTTTCCGCGCCGTACATGTCAATGCACGTACTGAGTCTCGGGGCTCTCTCAGCCATCGTTCCGCTATTGTCGAGTCTCACGAATCAAAAGACCGATTAGAATTTTTGTGTGAGCTCGTTTCGCACTTTTGCTTCTGGCGGGCGCACCACAGAGAAGAAGGGAGCGATGAGATCAGCGGTACCACTGTTATCGTGGTGTGTCGTCGTCGCGGGTATCGGTAGTAGGGAATTTACGGCGTAAACGGATCGGACGTGCAATCTTTTGTAACGGAGGTAGATCGTTCCTAGTGGTACGTTCGGAGCGGTGTTTCGAACACACGTTCCTGGGGGACAAGAGGAACGAGGGACAGAAAACGACAAATTATCCCTCAAAATTCAAGCGGAGAAGCATGATATAGACTGCAGACGGACATGATGATAACAGTGATCTCTGCTGCGAGGAGGGACACCGTGCGAGGGCGCTCATAGATGGTCTCGACGGAACCCGATGGATCGAAGATCCGAGCCGATTCCAGAAAACATTATCGATCAGGATTGGGCTTCACGTCTTCATCTGTGAGCCGAGTACTGCAAGAAACATGAACGCATCGTCGCCGGGAGACCAGCCCTCCTCGCGGGCCCACATTCACCCGAACATCCCGTCAATGCTTCTGGACGTGCTCTTGTTGTGCCCTGTCGACACTATGCACGAGCCCGGGTCAATCGAATCCTTGGAGGCCCTCATTCAATGAAAACTGTCATTTATTGATTGATGACACGATAACAAATCTATTCGGGCCATTGGAGACTGAGCTCTTGGATCTCAGACTCGTGGAGAAATGTTCCGGGAAATGCCATGCTATTTTCAGATCGTCTACGTCGGCGTCTCCAGACGATGGACCTCGACAGCTCCATCCACGCGACCGATGACCTAGATAATCAAGAGCAGTGAGTTGGTCTGCGACTAGCACTAAACCTCGGGCACGTCACGCGAACGCGTCTTCCCGTAGTGATCTCCATTCCTCGGTAGAGCTTATATTTCGAACGTATGTTTCGTATTTCGTCGGAGGAAACCATGTCTCACCAAAGAGGGCTTCAGAGATTGACGCCCGCTCACGAGTGCTGATTGAACGCTGGAAGGAAAAATCGAAGTGTTCCGAAAACTAATGCGGAAAATTCAGGGAATGCGATCGAGTGGCAGCCAGGCGCGGGGTCGGAAGAATGGATCTCCGGTGGGGCGTATTATGCTCTCAGGCGTAGAATCCGCATCTGAACGAAAATAAGCGTCTCGTCCCATAACCCACAGCCGCGCTCAGGTTACGCGGTCTTCGGGCTCGTTCCTGACTCACTTTTCGTAGAGCGGCTCCACGGCGCCGGTCGTTACGTCGACAATACAGAGCTGATGATCAGAATTCACGAAGAGCGCCTCATTCGCCTGGAAGTGTCAAAGTTTTGATCCTGAGAGAGACCACCCATCTATCCTATTCGTCATAAATCGACTCTGTCGAGAAACGATTCTCTCTCTTAAGCATCGAGACCCGACCTTGTGCGCGGAGAAATCTGCCAACATCAGGATACGAGCCCAGTGCTCGATGTTGCGGATCGGATAGGCAGACGCACGATCGTGAATCCATAGAACGCTGAGATTATCCGTGAGATTTGTCGCAATCACCAGGGAATCCCCTACTTCACATACATCCACTACGGGGCCCATGGGGGAAACTGAGGAGAAAAGGGGATTTTTATCTGTGTTCCAATGAGACAGAGGAAATGAAATGGATGATGGACGACGAGTCGATCCGATGACCGGTCCCAGAGGGAATTCTCTTGCTAGAGTCTCGCCGCTCTACCGATTGTTTCCTTAGTTCTCGGCGAGTAGTGTTTCGGGAATGTCGGCGCTGCGTGCCGACTCAGGTGCATCACGGTACCGCTATCTCTTCCGATGTAGAGCTCTTGATCTGTGAATTCGAATCCGCGACTGAGATTACAATTTGGATCAAGTGAATGATGTTCTTCGCCGATGGAGTCGATATTGACGATCTCAGCGAATGTAATACCACACAAACCTATAACTCGGAGCGAGGTATACTGTTGAAGAATATCGCCACCGAAGTCCGAAAGTTTGATCGAGGCCGCCTTCACGAGCTTAAGGGTCTCTTCCGGCGCGATACCCAATTCGTTTTCCGTTTCCTGACCGATGACAAAACTTTAGAAGTTGTAGAATCATTCATCTAGAATCTCAGGGATATCCGGGGATACCTCGATTCCAAAGAATATTCATTCATGGTACGCCAATCGAATGTTTGCCTCACCTGTATGTCGATAAGAGACCAGAAATGGAGTCTTCCCGTGAAGTCCAATGTCACGATCGAGGCTTCTCCCTCGTTGGTCCATTGGGTCGATTTCCTGCAGAATGGATCGAAGCGACACCCTTGGAGGCGGTTCAGAGGATTTTTATTCATCGAATCTGACTCGGTGTGAGAACGTCCTAAATACCCTGTCATTACTCAAAACTAATGAGTTCTGAGACGCCTACCTCTGCCCTGTTGAGCACAGACCCACGATACGACAGGGTTCGTCCTCGGTCAACGCCGAACTGAATGATGCGATTCTCTGCGGTACCCAACCGGATCCCCACCTGCAAGATTTACGACAAGATTCGGACTCGGGAGTCTTAGCTCGGCACCGAACTTGGAACGATCTAATCGACTCACGGTGCAGGTGGCGCCTTCGGAACTCTTCGGAGGTCCCAAGCGGAAATTGTGCTATCTTGAAGGGAAGCGATTAACGCGGGGATGTCACCCTCATTCCAACAGATGATCTCTGGGTTTCCTCGGCAACACAACACCCTGTGAACGATCAAGGTTTGGCCTCATCCAATCGCTTGGGTAGATAGAGCTCTGGGCTCGGAAGAGCCCCCCCCCCTCCTCCATGAATATTCATCCTTACTCTTTCGGCGCCGTCGGCTCCCTGATGTCCCAGATTGCCAGCGAGTTATCAGTGCTAGCATCATTGCCTTTGCGGAATATGGCCGCGATCCGGCTCTCCTTGGTCGGGCAGAGCGAAACACATGAAACAGCATGGGAGTCTGATAAGGGAATTCGCGTGAAATTCCCCACCAGACCCGCAATCGGACTTGGTTCCGGTGTGACGAAGCCATCGGATGAATCGAGTTGTTCTTCGAGTAACGATATCACTGTTTCAGCTGCTGCATGCACGAAACGCGTCAGCTGGAAGACGTCCCGTATTCGCGGCGCGCCACGGACGAAACCTGCGAAATCATACGCCGCGGAAGTTAGGCTCTAACGTTTAGCTCGAAGCACCGTTCCGATACCTTGAGCTCTTGCCAACGAATAAGGGAAGTGGGAAATATTCTTCTCGTGTGCCGCATCGCTGTGGGAATAACCCCGTGGAGCGAGATACATCCTTCGGAATGAATTAGTTAGAGCCAACGTTGAGAGAGTTCGAGTCTCATGTGACTCCTGGCTGAGAGAAATGCTCACCTTTGCAGGCGCCTTCTAGGCTTTTGGCCGGATGTTGAGTCCATATTTCCCTGAAGCCGATTTCCTCGGTTTGGCTTTCTTCCTCAGATCGTTCGAGAGTTTGAACGGCTCCTTGCTGTCGGCCTCGAGCCCCGAACTTCGCCATATAGCCGTCATATTTCATACCCTCTGGTTTTCAGAGTCTTATTGAGCTAAAGAGTACTCGGACGCAATGCATCCATAAGAATGAGAGATTGACCTGCGGAGTTCGAAGAATGTGCTCACCTAAATTCAGTGCCAAATGCTTAGCGCGATCGAGGTGAATGTACGAGAGGATTTCCTCGGCTCTCGTCGAGATTCGTTTCTCCCTTGGGAAACTCCTTGTAGTGACCTCGCCTCCTCTCTTCGCGACGGGCACATGAGCTGCGGGCTCCGCGATGAGATGATCCGACTCTTCAGGCCCCGACGAGGATTCCGCTGAAGAGAACGGATGGAGTTACCTCTTCGAGCTCGGCGGTAGTTACTACGCCAAAAACCAAGCTGTCGTGATATGGGCTACTCACTTTCCTCCGAGAGACTGTTCCCCTCATCATCAGAGTTGAAGTCCGAATCGTAGCTGTTGAAATCATCGGAATAATTGTCGGTCTCCGAATCGGATCGTTTCGCATTTGAGTTCCTCCTCGACCTCGCAGAACCACTCCTCGTCGCCGAACCTTCCGAAAAACTCTTATCCACACCGTTTCCTTGATACCCATTTGTCTGCGAGACGGATGAAATTAGATGCTGACGAGACAAATTGATGACGTATAAAGGGACAATTATTCGAATAATAATAGCAGGTATCGAATGTGAGAGCGGACCTCGACGATGAGCTGCTTATCACGATTCCTGCTGGGAAGTATTTTGGCCTCATTTCCTTGCGTTTTCCTGTCGATCTTCGTGGCGACTCGCTCAGTCTTCTCTCGGTTTCCGGATGTCGTCGCATTTTTCGAAGGCCTGGAGCTCAGACCATGCGAAGACGATTTCTTGCTGGGGTCGGTCGTTATCACAGCCGCGGGATGGGCGCTCCTGTGCGTGCTCTTGGACGTTGACGGTCGTTTTTCTGGAGTCTGTCGTGGCCGATCCGACGATTTCTTATCAGATGCTTTCTTGTCGACGGCATTCGAGCGATCTCCCTTGGAGATGCTCGACTCTTTCGGAGTTTTTCGTTTTTGGCTGGATTCTGTGCTCGACACGGCTGGTGGATGTGACGATTTTGTCTTGGTCTTTTTGATCTCTAGCTTCTCTTTCGCCATCCGAAGAGCATCTGGAGATCGCTTGCCGGTCTCTCCGATCCCATTCTTCGATCTGGAAGTTTTCGAACCCGACGAAGAGGTGCTCGTCTTGGACGATTTTCCTGCGCGAGGAACACCGATTCAATATCGAATGTTACAGATTACATAGCTTCGCAGATCGGAGAGCTTAACTCGGAGAACGACCGCTTACCATTCGAATATATTTTGGATGCAGCTTCCAGACTTGTGACGCTAGATCGCCTTCTCGACTTCTCCGCTTTCGACCTTCAATCGGAGCATCCTTCACTAACTATATTGTAATTACTGAATTGTTATTAAGGCGAGGCTAGGAGTGGTGTACCACACGGGGAGTCACGACCGACGTGCCGTTTTTCGGGAAGAATTCAAAAATGGCTCTATCAGCTAGGAAACCTCACAGTAGTCCGGGACTCACTCAGATTTCTCTTTGTCCGTGCGTGTTTTTGACTTCGTCGCATTTTTGCTGCTCCGAACTTCCTCCACGTTGCCCCACGGTGCCAAAACCTGGGAACGAAGACCCATGTTGAGATACAGATCGTGCATCGCGTCGATCATGTTTGGTGAAGTCGGTGAGTCGACTGTCAATCGCATCGGTAGACCACGGAGCTTTGAGGACGTTCGAAACGACTTCGGAATTGATGAATTCTCTCGAAAGATGAACGTCACCAGCGAAGGTGCTTGTAGTATTTATCGCTGACTTTCTCGAGCTTATAGAGGCAACTCGTTCGAATTTCATCACGATGAGCATCCATGAATGATCCGATCAACTGCGATATCAATCAGTCTCTCTCCAAGCCGAGCTAAACCTCGATTCACTACCTTCCTCGACGATGAAACCCACGGATCGAGCACGGGTTCGATTCTGAGCCTTCCAAACCCTCAGCTACGTCGTCAAGGAAGATTCGGAAAAGTCGAGGGAATCTCCGCTCAATCGGGACTTGAAGGAATGAGTCTCACCCTTTCCTGCATCGAGCACGGCGCGGCGCTCTCCGGTATATAGCGTACGTGTCGCCCTAGCAACGGGTAACAGAGAATCTATCTCGGAGGACGGTCTCCCCAGAAGCAGCCTTTTCGACCAACGATATCCGACTTTCATGGAGGAATGCGAGAACTGAGTAGGTCGCATGACGGTACCTTCGGCTACCACAAAAGCGAAAATCGAAAGATTCGTCAAAAACGCTGGATATAATTAAAGTAAATATATATGAGCTTTATTCTCTCGTATCATCCGTCATCTACTCCTGTTCCCGTAGTCGCTGATGAGGTAGATTTTCCTTCGGGAATTTTCCTCTCGCGATTTTGTCAGTTTTGATTTAGATTTCGAAAGAATTCTCTTTTCTTCTCTCTCGGCCGAGGGGGCCCGCCCTAGTTCGCAGTGCGCTCATCTTCCCACAGGTTTGGATCGCGAACGAGACCAAACTTCGGGATCACAGCCTCGCGGTTAAAAAATTCCAAGTTTCTCCGGATCCATACTCTGCACTCATCAGTGTTCACAACAACAACGATAGTTGCAACAGTGGTCAAGCCGCACTCAGCGAAAGGCAGACGCCATCTCGTTCAACCATTCCGTAGTAATCGGAACAAGTTTGATTCTGAGATTGAAGGTTCTAGCCCGAGCGAAGCGGCAGTGACGCTGCCACAGACTCATCATTCAATCGAAAAGGAATACCCGAAAATACACGTCTAGTCTTGCCTATCATCCTCACCATCATCATTTAATTGTACTCTCGCACACTGAAGTCTTAATTACCTATCGCGTACCGAATAGCTAGACATAAGATGCTGCTAAGAAGGCATGATCCGTCATCTCTTCGCCAGTTTCGCATTTTTTTCGCCAGGGGAAAACATGTAAATCTATGTTCATATTGCGAGCCGATCGAGTGTAGTCTAAAGGAGCACACTAGGAAACACTTGATAGTCCGGTCTACAACATCCATAACCAGTGGGTACACTCTTCCGATGAGCCGTCTTCTCAGGGTGAAGAGACGATCAGAAGATAAAACATCGAAGCGTTGAGAATAAATAATCAACACATTCACGCGATCGTCCGGCTCCTTATTGTTGAGATTTACTTGCGGTCTTCTTCGTCCTCACGAGCGTCGCCGTACTCCCAAAGGTTTCTGCGTTCGGTCTTGGCCTCCTCTTGAGCTTTTTCGTATTCTTCACAGATTTTCTTGTAGCGTTCGCCTTTGCGCGGCTCGAAGTACGCGAAGCCATCGGTGATCAAGGCTTTGCCGATATCTACGTCGTCAGACTTGAGAGTCACGTATTTCTCGCCATTGAACTCGTACTCGACGTTCATCTTGAGCTCAGCGTTCGAGACGTCTTCGGAGAAAGTTTTCCTCGCGCTAGCCAGTTCGTCTTCGTCCTTGGGCATTTTCACGAAGGCCAGATTGCAAGGATGAGCGAAGTCGGGGGCATTGAAGCCGGCAGGCAAAGGCTGCAGTTTGGAGACCTCGCACTCGCCTCGGTTTCCGTAGTCGATGTAGACGAGTTCCGCGACGCCTTTGACGATCTTCTCGATCTTGACACGGTACCAATTGCCATCGAGGAACTTCGCGGCGGCCCTATCGCCCCGCTTGAAGGTTCCTCCGAGACCGGGATTCTGCAACTCTTTCTGGAGCTTTGCCTGCAGCTCCTCCAGCTTGGGTCCGTCCTGATTGAATTGAACGTAGAACTTGCTCACAGTTGAAGTGACCTCGGACACCATAACGTTCTTGGGTTCAACCTTCCTCGTGGATTTGGTATCCTCCTGGACCTCGGGGACGACGGTCTCTTCGAAGGTAGGTTCGACGTAATTCTCCCAGATTCTGAGTTTCTTGGCTTTCGCAGCTTCCTCGGCGTTCTTCAGTTCGGTGTAATACCTCGTCTTCTCCGCCGAGTAGTGATGCACAGAGGCGAGGCCGTTCTTGACGAGCTCGACCGAGAGGTTCTTCTTGTCGAGCGTGACCATTCCGATCATGGCGCCGTTCTTGTCTTGGCTCTCGACTTCCATTTCGATCTGGTGCTGCAGGCAGAGATCTCGCGTGAACTGCATCGCTTCGTCTCCGTACGGGTCGCCTTTCTGGGCGGGAGCGCCTCCGCTCTCAGGACGACCGGATCGAGGGCACTGGATACCGTTCAACAGGAGAGTGAAGACACAGTTGTGCTTCTGGCAGTAGACGCGAAGTCTCGAGCCAGATGAGACAAACTCGACGATACCCGAGTTGGGGTTGCCTCGTTGAAGACTAGTGAAGTATTGTTTCGACTTGATGAGATCACCCTGGAGGTCTGCGACCCTCATGGGCTCCGGTTCCTTCTTGGCGTGAACGCCGACCTGTTTCTGCTGAGCGAGACCTTCGGCCTCCTGCAGTTCGAGATAATGAGACGATCTCTGGTCGTTGTCCTGTCGGTAACGGATCACCGTTGCGAGACCAGCAGCGACCAGTTGTTCGGCAACGTTTTGTCCGTTGAACTTGACGGTGCAACAGACCTTCTCTGGGAAATTATCGCTCTTGGGCTGGATGTAATCCACTTGAACCTGGACGTTCTTGCCAATCAGTCTCGTTCGGAGGAACTCACGAGCTTGGAAGAGCAACGGCTGTTGGTACATGCGCTGCGCCATCGTGACCTTCCCCTGCTGCTCCTTGCCGAGCTCCTTTCGGGGAGGCTTGATGGAAGACAAGAAGATCTTCCTCAGGGTATCGCCCTCCTTCACGACGAGCATGTCGGCCGCCACGACCTCGATCACCTTGGCGGTCGAATTTCCCCCGGATACAGCCGCGGGTTTCGGAGCCTCTTTGTAGTCCTTCCAGATACAGAGCCGTTTCTGCTTGGCAACCTTCTCGGCGTTTCTCAACGTAGATGCGTAAACTGGATCCATCGAGGACAGGGACCAGTCTTGCGTCTGAACGAGACCGTTCTCAACGAGTCCCTTGGCAACATCGTACTGGGGATGTTTGATGAACCCGAAAAGCTGTCCATTGTTGCCTGCGCCTTCGAGCAAGATTTCGACATCCTGAAAGTTTCAAAGGGGTTCGTCAGTTCGGCAATTTCCAAAATCACGGGCAAACATCTGATGAGATTCCCCTGATACGACAACGACTTGAATACAAAAACTCAGATGATTGATGTTACTGACCTGCTGGAGGAGACCGATCTCCAAGTAGTAGATCGCCCTTGGGCGCAAGTTACTCTCCTCGGACGGTCCACGAATGCCCGCGATATTGACTGTGAGATAGTAGTGAGTACCATCTAATTGGACAAAGGCTCGAATTCCACAAGCATTGGGGTGAACGCTTTCGACGACGGCCTTCAAAGGCTTCTTCTTGTTCTTGGCGATGAAGCTATTGACGTCGTTGACTTGCCACACAATTTTTCGGAGGTGGGTGGACGCGTCGTCGGCCCAGCTGAAAGGAGCAAGATATTCAATCAGGGATTTGAATTCAGTATGAAAGGTGACAATTTCGGAATAAGTGGGCGCCTCCAAGAGATGATCCTGAACTCGATCAGGTAAGATCAAAGACCTCCTCAGAAAGTATGATTAGGATTACTTACATTCCGACCTTACTGGCCTTAGCCTGCTCGAGGAGCTCCTTTAGCTTGTCGTACTTTTCGCTCTTCCTGCTCACATCCCTCACATTGGCTAGTCCTCTAGACACAATCGACTCGTTGAGACTTTCGCCATCGGCCGACGTTCCCTTGTAGACATGACAGAAAACCGCTTTCGGCGAGCGATGTTCCACCTCACAAGTAACGTCCTGTCCCACGAGCTCTTTCCTTAGGATTTCTCGCGCCGTCCACGCATACGGCTCGTCAACCTGCTTCATGTCCGGGGTATAGGCTGCCACCTTAGGGGCAACCAGATTCGCCAGATGCACCATCGTGTCACTGGGAGCTCCATTGGCACCGCGGGACCAGATGACGAGCGTGTCGGAAGAGTTCACCTGTGAAGGAGCTCCTGTCTTAGAGAAGTACGAAGAGATTCAATATTTTGAATTAAGGCAAAATGGACTCGATCGTCCCTTTGTCAGACGCCGACTGAGCAGGGGTGTGGAACGGATTCATGACGGAGCGTGATCGGCAAGAATCGGTGGTAATCGAAATAGAACTTGAGCTGATCTAAGGAAGTTGGTGACAGAATTCACGGCGCGCGTATCACTCCGATCCGAAACAGGTTCTCTCTGATGCGAACTTTCCTAATTTGGATCGAGCATTAAGCAAGAATCGGGACATCGATGACCCGGAGCTCGAAGGTCGACGAGAAGACAGGTTTTCAGGGGCTTGGTTTCACGATGAAGCTCCAAACCATATGCGAACGGGCTGCGGTACCACAGAACATATCTCGAGCAGGTCACCAGAAGTCAATGATTGACAAGGAGCAATTCAGATCAGATGGAATAAATCATGCGAGCAATAGATTTCTGTTCCCATAACTCTCGCAACTTGTCAGCCCAACAGCGGTGGGAACTCCCGCTATCAGAGGCTTTCGGGGGGGGGGGATCCAAGGCGGAAATTCGCCAAGTGGACTCGTGCCAGTAATTCTCCCGAGTTCCGCAGTTGTCTTGCGAAAATCGACTGCGGCTCGGAAACTAGTCCAGGTGAAAGAGGGACGTCCCTCAAGGGCTGCGATATGCATTATGCGAGTGAGATATCCGCGCCGAACATCAAAGTCGAATCCTCCCGCACTCTCCCTTCGCGATGTGAACTGACACATTGGAGGAGCAGCTTCGTTACAAGAGGGGGAGAAACTTCCCGAGTACCGAAATTCGGTCACAGTGTCGACGACAAGCCACTCGGCCACCGTCGACGGAAAAAGAGCCAGCATACAGCGACGGATAGGAGAAGTTCGTGCTCGGAGAGCACTCTCGAGGACAAAATACAGCTGGAATCCGGCTACCGGCATATGCAAAACTTTCGTTACTTACCTTCTTGATCTTGCCACGAATCGTTTCGACGTTGAGAATTTGTTGAGTTGGTTGAGCCATGGTAGAAATCCGGAGGGTTCGAGGCTGTTTAGCCAGACGGGAACCGCGTTGTTCAATCGTGTGTTGAAGCAGGCGGCGCTGTGGAAGTGGTGCTGGTGGCATCCCGGTGATGTGGCCGTTCGAAATTCGGCCTCCGTACGATAGATCAGGCAGAACTTCGAAAGACTGCCAACAGCTGAGGGAGTGCAGCTGAATGCGATCCCCTTTTCCGGATAGAGAATTATGAGTTCCGGAGAGATTGATTCGTGAGCGATGTATCCCGTAGAGACTAGCGGGACAGGCGTCTTCGAACGACGAAGAGTCGGGGACGGACTTGTCACAGAAGTACACAGTAGAACGTCACCGGCAGAGCCTCCTCTCCGCTAGCTGAGAACGTGGTGGGTTGCGCAATCTTTACCAACACAACGCGTTTCCGTGTGTCAAGCCTTCCTTCAAGACACGTCCGCTTTGCACCTAGCTCGTGTTCGAACAAGCAACGGCGTGTTCGAGTCCGACAGTGTACTCCGAAGCGGAGCCGACTAGAATCTATGAAGTCTCAGCTGATTTACGACCACTCGGGTTGGGGTTAGACCACAGGGCTTTCAAGGCTCAGCTCGAAAAGTGATTCGTTCAGAGCTCGACTGCCCTGAAATACTCATAGTGGGGGAGAGGAACCCAGGGGAGAAGGGTCGTGGGGCGGATGATCTCGAACCCCCCCCCCCCCGGGGTCCGACTGTGCGATGTGCTAAGTCCGATGTGCGGAGTGGGTTCGCATGTCTCATTAAGACTGAGACCTTCTCGCTGAGCGTCGGAATCCCCGCGCTAGTGTGATCCCATTAGTGCATGAGGAATGTGTCGGGGAGCTCCAGCCCCATTCGCTGCAATCACGCTCGGCTCAATAAGCCGAGCGAGAGATCAATTCTAGGGTCTCAACCCGGCGCGCACTCGCCTTCGACTCGATGGAATTTCAAGCTTCGTTCGGAAGTTGATCAGCTATCGCTTTCGAGCAATTATCTGGGGTTCGATAATGATGAAACAGGACTGCCCGGCGAAGCACAAGACTTTCAGCTCGAACGAAGCCTATTACAGACTTTATTTCATGTTCAGAGGGTGGCTCGTTCGTTGTGGAACTCGGCATCTCTAGGCTGTAATTGGAAGGCGGAGAATTCTAGTGGCCAATCTGAGGTAGCATTGCGGACCCCGCTGTGAACTACCTAAAAGTTTAGAAAGTCGTTGAAGAAGCAAGGTTGGGAATCATTGTACCCTTGTTTCTAGCGACCGTCGTTCTCCTCATGTTACGACTCCTGGATGGTCCGGATATCTGTGGGATTCACTAATTGTCTTTCGCGGCGTGCATCAAGGGCTCACCTACTATGGCGGAACGAAAAATGATGGGGTACCCCTAACCATCTAGCTATCGGGTCTCATTGCTCGCACTTCGGACTTCACCTGCTAAATTAGGACAAGCTCCGATACTTTCTTCAACCTCGGGGGCCGGAGTCCTTCCCCCTACAGTGGGCTGAGGAATCCTCCTCCGGTCAGGGTCCTCCCACCGATCGTCATCAGTCTTTAGAGAGTCCGCATTCTCTTCACGGCGTCGGAGTACGAATTCCTGTCCGTGAATCGGAGTCGAGATCGACGATCGATGGGGATCTATACTTCATCAGCATGATACCAATAAGGCGCGATGCCATCCACGCCCAGTTGGCCAGCATGGGGATTCCACCCGTGTAGTCCTCGGTGCCATGTCACTGTTTGAGACAGGGTTTCTCCTTCCTTTTCCATCCATCACCGCTAATCACTTTGGCAAACCAGCAAAGTAGAGAAAATAAAATCAGACATACGGGCGTGGATCAAGTTCAAGTTCCAGGGCAGGTCATCTCGAAGCAGGATAAACCCCGCTTCGAATCTTCGATGGAACGTAACTCTGCGAGTCGCGCCAGAGATGCGAACGACGAATTCCCCGTCGCCTCGGGGATAGATATACAGCAGACGACACTGAAGTTCACCTTTCCGACGACGAATCTAGAAATTCGCTATCAATCGCTGAAATAATTCCCGCTCCCATGGTCACCGATTCCGAGAGGAAACCATCCAGGGCGTCTGGGAAGGCTGACGCATTTGAAATCATCGACGCGCCGAGCTCCAAAAAAGGCTCGAAGCCTTTTTCTCGAAGCTCGAGCAGCGGCTTAGCTAGCCGAAAAGGGGCCCAGGGCGGATTTTGGAAGGCCCCCAGGAGTCTGCGCCCATGTCGAGTGCCCTGTCACCCTCTACCTAGCAACGCAACGATAACGACCATCGCGCGAGGTCAACTGCGATCTCAGTCGGTCAATGCGGACCATCATGCGAACTTCGCGCACTCGACCAGTTAAAGCTAAACTTGGTCTCCGCTAACAACGTGTGAAAGCCGCGAGAGAGGCCAGCTGAGTCTCCTTTCTGAAGTCCTTGATGAGTAGGCCCTAAAATACTTCGACGAGACGGAGATTATTTCCCCGTCGAGCCGAAGCCGATGGTCTGAACTATCAACTTTCTCCCTCATTCATCTCTCTCTTAATTATTCCCGCTCTTATTTGTCTTCCTGTATAATTTATTCCCTCTCCTAGTCAAATAAAATCTCCGAGCGACTCTCTGAGAGCGACCTCATGCCTTTTCCCCGGCATTAAGTTCAATTGATAAGTCAGAGCAAAGCCCATCAGAAGCGACCAGCCCTCGCTCACCGTCGACCTTATTACCTTTATTTTATTCATTGCTAGGACTCCAATCCTTATGACTTTACTAGGACTGTGATTTTGATGATTCTTCCCTCTAATTCTCGTAGCGAAGCACGGGGCAAGGACTTGTGAGCGAAATTCTCCCCCGACCAAATTTTACCAACCCGCCACTATCAGATGGAAAACGACATCTATTTCGTTTCACTGGGGTGGACACCAGGGAGCAACTTTTATTTTAGAATAACCAGAGTTTGACGGAATCGACCGTGAATCGATTCTCAAGCTGACACTTTCTTTTTCAATAAGGCTCTTTGAAACTAAAATTGGCGTGAACCAGAGCTCTCACGCGCTCAGATGAGGATCCTGTGAACTCCGCTGTCGAGCGTCCTTGCGTGGATCCGCTGGAGTTTGTCGAGCATCCCGCTATCGGAGGAGAAGGCGCGACGGTACTCTTCTTTGCTTCCTCCGTGGAAAATGACTTGATGATAGGCGTTTCTGGCAATCTCGTAGGAGAGAAGGCACCATCTGAGCTCGACAGCCGTGAATCCTTTTGGATCAATTCCGTGCCATTATACTCCAGATCTGATGCGGCATTGAGTGTGGCTGCCAAACTTTCATCACATTTCTTGCAGTCCATCTTTCCGATTAAAACAACCTCAGGCTTTTGCTGATGACGACAGCTGTTACCAACCCGCCACAATCAGATGGAAGACGACTTCTATCTCGTTTCACTGGGTGGACACCAGGGGGCAACTTTTTGTTATAGAATAACCAGAGCTTGACGGAATCGACCGTGAATCGATTCTCAAGCTGACGCTTTCTGACCCGGACTAGTGGCCCGAGGGCGCTGTGTGGATATCAACCTCCTCACCGTATCCTCCTTCCCCTAGAAAGCCCGCGAACGGTTTCCCTGAGTGGGCTCCTATACTTTCCTAAGTCTGTCTTACGTTATACCTAGCATCACCGAACGTGGGTTCGTGACAAGTGACACGTCCGATGCCGATAAGATTTCTGTGTCTTCTATTATCGGAATCTAGCAGATGTTGAATCAAGCTCGACGATGGCAGGAAAAGGGGCGCTGAGAGAGTATTGCCTCGGGTGGGTTCAGTAGGTCTGAGGATGAGAAATCGAGTCCTACTGCTGTCCTCTCGTTTGTCGAGCTCTTTCCTGATCGAACCATCTCTTCGGAGACTCTCGCTTACATTATCACAGATCCCCGTCCCGGAAGATTCATGAGCCCTCAAGAGACGACTGACTGAGCGGCCGCAGAATATTTGCTCCCAGTCCGACCGCAGAAGACAAGTTCTTGCCCGACCATTGAGTATACTCATCGGGAACCGGACGCTTCCGGAGCGAGTAATCCTCGACCCCGCCCCGGGGCAAGCGACGGAAGAACATCGCAATGTGTGGTAGTTTTCGTCGACTCCATCTCTGAGAAAAAAACAACGATAGATCTTATCGGACGGTTCCAGGGGAGAACTTAGAGGAATGGATCTCAAGGGTATGGGGCGAGGCAGAGCAGCGAATCTGAAGAAGACAGTGCAAGTTCTGCCGGGCAATACTGGCCGCGAGAGCCCCTCCGATTCAACGATTTCTTCGAGGACCAAATGCATATCCGACCCTCGCATGCTCATGTGCATGGTTTTCCTTTTGCTGATAATTATATGGTCTTTCGCCGCATGGAATGATGCTACAGGTCCTCGTGAGACAAAAGCCGAGGTTTTCTCTCTTCCGGACGTGATCGACGTGGGTAAGTAGAAACTTCGGAGTATTCCACTCGTGATCTCTTCCAATCGCATCCGGCTCCTCGCGAACCTTCCGAAGGCGCAACGCTCTCTGGAACGCGCGCAACGCGGAACCGAAGCCGCGAGCATGCGGGAGGCGGTCATCGGAATCATTAGTAGTGGAATCAATGGAAAGATAGAACTGAGTCTTCTGCAGCTACCGGAGCGCATATCAATAGCGTGGAAGGTCGAATGGGAAATCGACGCCGGCAACGCAAACTCTCGATTCGGAAACTCGCACACCGAAGCGGTGATGAGCTCAGCAGAGGTAAGGACAGGGTGGAAAAAGCCCTCAGTGACTTCAAGGAGCTACAAGAGGGACTGGACGAATGAGAAAAAGCGGAGAAAAATCGATGGGAGCGAGCAATAGTCGGAGGAGCTGTGACTAAGGCTGATGGAGATACACACTCTGTGTCGTTTAGCGGAAGCGAGGCTCTCGGAAGCTGAGTCGTACGATAGGCGAGAACTCGAAGCGAATAAAATCTCAGTACGGACATCAAGAAGATAACATCATCAGATTGAACACCCGAATATTAGTATGGGGGTTTAACTCGGTGCCTCGCTCATGAGGTAGTTTGAAGGTTTCCTCCTCATTGGGGTGGGCCCTCTGCAGGGTGAGATCTGCGATGCGGAGGGGTCTTGGAGTCATAGAAGTCCCCGACAAACAATGAGCACCCAAAGGGAGAGTTTCCCGACTAGCCAAGTCCTCGCCGAATACGGAATTTGTCGCCGTTGCCTGCGGAATATCAAGCTTCGAAAACCCCACAAAGTAATTCTTCTCGTCAAACACCCTTCATATAAAACCGATTCTCCTCGAATAACTCGCGAAGTCCAGCATAAGAGCGGAAGACGAGCGTTCAGTCCCGAAGCTCCCATGGTGGAAGGTCGACTTTCGAGGCAACTGAGAGTCCACGCTGGTTCAGGTACGAAGCGACAGAGACTCGATCAGCCGGGGATCCCAAGCGGAGTACTCTGTCTCCGGGGGTTTGCGATGCCAGGTCTCGGCTGGACTCATTCTCCTGAGCTTTGTCCGCTAAGGTACTTCAACATCACCGTCAAGTTCTCTGTCAAAATGAATGTGTTCTCATATGAACAGATCTTTCTGATGAGGAGCGCTACAAAAATCTCTGATCGGCTTCAACAACGAAAGCCCTGCAATCGTCCATCGGAGATTCCCGAAGCTGATTAGACAGGAAAGGTATCCGAAGCGATGAAGAATGGCAAAGCCGCTCCACGAGATCTCAAGAGTGGAACCAAGACTCTGAAAGAAGAGGCCGATGCCGTCTCCGACTCGTCGGACTCCTCAGATCCGAAAGTCAGATCTGATCTACGGGCACTAGTTCTCGCAGTTGTGCTGCTCCTGGCGGTGCTTTGGTGGCTCGGTGACTGGGAATACGAGGAAGCTAAGACTCTCACGACAGAGCAAAACGGAGCAGGTGAGTGGACGGTCGGCGATGAATTCGAGATTCCCTCACGACACCGCCTCAAGATTCAGTCTCGCGGCATGCCATTCCATTGAGGACGCCTTTGACGCCCGGCTCTCAAATCCCCGCAGGTTCTCGCCTTTCCCCCTGTCCTGTCACGGAAGACATCTCATCCATCCCGGAACCGGAGAGTGTTGACATAGATGACGATCGCCGAGTCCAAAGTCCACCTCCTGAGGATCCGGTCGGACGTAGCTCCGGAGGAGTTAGGAGAACGGGATATCGCAGACCGCGGAGACGACCGAGACGTCGATACGGAACGGCAAATAAGCTCGATGAGAGTGCCGGTAGCGAGACCGATGGATTAGGAGAGAGGAGAGGCGGGCTCGGATACGGTAGAGAGCCTCGCCAGCAAGACACGGGTCACGGAAACTCCGCAGAAAACTCCGGCCAGAGTCGCCCGAATCACTTCGACAGCCTTGTACAATAATTCTGAAACGATTTCCAAGGCATCCCTCCTTGAAGATTTCCGGAGATATACCCATCTCCTTACGCTCTGGAATAACTGTTGAGGCTCTTCACAAGGTCTCAGACTACGGTTATGAAGTTGTCAATCGAGTTTTTGTTATAGAGACATGTCCTAGGACTCGATCAGTTTCGCTCCGGTCTTTTCTACCAGGTGGCCGAGGGAAGCTGCCGGATCTCTCTTGCATTGTTCTCCTTTGCAGTGTCACTGTCCTGTGCATCTTTATAAGGCATGGCCTTCCCTCGTTATCCGATTCGGAGCTCCAACCACCAAACAGTTGAGAGGCAGCTTCCTGCGCGAGAACTTAGCGATCGAGTAGGAAGGAGAGCGTTGTAGGCGGCAAATTCCACATTCATAGACGTTGGTGCGCCCCACATATATTCGTGCGCGGTCCTAATTCGATCAGCTCGGAAAGCAAAACAGCTCGGAATCGGTTGCAGACCATCCAGCTCGAGATCCGCGTCTCCGGCTGAGACAGAATCGGAGAAAGCCCTGGGATGGACTATTAACTCCACATAATTTCTTGATGATTTTTTCGACTGAAAGTCCGCTGCCGGCTCCTCGACCGGTCTTAAATCGTTTCATGCGTGCCGTTGAGGTCGAGATAGTCAACTTGAGACTCATTCGCTCTGTCGGTTACAGCTCGTGAGAGTTTCCTTCTCGATAATGACAATACACAAATCTTCATTGAGGAGGATGGAATAACGGAGACTGTTTCGTGAGACATTAGAGATGCTCGTTTCGGGTTAGGATTTTCGGTCGAAGATCTCCTCCCGAAACTCGGAGCAATCCCTCTCACAACTTCAGACGCCGCGATACGGCTCGGTGTGAGCTCCTGCTTTTAGTACGTATCCGCCCGGGGGTACCTCAACGGAGATTGCTCATAAGGCCGCTCCACATCAGAGGAGCAGTAAAAGTATCGGCAGCGTATTTCGGGGCCGGCGTTCTATCCGCTTGACTGGTTGACTGATTGGCGAAGTTCCTTGAAGTTTCATTGGATACAAGAACAGAGCTGGCAACGAGAAGAGGAGCGTCACGCTTCCCTTAAAGAGGGATAGTGTCCGCGGTCGAGCAATGGGCTCGGAATGGCTCCGTGGAGTTTAGTCGGGAGATCCCTGCTACACTACGATAGTTTTCGGGTCACTCGTCTCGAGGATTCATAGTGTTGATTCACGTAGGGCTTTTATGCTGTGCACAGAAGTCCGATAATTCTAGGGTCACTCATCCCTAGACATCCCGGAGCTGATTCTTAAGTGAGAGCTCTACGCCGTGGCTAGGACTTCGTTAATTTTCAGTTACCTCATCCCAAAGCTTTTAGACCTAAAGTTCGCCGAAACACCCCATAATATTCACATATATGCTATTTTGTGTTCCAGACTCCGTCATAGATTACTCCATGGTTTTGGCCCCGATCGATCAAGTCCTGCTATACACGTTGCCGACAGTCCGGCCGTCGAATGGAACTACAACGGTGTGGAATCGGCCTCGAAGTCTTCCTCGGAACTGCGAGCGGACAATCGAGGCGCGGGTCGGGTACGAGACAGACACGGATGATTTTCGGGTTTTTAATCCCGAGTTTCTCCGGAGGTTCCGTGTTGCAGTGCGAAAAGCGCGTCAGAGACGGAGCTCCGATAACTCTCGCGCGAGTGACTCGCGGGGCCTCCGGATGATCGCGTGGTGTGGGGGCGCGTACGGGACAGAACTCCGATGATTTTCCGGCTTTATGGTCCGAAGATTCTTGGAATTTAGGTGACCCATACCCGGTTCCCAAGGATCGGCCACTTAGAGCAATAGCGAATGGCGACTTATCACTAGCATTCAGATTTTCGCGCCTCCATTGGCAGCCTAAAGCGGCGGAGGCTCAGCATGTCTCTCAGCGCGTGCGCTGCTCGAAAAGCAAGCGGAGAAGAGCCGCCGCAGGGCTTTTAGCTTTGAACTTCCAGATATTCAGCAAGTCCGGGACACACGGTTCACTTTCGGTTGTGAATTACGAACACAGCGAGTATTGGGTGCCATCGCTCTCGTTGTCGTCGTCGTCGCCGCCGCTGGGAGGAAGAGACTTTGTAGCTGCTGTGTTGTTGATGTTGTTGTTGTCTCTCGTCGGTAGTAGTCGTCGGTGATCACTACTGGAGGGGGAATCTTGCCAAGAGACGCCAATCATCATCTTTTTAAGGGAGCAGCTCAGAAGATAGTGAGCTGGTTTCTTGAGTTACCGAATCGCCGTTCGGTACCGCGACAACTGGTGCTGCTGCCGCTGGTGTTTCTTCACTGGGATACGACAGAGTTTTCATGTAATCGCATAGTTTCGCGTACGGTAAGCAAAGAATAACGCGTCGCTTTTCACGAGATGTCTTGGATTTGAGTTGAGCCGTGGAACAATTCGAACCGATGCGCAACGTGTCGGGCGCCGAACACAGTCTCACGTTTCGACGCTGACATCATGACAGCGGCGCTGTGACACAAGGAACAGACCGCGTACGGTATCCGATCTATTCGAATTCGAACTGGACTCAGCACCAGGAGTTCGAACACTCTCTTTGTGTTCCTCTTTCCAAGCGCAGCATATGGCAGTTGGAGTCGATCGCAGGTGGGGAGAGAAAACAACCGGGAAAGCGAAAATCAGGCTCCCTACAGCTGGAATCTGCCCGCTTTCAAGGGTCGCCAGCGACTCGCCGCAGATTGTTTATCTCGCCATGCGCATCTTCAAAAAAATACTGAGCTTGCTTTCCGTTCCGGATTTACGCAGTGCTCGACTATCAGGGCCAGGATTCGCCAGGATCCAGTCAAGCCGCTTCGGACGAGATTCTCCTTAGTCAAGGAACATATCGTTCAAAGAAAGAAAAAGTAGCCGTTTCGTATCTCGAGGAGGGAGTGGGAGCGTAATCCAGCAGGAACCCCTTTGCCGTTCCCCGTAACGCATAAGCTATCCTCAAGTCGACTGGGATCAAAACGAGGGTGACTCCTCGAACGCTCTAGACTCCGGACTATAGACGTATACTTGGGGAAAAGGGGATTTTTTCCTAAATAGAGAAGAATATTTCTGAGAGACTGGGAAATGCCCTTTCTGTGGTCGAGCGACACTCAAGCACTTTAGAACGTCGAGAGCAGCTTCAGATTCCGTTGAATCAATGTTTTGAGAACAGAGCAGACTGAGCATCGCGGACCATTCCGCGACTGAGTGAGTCTTTCACATCCTGATTATTCTCGCATTCTACATTGTCAATGCCGAGTGGGTTCCCGTGGATGCCGTGAAGAAAATCCGGATAAATTCAAGCCATGCGTTTGACGATTCCTTTCGATTTCCCTCCATACACCCATCGAGCCCGATCCCTTTTCTCCCACCGCACTCTCCGACCTCGCGATCTTCCTGTGGAATTCCCGAGAATTCAATCTCCTCTTGCTCCCTAAATCCCGCCCATCCAAATGATCTCACTTTTGGCAACTTGACTTGCTTTTTTGGTGTGCTCGGAACTCCGATCGGTTTCTTCCGCCTCATGGTCTCGAAAAAGTCTGCGGTGCGATTGCCTTCCCCGATCGCGAGATAATCCTCAGTGGAACCCTCTCGAGGCCGAGGTTGGAAACAAGAGACGAGGAGGGGTCTCAGCGCCCTCAGAGCTCCTTATGCCGAAACCAATCCGATGCAGTACCTGACGTCTGCAGACTCGCATCCGCGATATCTCCCCAGTCGCCGCAATGAGTCACGGGGAAACTGTCGCGTCTCGGATCGAAACGACGAGGTCCACCTGTGTTCCGTCGTAGAGTGTGGCGGGAGCCGATAACATCCATGTCGCTGAATTGGAGTTCTCCCAGGACAGAGCAATGATCTTCTAGGAGGATTCTCGATGAACAACGGCTCTTGAAGATCCTCCGCTGATTCGAAAACAGAAGGAGCGAGCCGTCAGTCACATTCGCGCGGGACTCTATCGAGAGCGGACGGGGCTCCCCGGCTTCCGCTTCGATGTCTCGGAATTTCCATTTCTATGCCAGAGCTCCGCTACCCTCGTAACTCTAAGTAAACATCATTCGATCTCCCCGAGCATCAGGGGCGCGCGTCGAATTGCCTCCAGCAATTAGTGGGAGAACTCTATCATCGCGTCGGAAGCCGATCCCAATCATTCCGGGGTTACGAAAATGTCGTCGAATCCGACATCGATGGAATCTCTCTACAAAGTCATCGCGTGTTTCAGGCAATCTGAAGGAAATGTGGTCCACGCCAAAAACAATTCACGTGCTCAAAAATGAACTCAATCTGGATGTAGTTCTGCGCTGCGGTCAAGCTTTCCGCTGGAAGCTGGATGAGGACAAACGCGAATGGATTTCCACGCTCAAGGGCAGAGTTTTTGGCCTCCAGCAAACCGACGACGGCATTCAGTACCGCGTCTGGAAGGGGGACGATGCAGAGAACAGCGAGAACAACGGTACCGACGGAATTTACAAGCACGAGTCCGCGGAGGCCATCTTGACAAATTACTTCCAACTCGGCGTCAGACTTCAGAACCTCGTCGAAGAATGGAAGAACGATCCACTCTTCGAGAACGTTCACATTTACGGTGTCAGAACTCTGCGACAGCAACCCTTCGAATGCCTCATGTCGTTCATCATCTCGTCTTGTAATAACATAAAGCGGATATCAAGCATGGTTGATCACCTATGCTCGTACGGACCAATCCTCGCGACTATAAACGGCACAGAATACCATGATTTCCCGACCGTAGAGGCTCTCTCGAGTATCGGGCCCGAACTCGAGACCAATCTGCGATCCGCGAGCTTCGGGTACCGCGCAACGTACATCGCCAAGGTGGTCGACATCGTCAAAAAGAAGGGTTCGGACGATTGGCTCAACTCGTTGAGGGAGGCACCCTACGAAGAAGCTCGTGACAGACTCATGGAGTTCCCCGGTGTTGGTCGAAAGGTCGCCGATTGCGTGTGCCTTATGGCTCTCGACAAACCGCAAGCGGTCCCGATCGACACGCACGTGTTCCAAATCGCCAAAGCCAATATGCCTCAGCTCAAAGATGTGAAGAATCTCTCGCCGGCAGTATATCCGGTCATAGTCGATTGGTTTAGAGAACGATTCGGACCTTGGTGCGGTTGGGCTCAAGGTGTTCTCTTCGCGAACAAGATACGACTCACAGAAATCAAAGCGCTCAAAGTCGAGAGGCACGAAGCCCTTTCGGAAGCAAAAGTCACCAAAGCTGCCAAGAAGCAGAAGATCGAAGCGATCTGAGAAAAATGCGAAGCACTGAATTGCTCCGCAAGGTCCGAGCGATGATGACCTTGCTGACTGAACCTGATGACTGATCTCAAGGATTATCCTGCTGGGCGGAGCTCGATTCTTGAGGCGATCCCCGCCGCAGCGTACAATGTATAACATAACTCTTATGTAAAGCAAATGTGGTCCCCTACATGACGGAATCGTGTCTGTAAACTGCACTGTTCATTCGGAGGAGGGGCGAACGAACTCAGATGACGCCAATATTTAAATAAAAGCAACCTATGGAAAGAAAGAACTCAGTGTTTTCTGATGGAACATGATCCGGGAACGTTTGAATGCTTTTTAAATTTCAACTTGTCGTTTGCCTGGGGCTCGTCGGACTGTTGCATGAAGCATTTGAGCCCACAGTGATTTGGGTTCAGCTGAAACTCCGGAGGAGATAGTTGAGGATCTCAAAAGCACGAGGACCCCGTCCGTGTCCGTCGAGATCGTCCGGATCATCAGATCAGATTGCTGCCCGGGCTCGATGGTGTTTGGCGGAACCGCGCTTGACTTCTGAAGACGACAGTTTTTCCTATACTTTCAGTGCCGCGGGATACCGCGGAAAACGTGGGGCGAGATACCTATGACGGAAGCCCGTGGCCATTCTAAGAACTATTCCGTCGTTCAGTTACAGGATGGAGGATGATGATGAGGCTTCGTTGAACAAACTGTGGAACACCGTGATCACCGGAGTCTGCTCCAAGAGTCCCTCGTCCGTGGATCAGGTATGGAGGCAGAGATCGCAATCAAGCGGGGGATAAGTCCTTCCAATACCGGCCGTCGATCATAATTCCTGTCGGGTTCATGAACTCGAGACAAATGCTTCATATCAACTCTCCCTGCCGGATCGTATTGGGCTTCCGGTGATCCTCCGATATTAGAATCGCAGAACGGCCCTCTGGATAATATACCGGATTTTTTCCAAGATCCATGTGTTCAGCTGTAAGTTCCTCTCAGCTCGGATACGCGGTCGTCTCGAAGACGTCGACTCGTGGGGGAAATGCGTTTCTATTTTGAGTCACGTACTCGTCGATCGACTCCGGAAAGTGAAAGATCCCATCGCTGGTCAGTAGGCAGCCGCTTCGACTCATTTCATTTCTCTGACTTTATCTGATGCTGACGGCGCGAATCTCTAGGAGCAGAACGAAAAATCCATTCACGAGTCGAAACTTCCGTAGATCCTGTCTGTTGGAAGCTGCTGCTCGTGGTCAAATTGATTGGCGTCACTCATCTTCCGTTCAAATCCGAGTTGCTCAGAGCCATCGACAACCTTTGGAAACATTTCGTGGAACCCGAGTCGTTCCCTCAGGAAGCAGAAACCACATGGCAGTCGAACTTCCCGGGTCTGTGAGTGCAATTCCGTTCAATCTCTCTTTAAACAGCCGGTCTGGCTGTGATTGTCGGAACTAACTCGATCCGGACGTTTGATTTCCAAATTAGGCTAAGAATTTTTTTCCAAATCTCCTCAGCATCGATTGCCAGATAGCCCCTCTACAGCCTCTGATAGAAGCCGTCTTGCCGTGTCGATCGAATAGCTCTCGGCATCGAGTGAATCCCGAGAACCGTCGCCGACGCAGCGTGGTACATACCAAGAATACTAAAGGGAAGGAATCCGAGAGCATACGGCCGAGTTCCTCTAGTTCCGATGACGAGTTGCCTACGGTACAGAAGCCCTCGAGCATTCTCATGGGAGAGCGACGGGAGGGTAGTCCCGAACCCGACCCAGGAGCGTGGCCGCATTCCATGTCCGACCACGAAAGGGAGCTCTTCGAGACCCATCTCGACAGCCAGACCTTCGCCGCTCTTCTTCTGGAAACCCTCGATGGTTTCCACCGAACGGATATACATTTCGGACCGACCGTTTTCTACAGAACAAACGACTTGCATCTTTTGCGGATTTCGCTCCGCATACTTCTGCGTCAAGTACTCAAAGCAAAACACAACACGGTCAATATCGATTGGCTCACCGATCTCTTGACGCTACTGAAGACACTCAAAGGATGCGAATTCCGCGACGAATGCATCACGGTCCTACTGACGATCGCCTATCATCTCGTCAGCACGAGCGGCAACGAGTTCAGGACGCCTCCATTGACGGTTCTCGTCAAAGTGAACGATCTCGAAGACGAATGGTTCACCAAAGATCAACAGTGTATGATACTCGCAGAGCTCGCCATAGCTCTGAAGCAGCTCCGGATGAAGAACTCCAAGTTGACGGACAACCTCTTCCACCATACCGACACTTACGGCGTGCCCCACGGCACGCACACCAAGCAGCACGTGTGCGTCGTGGCCAGAATCTGTGCTCGACTGATTCGTCTGTCGATCGAGTTCCCCATGACGGCACTGACCGAACTCCGGCGGGTGACGTTCTGTTGCTGTTATCCTCCGATCATCCCTCTACTCGATATCTTCGAGCACGTCCGTGAAGATCGTCAGGCATGCATTATCGAAACTCTGGCGTCCTATCAGAGAAAATCGGGTCAGTGCCGAGTCTGCGCACCGAGACCCGGCGCTCCTTCGGCGCTTTCCGTCTACGCGAGGGTTTTGTTCAAATCGGGCAGCAAAGCACTGGCGAATCACATTGCCGACGTCGCCAAGCACAAGAACAACGAGATCCGGACCGAAATGTACACCAAAGTAGTACTGCCAGCTTTCACATATCTTGGACTCGAAGATCTCCCGCTCGTTTTCCCGCTGCTCTCGGCGCTGTTCGACGCCCTGCCAAATCTGTGTACTCAATTTTTCGATAAGAAGGAATACGTCGAGCTGCTCGGAAACTTTCTACTCAGCGGGGACAGCGGTTCACAGACGCTAGCCATGCGTCTCTATGAGACAATTGTGGCGAACAGCTTCATCGCTCTCGAGTCGTTCATGAACATCATCGAGGACGAAATGCATAATTGTTTGCAGCAGAAGACGGAAACGTCGATGGACCTTATCGGTCGCTTCCTCGAAACGTTCGCGCGATCGAACGTTCTCCGCAGCCGCGAGGACTACGTCAGGGGCCGGTCGCAGTTTTGGGACACCTCTCATCGATTATTGCTCAACTTGCTCTCGAACGTTTCCGAAACCGTCACTTACCAGCTATGCGATCTACTTTTCGCCATGCTCCTGCAGATGTGCCCCTTGCGCTTGTGGTCCTTCAACAACAAGCTGCTCGAGCGCGCCGAATTGTGCAAACAAATGTACCCCGCAATACCTAAAGATCAGGATAATTATGCGAAACTTGCCATGCTGCTATCTACGAATGTCCATCGCAAAGCTTGTTCCATGGCTGCGCTGGATGCCGAGAATTTCGAGTTTACCCCGCTTGCGTCGGAATTGAAAAAAACACTGAGTGTTGAAGCGGATTCCCGGAACGACGAGGAACCGGAGGGTTACGAAGCCGACGGCGACAGTGAGAGCGAGACTTGTGATCCCAACCGGACCGGAGGCACATTCGAGATCGAAATTTACCCCGAAGTTGTGAATCTCTGCGTCGATCTCCTGACTTTCGCCTTGTCGTCCTCCGCGTCCGCGGCCAAGAGTCTCACGGGATCTCTCCGGCACGTGACTGTAATGTGTCTCCAGAATAAATCCCTCTTGGTGCTTTTCCAAGAATCCGGTGAGTTGGAGTTCCGGAAACTTCTATTCAGGGAAATCTCGCAGAAGGACGCCCGGAACTCACTTTCATGGACTTCATCTTCCAGGAGCGGTGAGCCGATTCTGTCGAGCGTTCGTATCAGGGTATAACAAGTTCGGCTATCAGAATGAAGAGTTGACGGAAGCCCTCCTCTACTTCATTCAGCTGATCTGTAAATATTTGGTGACGAGCGAAGAGCTATTCGATCTTTTACAAATCTTCAAAGTGCATTCCCCGCCTTACGTGAGTACCATGGGGGAAACGAGGGGGAATCCCGTCATTTCCGTCCGGGAGCTGGATGATTCGAGTGGGGAGTCTCCGATGTATTCGGTCAGACGGTCAGACGTGATCTTCCACTCTTCCACAGGAGAGTCTATTGTCCAATTTGAACAACCTGCTATCATTATGTGGTGGGCCGTCGAGGGTCCTGGCGGTGACTCCCTTTCACGACGCACAGCTGGGGAAGGCCACAAGTTGGCTGACGAACATGAAGACCGCATTGTACGAAACAGAAAGTTCCTGGTCCCGGGAGGGGGCAGCTGTTGCTCTCCCTCTCGCGACGGTCACGGAGTTCGATGGTCTTGCTGTGTCGATGTGGTGAGTGCCTCAAGACTTATGCAGTGAGACAAGAGCCCGATTCCCGCGGAGATTTCTCCTCAAACGATTTCCTTCCGGTTCCTAGGTGTCGAACTCAGACCGAAGGGCGCCATCATATACTTTCCTTAGGAAACCGTCAAGCGTTGTTCGAAGTATGGCTTCGAATCAGCGACGATGACGAGCCGCTCTTAGAATGCTGCATCTCTACGGTGAAAACTCAGTACAAACGAGACTGGACACAGATAAACAGCATTCCCCAAACGACACGCTTCCCACCGAACAAGTCGGCGTACCGGCGGGCGATGTGGAATCATGTTTATTGCGAGGTATGGGAAAGACACGATGCCTTCCAGTCAGATCCGATCCGATGATACGATTGGACCCAAAGGGAGTCTTCATCTGGGCTCGTCCCTCCGCAGATGGTGGCTTTCAACTCGTTCGTTGTCATCGCAAACGGAAAAAAGTTCGATTTCGACCTGCTGCCGCTGAAACTTCTCTCCAATGTTGAGGTCGTTCTCGTGGCCAGTCAGAAATATCCCATGCTCATCTCGAACGTGTCGTTATTCAAAGGTGACTCCGTTAACCCTTCATGTGCTCCGATCTATCCATGACTTATACTGTCGATTGATTGATTGATTGATTGATTGATTGATTGATTGATTGATTGATTGATTGATTGATTGATTGATTGATTGATTGATTGATTGATTGATTGATTGATTGATTGATTGATTGATTGATTGATTGATTGATTGATTGATTGATTGATTGATTGATTGATTGATTGATTGATTGATTGATTGATTGATTGATTGATTGATTGATTGATTGATTGATTGATTGATTGATTGATTGATTGATTGATTGATTGATTGATTGATTGATTGATTGATTGATTGATTGATTGATCGATTCATTCACTCTTTCGTACAACAATCGAATCCCCGAACAACACATGCACCTATCGTAGGATCTTTTCGATGAAATTCCTCGTATAGGTCTCGATCGGAGCCAAGAACACGGAATGAACCTCTTCACCATGGGACCCACAATGCAGAGTTTCGTGGAATGTCCTCTGAATGCCGTCAGCAAAGAATTCGAGCAGCTGTTGAGACCCCTTCAACGACACGTCATATGCGCGTATCAACCAACTGAGGCCCTAAAGTTCGTCGCATACCCACGCCAGTCGAGGCTCAATGCTCTATTTTTGGCGGGCAGGTCGGTTATTTGATGATATCGACTCGAAATCCTCCGACGCATTAAAATCTGTAGAACGAGCAGGAGATCGGTGGGCATCGAATCGCTCTGATGATGTGACTCGAAATGGATTTTAACCGTCACATTTGTCGACAGACAATCAAATCCGACGCCGATCGAGCACGAAGTCTTCCATTTTTCCTCGGATTCCTGCGTCGTCGTCGAAATACCCCATAACCTTCACACGGCCTTGATGCCCCACGGCGGGTATCAAGTGTTGCTCTTTCTGTTCGCGTGGGTGAGTAGCTCGAGTTTGGACCCGTGGCAGCATCCAACCTCGAGGGTCGCGAGACTACTCCATTAATTCACGATACGCCTATCATCGCAGGTTGTCGAGCGAACCGAGCAGGCGGATCTGCACGCGGCAGCGCTTGGCCTCGTTCTACGCAGCGTCGAAGCCGATCCCTCAGTCACATTGAACTTCTTCCGAGAAGGTCTCGAACTCACTCTCGTGGTCCTCCAGCATCCAAAATGTATCCTGTCGCTCACTATGCTGAAGATCTGCTTAGCACAGTGTTGCGATCTCTCCGGAAACAAATTGTGGAGAGGCGAACTTCTAGTCGATTTGGTCCTGCCTCTCTGGGCTCGATGGGATCCTGAGTGCCGGAAAGAACTTTCAATGTTCCTGACCCGATGCGTCCGCCTGAGGAACCCGCATCATGTCGCCAATGTTCAACAACTGGTCAAAGTGAACGCCATCGATCGGCTTCTATACGTGCTCAAAGAAGAATGCACATCCGACAATAAGAATAAATTCACGTCGACTGTGGGCGGCGAGTTGCTCAGTTTCCTCGACTCGGCGTTAGGGATCGCTGGCTTCCCGCATTCACTGCTGAGCTCCCTCGTGGATTTCGTAGTTCTCCTCCACGACGCTAAATTGACCTATGTCGTACATTCCAAAACGACCAAACCAACTTGGGTGGCGGAGCAAGAAGCTGAGGTTGGTTCTCGTTGGCACTCGCCGTCGCATCCCTGCTGTTGTGTCCCAAAATTCTTCGTTTGGATGGCGCAGTTCGTGACAGTCTGTCGCATTTTAGGCGAACGACCACAATGGGAACACACGGCCTGAGACCTCGGAGTACGAGAGGTCCGACGCGAAGGACGACAACCCCGTGTTGGATTTCCTCTGCGGAATCTACGGGGTAAGTTTTCCAATGGATACTCTTCCTGGAGAGAAATGCTGAAGCGCGGCTCGTTTTCTCACAAATAGTTTCGCTCTTCTAGATCTTCAGCGCGGTCATCCAGCAACAGAAAAATAGCGTTTCAACCCTCGGTCCCGAGCTGTTGCTAGTCCTCGCAAATGAGCCGTACGCGCCTCTACGACGTGCGGTGAGTTGACCCGAGCGCCGAGAACGCTGTTCCACGATGCCGTGAGCTGTTCGAAATGACGAGCATCGACCCTTAATTCATTTCAGGTCGTTTGCTACTTATCTAAATACATGGAGATGGATCGCGACAGTGGTAAAAACGCTTTCCTTGCCGCGAGTGGTTTCCAACTCCTCGCAAACCAAATATCCCAGTACGAATGCGATGATGAGCTTCTGCTCGCTGTCATACAATTAGCCACCGGAATGCGTCTGCGGCAACTGGATCAGTCGGTAGACGAAATTCCGCGTGGAACCGTGTGGCCGGAAGCGGCCGTCGTACTCCTTGCCTGCGCGAATCGCTGCACGAGCGCCAACCTCGCAGCTCGATACGTGACGACGCTGGCCCAGGTGAGCGGCAGGGAAAGGAAGAACTGAGCTCATGAGGAGGAGGAGGAAAAATGGAAGAGCGGGCATGCGGAAGCTATTCCATTGTCGAGCTCGTGCAATTTTCAGGTTACGTGCGCTTGTCCCCCCCTGGTCACGGGTTTCGTCAACAGTAACGTCATCGAGCACGTTTGCGAAATCTTACCGTATTTGACCTCGCCGTTGTCGTATGCCTGGTACTCGCTGATACGCGTGATTGTCGCCTACTACTTAGCCCAACCTGGAGTCAACGTGGATAAGAGTCGTTCCGCTCTGGCGGTTCAATTCTATCTCAGGTTATACTCGCAATACGTCACACTGCAATCAGGTACGGTCGGAGGCCGAAGGTCCGGAGACTGTTCGCTGAGGTCTGGGAATTCTCAGCGGATCGATTCCTCCACAGGCGCGCCAAACTCGTTCGGGGTTCTCTGCACGACGAGCTCAACTTTTTCAGTTTGTTCTTCTGTGATATATATTCCCCGGCTGTATGCTGCTATTCTGCACGGATTCTGTGATGCTCTCGATCACAACATTACTGCGCACACCGGGATCAAATGCATCGAGCCGTCAAGATCATTGATCGAGGACAGCGAGGAAGTGTCAGACGACAAGTCCGCGTCTTCGACGTCTTCGAGAGCTACGGCTCGAGCAACTTCCCTGAGACTTCGGCTGGGTAATAACACGAATCGGTCGATTTTTCCGATGATGTGGATTCTACTCCCGGGAGTCAGTTCCTCTGCGAGAGAGTGAGGATTTTTTCCCCGACAGAATCCCATAGGGACAAATGCCTGCGACCGGGAGCTCGAAGGGGGAGATCGACTCCGCTAGAGCTCGACCGACAACTCCTGTTGGTCGTGGAACTCTTCCAGTATTCGCGACCCTCAGTGATCCTGTGTCCAGAAGGATTTGCATGTCTCGAACGAATGTTGGATGTGCTGGAGTTCGCGAGCGTGCAGTCCGATCTGCCCAATCTTGCCAAGGCGTCGCTCTACCAGGTGTGTACGGGCAGAACGATTGTCAAGGTGCCACGTGGTATCAGTCTCAGCCCATCGCGGGGATTTGAACGTTCGTCCGTGTCTGGCTGCGGGAAATATCTTCCAGAAACCATCCGATTTCAGATCTCCAATCTGACGCTAGCCTTAATGAGACCGTCGATCGACATCGAACTGCGGTTGAAGAGTGTAGCTCGATTGAATGCCGTATCCAGAATGCCCGAGGTTCTCAGAGACGCTGCTGCGAACAACCTGATCGTCTTGTGCGGGTTCCTACGAGAGCTCCACGAAGGGACCGCTCACGATCCGAAACCGAAAATTCTACTCGACCACATCGCGGACAGCCTCCACATCGAGAGTGGATTCTCAAACGACACGGTATAATTTCGAAAGACAGTTCCGATAATAATTGACCATTCGATTTCCCGACCTGAGAGGGGTGTGCGAAAATTCTTGCCTCCCATCAGCCGTGGATTCCCTTCCTCTCCTCGGTTTTTGAACACATGTCGAAGCCTCTCATCCTTTTCCCACTTCTTCAGAAACGACAGAACTGGATATCGAAGTTCGAGGCCGACCGCAAATCGTTCCTGGATACTCAATCAGGCGCTGCTCTCACCGGCAGTCAGTTCATGGCTTCGAAAGCCAACCTCGACATGCGGCAGGTGACTGATTCGGCCATGAAGGTCACACGGAGCGTGGTCGACTATCAGAATCACGTTCGAAAAACTTCATTGAACATCTACAAGGCGAAAAAATGCTTCGAGTATGATCTCCGTATAAAATGGAAAAATATCGCCCAGCAACTCACCCATGAGAGGTAAACTTTCACGTTCCGACGCGTGTCGAGATGATCGAGCCTCGAAGTGAATATCCGTAGGATCCTTCGGGATCGAAACTCGAAGGCAAATCTCCGAATCGTTGATTGGGGATCTCTTGAACTCGGATGAGCTCCCGCAGATTTGATTCTCGTGTCAAATCGACGTCGAAAATCAAATAGGTTCCCTCTTTCTCTCTTCCAGGGCTGTGTGGCACATGACGGATTTCGTTCCGTCTTCGTGGGAGCTCGATCCTACCGAAGGCCCGTGCCGCGTTCGGAAGCGGCTCCGTCGAGCGCATCTCGATCTCGAGGCACGGTTTTGGCTTGACAAAGGTGCTACGTTGACCAAGTTCACGCCACCTCTTGCCTACCTCTACTGGCACACGCGAACCCAGTCGGACATTCGAATTCACACTCTCGAGCAGATTCGTAGCGTGTATCCCTGCTCCATGATCACGGCGAGTGTGGAAACGAAAGGAGAGGTCCTCATCGGCCTGGAGAGCGTTCGATTCGTTCCGGACGACGAGCACTTGAGCACTCAGAGCTGGACCTTCACAACGATCACAGAAGTCATGCTGCGGCGGTACGAGCACGCTGAAGTCGCAATAGAAATGTTTCTCAGCTCCGGTCTGACCTGTCTTCTGATATTCGAGGACAATAGTCACCGACAGGACTTCTATGAAAAACTGATTCCAAACTGTGATAAACTTCAAAAAGGCGAAGTTCTCCAGACAATGACTCAGAAGTGGCAGAGAAGACAGATCACCAACTTCGAGTACCTGACGTACCTCAACAAGATGGCAGGTCGGAGTTTCAACAACCTCATGCAATATCCGGTGTTTCCGTTTGTTTTGTCGCAATACGACGGAGACCAGCTAAACCTGAAGGATCCGAGGGCGTTCCGAATCCTGGAAAGACCGATCGCCGTTCAAGATAAAGCCCGCGAAACCCATTACGTGGATAATTATAAGCAAAGTCAGGAGAATCAGAGTCTCTCAGTCGTATCCGGACCATTCCACTACGGGTCGCACTACTCTAACTCGGGGATCGTCCTGCATTTCCTGGTCAGAGTGCCGCCGTTTACCCAAGCCTTCCTGAGCTACCAGGACGATAACTTCGATATCCCTGATCGAACTTTCCACTCGATGGAGACCACGTGGCGCTTGGCTTCGCGGGACAGCCCGACAGATGTCAAGGAACTCATCCCGGAGTTTTTCTATTTCCCGGAATTCCTGAGGAACATTTTCAAATTCGACTTCGGCACAAGACAAACCGGTGAGCGTGTCAATGACGTTCGATTGCCTCCGTGGAGCGAAAACGACGCTAGACTCTTCAATTTAGTAAATCTTGCCGCTCTGGAGAGCGATTACGTCACCGAACGACTCAACTCCTGGATCGATCTCGTGTTCGGTTACAAGCAGCAAGGGAAAGCCGCGGTGGAAGCTCTCAACGTCTTCCATCCGGCGACTTACGCGCAGAACGTGGCCACCAGTCGCATGGACTCAATCGCGATGAAGGCTTACAAAACCATGATAAAAACATACGGCCAGATGCCCATCCAATTGTTCACTCAGCCCCATCCGAACGTGAACCTCAACACCACGCCTAGTCATACTAACGTGGACATGGTGAGCAGAGCTCTCTTCCTTCCGGAAGGAAAACTCGTGCTGAGGGAAATTATGACAAATTAAATGTATTATTATTATTGTCAATATGAGCGCAGGATCTGCGAGAATCCAGATCCAGTGGGGACCAAATGATTTAGACGAAATTAAAAAAAACTTATCCCGTTCCGTCGTCTCGCAGCCCGTCCTCCAATCAGTGCTCGGAATCCGATGGAACATGTACGCTGGGAGCCCCGATGACCCGACGCCGCCCGACTGCATCTGGTCGAAGGCGTTCTCACCCTCTGCCTTCGGACAATTATTGGTTCTCGATGGATCCCGTATTGTCGGTATTCCACAAAGGACAGCTCTGTTCGGTGATCGCGACATGCCGTCCGCGCTGATCAGCTGGAGGCATTGCGACAGGGTAGTTCGGATCAAAACTCGCAAGGAGCAACCGTTACAGCCTCTCCTGGAGTCCGCGGGTGATGTCGTGAGTAGATTCGTGGCGATCGTTGCATTTCCCCGTCCCGCCTTGGAACTTGAAGCCGTTTTCTTCCGCCAGCTTGCTCACCTGAGCTATTCCTCAGGTTTCCTTCGTACGCTGCGTCAGCCAGAGAGGCGAAATATTCATCGGGCATAATTCCGGTCTTATCCGAGTCTACAAACTGAACGTCTCTCCTGTCGTGTACGCGAGTCATTCGGAAGTCCTGATCGGTCACAAAAGCCGGGTCCTACACATCGACGTCTGCGCGGAGTATTTCATAGTGGCCTCCACTTCAGAGGACGGCTCTTGTGTGCTCTGGGATCTGAACAGTCTGAGATATGTTCGCACCATATTACAAGTCAACGAAGAATTGACGCTGACCAAGGTCAGTCCCACTCTAGGGGACGTTGCCATCGTACAGGATATATCAGGTCAGTTAGAGGGCGTGAATTTATACGCGCCTCGGAGAACATCCACAGACAATGAGTGAAATTTAGACACCTTGGCTCGCAGAATCGATAATAATATATGTATTCATCTGGTCGTTCCAGCTGGAGGCAGCAAGCTGCATCTGTATACAATCAACGGAGTTTTCGTCGCTCAATTGGAATCGAGTTCGAAGATCACGTCGCTCTGCTACTCGAAAGCTCCTGAAGGCGCATCCGTGAATGCCCTGCTGACAGGACACGAGGACGGCTCGTTGCGACTTTATTCGTCGTGGAATTTGAAGATGGTCCGTCAAATTTCCACGAGACTCCGTAGTCCGATAGCCGACGCGATTTTTTCTGCGTGCAATCAATTCATATTCGCTGTTGATACTTCGGGTCAGGTTTGTGCCTGGGCCGGAAGCGCTGTCAAAAATGGGGCCTACGCTCCGAAATTCATACAAGAGAAGCTCTAGCCTCGGATTGAGGAATGCTCACCTCTGTGAGACACCAATGATAGGTTCCGGAGGATCATCGATCCATCCCGTTCGACGCCCGCAGGCTTTGGGCATGATTCATCCGCGGATTCGAAGCCTGTGAGCGATACGATCCAACTCATCGGCTATATCTGGACGGCAACTCGGACCCGAGACATATATTTTTTCAGAACTAGTGCAGAGATCGACAATCGAATGTGACCGGACGGAGGGGGGATATTTGTTTACCTTAAATGTTATGGACGAGCCGCATAGGAGATTAGATTTGACTGGAAAATCTCCCATGGCGAATTATTCATGAGTATTTATGGATGAATTCATCATCATGGTGGAATATTCGGAATAGTCTTGTTACAAAGTTTATTTTACAATCAATGCCGGTGGAATAGTTTTGGATATAGGATAGTATTTCAATCGAATCTTTTGAATATATATATAGATCGGAGGATATCTGATTGCCCAAACGAATGATGTCTGTTTCGAATAAGAATGGGCGACCGATGAGCTTACCCGATGCTCTGAGAAAGAAGACGAGGTCGTCGAGGAAAGTCAATAAAGGAAAGTTTCCGAATCACCAAGCCTATTCGACAAGGGAAAACGAATGAACGAGTACCCAAAGCCGTATAGTAGTACGAAAATCTCTTGTTGTCCAAGAGCTGAAACTCCTTTCCTCTGATCACACACTGACTCACGTACTTGTGAGCAGCCCGTTTTCGTGAGGAACAGCTTTCATTACATAGGTTGCGCGTCAGGACCGCGTTCCCGAAGCGTGATGCTCACGACAACTCCATGACTGAACTCGTCGATGTACCCAGATCCAAGGTTCCTGCTCAAATCTGTCCAGACATGTGTCATGTCAAGACTTTGACCTCGTTCCGCCGAGTCGGAGGCCGCGAGTCGTTCTGTGGACCGCGGGCTACGTCGCTGGAGCTGCCTTCCATTACTACTCCCGGGAAGAACACGCCTCGGAGTTTCTATTCATGCCATTTCGAGCAGATGGTTCGGGCTCGGGGCATTGCCGTATCCCCTCCACTACAAAACGCGAGCTTTCAATGCCGAGATGCGATTGATGATCTCGACATCGATCTTGAAAATCTCTGGCAGATTCCAGAAAACTCAATTGACTCTTCCTCCCTAACGTGACAGGGCTGAATGCATCATCTCAGGAGCTATCGAACTTGTAGAAAATTGCATACACTGAAAAATACCTGCTCACGTCTATCAGAGGTAGAATATATGAAGTCATCGACCGTACATGCCGGTAGAATTCGAAAGAAAATGCTCCGCGTCACGGTGGAAGAGCCAATGAAAATTTATTCGATCATTTTCCCCATTGCTGCATTTATTGTGGTGGCAATTTTCAACGGAGAAGGATGAGGAGATAAAGATGATTCGAAAATAATGAAGATTTGCCTGTCGCTCGCTTGCCTACCCCGGGTATCGTTGTAATTGTTTATTTATATACAAATAATAATGGAACGATATTAGTCTATTGATCGAATAGAGTTTCTTGTCGTTACAGCGCAAGGTAAGCTGGAAAGCCAAGTCCGGAGAGCATAGGAATCGATCGCCGATAAGTGTAAATGTCTCTCTGTTCGAGTGTCGTCTGCGGTAGTAGCTGTTGTTCAATATACTCAACTTTTTCGCACCCGAGCAACCTGCCACTTACCAAAGCAGTTGGTTTCGGTTCAGCCAAATGATCTTCTCCCGAGCGGCCTCGCAGGAGAATATCGTACAATTCCTGATACGGGTTTCAATCAGTCCGCTCTACAGAGAGCCACCTGTCACGAAGGTCCCTGTCTCATTCAGATGATCTCGGGGAAAAATTCGCTCTTCAGCGGGTGTTCACATCGCTATCGAATCCCGAAACGCCAAGTCAACCCTCCGGCACGGATATTTCGGAGCCGATTCCACATCAACAGAGGCTACCACAACCTCGAGTTGGAAGTCTCACCTAATAAACTTGACTGGGGAATTCACTTTTGGCGCTCCGACAGGTGTTTCCTTCCATTCCGCAACGATTGTGAATTTCTAGAAGCGGCGGTTCTTCCGTAGCTGCCTAAGTTTTTGACGATCATCTTCCTTTTGCTGGAAATCAAAAGCTCGATTCAGAAATCGCGGAAGAAATCGAACTCCCAATCGGACAGCCGATTGGAGAGAAAAGTCATGTTCTCGACCGCGGCCGTGGACTGACCTTGGCCTCGCGGGTCTTCGCCTTCTCAATCGCTTGCTCTTCATCCAACGGCAACCAATAGAGCGGTGGCATAGCCGAGGTCTTCTTGAAGAAAGTCTCGAGGCAAGGTGAGTCGTCGATGTCCTTCTTCGGCAATTCCTCCTTCGGCGCTGCTTCCTCCTTCGTTCGCTTCTGCTGCTGTTGGATCTGGGGAGAAATCGGAAGATCTCAAGTTACCTCAAGCGCATCTCTACCACGGGGGAGGTAATGTAGGGAAGGGATCCGAAAGATCTGAGATAGGTAGAGAAGGGAGACGACAGGAGGATACGGGGCAGATGAAGTTCTTCATCCTCCTCCCCGGTAACAAAGCGCACCTTTGGCAGATCCCATTCACGGATCTTCTTCAATGGCGGACTCTCCTCCCTCTCCGGACGACTGTGCCGGTGGTGACGATCCTCTGCCAATCTGTCCTTATCCTTGTGATTGTCCAGCGTTCTCCGCAGATCGTCTCCCTCAGCCTTCCCGGAGCCATTCTCGCCGCGCTCCCTTTGTCTCGGAGCCTCTTCCTTGGCATCAGCTCTCGGTTCTTTCTTTTCCTCCCTTTCTGAACTATGGGGAGGTTTCGCTTCTGAAGGATTTTTCGTATCCTCAACTTGGTCTGGAGTAAGAAATTCACATTTGATCGTTTTAGGACTGCCTTTGGGCCACACGAGATTGTGGAGTTCTTCTCGGGCTCGCTCGCTCATTTCCGAGGTTTCGAAAGTCGCGATCGCTTTGCTCTTTATCTTGTCCAACCAGAGGTCAGTGACGACCCGGTCGTTGCCGTGCGAAATGAAATCGGTCAGCTGGGCCAAAGTGAAGGGCCTGACGAGATTATTGACGAGCAAATGTACGGAGGGCTGTTCTTTCGGTGGCGTGGCTTCTTCACGAGGCTTCCGGCGATGATTCTCAAGATCGTCCCAATTCGTGGACCCTGAACAGAGAAAATTCGTGATGAGCGAACGTGACTCCATGCACACATTCACGTGACGAAGAGGCTCGATCGGAGAAATCAATTCGAAGCTCCGGAGCTCTGGGGAAAGAGTTCGCTCACCGAGAGCCAGTCCCGCTGTTGGCGCTTTCCTGCTATCGGCGCTCGGTCTATGAGCGGTGTCCGTGGGGGTCGACTTGCTGTCATCACCCATGGAAATATGTCTAGCTTTGCGTTTCTGGTCCAATTCGTCTTCCTTGTTCCTCTTCTCGGTGTCGTCCTTCACATTCTCTCCCGTTGCTTTCTCCGGGGTGCTCTCCGGCTGCTTGGCGTCGACTTCGCATTGAGGCGCGTCTTTTGACTGCGATTGAAAGAGAACTTATCGATTGTGGATCCCGACCGAAATTCTTCGACGTTGCCTCTTCATCCCTTTCGCTACTCACCACAACTTCCTCGGTGCTTTTCTTGCGACTCTGCTCTTTCTCCAGCTCAGCACTTAGTTCTTTCAGAGAATCGGTCGTGACTGGAACGGGGAAATCTCTCAGTCGTGTCTCTGGCTGATTCTCGATAACTTGACGACCAGTAGGTCTAGAATTTAAGGAATCTGAATCATCCGCTGAGCTCGACAACGTACCGACTACTTGTGTGCGTGAATCGTTGACGGGAGCTTTTTCGATGAGCTTCCCCCATCGGTCCTTCCGGTTCTCTTTGTCAACAACGGAACTCTGGCGCCGCGACATTCTTTTCTTGAGCATTTCGTCGAGCGCCGACAATTTCTCCTCGCCCGCTTCGGCACCGGGAGGGCTCACCTGGTCCTGGAGGAACGGATCAGATTCAGTTAGACCTATGCGTCGCGCTGCCGAAGTAGAACTTCCGCGAGGCGGAGCGGAATAAGGTTTGATTCCTAGCAGAGGATTCCCACCGCCCTTCCGGGGGAATATCACGTACCTTGGAGGTTTCATCGGTGTCTTCGTCGATGTCAGCGTCTTTCTGTGCCTTCAATTGTAACTCGTCTTCGACCTCAAAGTCTAGTTTTTCCTCTTCGACTTCTACTTTTTTTGGTTTCGACTCCGCAACCGGTGCTCCGCTATCTTCAGGAGTCGGAGCCGCGGGCTGCTGCTCTACCGGTTCTGGCTGTGGCTCTGGCTGGGCTTCCGTCTTTTGCTGCTCCACGACCTCAGGTTCCTGGAGCAGAAACTCGAGACTCTGAGTATGGCCCCTAACATCTCATTACTTTCCAAGGACGGAGCAACCGAGCACGTTATTGGAGCCATTCTTCAACGCTTGACCACTCAGATTACTAAACGACTCTTTCATTCGATTAGTTTCGGAGAGAAGCAGGAGCCTTCCAAGTTCGATCAAAATCTCAAATCGAACCAGTAAGCTCCCGACGTCTCCACTGATCGGTATGTCCTTCCCGCCTTACGTGAATCCACAATAGGTTCGAGGGGATTCCCAACGCTCAAGAAGGTCGTCAGATCGAAACAAATATCGTCGTGAGACGATCTCTGCCTTATGGTATTCATCATAGTGGAGAATGCGATATACAGAATGCTTCCCAAAGTAACAGATAAGAGGGCGACTGCTCGCAAGGGAGAGCATCGATATCAAGATCAGCAATGCCCGGCACACCGCTGCATACCTCTTCGATGGGAGGGGGTGGGGGGGCGACGGGCTCTTCCACAGTTTTCGCTTCCTGACGACGGCTGCGACGAGTTCTTTTCTCGGGCGAGGGCGCTGTCTCGGGATCCTAAAATGTATGAGCACATGAACGACTCCTCTCGTATCATTGAGGAGAAGGGAGTTCACCCACATGTCGGCGCGCTCCGCATAATCGACGGAGGGGAGATTCGACCTCATGTGAGTGGCCTAAACAACTCCACTCGAGATTTTGGAGATCACATTATTGTTTTTTTTTCTCAGCGCTATATCTCACCGGTGCGGCATCGGATGCTTCCGACTTCGCGGCTGTACGACGCGATCTCGTCAGTCTTGCCATCTGCAAACGAGAAATCGTTGAGGTGACTTGGAGCGCAAACTCGGAACAGACGACTTCGAGAGTCGGGCTCCCGATACGAGCGGCAAAAAAGTCATCGACTCGACTCGCCGCCAGACATCCCGTCCCGCCATCACACGAATCGATACGCACCTTTTTATTTCGTTAAAGAATTGCTCTGCGAAACAACGGAAGGCCGATGTTACCGCGGACCCGCTCAAACTTAGATGTTCTTCAATTCACAAGAGAGACAAAACTCAGGATATGGAATCGTTTGCTGCTGTTAAGCCGATTTCCAAGCCCCTGATAGTGGCTTCTTCTCCGACTAAAACACAGATCCAGACGACACACTACGGCACACACTCATCGGATTCGTGCCGATTCCGGCGGCGGACGGTTCAGTCAAGCGGCTCACAAGCAGCAACAAGGCCGGCCATTTTGGCAAAAGGCGGAGTCAGTGAGCTCGGCGCGATTTTTGAAACTCCAAAAATGATCTTATTTGTGCTCACTGAGCACTGCTCAGTCAGCAAACGCTAAAATGACACAACAGTATGAGCCGGAGACGATTCGTGACCGCGGGCGAGACTCGAGTTGATATAAATGAGGGAGAGATGGGTAGCTGACGCGTAGCCCTCGGATGCCCCGTGGGGATCAGGCAAGGGGTCAGATTGAGAGCACTATCGGATGAGATTAGCAGAGTTCTCTTCGATGGGTGGGATTCTAACCCGCGGACCGGCCTGTAGTCGAGGTTGAACTTCCCAGAGATGGAAAGAAGCATAGCGTGGTCTGCGCAGTGAAATGCTTTTGCGAGATCGATGGGAACACCTGGAACCTAGAAGAGAAAGTCACAGTTTTCGAGGATTCACTGACGGATGTCGCTCAGCACGGGATTGGTAGAGTATCCGAACCCGTGCTGGTGGGGCGAAGTTAGCTTCTCGATCTGATAAACGCGTTCAGCTGTGAGAAGACGCATCTTTTCGCGAGTTTCGAGAAGGGAGGGACTATGCCGAGAAGCCGGAAAGCGGATTGGGCAGACCTGGGACCTTTGTCCTGTCCACGGGCATGGTTGTCGCTTGTGAGCGAGAATGCGGGAATATATGTACCTGTACGCGGCAAAAGATTGAGTAATAGAAACGCAACGCGAGGAGGTCGATAGCAAGGCGGATTGTTTTCGGGCGAGTAGAAATGTAGACGATGAGACGATGAGTGGTAGTGCTTCTGTAGTGTGTTGATCCACCGTGGTTTCGAGAAGCACCCTGCGAGGATAGGCTAGACGGACGACGATGATAGGAGGAGATTTGAAGAGAAAGACATTCTCTCTTCAAAGCCGGTCAAGAGACCATCGAGATTCTCGCGCTTGAAAGAAGCTTCGGGATTCTCCAGCAGAAAAAATTGAGAACGCGTCATCTGCTCATGGCTCGTTAAGCGAACGAGGTAGAATGAGAGGCTGAAAAGGTTTTCTTCTTCGAAGCATGCTTGCAACCTGCAACCTCTCAATTCTAAGTTTCCCATCGAGGACCGGCTTATCTACCTTCGCTATGACTCGGTCTAGGACACAATGTGCAGAGCAGAAAGGGGAACCGTGACATGCCCTCACTTCCCGTTGCACTAGGCGGAAATATCGCCAAGAGTATAGTGACACAAGTCCGAAAGAAACTTATTTTCAAGCATGGACGTGATCATCTGATGTTTGCGGCACCTCTTTCGCAGCATCGTAGGAGGGATCAACCTTCGGAGGTCCATTCCTCTTCAAGGCCGTCTCCAAAGACCGTACATGTGCGGCTGCGTCAATATTCTTCGCTGGATCGACCTTCAGGGGGGACTCCCGCAATCAGGACCGTAGCTGTGCTTCCGTACGGGTAGCTCGCGATGGCGCGACCGACGCGAAAGCTCGTCCCTCTCGTCACATCATGCTTGAGCGGGTCGGCAGCCTCGCGAGTAGTCGTCATGCGAACGGAGGAGCCAGGCTGGCTGTACAATGAGTTTCTCGAATGACAGCTTCGAATTGTGACACCGTAGGTCGGAGCGCGTTCCTCATGGAGGATACCCAGCAAAAACTATCGCATCAAGAGCCTTCGCCAGTTCGAGGAAACTGGCAAGCAGATTCTCACTGCACTTCATCGGTCTCGCCCGTGTGACAAATCATAATCATATATTCGAGGCCGTGTATGTTTCTGCGGGAAGACAAATCGCGGAGTCCGGCTCAGCGGAACCTTTAGGTTCTGTCGACGTCGATGCTTGATGCTGGAAGTTCAGCGGTCATTGCGGGAGTTTACCTTTCCCCGATTTTTCCCCCCGAGGAAGAGCTCCTGATCGCAGAATGTAGAAACCGCCTTGAGATCCGCAAAGCGATCGCGATACCGAACAATCGACGACCTCCAGCATAGAACCGCAATCGGCAGTCATTTTCCTCACTGATGGTCTGTGGAATCAAGAACCAATAATATGTATTGAGAGCGTTCCCCGATGGACTTCGTTTCTCAGCCTTTTTCCCTACCAACCTGAACGTACGAGATTTCCACATTCGTTGTAGTAACATCTATCGATTGATGGCGAGCATCATTTTCGCGCTTCGGTGAGAGTGTCACAGAGGCTGACTCAGGGCTCGCGACCCTCGACCTTGTGACCCTGAGATCACACTGGTGACGTTCGTTCCGACAGCGACTTTCAAGTCACCGATAAGTTGCCATGAGCGACCAGGATGAAACTCGAGGATCTGAATTCCTCCCTGGACGAAGCCTCGGTAATTATTTTCGCTCCCTTATCCCGAGCATCCTCAGGGTTAAAACTTGTAGGAGCATTGAACTTCGTGGATAGAACTCCGCTTACCGTAAAACTTCCGGGTTCGTCATCCGGAGAGTTGTCGGGGTTGATGCTCGGGGGGGCTCCGTGATCTGAGGAAGGATGGAACTCCGGTTATCCTTAGAGTTTCAAAAACCGCGCCGAGCTGACTGTCAGCTCTATCGGCAACTCGGTCGCCCCTCTCCTCCGTCGTCACCTGTCAGGCGGAATCGGCGGCAGGAGTCCGATATGTGTAACTGACTACACACACCGCGCCGCGATCGCGAACAGACTGGACGCATTCTTCGCCGATCGAGGCGTTCGAGGCCGGAGTTTCAAATTTCATTCGCTGCCGCTATCTCGAAACTGCCGAGGTAGTTATGCATGGAAATAGAGCTCCATAACCTGGTGGGATGGCGAGTAGGGGATATCGCTGAAAGATCGCATCGGCAATATTCTGTTTGCGATGACGATTGAGATCCTTCACACAAACCGATCTCGTGAAGTCTCGTAACAGCCGGACGGAGCGAAAATGATTCGATTTTCGATAGAAACGTAAATCATTTGGGTTCGAAGAGAAGAACGAAGCTCGCGCTTAAAGTTCCCAAATCCCAGCATCCAGGACCCCTCAGGAAAATTCGATACCAGCAGAGCGGATCCCCAGAAGATCATGCACTTTTTCACGGACGGTAAAGGGAAAGACTTTCTATCCCCGGTCGGCTCCAGGAGTCGGCCTCACCGAGACCGGCACCTGAAGGTTGTTCGCTTTCGTGGATCGTCAGAAGCCGGTGAACGGTCGTCAGACCGATTTCTTGCCTCGCGCAGGGTCGAAAGTCGACGAACTCGAGGCTCGAACTCGGACTCAGTCAGGAGAGATCTCCGAACATTCCTCTTTTTATCACAGATTCTTTATCGGTTTGAGCTCGAGACATCTCAGTCAGTCTACGAGACGAAAGCGATTGGGAGAGCAATTATGCTTTCGCGGAAACTCATGCTCTAAATGCTGAGACGTCTCCGTGGATCTTGTTGACGTTGTCGTAAGGCACGGTCGCTAAGCGCAGCACCCGTCGCCACTGCTGTCATCTCCAACACTGGTGAACAAGCCGTGGGCAATAGTCGACGGTCTCTCTGAGGGGCGTAGAATTATCTCTGTAGACTCCGGCTATGGTGAGTTGAGAATAAGTGAAAAGCCAAAGCTTCCAATACTGGAATCCTTAGAGATGATGTCGATCGGCTCAGACTTCCTGCGCTGAGTGTTCCGAATCTCGATTGCACTTCGCCGATGTCTCGTGAAACCGAAATATCGCAATCGCTCTCTGCGAAGTCATCAGCTGCTTGTGTGACTCGTACCGAGATGTCGATGTCATCCGGTCCGGGGAGAATCGAACTGTTTGAATCGTGAATGGTCACTATATCCAGCGGCTTACCGAAGATGAACCTGTTGAGATGCCCTTGCGAACTTCCGAAGCTCTGAATTTTCTGTCAATTTCCTTTCCTGTTCGTGATATCGAAAAGTAAACGACTCCCAGGAGCGGAATTTTGAGCCCCGAATCCCTGGGCTCCTGACTGCGGCATCCGTACGCTTTCCCGTACCAAGGCCCTCCCGAGTACCGACTGCTCTTTCCGAACGTCATGGGATCGAGCACCGTATCAAAAATTATTCCTGGAGATAAGCAGACTTGAAAGCAACCTCTTCTACCCCGGAACGATGTGATTGCTGAGAAATCATTGCATTCAACAGAATGGGGATTCTCCTACACCGCTCTTGTGGTCGCTTGAGATCGTCGGCATTCCGCCGGTAGATCTGCGACTTGTCTCGAACACCGATGAAGGCTTTTCTAGAGCTCCGCGAGCGGAGCTGCAAAGCGAGTTAGAGTCTCTGGAATAGATTGGTGAAGAGCCCAGATCGGATCCATCCTTCTGAGGTGGACTCGGATATCGATTCGCTCGGCGCACGCTAGTGGAAAGAAGCGGGAAACTATCGTGAAACTGGCACGTGGATTGAGTTTCGAGAGGAACATCTTGGGTCATGTGGCGATCGGTTCCGATGGGCATTAATATTTGCGTTTCTCTTGCAGCCTGCGACACCTTTGACGCCGGGGGAGGACCAGGAGAAGCTGCTGGACGATGCCGTCGCCGTTGTTAAGGTCCAGGCCTTCCAGATGAAGCGAATGCTCGACAAAGACAAACTCATGGATGCTCTGAAGCACGCATCCAACATGCTGGGCGAGCTTCGGACGGCCTTACTGTCGCCGAAAAACTATTACGAGTTGTACATGGCAGTGACGACCGAGTTATGCCATCTTGAGATATATCTACTGGACGAGGTCGACGAACACAAGGGCCGTAAGATGAGCGACCTCTACGAGCTGGTTCAGTACGCCGGCAATATCATTCCCAGATTGTAAGTCCGCAGAAGTGTCTCAGAAGAAGGCGTCCGGGCCGAAGATGATGAACCCCGAACAAGTCAGCTCGCGCTCGAGGGAATCCTCATAAGACGCCTAATACGTTTCTCCGTACAGGTATCTGCTGATAACGGTCGGTCTCGTGTACATGAGAGCGCATCCCGGATCCCGGAAAGACATCCTGAAGGATCTCGTGGAAATGTGTCGCGGAGTGCAACATCCTCTCCGAGGCTTATTCCTTCGAAACTATCTGCTGCAGTGCACGAGGAACGTGCTGCCTGATTCCGACGGGTCAGTGAACAGCGGTGGGCGGCTCCGGTCGGTCGCATGTCGATATCACGTTCGAAATCTGCTTTGACCCTACAGAGAATGAACGTGGCTTTTGTTCCGTTGCAGAGTTGAAGATACTCAAAACCCTCAGAATCCTTTATCTCCTGACGCGAGAGACGGTCTGCTGATGTACACTCGTGAAAGCGAGATCGGTATGCCAGGCACTGTTAAGGACTCTGTGGATTTCGTGTTGGCGAATTTCGGTGAAATGAACAAACTCTGGGTCCGGATGCAGCACCAAGGCCACTCGAGGGATCGAGAGCGCCGTGAAAAAGAACGCCAAGAGCTGCGGCTCTTGGTCGGAACTAATTTAGTCAGACTGTCGCAGCTTGACGCCGTCAACCTCGACAGGTACAAGAAGATGGTTTTACCCGGTATACTGGAGCAAGTGGTCAGCTGTCGGGATCCGATCGCCCAGGAGTATTTGATGGAATGCATCATCCAAGTTTTCCCCGATGAATTCCATCTCCAAACACTGCAGTCATTCCTGAAGTCATGCGCGGAACTCCGTCAGCAAGTCAATGTAAAAACAGTGATAATTTCGTTGATAGAGCGACTTGCCGCCTATGCAACTCGCGTCGATGGTCCGGGAATACCGGCCAATATCCCCCTGTTCGAGATATTCTCCGAACAAATATCTACAATAATTCAATCTCGGGAGGAGATGCCGTCGCAAGATATTATTGCTCTCCAAGTTGCCCTGGTCAACTTAGCCATCAAGTGCTACAAGGATCGCATCGATTACATCGATCTAGTCTTGAACAAAACCGCGGAGATCTTCGCGAGACAAGGTATCAAAAGCGTTCAGAGCGACACACCTGTCGGCAAAGAAATGCTCAAACTGCTCAGAATGCCGGTGAGTGGACAACTGGGACGAGAATTCCGCTGCAATTCTCGGAGCTTCTCCGGTCCGTGCCCTGTACCAGATGTGCTGATAACGTTGTGAAATCAAGTGCGAGCGATTTCCATTTGCAGGTCGACACCTATAATGATGTCATAACTCTCTTGAAACTTGAAAATCTCGTGAGCTGCCTGGACATGCTGGATGTTAAAGGCCGGAAGACGATGGCGATCCTCATAGCGAACAACATGATCGACAATGAAACCAAGCTTACCACGACGGATCAAGTGAACACCGTATTGTCCAAACTCCTGGATGTGCTGATTCAGGCCGAGGGCGAGTCGCTAGATTCTGTCGACATCGAGGATTTCGTCGAGGAGCAGAACCTCGTGGCGCGCCTCATCAGTCTTATGCAGTCGGACAGTCCCGACGATCAATATTCGATTCTGAATTCAGCACGGAAATTGTTGGCGAACGGTGGTCCTGACAGAATTCGTTTCACGCTGCCGACGATCGTCTTCCAGTGTAAGTGTGGTGGCGGCGGCGGTCAACAATTATTGACGGTAGCAGCGGTCCACTCCCTCCACCCCTCTCGTTGAATGGCCGCCCTTCCTCCATTCCCGTCTCTCCGCGGCACAGATTTGAAATTTTCCCTGAGTTGCTCACCGATCGTGATCGGATTCTGACTGAAGATTCTTTCCAGTTCTTCAGTTGGCTGGGCGCTACAGTCAGATTCGCGAAGAAGACGAAAAATGGTCGAAGAAGGTTGCGAAGATCTTCCAGCACGTACATCAGACCATCAGCGCACTCACCAAGGCAGAGGGATGCAGTGCCGATCTGACGTTGCGCCTCTACCTTGAAGCCGCTCAAGCCGCGGACAGAATCGACTTCGCCGACCACGAAACCGTGGCGTACGAGTTCCTCTCACAAGCGTTCAGTCTTCTCGAGGAAGAAGTTTCCGATTCGAAAGCCCAACTGGCCGCCATCACCCTCATCATTGGCACTCTGCAGCAGATGTCGTGTTTCAGCGAAGAGTCCCACGCTCCTCTGCGGAACCAATGCGCATTGGTAGCTGCTAATCTGCTGAAAAAACCCGATCAGTGCCGAGCGGTGTCTACGTGTGCGCACGTGTTCTGGTCCGGCAAAACCAACTCGGGACAAGAGGTGAGCCCCCACTGAATTTGGCGATTGCACACTCGATCGGAGAATGAATGCTTATGTCGACTCTTTCGATTTATTACAGTTGCGCGACGGAAAGCGCGTGGCTGAATGTCTCAAGAAGGGTCTGCGTTTCGCTTCCCAATGCATGGACAGCGGGGTCCAGGCGCAGCTTTTCTGCGAGCTATTGAACAGTTACGTTTACTTCTTCGAGAAGGGCAACGTCGAACATATCAAGGTGGACACACTTAACCAGCTGATCGCCAAAATCAAAGAACTCATGCCAACGGTGGAAAAATGTGACGAGGTAGAACAGATCCAGGCTCATTTCGAACGAACCCTCGAACGTCTGTCGTCGAAGAAAGGCGAACCCTTGTACGAGGGTCTCACGTTGTGAGCCCGAAGCCCGTGCGGTGAGCGAGCCCGAGCTCCACCTACGGGTGCATCATTTTCCGAGACTGCGATGATCCTGCCGTGGCCTTCGTGGGCTTCTGATCGGAAGGGGATTTTGCGGCGAGTACCGCGCGACGCGATGCTCTCCCGCGGACAATTCTATCTTTTCGTATCTTCGCAAAGAAGGCTACTCTTTTATCATGACCATTATATGTGTTTATCGTTCGATGTTGTCGGAGAGGAAATCGAAGAACTTCGGTATGCAGCGAGAGTCCATCCATTTGGGTCAGTTGACGACGCCCGCGGGGGACAGGACAGTTGAGATTTTGCGAGTTTCGCTTTCGTATGAGTTCAACAACGGATAAAATAGTAAGAGGGGGGGTAATTATCGAATAGAATCCGGTGGTCGCGATGTTTCCAATGAGCTTCTCCGGGAGCCGAGGGCGGCCACGAATAGACCGTTAAAGAATGGATGGAGCCTTGTAGTTAAATGAGTATCTTCGAGTTGATTTATTCTAATTCTTAATCCCGGATCCAAAACGCTTCCTGGAGCTATCGACGAGTCTGGACGCACATGAATGAATAAAATGAAGACAGTGTGCAACTACGTTCGTGTCATTAAATGTTTGGCGAAGAACCCAGGGGGGATCCTTTTAATTCGGAATCACACAACCGCTCAGCGCTGGACTCACTTTCCTCGGGAACATCGCTCGGGCTTCGGAGCAAGTGCCCCTGAGACGAGGCGAGCCCAGCCGCCCAAGTTCGAGACCGATGGGAGACTAGCAAGAATCGCGGATTCCAAGACTTCAGCGATGGCCTCTGAACTTCCTCAGCGCGTGGCGCAATATCTTGAGCAACTTCGGAAATTATCGCACAAGAAACCTCCCGCCTGACTGCTTGCTGCAGGGACGGTTTTTCGATTCACCTACTTCCCTTCTGACTTACTCGAAGAGGAGGAGCAGTCTGTAGGCTGTCGCTCTGGGACTCGGTGCGAACCTGGAAGGCACAAAACCCAGCTCGAAAGTGCGTTCATGAACGTAGTGATTCCGGCCGCGAAAAGCGATTCAAGAATGTGAATTCCAGTTTAGATGAGCGCGGAGTCTCCCAAGGTGGTGGTTTCAATGAACAGAGTCCAGTGCAACATTTTCGGGAGTTCCGAATTCAAGCAACGCAATAGCTTGGTAGATTGTCTCCATACTTCGAGGCTGGTAAGTGCTGACCGAGTCGGGGGAAAAATCCTTCTCTCCTCTGTTCCTTCACGGCTATGCGACGCTGGGGGAGTCGCTCTCGAATTCGGGGAATCCCAGGAGAAAACACCGCCTACCACAGATCGCTGCTCGACCGATGCCAATTACACAGGACTCCCGTCTCCCTCCGCCTCTCAGTTGCATTAAATTGACAGCTGTCTTCTCCGGAGGCGCTGTCATCGATGTCGATGTAAATTATAAGCTGCTCTGGACGACTCTATCATCAGTCTACAAATATTACGGCGAGCACAGCGGAAGGTTCGTAGCTCGGCGGCACAGCGTTTCTCGTATTTTCCGTCTCCACCACACATTTGAAGCACAGCGCACGGAACGCGACCCGATTATCTGCCGCATGAATTCATATCGACCGATCTCAGAGAGAAGTTGGAGCTGAAATTTGATTGATTATCCTCCGGTGCTGCACCCCGTTGTCAAAGCTGACTGAGTAAATACCACTACATGCTTGAGAGCAAGGCCACTCTTGGAGGCGGACTCGGAAGGGCGATATCAGATCGTGATATCGCATCGATCAGTTCTCATTCAGGCCAATTATATGTATGGTATGGTATTTGTTTTCAGACAAATAATCGTAAGGAGAGACGTCGGCGTCGAAAAGATTCACGACCGAGAAGGTCTCCGTAGGAGGTCTCATTACGGTGTACGTACCCGAATGGTACGCCAACGTCATCCGGTATGGTGCGGTCGGTCGATAGGTCAATCAGTTTGTCAGTCGGTTGGCCGGCTCTTTTGCGGCGCCGTTATCGCTTTTGCGTGTCCGTCGTGGCGCTCGAGCAGACCCCGTCTCCCACAAAAGACACTCGAAGGCTGCGCAAGAGTTCGTGTATCGGTAACGACCAACAATGACTTCCGGTCGAAATGACAAAAGGAAAGCTCCCGCGGGGAAGACTCCCTCTTGCTCGCATTCGGGGACCCTCCGCACATCTAGCACGGGCATCCATTGCGGACTCATCCGGGCTGCCGTCGGACGGGTTAGGTAAATTTCTTTAGGAGAATCTCACTTTTCACGTCTAGTTTGACACGGAACCCCCCCCCCTCCGTCCTCGAGATTGAAAGTTCTCGCATTCCACTCGAGAGCTGGCTCCAACATAGATTAGTATAATGGCGGAGTCTCGTAATGAAGGGGACATGAGACTCAGTTCACGGTCAACTCCAATGAGAGTGGACTTGTAAACTTCGAAGTTACATGACGTTCAGACCCCACTGACGTCAATGTACATAGACGTGCTCTGATATCCGGAAGAAGCATGAGCATATATTCAAAGGCCGAAAGGTCATAAACTGGACTCGCTCGCTCTCATTTGCGGTTGCGGGGACTCCCGGAACGGAATATCCGCAGTTCAATCGAGCCAACCGTCGGATAAATTTCTCTATTCGAAGACTTGAACGATAAACCTGCATGCGCGAGTGACTTCGGGAAGGGCGCTGCCGGAGCGACGTTCTCGCATGCTCTCTGCTTTGGAGATCCTGGTCGGAGGTTTTCGATTCGATCAGCGTCGAACTCACCTCGGGTGGTAGCGCTTCGGACCCACGGGTCAGTGTCGGGAAGTACCAACCCCATCGAATCACGGGGCCAGCAGGTCGAAAGTTCCCCTGTCCCTTGGCTGATGTATATCCACCATAGGAACACTGAAGCTCCCTTCGGATCGACACCGGTGTTCAGGCTTATGCGAGTCGGAGCAACATCGTGGGGAGCAAGGGAAATAATACCTCATCACTCATCTTTCATCACCCAGGACATTCCTCACCTCCACCTCCTGGAAATTCGACTCTCGCTCATTGAAGAGTCTCGGACACGCATAGAGCGTCTCGGTTCGAGGGGCATCCTTTAAGAGGAACATGAAGATGCGAAGACGCGATTGCCTTGTTTTCTTGTCTCTCCGAGAACGATACTTCAGCAGAACGGTATGCTGCCCGGAGGACAAGGGGCTTGTCCGTTTTCACCGACGTGGTGCGGAGGATTATTAATGGTTTATTTAGCCAGGGCGACTTGATTCCTACGTCATGCCGTGCACTGCTTACACGCTCGAGTCGAGTGTCGGCATTTGCTGCGACCGTGGTTTCGGCGCTGTGATGCAGGGAAGATCTGCTCGCTCTTTGCACGGCGCGGCGGGGAGTCCGCGCATTTACAACTAAGGAGACTATCAATAGCTCAGACGGAGCTTACCGTGTATTGCGAATGACGCAGCTGAAGGAATGAATCAATGGATGAATATACGAGTCCGCGGTGATCTTGAGACACTTGTCTCTCAACAATCTCGTAAGGGGGGACGCTATGGACGAATTCCTGGCAGATAAGGACTCACACCCCTTAAAGTTCCCCATAAATGTTGGAGAAACCTTTCGAATCAGTGTCATAGCGACCCGAGAGGTACAAACGGTCCTTAGCACTGAATCTTCGCGTCAGACGCGGCATCAGAGGACCTCGGGCGTGAGTGGGTCAACGTGGATAGAGGAGCATCACTCGTGAGGTAAATCGAGGATCGCTGCGATGATCGGTTGAAAGCCGAAATCCTTAATTCCTAGAGGATAAGCGCCCGGGAGCAGATTCGGGTGATTCATACTGAGACGCAACTCTTCCTCGCAGTCTGTTCCGTAACGAGCCGATTGGGTTTCTCACCACCGGAGAGGATTCCGGGTGATCGGTCGAGAGAAAAGTGGCAGACTTGGCGTTTTCTCTCTTCGCCCCCGATTGGGCGCTCGTGCCAAGCGAACTCGAACGAGCGGCGTGAGAGCTGATCTCGCAGGAAGCGAGTATGATCGATCGAGGATCAGGAACAAGGACCTTACGGGAATCATGGTAGGCGACGGGGATGAAAAAAGGCGGAATGGCAATGGCATATAGATCGAGGCCTTCCGAGAAATCCAACCGAGCGAGACTCCCTCGCGGCTTTGCGGTGAGCCGCCCAAGACAGGGGTCAATTAATTCATCGAACGTATCGGTCCATCGGACGTTGCGGGATAGAAGAAGATTCATCCGATCCACTCATTCTACGATGATTCTCGAGAGGATTGAAGCGAGCCTCTGGTGTGCAATGAAGCAGACGACCTTCCGGCCAACAACCAGTCATCCATGCGACGGTCTATGACTTCGTTCCTCATGACGCACCGGTCTGGTGATCTATGGGTTTTGCCGAGCTCAGCGTTCTCCTCCTAAGTCTAACTGGGAGAGTGACGTCGCACCGGTCGGGAAAAGAGGCGTGGGAAGTACGAAACTACAGAAGGACCCCCACACAGGCACGATACGTCGACCGCGTAGGAAGTCGCGGATGCAGCTGAACTAGGAACTCTGAGCTTGGAAGAAGAACATCAATAGTTGAGCCCAGGAGCCGGACCGAGGAGGTGAACCTCAGAATGAGGACGAGGATCAGTGGACCCAGGATCCGAACTGAGGAGGTGAACCCCAGAATCAGATCGGGGATGGGCTTAGAACTGATTCAGCTTCTACTCAATTTGAACGTGGAAGCCTCCGGAGTTCCAACGCGGAAGAAGGAACCAGTCTGCCTGCTTGCCTTTCATCTCGCATCGAATGAGAGAAACAAAAAATTCAAAACTGCCGAGGAGCCTACTCGATCGTATCGAGCGTTCGGAAAGACCGAACGTAAAGTATTCACATTCGCTGCCTGACCAGGGTACTGATCTCGCGAAGTACCGGATATCACCGATGCACCAAAGAAGGAAACTGAATAAGAGCCCTCGAGCTCACAAGTTCCCTCCGTCAGAACTGGCCGGGGAGCATCCCGATCGCGGAGCAGCGCTGTTTCGTCGATAATCTGAGGCAGTGGATAGAAAACGCCCTATCCTTGGTGCCACTCACGAGAGAGCGGCTTAAGGTCGAGATCCGGGTGGGATTCGGAAGGTCATGCGTCGGCGCAATTTATTGGAGGTCGCCGCTAGTCACGCTTATGTTCTTGTTTTTTATTCAATATTCTTCGCTGGGCGAGGAGAGCTCTCTGTCAGCGGATGGTGACCCATATCTGAGAGAGGATGCGACGGGAAGAATCTTTGTCGTCGTCGGATAGAAGCGCTGGAGAAAAGAAATACGACGTTTGCAATTATCGCGTGACTACGGAACATGGCGACCGCGAACGATCGAGCCGTTCTGGAAGTTCTCTTCAACCCCCTCTTCGCTGAGATTCCACCCGAGGTGAATCGCGATATTTGATCGGAAACAAATTCTGGGGCTCAAAAGCTCAAAAAATCAGTCGTAGTTCTCCCTCTCCGGTAGGAACTTCAGTAAGGACGACCCGTGCCCGGAAGCGTTCGGGGAATGATCACGGAGCTTTCCATTTTAGACGGATGACCTCGATGATGACGTCAAGGATTGGACCCCATCCAATCTAGAGGTGAAAGCCGTAGCGTTGGCTGAAACAGGGAGGTATCGAGAGTCGTTGGAGATGTTAACCTCCCTGTTGGCACGGAACGATGTGAGCCATCTGGACCGCGCATCTCTGCTCAACGATTCGGCGCAAGTGAAGAGACTGCTCGGAGACACTACAGGTGGGTAATCGAACGTCTGTTCCGAGCGGCGGCCGCATCGTCCAACTTCAGTCGATTCGATTTCCTTCATTGAACGAACACTTCAGCTCGGATCCCTATATCGCTCCTGGCGCTCCTGACCATGAAAGTGGCAATAGACCCTTTTTTCAAGGACTTCCGCTTGGCTCCTAATTCATTTATTCTGAAGAGGCCTATGACCTCAGAGTGCAGGGTCCCCGATACAGGCAGCGTTCCGGCGTGGATCGAGCAGATGTATTCCCAACTAAAGTTTAACTCTTTGTCGGTGGCATGCCACGCCATTATAGAGTTGGAAAATCATAAGATCGATAAATCACATCTTTCCTTATCGTCTCTCTGATGCAGGTGCTCGCCAAGACATCGAATCTGTATTGGAGTTGCGCGTCAACAGACGAGCCCAAAGGCAGGCCCTTGTGCAGAAGGCCATCCTGGAAAGACTGGACGGCAGACCCGAAAACGGTCTTGCCCTCATGAGACAAGCCGCGGCTCTCGGATCTCGATTCGCCAGAACTCAATTGGCCGTCCACAAGGAAAATCCATATGCTGCTCTATGCAATCAAATGCTGAACAGAATGTTCGCAGAGCTCAGGGGCGAATGCCAGTAAGATTCACAATCCTTTTCGCAGCGCCTGGTGCCATTCTCGCAGGTAATCCGGAGTACGGGTCCGATGAGAGTTCTGAATGGGTCTTCTCCAGGAAAGGTGAACCCGGGATCGCCGGAAAAAATCACGATTTCACGATAATTCAAATAAAGCTCAGTACGAGAAAGTACCGCATTCTCTCTGATAGTGGGGCATGCCCCTCTATTTTTCGAGCTTCCGCATCATGCCCCTTTATTGGAGAGTGGCCGAATATTAGAGAGTGCCCCTCTATGTTTTCAACATCCCGAGAACGAATTACAGCCCATAGCCTGCCGTGTGGAGCGGGCCCATTCATTTCCCAACCAGTTCGTGGAGTTCTCAAGAAATCAGGAGCAAGCATCAGCTCATTCTCCAATCAGGAGCAGTTCTCAAGAAATCATTTTCTATCCGCCTAAAGAAGGTGCCCCTCTAATAGAGAGTGCCTGTATATTAGAGAGTGCCCTTCTATATTTCCATCTTCCGAAAAGGTGCCCGTCTAATGGAGAGTGCCCGAATAAAAGAGAGAGCTACACTATTAGAGAGAATACGGTAATTGAGATTCGAGATTGACTTGGTCTGAATTCGGAATTTTCCAGCCGTATGGCCCCCGAACGAGTCACATGAGACTCGTCCTTGTGATTCGTTCGATGAACGATTCGCGAAAACTGATTCCAGTCCATCAAAATTTTCCCCTGCGATAGAAATACAAACACACTGCCAAGAGTCCAAATCGGTCTTCTCCGCTACGGGAAATCCCCAAGGCTCTTCGCATGTTGTCACTTTGGCGCCTGGAGATGTGACTGGACTCGTCTTCGATCCGCTCGATTGGAGAACCCTTTTATTCTTTGAGTTCCTACTTCCTTTGATGTGTCTGCTCGGGCGTAATGAGGCATGGAAAAAGTGCTCGGAAACCTGTTGTAGCCGTGTTGACTCACGGGAGAGAGCCAGACAACGCGAAATCACAGCAGCGGATTCAGATCGGTGGGCTCCAGTTGTCTCGCGTCAGCTCTGCGACCGACAGAGTGCAAGAATCATGCCCTCAGCAGCCCCGCGGATTGAAGAAACTGGAAACTAGCGAGAAACTCCGCGATACTCCACTTCGACGTTTTTTCGCTCTCTACCGGGCCACCGAGTCGCGATCGGCTCATGATTGGGACGTATTCCGTGTCATATTCCGGACGATTGTGAGAAATACCGTTCTCTCAGCCCATCTTGCGTCACTCGGCATGCGAGCGCCTGTTCGCTACTGATTCCAATGTTGGTTCCGGGAAAGTTCGATTCAGCGCCGCTCACTCAGCCCGACTCTGAGGAACTCCCCGGCATATCGGGGAGCTCGGGTTGAATTGCAAGTCTTCGATGACGGATTATGCGACTCCTGCGGAGCTTCAAGCGGAATCAGAGGCGAATCCGGCGCTGGATCTCTCTAGCACTGGTTCTTACCGCTTCTCGATCAGTCCAACGAATGGATTACATGGGCTGGGAGAAGGAAGAACTCGGCAAGGACACAGTCGACGATTTCCGCCGCTCCCTCTTCGTCTTCGAAATTCCATCGATATCCAAGAAGGATGGACTCAGAGAATCACTGACAACACACACGGCTTGAAGATTCGACAAGAGAACCCGGAATGGGATTCTGCGCGTCGGATTTATTGATGATCACGATGGGCAAGTCATATCGTGTACTCGGATGTAAGAAATTGATTCACGTATGTTTGTATGCATGATAGATACTCTGATGAAACTCTTTGGCATCGAGTACGGCCTTGGAACAGATCATCTATTGTAACAATACTGAAGCCACGATTCCTACGTTTGTTTGAACCCCGCAGGTTCCGGCACCAGGTTCGCTCCAGGTCATTCAAGATCCGAAGTGTTTTAACAACAAGAGTCAAGTCAGGTCCTTCGGAGTTCGAGGATATTAGGGGACACCCTACGGCCCTCGAGTTTCACGGCTGGTTTCAACCCGAATCCTAGGGAAAATTTGTAGTTGAAAATTCCCGCATCGAAACTTCCATATGAACCTCTAAGGCTCGCATGAACAAGAGCTCTCCACTGAAGAAAATTTCCTCATGATGAGTCTTTCGTCGGAGCCTGGGTTTTCCCCCTGCTCAACGAGAAGCGATCTCTTCAATGCTTCCAGGATAGAATCGATGAGGGAAGATCTGGTTTTATTATGCGACTCCCCAAGAGAGGAGATGCCTTCGGCAAAGTCGAAACACGTCGAATGAATCTGATGATGCATCGTACGACGGCCGGCATCAAACCTTCTGACCTCGATGCTTTTTTTCTGTTCTTTTCGGGCCAAACAAATCATGAAACTCCGAGTTCTGACCCTCTCCTCCTGAGACTTCCGCTCCGTGATTCTCTACATATAACACAACAATAAAAATCGTCACATTACAACATCGGTATATAGTAATTATTGATTTTCGATCTCATTGGGCTTGTTTGTGTGGGGAGCAGGGGAACAGCATCCCCGCGTTGGGCAAGCCGTCCGTCAGAGGAAATCAGCTTTAGCAAACAGAAGCGTCCCTTCGGGGGAATGACTGAGGTCACATTGTACGCCCCGCAGCAGGATCTGAAGTGTGCTCCGAGGGAGCTCCTCGGAAGGCAGTTCGCAGCATCGGGGCAGCCGTTGGCAGTAGAATGCAAACACTTCGAATTCAGCACACAGACAAGCTTCGACCCCAGTCAGACCGCCAACCCCCACAAACATCCGAATGCTCATTGACAATAATATGGGCAATAACGTTGACAACGATGACCAGAGCAGTGATCGTATTACCACTGAGAAAGCGGCCCTTTGAAACTGCCGGTAACAACGATAGCTCCAACATTGGGGGATGACGATGAAAAGCTAGATGATTTTCAACGCGGAGAAATACGACTCGGGATTGATGAAGACCGGAAAGTCAACGAAGGCTTCCCCATCACCGATATCGTTTTGCATATGTTTCAAACATCTCGGAGTCTCGTTGGGGACAAATGTCTTATTCATTCCGTTCGTATCTCCGTCAGATCCTTTCAGTACGTCGTTGAGAGGTGCTCCGACTTCTTTCGCTATATAAGTACCATCCGTATATTATACCACATCGGGTGTGGGGATGGGTTTCAACAATATCCATACTCGATATCAATGATAGAATAATATAGTATGTATGTGTATATCCGCGTGATTCAACATTTAGATTTTCCATCGGATATTCTCTCATCCAGTATCAATATTCTAATCCCTCCACCACAGAATCGATCCGTAGACATATCGATGATAAACTTTGGCTAGTGCTCTCCGCTTCCGGAGAATCAATAACGGATGATTCTCGATCATAAACATCACCGATCCGCATAGTTCCATCATATTCGCAAGTATCGCCTCATCTTTGGGAGGTTCGTTCTCTATGGAAGGCCTCGGAGAGAACCCGTAGCAAATATATAATTTCCCAACGACACTATGAAGTGTCTCCTGTATAGGTGCTCGAGTCGGCTAACATCGTATAATTTCCTTTCCGACGGAACCAATTAGTTAGGCTTGATCTGTACTCTATCGAGCTTAATTGAGGAACCGTTTCTCAATTGCATCACAAACGCGCCTCGAACAGTACTATCCGGCTTCGGAAGTTTCGAACAATCAGCGCGGGAACTTTAGCGTACATATGTATAAAGTACATGACAGTATGTATTGCAGACTTCCATTCTGGAATCACATCATTTTCGTTGACTCCTGTCTAAATCACTGCCGCAATTAAAATAGCAGACGTGCTTCGACACATGTAATTGCGGACGATTCTCGCTTTCCCAAATTCATTAGACCTACATAACACACACATGAGATCGCTGAAACTGACAGCTGTGTCCGCCATCGCGATCCAGCTGCCTGAAACTTGATTTACACCTCCGGAAGCCTCTAAGTCAAGAGACCAGAGGTGTGTAGATTTCTTTCCATCGGTTGGGACATTCTCTTCAGGACACGAGCGAACCCAAAAGACTATCCGCCGCTCCCGGGGCTTCTCCCGCGGATGAATCCCATTCAAACCATGAGCTCGACGAAGATCAAGTGATACGCAAAAGAACCCCGGATGGGCGCCCTCGAAGCATTGTTATCGAGCTTAGAGGATGAAATTGAGGCCATTCTGACGTGATTTGCCGATGGGAGCCCCTCTCGTTTGAACTCGTCTCTTGAATTTCATCGGTCGAATCCGAACCGAGGGCAAGCTCACCTTAGATGACTTCTGCGACCATAATCACGGCAGGATAATTCTCACGCATCGTCGAGATGTCTTCTACCTCCTAATATCACGCTGTCTTGGGAGTGGTTGGTTGAGCTTCTTCTTGGTAAACTTGACGCCATGTAATTTTTCGCCCAAGACTTCGGAAGGTTTGCTCGAGACGATCAGACGAGATTATAATTTGTATTATGTGAAAAAATCAATGGCGACAGACTGGGGGAAGATGTGAGCTTCATCTTAATCATGGAAGATCAGGGCAGAGGGTTCGAATTCAACTTTTTGCCGAAATATAAAGAATGAAGTCAGGATGCTGATTCATTACGCAGGCGTGGTAGGGAGACCAATCACAGAACGTGCGGCCCTGCATTTCAGATTTCATGTTTCCCACTCATTTCAGAGTCTCTATTTGAGCTTTGCCATATCCCGCTTGGAGAAGCCGGCATCAAATTATGACCGCAAGCTCCTGCCAGTCGACTCAGAGAGATCAGGCGGGCCTCACTATTACATGTGTGCTCGAGACGTCTCCCTTCATCCGAGCAGCAGTTCCTGTTCCACGTTGATGATCGACGAAATCGACGCAGTTTGATTGCGCGGCAGATCCCCAATTGTATAATCTATTGAAAAAGGCAGTTTCGAGTGGTGGCCGTCCTCCCTCATGCGGGTAGATGGTGCATTCGTTTGGATCTCACTGGACTCGAATTAGCTTGCTCTCGGCGATGTTTGTGCGAGTATGCTTGAATCGTATTGTCGGTTCAACGGGCCAGGAGCCCGAGGCTCAAGTCACGTCCAGGTTCACGGCGAGGATGAGCATCACGCGACCGGCTCCGTCAAGCTCGACACAGAGTCCACACCTCGATTCCTTCTCGGGTCTCGAGGAGCAACTCCGTAGGTACGTCCGAACCTCCAACATTTCTGGGCAGCAAGATCACTGCTCAACGTCCACAAAACTCCTTCGCACCCATGTCCCTCCTGTCTAGGGAATTATTTCCCGCAATCGCCGTACAGACAGCCACGAATAACACCCTAGCGGCAGTGATCACGAAAATCTTTCCTTAATTCGTCCTCGTAAAGTATTCTCCGAGAGGATGTCGCTCCTCCTTTGTTCGTTCATCACTAGAACGTTGGACAGTCGTCGCCTGTCGGACCCAACGGCTTCGCGAAGAAGTACCCAGGGTGGTCTACAAGACAAATATACCGTCCCTTGTAGACCAAGCCTACTTCGGTGACGAGATTGCCGCCGCGTATCGTTGCTTTTATGGTCCAGTTGTGAATATCGGAGGTTTCCTTCTCACGTTCGAGCTTATCTACATCAACAACTCTTGAACTTAACAGATCGAGTATGGCTCCGATATCCTTGACGGTGAGATGATCCATGTCTCGAGAACCTCCAGCCAAGTCATCTACCAGCAACAGGTATCTATTCAAAATCTCGTCGTCGTCCTGACTTTCGCTTTCGTTGTTGTTCCGCTGGTTTTCTGGAACCTGTAGTCCTGACGTCGATGACGATACTCCCGGCCCTTCGGTAGATGCCGCCGTTGTTGCTGCTCCCCCGCCCCCGGCCGCCGTCGTCGTCGTACTACTTACAGCCGCGCCCGCACTAGTTGAGGAGGTCGCTGCTGCTGCTGCGGCGGCGATATCTGCGGTCGACTGTCGGGCTTGAGGGATACTCGCTCTGGCTGTCGCTTCGAAATGAACGTTTTTCGCTGACGGGGGAATGGGCATGCCTCCTCCGCCGTGACCGAAAACACCTGGCGGACCCAGAGCCATCTCCGGTAAGTCTATGATGGGCGAGTTGAGTGTCGCTTTGTGCTGTTGCTGATGAAGAGCCGAGCAGTGGAAGTCACACTCCTGTTCATGGCTGCCGTGTCGGTCCTGGTGAGAAGAATGCCGTTTGCGTCTCTCGGTCCTCTCGCGGTCCTTCTCACTGGTCTCACGATGTCGGAAAAAATCCGACGGCGGCCGATGCGCCGACCGTTTTGCATGTGCTAGACGAGTCAATAGTTCCATGTGGCGCTCTCGGTCGAACTGACTCCAGGCTGAAGTGGATTGTGGCGCCGTCGCACTCGGTGGGATCGGGGATTTACTTCTTGAATAAGTGGCAGTGCTATGCTTAGCGCCCGTCGCTGTCGGCAGCGTAGTCGGAGGAACGCCGGATGTCATCGTCGTCGTTGCCGATTTCGAGGGGGGAGCCTGAGGCATCACGACGTCGGGGTGAACCTCGAGTTTGAACTCCGGCGCACGGGGTCTCCGATCTTGGGGCTCCCACGAAAGAACCACTGTCACACGACCTTTGTGCTCCATGATTTTCCATGTCGGCGCTGTGTTGAAAAGTTCTAAAGATCGCATAGCCTCGCAAACGATCTGGGGAATAGCGTTGATGACTGCTCAGACGAAATTTCAATGTTTGACGATCCCGATGATGACGACCGATCGAACGGGCAGATCGGAGCGGACAGGAAATGAAGAGATATCACGCGTCAGAATTGAGGATATGACGTTCTCGGTTAGATCGATCCCCCAGAACTCTCCCATCGGAGAGGGAGTTACCCGAAATATCGAGCGCTTGAATTTCGGAAACAAAAGACGAAGAAACTGGAATGACGAATTTCTCAATGACGTGACCTGGAAGAGGTCGGGAAGGAAGTCCCGGAAGTTCCCAGAGAGTTCTCGGAGCGCGACGGAAAATTCCTCTTCTGCTCCCATCTCTCAGCTGTCAAGTTTTACTCACCAACTCTAATGGCGTCAACCGATGCAGGTACCCAATTTTCGTGCGGTAAGAGAACGACCAAGGAGGAGTCTGTGATCATGGCAGCGCGCAGGAGATCATTGGTGACCTCGGCTCCATCTGATTCGAGAACTACGCGGAGTTTCGAGCGATTCGCCTACAAAGAACAAAAAGAGCGAAATCTCGTCAGGTCGATGGCTCTCGATACGCGGAAGGATGAGGCATCCTTCATCCTCTGGTTGTTTTCAATTTTAATTCCAGTCCAGTTCAGCTCGAGAATGGAGCCGTTCCCGCTAAACGGTGGAACTGAGCAGATCGATCAGGTGGTGTCGGTGTCAACCTAAATTAATTCCTCATCGGGTGCGTATGTAAATGTCACCGAAGAGGAAAAAATATGCCTACGCACACTAGTGTCGCTGATGGTTTTCCACAGAACATTCGCTCAGCCGCAAGCGTGCAGAATGAGATTGATGGAGTTCCGACAAACAAGCTCACTGTTGTTTCGTCTTCCGCTCTCAGCTTTTTTGTGATTCAACACTTTGGCTGAGTTCGCTCCCGCATTACCATTGTTCGCGTATGTCAACAGCACATTGTCAGTCTACGGGAGCCATTCTTCTCGCGGTTCGGAGCTCTAATAGATATTGTATGTTCGCGATAGTCGAACGTATCGGGAATGTCACGAATGGATGACCTTCAGAAGCGACGAGACATCATATTCCGGGGAAATCCGTTCGAGTAGGCGATGGATGAAGACCGATTCCAAAAATCAATAGACGGATCCTCTCCCTCCCATTTCCAGGAATAGAGGGGGCGCGCTCGGGAACTCTGTGCCGGTGGAAGCTGCGTACATCGGCAGATCGATCGTAGCTGACTGCGTGAGTGAAGCTCTCGAGAACCGCTCGTGTCTTACCTGATACATATTGCCGAATTGAGAACAGACGTCGTCTCGGAGCTCATCGACTGTTGAGGCGGACACCGAGATAATTTGGGTTCTATCGGCATTCCAAACCTTGAGTCCTCGAAGGCCATCCCTCTGCAAAGGAGAAAATCCGTCGGATTAGACATAGATTCGAACATATTCAGACCCCATCGCATCCATCCAAGGATTCGACTCTGGATCAGCTTCTACGGCTGAGTGAGTGCTCCATGTACCTGCATGTGAACTACCCGGCTTCGGACTTTCATCATCTATAATTATCACGCGCCTTTCCCGCCGCGACAAATGTTTCATATTCTTCCACCCTGAGGGAGGAGCTCAAGGATTGCCCCCAAGACGAAAGTCTTCCGAGGCAGGGAAGAGCGTTGGACGAATACCTATCGACGAAAAGTTTGTCACGAGAATATTCAATAAAGATGCACTCTGGTAGAGATCTATCGCTGAACGGAAGCTATCAACCTCCGAAACACGCATGAGTTGAATGGCATTCCGGACGGGATCGCTCCTCTTCTGCGGTATGATTTTCGGAAAAGCTCCAGGTCCATGTCGCGTGGACCACTGGCTTATTAGCTCGGCGAGGGAGGAGGATGCGGCGCTTTATGGGCTACGACAAGACCGCTGCTCGCTCGCAGCTACGGACATTGTGTTGATGGCTGGAACCCTATGGGCCCCGCAACAACAGCGGCTCATCGGAACAAAGTGCTTCCTCTTCTTTCTCTCTTTCCCACCCGTATCTCTGTTTCCTTTCTCTATCTCTGTCCCTCGGCGACGTTGTCACGTTTCCTTTTTGCTAATATGCGCAGCGGACACCGACCTAGAACATGGGTCGCTTCCATCCCGCACGAGCATTATGAGTGTCAAACGCTCTGGCGCGTCAGTGAGTGAACAAGAGAATTCCCGACCGCGATGATGATTTTGCGTCCGCCGACTTCCGCAGGACGTTCGCCTTCTCTGGCGCTCGGACAATGCTCACATCGTCGGAGTCTCAAGCTCCGAGCGATTCTCGAGCGAGCGGGCTTCGTCCGATTGGAGGGCCCATCAAGATCACTGAGGTTTTTCTCTTTTTCGTGGCTAGAAAGATACGTATGCACATACGCTTACCGCTCTGAGCATTGAAGAAGCTTGGGAATGAGTTATCTATTGCGAGCGGCTTGCCCAATCCAGAGGGTTCAACCTCGCGCCACCCGCAGTTGGTACCAGACCATTGCTCTCCAAGTGAATTATTTTACCAAATCGCGGTTCCCTGAACCGAGCGCTGACTGTGTGTGCACATATGGGCCGCTCCTGAGCCTCGTGCCGCGTACGGACAGGGGCACGCTGCCGGACACTGATAGCATTTCCGCGTCTGAGCCAAGTGAGAATGTGTGTAGGTAGACGTGTTCACGTTTATGGTTCTCACGCTTGTCCTATTAGCATGCCTGTCGGCTTTCCTTGTGAACGTTTACCGGTTGCGGTCTGTTTGTAGCGGTACGTTCCGCGAGCCGTTCGTCTGCCGGTGCGAATGTTCATACTTATGTACATAAATGTATATATGGACGTACGTCCGTCAAGCTAGGTGTCGGAAGAGGCAGCCGTCACACAGCTAGCGTGCTCACATTACGATCGAGTAACAAAGCAGAGAATATGGTGTCGCGAATAAATATTCCCGGCCGGAAGTCACTCATCCAGTCGCTCGGCTTCCGCAATCGTACACTGGTAGCGCCAAAATAGAGTCAAGGAGGCGATTATCTTGAGATATCGTTCAAGTTCCAAGGTTTCGGTTCTTTTACGTCCGGAGCTCACCCGCAGGATTTGATCATTAACGGCGAGGAGGGGGCAGCGGGCGGCTGACGCTCCGAGCATCGCTCAAACGCGATTTGGCTGACATTACCAGCTGGGCACAGATGGGCATAGTTGACTGAGCTCTTACTTCGATGTAGCCTGTTTCGCCGAAAATCATTAATCATGCGAGCGGAGCGGGAGCAGACAGATGCCGGAGCAGTGTTCCGAATCGGATCTCGAGCGCGCGGAACAACAAAACAGAACCCCAGAGGCAGTCGGTTCACGAAAAGGAACGGGGGCCTCGAGACGGATACCCGATGCTCCTTGCTCTGGCAGGAGTTCCTCTGACTGAGCGATCCCGGGGAATTCTCCGATTGAGCTCTTCCACGATTCCGAGCGAACTTGCTCTCGGGACACGAGCGGTTTCTAGAAGCGTTCACAGAATTAGCAAGGATCCCTATAGAGCGTTCCTTATCGACTGAATCATCTGGCCATGAATGACGCTCGGGACCGTCGGTTGATGTCGTTCAGACGGATGAGGAATTCAAGAAGGCTTTGCTGCATCGTTCGACATCCCTGATATGAATGAACGACAACCGATCCGCCACGACACGTCAAATGAAGACTCTGTCGATGGGAAGGATCTCTCAGTCAGCCAAATTATCAGGGCAGCACTTCAGAGATAGCTCCTACTGATCAGACCCTCCGTAGAATTGCCCCTGTGCCTACCACCAATCGACCACTCCATTCGGATACAATTTCGGCGTCGATTCAACTCATGTATGTACACACTATGCGCTCGTAGCAGTGACGCTGTGACTTTGACGGTAAAGAAAGGGGTCATCACTAAGCCATACGCGCGACGTCTAATCAACTGGGAGTTCGCTTGGATAGAATAAGATAGCTCACGAGCTCATATCTCTATGCTTTTGGGAAGATCGATGGAATGCGTGATCGAGTCGGAGGCGGGGAAGGCTACGGTGAATAGCTTGATGTATCGCTCAAGCGGTGGCGGCCTGATGAATGAAATGTTGCATGCGCAGGTCTTACTGTCAGCTCATTTTTAGAGAGAAATCGACGAAGAGCCGTGCAGATGGCAAAAACAAAGAGCGTGGCGGTTAGGGCTCACCGGCTTGAACAATGAAGGGGGAGATTGCTCTGACTGAGAGGAGAAGCCTGAGGGAAAGGTGGAAAATGTCGGAGATTCTTTAGACTTTACTTTGAGCGTGGGATGGCGAGCCGAGTTTTTTCCTCTCTTCATCCCGCCCTGGAATGTAGCGCTGGTGTCTTCAAATCGGACATTGTTTCCAATTTCGCTAGGCCCGAGAATTCGAGCCACCATATCCACACGAGTCGCGGTGTGAGCACCGAAAATCTAGACCCGACCGTGTAACCGCCGAGAAAAGGTCGAGAATTAGAATGCAATTCACTGCACGATTCCCGACCGAACGCGCGGGCCATAAAACTGTTTACCGATATTAGAAATCGATAGGGTTGTGGAGGCGTAAGACGAAAAGGAATTCGCACACGGCTTGGAACGAGGGATCCTTGACAAAAGAAAGAAGATCAAGAACAGTGATGTTCGTGAAGGGATTGGACAACCCTTTCGCTCGATCGGTCTCCCTTGTCAGTACGGATAATCTCTTCGACTCTATCATTCGACCGACTGGAATTCGCAGCCCAATGAGTTTATCGGAACGGGGAAGCGATAAAGCGACAGAACATCACCGACTTGCGTTTCCCTTCTCGCCGACCCTCTGGCTCGCTGGAAACCTACTCCGGGAGCAGCGCGATCCTCATCAACGAAATCACAGTTCTCATCTTCATCAGCGGAGGCACTGGTCTCATCCGGACTGCCGACACCAGCTCATTTTTCTTCGCGCTCACGCACCTCATCAGGGTCATTCATCATCCGAACCACAAACAGCCGCACCTAAAATTGTATTCGTCCTTCGGTTTCGCGCAGTCGAGTTTGCCGCCGTTTTTTTCTCGCCCTCCTCACGTCGGCGTCGCCAGAACTCGCTGCCGCCGACCCAACAGCGTGCGTACCGAGTTGAAAGCTCCTGAGGCCGCATTCAGGAAGTCGAATAGACCAGCATGGCCTGGCAGGCTCCCCATATTTCCCCGCCGCGTGGCTCCTTCCGTCTAATCTTACGTAGAACTCAACCCCTCAGAACGGAGACTTTCGATTTTCCGCGAATCATCCGATTACAGACGGAGACTGTTCCTCCGCGGGCGGAGCGGTACCGACATACCGCGGACGCGCGATCGCAGCCTCATGATCATTTGTTGATTTTCATCGGCCGTTCGTTTCGAAATTCCCCCGTCCATTGGTATGAATTCCGAGCGGGAGCCCCATCGAGAGACGTCAATCAACTCCATTTCTGGCTCGAGGGAGACTCATTCCAAAAGTCCGACAGCTCTAGCCTTACGCGCTAACGATTCTCGACAGCTATCCTCACGAACCCGACACGAGTCGAAAGGGGGCTTCTGAAGGGAGAACGGGGAAAGAGGAAGAAAGACGAGCGTCTCTCGACGCCATCCACATGCAGACAGCCGCGGCTAGGTCAAGGTTGTCTGACGGGTTGTCTCACCCCAGTACGGGTTTTAGGCAGTTTTGAACCGACCTAGAGTCCAGAACGTCCGGTCTTACCGTTTCTGATGAGTGTGCCATGATCGAGAGGTCTGAAAGCACTGCTTCGACAACAATGACAACGCGTCTGGATGGCGCGTGGTACGACCTTCAATTCCTCAAGCTGTCGCGCTAGTCCCCGCTCAGGAGCAGTGCGCAATGTTGCCTCCTGCTCGGAGTCGCGCTCCTGCCAGACTGAGGCGAAGCAACCCGCTACCATCCAGCACGCCAGCCAGCCTGCAGGCCCTCCTGCCATCCGGCCAGCTAGCCAGCCTTCCTCCCGTGGAGCGAGGGTGTTCTCCTGCTGCTCCCTTCCTCCCACTCCACCTTGTCCTCATCCTCGTTCTCTTCATCCTCATACTGCGGGCGGGAAGCAATGGAAAGGCACCGCCCATGGCATACCGTACCGATCTCTCCGCGCGTCAGGAAAGGGAATACGCCGACGGGTACCAAGCTCCCGTACTCCCATTGACGTACAGAAGCGAGCACACTCACAAGGCCCTTTCCAGGCTCCTCTCGTTGTATCTCAAGCGCGCGGTTTCTCCCGCTCGCACACGGTGTGCTTTTACACTAGTACGGAGAGTATACAGACAGCTCGGTCGTAAGAATCCTCCGTCTCGGTGGTGTTGGTGCCGCCGCCGCCGCCGCCGCTGTCTTCTCGCCTCCGCTTCTCCCCCTGAGTCCTCCCGGACGCTGTCTTCTGGTCAGAGGACTCTAACGGTGCCTTGCAGCCAGCCAAGCATCAACCCGAGTCTTTCAGGAAGGCACGAAGGGGAAACGGCGACGCCCCCGCCGCCGCAGCGGCGATGACGGCGGTGGCCAGGTAGTCGTCTAGACCGGACGATTACCGACATCACTCGCACCGGAGTTGCCGTCGTCAATGTTGCCAGCCCCCCCACTCGACTACCTGGTCTCCTTTGGAACGATTGCTGACACCTGCGCTCGTCCGATTGCCTCACACAGATACACGAAAGTGAGGACAGTGGACGTTCAGAATCGGAAACGACGCATCGTTCGCGACGGCGATTGTCGTCACAAATGATCGAGCCACTTCCCCTCCGGCCGAAGCTGAAGTCGAAATTTATTGGAACGTCGAGCAACTTCCAACTGCCGTGGAGATAAAACTGTAGCTCTGAGCTCTGTCGTCAATGGTCGGGATAAGGACTCATGTTTTCGGCGACTTGCCGGTCGATTGAGAGGCGACGAGACCTTTTTCCTATTTCTCGAGTTGACTGGAAGGCTGTGCGGTCGGAAATTATTCCTTGCGTTTGCTTGCGACTCCGCTCCTTTTTCCCTCACAGAGGCTCGTCATCCGTCTTGTGATGCGCAGTTCGTGATATCGTTCACCGCCATCGATGCGACAGACGGTGACCCCGGAGCGTGATGTCTTTACTCATTCGAGAAAAAGATCTCTTGCAGAGCGTCAGATGTAGGGGAGGCTAGTGCAGCTGGTGCCGCGAGCCTTCACGCTCAGAGCTTGCAGGCCAAATGGTCTGACCAACAACAATAATTCAAGGACGACTCTCGTGAGCAGTTTTCCTGATCTTCCATGTGCGGAGCGCGAATCGCCTCTGCTACTCGCTCCGAATCGAAATTCTCCTAACCCACTTGCGGAGCCTCTGGTCTCCTCATCCGCGTCCTTTATTCGTCTCTGAGCAGATGGGTGAAGGGAAAACTTCCCCACCGCGTCTCCGTCGACACTTTTGCGACAAATTCCGATTCTCCATCGAGCTCACTGTGGTGGTTTTCCAGGCTCTGCATCCCCGAATCCTTCGATTCTAATCGTTCTCATTTCTGATCCTGGACTTCTATTTTGATTTCTTCCCAAGTTTCGGCCTGTCTGGCTGAGTCGCGGCTAGATCCTACATCCCGGGTGAAATTATACGGCCTCTCCAAGAACAATACCTACCTACTACCTGCGATCTGCGAAGCGTAGTGCTTTCATGAACGGGAATCCTCTCGCGCGGAAGGAGACTCGACGTGAAGCTCACGCCGGGCTATTTTTCCGCGGAATACGGCTCTCCATGAGAATCAGTCTGAAGCTACCGTGAGAGAGAAATCGATATTATTCGACTAGTCTGAAGACCACGGACGATTCTGAGCGAATCTATAGGTTTCCCTCCCGGAGAATCAATTCAAAGCAGAACGTCGATGAGACCAAAAAGCACACTGGGCTTCGCTTCTCCTCGAAATGTGGTTTGATCCATCCGTCTGCCGTCATCTTTGCCGCTGCGGTGGGATCTAATAATAGCTTCAGAATAGAGATCAAAGCTCGCCTCGCCCGATCTGAAGCTTTTGCAGATCTCACTGTCTAACATTCGTCCGTTCCTTGCTGACTCGGGAGACGTCATGCGATCCTTGCTTAGAACTGCAGAATCTTGTTAGGAACCGAACTTGTTTCCGTCCGGCGATGATAATTGCTTCCGATACTAGCCGGTGTAATGAAACTGTCAGATACGGAATTGACGGGACGAGAGTCCCGAACCCCTCCTCGTTCGCTCCAACCCTACGTTCACATTTTGCGGACGAGCTTGCAGACTTTCGAAGCCGCATCTTCAGGACGATGAATAAAATCTCAATCAAGAGCATCCGATAATAGGGACAATCCGATTGAGACATATTCGAGTCCCGAATCGTCACACTTCCGATTCTCGAATATATACTGAAATCAATGGGTCAGCTGGGATGACCTCACTTCCTCCGGTGATTCACCGTTCTGATAATGTGTCTATGCTCGATAAGAGGGTATTTGCGTCCAGTATGATGAGTATGTTGCCCAGCCTGCGGAAAGTAACGGGGACGAATGAGAGAGGCTTGGCAGCGAGTTTCCGAGTTTCATATATTTCAATAGTCTGAGAGTGCCCTTGACGATCTTTCGGCCTGAGGGAACCAATCCTTCTGTCGTTATTTCGATTCCGGTACGGTCATTCAGGTCGAATAACATATGTTTCAGAGCGTCGGGGGGGGGGGCGAAAATTGAAGGAATGGACTTCGTTTTGGATAGGATCACCGCGGAGGCCTGGAATAGTACCTGAAAAATCACACTCATCGATCACCGTTTCGGAGTGTTTCCCCCGTTTACGCATTTCCTCCGAGGAGAAGCAATAGACGCTCATCAGCGTTCGGCTCCGTTTCTTCGAACACGTTTCCTTCCTCGACGCAAGGCTTCCCAGCCTAAAAAGAGACGCTTTGAATATGTTCGAGGAAAAACTGGCAGTTTCGGATCTGAATTCGCATGCGAACATTCACACGCCTGCGGAAGTACATGCGAGCGACCCTTCCACGATGCGGCTGGCTCATTCCTCAACCCGGAGCTGCGGTGTGTTCCCCGCGGTGTTCAGAATCGGAAACCGATCGAGGTCTAGGATTCCCCAAAATATACTATGGATAGGCCATCACTACCGTTCCTTGTTGAACGTGCGGAAAACTTTCTCGAGACCGACAACAGCTAGGGATTCCGTAGGACAGAGGAGGGAAGAAGCTTCCGCAGTTTTCAATTTCGGAGCCACGGATCTCCGGCGGCTCGACGACAGCGACGGCTCAATTTTCTAGAAGAGTGGGATGTCTCCTCGCAGGCGCCTCCTACGGCCACGGACAAGTAAACGCAGGACTCTCATCGCTGGAAAATCTCCTAAATAATGGAATATATTTCAGGATGACGCTCATTTCTGATCAAGGTCCTTTTCCGAGCAGATCCGCGTTCCGTCATCTTTCCCTGTAGAGGCGCCAGGAGAAAAATCCGTCTTTGACTCGTCGAATGTCTAACAATGATTCCTCGGAAATTACCGTAAACAGATTATCCTCGGCTTAGCCGGTCCACTAGGCATGAGAACTGGGATTTCGGAGACGCAGCTATCCGGATCCGAAGCTACGGATGGTGATCATCTCATGGAATCGATTTTCCGAGCTGGTTTCAGGCTCGAATATTTACAAGTTGCTTTTGCACTTTCACACCGAACGAGCCCTTTTCTTGCAGGTTATGTCGAACACATTTTTCCAGAGCATCGTCACGACGTTGAACATTCCCAACGACCTTGTCACGGACGGAGTTACCGTCGCGTCTCCGAGTTCGCACACACATTCACGACACACCCGCACACCACACGAAATAATCAGCACGCAACACGCACGCAGAGATCGAGTCTTTTCGTGATAAACTTCCAGCCCCCCCTCCCAGTCATCGCGTAATCACCATTGAACTTGTGTTCCGACATCCCGTCCAGGACGAAGGACGAGCAGTCCTATTAAGCTTCGGTACCAATGAACTCCCCGATGAGTGTGCCGCCACGTTGGTACGTCCATCGGGGCGGCGCTGGCTTCTCCAGAGCTGTGCGTCAGCTGCTCCGCATCAGCTGTTTCTCTGTCAGCCGGTCGAGAGCGGAGAGACGTTGAGAAAACTATGGTAGCCACAGTGGCAGCGGCGGAGATAACGATATGAAAAATCATCATCATCACAATCACGAGGTAGCATCAGAGCTCCTCGTGCAGTTCAGTTTAAGGGTTCAAATCTCGAGTATTCACCCGATTTCCTGCGGCGATTGGTGGATCATCCCCTCCATCGTCCCAAGCTAACATCTCCAGATAATTCTCATTCAATCCGGGACCCTCCCGGTAGTATAGTCTGGCGCAGCGCACCCCACCCGAACTCAACAAGTTCAAGCCTCGTGTCTTCATTCACCCCATCGAGGTTCAGAGCCTCATCTCGTGCGGTGCGTTCGCCACAGACCTGTGGGAACCCCGAAAACGGCAGCCGGGACGGTCCACGGGGTCCGATCACCCCATTCGAGAATCCCAGCCCTGCCATATCGGATCCAGAACAGGGTGTGAGTTTAGACAGGGGCACCCAACATGGGCTCAAGCGCTCCGCTGTACCATATGCGAGGTAGCAAAGATCACGTCGCGCATCGTCCCTTTCCAAACATCGCGCGCTGCTCGTCGCTTCGGGAGAGAGATCAGCTGGAGCCGTGGCGTTCTTCGGGTGCACCGCTCTGTTCACTGGTCGAGCAAGAAGTCTTTTCTGAAACTTGAGTGCGGAAGGGTACTTCCGGAGAAAGTTCCGCGCTCACAAACACAAAGTTCTCCCGGAGTCTCTTCCCGTTCCGGCATGCAGTAGAAAAGTATCATCTGTGGAACCTGTGAATTCTCAATATAGGCCGACAGAGCAGAGTGGTAAGTCAAGTGTTCATCGACAGCTTCACGGAATGAGATCACAGACTCTGCGTCAAAAGCCTGAACCCTGAGCAGGACTATCCTTCTGCGGGAGTAATTTACTACGAGCTCACAATTCCGACCCAAGTAGTCAGATTCGACCCCAGTTCCACTGTTCTTGGATGTCGCATCGTGACTCTTTCTTTCTCCGTAATCTAGGATCTTCCTGCGAGATTCGTTAATAGACGGCTGATCCAGAATGAGGATAATCGGGGAAGAAAGGTTCATTTAGCGCGAAAGATTCGAATCTTGATATCGGATGCCGCTCGTTTGACAGACGACTGACGGTTTGACAGACTGGCTTCCGGTACACTGTCATGCATCCTATCGTGAGAGCTCGGATGAAAATCGGAGCTCCCAAGGCTTCGTTTAGCTTCGTCCCCGAAGATTCGCCCGGGTTAAATCCTTGAGGATCAACATATTCGTCCAGGTTTCCTAGTTATTAGTTCCCGAAGTCCCGCCAGACGGAGCCGCGAACGCTTCAAGCAGGTTTCCTCAAGTCAGCGGGTACTGGCTGTGGTCTTCAAGCCGAATTCGGTAACAACGTAGTCACCCATCTGATCCCATAAGCAACGCCGTGGGCTGTTCGGCGGTCACGTTTTCGGTGAAACGGGTCTCGTGCTACTACCTCGAGGCTCTGCAAATGTGAAAAGAAGCCGCCGAGAGTCTCCAATAGTCTTCGTGGAGTGAAACACACGGATGTCCATTGCGAACGAAGTCTCCGAAATTTGTCGTCCCACAACCGGAACCGCAGGATAAGTCGGGGAAATCTTCTCGAATATGCTACCCCCCGACTTCGGAAACGACGGGCCGAATTCATTGAGCCAGGTGATTTTTGCTGCGAGGCAGGGCGATAAGATGTAGCGACACGAATCTCAAGATCTTGACGCTCGCGGAAGATGTTCATTTCGATTTTGGGACGAATCGTTCCCTGAGCTCCATGACCATCGCATTCGACAGAAGAGACAGGAGCCGCAGAAGCGAGCGCTCCTTTCGACGGAGAGTATTCAATTGAGACTGTTCCATGTTTCGGCGCTGCAGAAGATGAACTTATCCGAACACTGATTCGCCTATCCGGGAGAATTCGAGCAACGATGTCAACCCCGAGGAGTGGTCGATTCATTCTCCTGACAGGAAAAGGTCGAAGAGAGTGTTTGGTTGTCAAGTATTCCTGGGCGACGTGAGGCATCGCTTGATGCTACGAAACAATCTAAATACTTGGCGCTGGCATCCAGCTGTCTGTGCTTGATAGCTGTCCGGTCAAAGTTCCTCGTCCAGATATAGGCCCCCTAGTAGAGTGGCGACCATTTTGATCTCATTGTGCTCATTCAGGATGAAGGAACAACGAGTCCATAAGTTGCTCTCGGATAATAGAGTACAAACTTCGCGTATTCTCCGCAAGTGTCGATTTTTTCGCTCTTCGACCTCCGCCGATGCGGATTTCGAACTCTATGGCTGCATGAAAGCCTTCCCGGATCCGCAACGAAATTTACAAGTGGGGCGGGGGCACTGTGAAAAAACTAAAGGATCGATTTCTCTTCAGGAACTCGAGCGCGGCATGGACGCTTTCGACAATGTGCCCTCGGACGGAGCACCGAGAGAAAATCTCGTAAGTTATCAACTGGGAAGAGAAAAACGGTGTCGATTCTTACTCAATCGTTCTCCTCGAGGGATCTGGACGAGAGCGTTGTGATTGAGACATTCATTGCCCTCGTTTATCGCAGATCACGACCGCCACGAATTTCCTCCTCAACCCGAAAATCAACCGAGATACGGAAAACGAACAGCGAGCTTTCCTCCAGCGGAAAGGTGCGTGATGCGGAAACTTTGGCCTATAGCCCCGAGGGTTGCATAGAGAGCCTGGCTTCAGAATCCTAAGCCGCCTGATCCACCCCGGGGAGACTCCTTCTGAAATTCAAGTCTTATAGATCCGCCATACAATGACATCACTTCCCCCCCCAGGACTCACCCCCGTCGAGATCGACACGGCTTTCCAGAGACGGATGGCTCTCATGACGGGTCCTGCAGCTCTAGCCGGTTTTCTCAGTACCCCAAAACGCTCGAAAAGTTGGGCCGACACCTTACACCGCTTTGCGATGAGTGTCGCAGTGTTCGGCTCCGCAAGCTACGCTCTGTACTGGTTTTTCAAGGTGAGTCTTGGCCGGAAAGAATTAATGCTTTTGAGTTCCGAAACATACTCCGTCTCTATTCGTCCTTCGAGCCACTTTCACTGTCCACTGAGAACCATGGCGCTTGGAGCTATCCATGGCGCTGAATTACTCGACAACGATGACTAACTTATGTTTTCGCCAGACATACGTTGAGCCGAGACTGTCACAAAATCGGACAGAGCAGATCCTGACCGAAATGCTCCAGGAAATAAAGAGGAAATCCGAAACCGACGCGGAATGCGCGATCAAGACCATGAAAGCGATCGCCGAGCTCCGTGATGAGGTACGTCTAAGCATTTCGGATTGGCTCAATCAGGATCTAGAGCCGATGTCCGATGCTGGCCTCGAACCCTTTCGACCCGGGATTTCTAAGACAGTATTCCGAACGAATCTATCGAGAGACCCTGCAAAGCCCTCGCCTCCTCTTACAGATGGCTGCGATGAAACGGATGCTGCTCGCGAGGAATCAGTTCCCAGCATCCCCGACGCCAACCGGTGTCCCACAAGCGGTAAAAATCCCGCAATGGCAACAGAACCACCAGACACCTACCTTGAAGAAGGAAGAAGTGGAAGCATCCCCGCCCCTGAGCATCGACGTAAGTCACTGAGCCTATTATAAGCAGTGACGAGCGAGAAACCGAACAGCATAGGCCCAGATGATTCTGGTTCGCGCTCGCGGAAAACGGAGGATCGCAGGAATCCGAATCGCGGCTCCGCCCTATTGTGGTGGAGTCTTACCTCACGAGACGTCGGAGACGTCGATACTCGTCTCCTGCAGTGGGCCTCTGTCACGACAATCGTATCTTAGCTTTTACTCGTCGAATGATAATCAGCGCAATGAGAACGGAAATCTTACAGGCATCGGCCGAGAAGGAAGAGAGTGCCCCGGATTCGGGAATATCCCCAGAAGTCACAAGCTCGGATGGTGAGCCCCAGGAAAGAGAGGTGAAGGACAAACCACGCAGCAGCAAGAAGAAGCGCGGTGCATACTGCTGAAAAGGAAAAGGCTCGACGACTCTCCTGTGAATCACCGCGGATACTTCAGAGACCGTAAATTCTGCTAGACGGAAGTCACCGAGGTTCATCATGAAATGACATACGTACATACATACATATATATATAAGATGTTTACGTTTCACAGCTTGCGCCTGTGCGGGCTTCAGACACTCTGTGATGAAAAAACGATTATCGAAGTCGGGTGCGACCGTCTTACGCTTGTGTAGGTAACGAGTAATGACAATTGGGATACTTACAATATTTAGAGAAGAGGAATGAGTCGGTCGCATCTCAAGACGGTGGAGGGCTTCTCGGTGTTACTGTAAATTTCTTCCGGGTGTGGGCTTCGAAAGCGGCCAGTCAGAAAGACGTCTCTGAGATAAACGAGAGTATCTTTGGAAAGAGGAGTCATCCTTATTTTGGGTACACACACCATCCAGGTTTTGTTACTACGTCCCTTGCTCCGGCAATTCTTCGAGCAGATTCCCTGAGGTCTAAGAGCATTCAGTGGACTTTCGAGAGTTCTTCTATAGCGTATCCTGTAACGTCGTCGCGGCCTCTCGAGAGTTTCTCTATAGTGTAGCATATCCTGGAATGTCGTCGCCATCTCCCGATTCCGTCCACACAATCTAGGCTTGACTTGATTCTCAGCATACACCTCAATTTCGAGGACCATTCCGGTTTCTCTCGATCGCCGGCGGGTTCCCGCGCATGACATGGGGCTGATGATTTCCCCACGGGTTCGTGGAACCATCATTGATTCCACGGAGGTCCGACCAAAGAAATGAACGATGCTCCGCTTATTCTTCGAGACCCAGCAAGCCTGATGGTGTCAAAATCTAGAGTCCAGACGACGTGGATGAGATTACAATCTCGGACCTTTCGTGTCTACCGAGCTCAGTCGGGAACGAATGGCGCCGGTGCTATGATCAAATTCCCAACGCGATCCTAATCGCGATTAGCGGCGCTCGAAACCAGGCTATCCTCGAAAGTCTTTTTCCCTCACGATAATTATGATACTATTTCGATTATGGATCACCCAATAGTTCGGGCCAGGCACGCGTATTCCCCCCATGAGGCACCAGTCCGAGTTCGTGGGTATTCCCCGTGAACTTGGGAGGAAGGGTGGAAGGGAGTGACTCCGATCAGATCCCGCGAAACTTCCCGGGAGAGAAGCGACACGGCTGTCGCCCCGACCCGCGCAAGCGTCTGCCGCAAAATTGTGATCTCGCATTGGGAGCATCCTTGAGCCAAGTACGGGTCTATGTGTCATAGTTTTCCGTCGATCCTTGACGAGACATGATGCTCATGGAATTCCCCGCATCCCAACGGCCTCTCTCGCGAGTTGAGGCTGAGCATTGATATCAACGGAAGTGTTCCAGACTTGGAATTTTCTTCCTACCCAAGTCGGAAGTCAATGCCGCCCTCATTTTTTTATGACCCTCATCTACCAGGACATTCGTCAGAGCAAGTCTGTGATAAAACGAGCTATGCATAATATGTATGTTCGATTCGGAGTTTTCTCCCACGAAGCGTACCGAGTTGTTATTTCAGTGTGATACAAATATCGGAGCTAACAGGTCCGCTCGTGGTCCGTGGCTCGAAGGCTCTCCATGACGAAAGAGAAACGGAAGATTCATCCCGAAAGGCATGGAACTGGAGAATAACCAGGCTAGGAGGATGGCTCCTTCATGAGCTCACCTGTCTCACGTCTTTCAGACTCCTTGTTTCCCATTTCGGGACTTGAACAAGTATCCCACTGGATACACTTGACCCAAGAGCTTGAACGGTGCAGAGGAATCTGCGCAACTATCATTGAATTAGTCTTGGATGACTGGAATCAATGTCTGGTTTGTGTACTCACTCACTACAAATAAACAAAACTCGAGACTCTAGACGATCTTATCTAGCCGAAAGAATCTTGACATCATCGGAAGCGACGGGCGCTCCCGGTGGTAAGGATGCGGGAGCGCGCTTGAAACGCAGCAGAATATCAGCCAATCTCGCTCACCATCGCTATCGGCTCTTCATCGCTCATCGGCCAAACATGATACCGTTATCGCCGCTGATAGGACGGATAAGAGCTAGCAGAGTGATAATCGTCGATAGGCCTCACCGAGATGGGATCTTATCTAAGATGAGAGGGGAAAAGCGACTGCGAAACATTCATAAAGGCTTCGAGGTCTGGACTCCCACCATTACCCAATAGTCCGTGCTCAGGAAATCTCCAAGACGCATAGCGGCCAACGACAAATCGAAGGTGAGTTTTTTCCACCTCGAAATCAATATGATGCTACACTTCCGAGATTCGGCCGGATCCTGCTCTGTCCCACATCCCCGCGCGGTTCTTCGCCCTGCCGCTCGGCGTGCCTGCGATGCGAGCGTCAGGCTCACATCATGGAGAGCCTCGGGAACATTTCATGCACGTTCATGGCTTGGGAAACGCGAAGCTCCCAAAGATTTTCCAGATAACAAGATCAGGATAGAGATCTGACGGAGCAAGCGAGTGCATCGACAATCGCGTCCGATACTCATGTTCCATTTCCAGCACGAAAATGGCGAAAATTCTGTCCGGAACTCAAATCTCGAAGGAAGTGTTGTCGGACCTACAGCAAGAAGTTACTGAGATCAAGGAAACCCATCCGGATTTCCGACCGAAACTCGTCATCGTTCAGGTCGGGGGTCGAGAGGACTCCAATGTCTACATACGCGCCAAGTGCAAGGTGATTAGCCCTTTACAGCCGAGCCCCTGGATGACCGGGAGGGTTCGATCCATTCTTTTCATCGAGTTCGGCGATCAATTATAATCAGGCTGATCACTGGCTTTCTTGAGCCATTGCTTACCTTCGCTTCATCTTTTTAGGCTGCGGCCGAGGTTGGCGTGGAGACCGAACACATCCGATTCCCTCGCACAGTTGCTGAGAATGAACTACTTCGAGGCGTGGAACTTCTAAATGCCGATCCTCGAGTCCACGGCATCATCGTGCAACTACCGTTAGATTGCGACAACCCCATCGATGCTGGCAAGGTTCGAATCTTTTCGATAATTGATATGTTCGTAAGGCACGCGGTTGACCATCTTCCTCGAAACCCGTCCGGACCCACCTGTTCTGAACGAGGAAGTCCCTCAATGGCCCTACAAGGCTGCAAAGAAATCGTCAAGTTCCGACTGCGCGCGCATCTCTAGCATCATTCGTGGAAGGGCAGAGAACGACCTCTTGTATGATAAAATATATAGGGGGATGGATAGCGAAGTGTTAGGCAGCGCTAGATGGCGAACGATTTGATGAATGAGGAATGAGATCCGCAGACTTTTCCTCTGTGCTTTCCCGTAACAGCTCGTGTTTTTCTCCTCTTCCGATGCAGGTGACGAACGCAGTCTCCCCTTTGAAGGATGTCGACGGCATCCATACGGAAAACGCGGGACGCCTCGCTCACGGAGAGTTAGAAAACTTTTTCATTCCCTGCACCCCTCGAGGCTGTCTCGAACTCATATTGAGGACTGGAATGGATCTCTGCGGAAAACATGCTGTCATGATAGGACGGTACGTGGATGAAGTTCTTGGAGCGCTGTGCTTCCTGGCTCTTTTGCTCGTTTCCCCTTTCTGGAAGCGAGAGAACACCGAACACCCTCGCTGAGTATTGCTCCGCAATTGTGAAGTGTCGCGAGAGTGTTCCTCGACCCTCATCCATATCGTATATACTCGACAGATCGAAAATTGTGGGAGCCCCCATGTCTGCTTTGCTCCTATCATGCAACGCCACCGTGACCGTGTGCCACTCAAAAACGGAGAGGATCGATGAAATTTGTCGGCAAGCCGATCTCCTCGTCGTAGCCTGCGGATGCGCCCATCTCGTGAAGAAAGAGTGGGTCCGACCAGGGGTAGGTGATATCGAGCGACATCATGACGGCGATAACTCTCCAATCGATTTCGATACATAGCGTGAGGCCTTATGACCGCTATTGAGCCCGAACGCATCCAGATGAATTCAGACATATGTATGTATTTATTCATTTGAATTGTAGGCTGTTGTCATCGATTGTGGCATCAACGCAATCAAGGACCCTAGTCATCCGAAGGGACAGAGACTGGTCGGAGACGTGGACTACGCCAATGTCAAGGAGGTGAGCATCTCTTGCGTGTCGAACTGAATAGATATCGATGGGATGCATTCGACATGGACCTCTCATTCGCAACAGCATGAAATAGTATTCTGGCATGATTTGATGGACCCACAGGTCGCATCCTGGATCACTCCAGTTCCCGGAGGCGTGGGTCCAATGACGGTCTCCATGCTCATCAAAAACACTGTCATCTCTGCGAAGCGCGAGCTCTTGGGAACGCTACGGAACAATCTGCAGTTCTAGATCCCAGAGGCTATTCCGGAGAACTTTTCTTCAACTTCCTATTAGACCCCAAACAGAGACCGTTGTACATATATACGCGTGAGCCCACACCCATCGGAGTGTTATTTTTTCCAAGTATTCGACGCGATGCTGTCGGATTGCCTGATGTATGAATAATTCTGCTCGCACATGAACCTGTAAAAACCGTAGGGTGGACATTGCATTGATATTGTCTTCAATAATAACTGAACTTTCATTTTTCCGTTCGATATTCGTCGTTGATGCAAGAATTCGAGGGAGCCTTTCCGGAAATATGAAACCGCATTCTACTTTTTCACGCTGCAGAATTTTCACCATAGCGGAAATCACAGCGGGCTGCCTCGAGTGAAACCTAGATCCAAACAACGAGATATCACATGTGTCAGCTCCTATGCGCTTTATTTACTTCCCCATTGTTTCATCTCGATATATCATTTTCCGTGCCTTCTACTGCCCTGGAGTCTTCCGATGAAGCCTCCGTAGGGAAGTGGGTACACTACTGAGGCTACAATCTGAATTCCCAAACTTCAAAAGGGACTGCTACCTCCCCGAAGTTTAGAAATCGAAAAGTTTTTGATTCGATGCATGAGCTATCAAAAGCGTTGACTAACAATCGCCACAACCGACTATCACAAATCTTGGCCAGATGATCGCCTAGTATCCACTCCGATGGATTCCACATTAGACGACGAGATAATATATACTCGCTCAAGGAGAGCAGCAATATGAGACGAAGCCCGTCGACAGCGACCAAGGGGTATGGAAAGCTCGGACCGGGCAGGTGTTGCAGTGGAATAATTCTTGAGTCACCGTGGCGGGATAGCCGTCCGGGGCATTCCCTTTATTTGATGGCATACGATATCCCTCATTCGGAATAGTGATGTCCACTTCCGAAGACTTAGACACGCAGAAACCGAAATTCCTCATTGGCATCGCAGGCCCCAGCAAAACAGGCAGTCCACAGGAAAAAGTCGAGTGGATAATCGCGAGTGGATGGGCAATGGAAGCGATTTCCACGGGAAGGAAAACAAAGCGATGACTTATAAACTCTACAAAACTCATCGATGAAATCCGGGAGTGAGGATTATGATTTATGATATATGATATATGTTATGTATGTATATTGACTATTTCTGTCTGGGATCAATCATATCGTCCGCGACCCAGCAATGAAAGAACAAGTTTCGCTGCACCGTTTTCACCACGGTGATTTGTGCGTTTGCGATTCATGTAGATTTTCCATCCCTGATTAAGCTCGAAGAGGGAGACCGTCACGTGTCTCCCCACTCCTGTCTGAGATCCGGAATCATTGAGCAACTCGAGTCTAACAATCGCTCCAAGTCTCCAAGAGAGCGTCACGAAGTGCTGGGAGCATCATAACTTTGGTATGTAGATCTGATAACTCCCGGGAGACGAACAAGTAACGAGGTCTCCGGGAAATTCTGGCGATCGCAAATTGAATTCGATTGATTGATCATGGTAATTATTACATCTCTCGTCGGACTCGTCGAGCCCTCATAAGGCTCGCCCGAAGTCTCGCCGTATGCCAGCTGAATATAAACAACATGGCGTGGCCCAGGTATTTTAGACTCGTTTCAGGTGCAAAAAAACTGGGAATCTGGTCACCGGAACCCCTTCGGAGCTAGGGTTCAGGGCTCCACCTCTGGGATCCGAGACATTTTTCTAGCCAGTGTTTCTCCTCCGCCGAAGAGCGATGACCCATCTCGTCAGGACACGGTCGGGAACATTCATCTTCAATCCTTTGTGATTATATGTTGTGATTCGATTCGAGCGTCATCCATGCTGCGGCTCGTAGTGCAGCGATCTCAGTTTTGAGTGGTCAGGAGAAATCAATCGAGCATCCGAAGATTGGAAGATTAGCATGGTGAAAGGATCTAACCGACGAGGAAGATGAATCCGGGCTTCTGTCTGCTCCTCATAGAGGGCCCTTGGGGGCAACGAGCATCCTGGATGTCCGAGGGGTCATGGAGCCTTTGCGGCACCATGGGGAAACATTATTGGAAATAACTCCGAGCTCCACGGTGCCTGAACACGGAATTCGTATCCTCAAGCGCCGCAAGTCTCACAAGTCTTCATCCTCAATGTCATCTGCCAGATTACCGTGCAGCATGCGACGCGCAACGCGGGAGTGCTTCACGTCTATCGGGACGGTGCGGTCGTACAAAGACGGCGCCTGGAGGAAAATTCCGGCAGTTCCAACGACGCACGCTATGGTGAATATCCACAGAAATAATCTATCGAGTATCATGGCAATATACTTCCAATCCTCACGAATCTGCAGAGGAGTAAGGGCCACGTAAGTGCGGTGCACGGTACACGTGCTCGAGTCGATTATTATCTGCTGGGATGTTCGAGATCCCTACGGTATGTCAGGATGTGCTGCGATTCGCCAGCTGATCTTCACGAATTATTCAATACTCACGCTTTCGAAATCATCTCTATTGTCGATGTGTTGCGCTATGAACATTGCATGACAGATCGTCTCCTCGAAGTCACGCACACCGTGCGCCCTTCTCGAAAACGGCGGGGGCGATCCTTCCACGGGAGCAGAATCGCCGGCAACATTGTGACCGATGTCACAAGCTTCCTCGACGGCGCCGTCTTCGGTCGGAAGCTGCGGTAGTCCAGAGCTCTGTTGATCCTGGTGGGAGAGGGGGCCTGGATGTCCAAATCGAGGAGACGCAGCTTGTAGGGCAGAAATCCGCGGATTCAGAAAGTGGTCGCCGAGGCTTGGCCCACCATGGTAACGCGGGCACCTAGAAAGCACCGAGCATTATTCCGCTTCCGGAAGGAAATTCGGAATCCTTGGACGCTCCCACGTCCGGGATCCAGATCAACATCTCAGTAATGACATCAGAATGTTGTTAAATTTGGTTGACTGAAAGTCTAGTCGAGCTCGATCTCGGGCGAGCGTATCGCCTGCTGTGCATACCTGGGGTAGTCGATTACCTCCCGATGATCTACGTTCGAACCCCGGTCGACTTTGCTCTCGGCAACCTTATTTTTTTGCTTTCTAAGCGCCTCATCGGTTTCGATTTCGTATTGAGGGGATCTCATCAGGAGTAATCGTGGAAGAACCTTTATGAAAACTTGTCGACACCAGGGATTGAGGATGTGACTCGACGGCGATCGGAAATGAACGTTGAGGACTCCGATCGCCACTAAAACGCTCAGCGTGACCAATATCATGGTGAACACCTAGAAGTTTTCGAAGCGTGACAACAATATGGGGTTCACGCGACACGTGACCGAGTTGGGACCATTCATCACTTGAAGGTAGAGAGTCCACTCACGAGATATTTTCCGAGGAGCGGCATAGCCAATGAAGTCGGTGGGATTATCTCGACCAACACGAGCAAGAAGAAAGTCAATGACAGCAAGATGCTGATGGACAGAGATACTTTCTCTCCTGAGTCGGAGGGCAAGTAGAACACGAGAATCGACAGACAAGAAATGCCGACGCAAGGAATAATCAAATTGACGGTGTAGAAGAGCGTTTTGCGACGTAGAGTAATGTTGAATGTTATGTCCGGGTAGGGTTCCTCACAGCAAGCGTAGAACTTTTCGGTTCGCTTCGCCGGCACAGCCATGATGTCCCATTCAACCGAAAGATAGAATTCCGAGAGATCAATGCCGAGAGGAACTATATCCACGCTGTCCACGCCGCGGATATGTTTCAGATCCACCTGCAAAGAGAATCTCTGTTCAAGCGTTTTCCTTCGTGAGAAGAGATAGACGATATATAGTAATTTGACCCGCCGATCCTCTTGTCCAGCCCTTGTCCCCCCAATTATGAAATCACAGATGCTGCGTCGGAAATGATTGATACGCGAGCCCTTTTGCATACCATGAATCCGTCGTAGGTCCAAGACCCGAATTTCATGCTGCAGAGTTGCTGATCAAAAGGGAAATACTGAACGTCCATAAGGCAACTGCTCTTGTATATAGCTGGGGGATTCCAGATGACGGTTCCTTCGTTTTTGATGATTGCTTTCGTCATGATTGTGACCTCGTAATTACCGTCGGCACTGAAACCGAAGACTCGTTAGAGCTCGGCTCGCTCTGGCTGTGATTCAGTCGCAGATTCGAACCGAGTCGGTACTGAGAACCGAAGTTATCGCTCACTTCGCGTACTGACTTGTTATATAGCACGATGTCCGGAAGCCAGATTTGCTCGGCTGGAACGTAGAGTTCCGTCACTCCACCGTACTCTGCAGGATCCCAACGAAGTTTGTGATCGGACCATTCCTGCGAGGTAGGAAAATATATGATGGGTTAGGCTTTCAACATTCCGCAGGAGCTCCGTATCAAAAGGCACGGCGTGAAATTCTTTACCACAGAGAAGCTCAAAGTTTTCTCACCTGATTAACCCAAACATTTGTTGTCATTATCTGTGACCGGAGGTTCTGTCACCAAGAACATGCTCGTTAGGAATTGTCGCGTCGCTACTCGGATTCAGGACTAACGTCTTTCGCTAGTCTGGCCTCGAGTAGCGGGCGCCGGCACTCACCACGTCAATAAGCTGGGAGAGTTTGAGTCCCATTTTGACAGTGAGCCTGTCACTGTTATTGCCAACGGGCCTGATGAGTCTGTTGTAGGAGCTCATCAGGTCATCATATAATCGTTTCGCATCGGGATTAGCTTCAGTGGTCCGGATTAAGGACAAGAATGTGCAATAATAGAGGGAGAGTACGACAGCGGCTTTCAACGAAGAGCCAAGAGCAGAACCGATTGACGGCGAGCCGGGGGCAGCCGCGACTCGCTCCTCGATGTGTCGAGCTTCCATAAACCGACCCAGCCACATGGTGCTGACAGTATTAGATCATAGGAGAGCTGTTGCTTGATAGGGCTATCGACCGGTTAAGACGGATAGGAGATCTCACTTGTCAGGCTCGTTCCCAACATGAACACTGCAGCTACGTATAACGGAGGAGAGCGACCGAAGGACCGTCCGACAATTAAAACCGTCCTCGGCCTGGGACATCAACCGAAATCTGACCGCTTCCTAATGAAAGACTTCCACCTCCAGAGCGGGCGGGCTCATCAACGTTTGCTTCGGTGGCAGATACGACGGAAAGGTCAAATGTCACCCGAAGCGGCTACGCCGGATACAGCTGCATACCAGAGTGCAGCATCCAAAAACGCTCAAACAGCTCTGGCGAGCTGTCAACCAACAGAAATATACAAACGGAAGAGTCGTCGAACGGTCACTACGGAAGCTTCAGCCTCGATCATCGGCCTGACTGATTCGAAGCAGCCGCCGAGGATGCGGAGGACCGTTGCTAAGTAACCGGCGGCGATTTTTCCGCGGCGAGGGTATGTGGGTGAGGTCCCGGCCAGCCTCGGTTGAGGATCCACTCCGCTTGCTCTGGAATCCGGTGCGGCTGTCTTTCCACGCTGGGAACATTTCAGGACCATGGGAAGTTCGGGAATTCGCTTCTTCGGGCCTGAGGACTGATCGACTCGCCGAACGGCGAAGATGCCGAGTAATCTCCTCCTGAACGTTTTCTAAGGGCGCTCGAGACAATATGTTCGTTTGAGCCAAGACGAAAATTCGATTTGGAGATCCCTCGGAGCCCGAATGAGACTGCCGCAATAATCCGTGTCTGACACGATCCAGAAACGGGAAAAAACAACTGATAGCTCCAAAATGAAGACATTCGGCGGGCATGCCGTCCAAGTAGAATATTTACGTTATATGTTATGTGAGCTGATGGGGCTCACATTTAGAGACTGTCAAGGCTAGGTGGTTTGGTCTCGATTCGACTACAATTTGTTCCAAAAGGTTGCCACCGATGCCCACGAGGGAACAGGCGAGAGACAGATCGAAAGGGGCACTCCTGATTTTCGCAAGCGATTGGGAACGGGGAGGACACAATAATCTGGGACGAAATTATATTCTAATTACCAAGGACGCCACCGAATCTCGTTCTCCTTCCTAATTTCTCCTCCTCCATACTCCACCTCAGATCCTCTGGAGTAGGGGTTCGATTCGGTGATCACGGGGTGCTCCGGAATTCGAGACATTGTCGAGAAAATCTCCTGATGAGAGAGGAGAGGACGGGGTAGATTTGCAGAAGCCGGCTGCTCCGACGACTGCTCATCGAAGCCCAGTCTATAATTACGCGTAAGTGTTGCGCTCGTCTCGGGGGGTCATAAAACGAAGCCAGTTCCCAAGCGAAGCTCTCCCCTTGAAGTATTCCGCTCATTAGCAAAATCTCGTTTCTGCTCATGCCGTCCCCCACCCCATTCAACGACCATTCACTCGACCATTCGCACATCGAAGGTGGGCCACGGGACTCGATCTTGCGGGGAGAACTGAATTGTGTTGCCGACTTGGACCTCGGTGCCGCGCACACTGAGCGCAGCGTAAGTCCAAGCACAGCGTGAACTCGAGCGCAGCTCAAACTTGGGTGCATGGTGAATTAGAGCGCATAGCGGATCTGTGCGCAGCGTCTACCTATCGACTGGATGAAGACTCCGAGAGTCGAAAGCAGAGGCCCGACATCTGAGGTGCTGCTCGGCTCTTGCAATTTCACCGGACCTTAGTTCAAACGAAGTCGTGCGAATCCGAGCTGGAATCTACGTCGCACTAATATTTGCCACGTGCTCTGAATTACTTGCGCTCAAGTTCACCGTGCGGTAGGAGCACCGCGCGGTCGCTTCGGACCCCGTGGATGACGGTGGTGTCTCGTCTCTGGAAGTTTGACTCCTCTTGAACTAAAAATTCTGCCCAAGCGCGATGCTTCCGTCTTCCGTTATATTTTACTTCATCTCCTCGATCTTGGCTTCTCGTCTTGCATGGAGCCATCACGAAATCTAATTACAGATTCTGATTGAATTTTGTTTTTACTCCTGATCAGAACGGAATATCACGGGGAGCATTTCTCCCCGGGGTCGTGAGCCCTGAATGAGGAGCTATTTCCCCGTAAGTGGGCAGATCACGATCGCGACTCAATACTTTGAAGCAATGACGTTTTCGGGCCGACATGCAGACCTTGCGAGGGCTGTATGATTTGACGCTTGGAGGGAAACTCCCCCGGTACGACAGGGTGCTCCCAACAAACTTGTACTCCTCCCCGAGCATACACCGCCCGATTGCCAAGATGTCGGGAATGTCCGTGAGCGGCTTCTCTCGGGCCCTACCGACTCAACAACGCGTTGTGGTAGACAAGTCGTTCCTTACTCGGAATAGCGCTTCTCCGTCACCGACGAATGGTGCAGAGATTCGACCACCGCTGGTAAGGAGAATTCCTACCAAATTACTCGAGCGGATCATTCAATGATTCCTGGCGATCGCGATCTCTTCATTGTCACGTGAAAATGAGATGAATGAGCGACAGTCGAGTATGTACGGGTCGATAAGCTGGAGATCTGTTGCCTTCTTTGATTGTGAAATTCTCGCCTGGACGCGTCGGATTACTCAATTTCTTCTCAGGGAGTCACCATCCACTGTATTCTTACCGCTGCAGAGCTTTCTCCCCGAGGTGAAGTCAGGGCTTATACTTCCGTCTCCAGTCTGGGAACGACCAGAGACTGCTCCGTGATGAGGCAATACGACGTCTGAGAGTTGGACGCAGGACCTCTCCTGATTGGCAGTCTCCAAGAATCCCCTATACTCCCGCTCGGAAAGGAAGGAAATATTCCACATCGATTCCCCGTAAGATGTTTTCAAACTCTACGCGGACTCATGAACAGCGTCTAAGACATTGCGTAATTCCTCCTAAGGATTTGGCAGGCTTAAATCAAATCGTTCGTCTGCCACCAACGACAAAACATTTCACACCTCGAGTTCCAGATATCTTACAATGTGAGGATTTCCTCCTCTTCTGCGTCACATGGAACACGGCCTCCGAGAATACGTATGGACCGGGCAGAATGAATCGGGACTTGCCGGGACCTTTCAAGGGTTCAGATGGGCCAGCAGAGAAAGTGTCGGCGCTGATCTCGATGATTCCGGCTCACAGAGCGGCGCTCGCAGAAATCCCCGCCATCTCCCCTGAAGTCTCACGTCCGAAAACACGATCCTTCCCGTTTCATCCCGCGAGCCACGGCGGACTCGGTTAATCGTCGAGGGAATTCTCCCTCATGCTCACTCCTGGAATGACACCCATTGAGTGATGAGTCCTCGTTAGCAGTCTCCGCCGCTTCTCGTATACGGGGATTATCCCGACAGTAGCGGCGCGGCGTCCTCAGCGAAGGCCGGCATGGGAAGAGAAAAAAACTCCTCGTATTTTCCAAGGCTGCCTCTTCTCTGATTGTGTTCCTCCCCCTCTCCGGCGGTGGCGGCAGCAGCAGGCCGCCGTCATCTCTGCAACGCCGCGCCGTCTGTCTCCTAGAAGAACTCCGCCTTATCTCCGTTTTCTTCGTTTCCGATTTTTTCTTCGTGCCAATCGAATTAGTGTTGATTTTTGATTCGCGTCAGGGACGGCGGCGCGGCGCCTGTTCTCCCTTCCGCGCCGTGCAATCGCAGCAGTCGCACCAGCAGTCGACCTATTTTTTGATTGATCCTTCGATCGATCGCAGTCGGGGGATGGATGGATAGATGGATGGCTGGCTGGCTAGCTGGCTGCTTCTTTGATCGATCAATTGAGTGATTGGTTCACAGGTTCGGGATGGTCAGGATTGAGTGTTGCACCGCCTCGCTCCCTCATATGGTGGACAGACTGCTATAAGAAAGATGACAATCTCTTCGAGGGTCGGCATATCCAAAGTCTGCTTGGAGTCCCGAGCGGGGGTACAACAATTTCATTGAAAGAAGAGCTCAGATTGTACCACTTGCGAATATTCCGCAAGTATAATCTGATAGGGTTAATAAGAAGTAGGGCGGTAGGGCTGCTTCTCGGTTTCCCGTTTACTCGGCGGAGACGTATCGAATGAAAGGGATGAATCTTGATGCCGTAGAAACTCGCATCCGAGGACTCGTGCGTTCGGTTCCAGCGGTCATAGGCACTCTGAGGAACAAACACTGCCGAATATGTCGTGCATCGAGAGAGATATCCGCCGATCGGGAGAACATCTCAGTGCCCAGTGTATGGAGGGAACGCGAAAAAAGAAAAGAAAAAGAATCTTAAGGGAAGTTCGAGGGATTCCCGGATGTTTCGCCGATTATGTCTTACAAATCTCTCTCTTCAGATGAGCCGCTCGAAGATTGCCATCGGGAATGCGGAGGGAGTGGAAGAGAGATCCGACACTCCGATTGTAATACAAAAACGAACCGGCTTACTACCTCATGATCTGAGTTTCGGATGGTGCGGTACACGGAACCGAACCTCTCTAAACCTTTGGCTGATCATTCGATCAGTGGCCAGATCAAGTCATGCTCTACGGAATACTCGGGTAGACGCAGACTCTACTCCTCAAAGACCTATCATCCTTCAAAAGCAACGTCTCTTCAGAGATTATCCGAAAAACGAGAGCGTTCTTCGCGCTACGCAATCAGAGCAGTTGAACACAGCCGCGAAAAGGCGACGGGCTTCGCTAGTCTTCCATATTGGGAAGCGTCCTCTGAAGAGTTCGAGGTCGCCTCGCCAGATGATCGAGGCCTCATCCTGACTCGTTTAGCGTCTGACCCCTAACACGAAACGAACGTTCCGCAAGCCAACCCATAAAACTCAGACATCATGGAGTTTCGCGGTGCTCCCTAACTTCATTTTCCTTGGGATGCGGATCATCCCTATAATCTGCACTCGATCGCGACGAGGCCACATGGCCAGAAGTCCCAT